GCCGCAACAACGGGGATGGGCCCGTGAGCGGGACTGACTGTACTTATTATCTTGAGACCTCCACAACCCTGCGATGCAGAGGCTCTGGGAGGCGTGGTTTGCACTACTGAGGAGCTACCCCCACGTTAAATACAAAACAAACAAACAAACAAACAAAGTACAAAAAGCAGGCTGATAAGTTTCGACGACCAATTAACTGGAAGCCAGACGATATGGTATATATACACAAAGGAGCATGGCGTACTGACCGCCTACATGATGGATTGGCAACCCCTATATGGGACCATATCGGGTTGTCAAACAGATCAATGAGAACGCCTTTGAGATTGACTTACCCCCTGAGATAAACACTCATCGGGTCATCAATACAAGCCGCTTAGTACGGTCACTAAATGACCCTGTCCCAGGTCAGGTGATCCCTCCACCGCCGCCTATCGATGTGGATGGGTTTCCTGAGTGGGAAGTTAACAAGATTCAGTCCTCCCGCCTAGCCCGGGGCAAGCTGGAGTACCAGGCTGAATGGACAGGTCATGATCCTGACCCAATGTGGTACCCAGCAGCTAACTTTAGAAACTCGGCTGTACGCGTCAAAGAGTTCCATGACACAAATCCCAAGACGCCAGGTCCCCTTTAAAGGTTATAGCAATGGATAGAGACTGCTACTGATAATCAAGACCTAACTGATCTTAAGGAAGACAACCTGCCTGTAAAAGGCTCTGCACAAGGAGTAAGAAGAACTCGGAAGAAATCATTGTCGTAAACTGACTTTAATAAAGGGGGGAGTAGTATGACAGCCTGCACAGACCTTTCCACATGACAAGTGGATACCATCCGACCCCCCGAACCGGCACACCCCCACTACCGGCACAGCCAAACCCCGCCACCACCACCAAAAGACCCCCCTACTCACTTACACGTATTTGAGGCTGTATAGGGTCAAAAAAATCAGCAAAATTATCATTCTGTGGTGTTTTGGCTGCTCAATCGACGTATCTAGCCGGCGCCCGGATTGACCGCCCGGATCTAGTCATCTGGGCTTCTGTAACAGGGGCTTCTACAGCCTCCTCAGCGTCCGCAAGCTCCTCGTCCTCCTCACCCTTGTCTTCAACAACCTCCGACTTTGAAGAAGAAGAAGAAGACTCTACAGCAACCGGAACTAGCGGATCACCACCCTGGGCTAGTATTTCTACCATTGTCATGAACTTTTTGTTGGGATTTGGTATCTTTTTCCTCTTCTTAGGCCGTAGCCGCTCCAGTTCAGCCTCCAGGGCCCTGATCTTCTGGTCTTTTATGGCCAGCTCCGTCTCCTGGTTCTCAAAGGCATGGGAGATCTTCCGGAACTTCAGCCGAGTGGCTGGGGAACGGTTCCTCCCGAAATCCCGGATTTGCCGGCTCGTGGTAGGGGTCTGTTGGTCCTCCAGCTCTGAGTCTTCCTGTTCTTCCGGCTCGGGGGTCTTCCGCTTGTCTTCTTGGATTTCTGGATGGTCTAGACACTTTTTGCGGCTAATTGGGTAGCATCCCGTCACTCGGAAGCCCGAGCGGATGTTTTTTGGCGTAAATGCCATGTCCCTTGCCTTGCTGTAATAGCGGATAAAGTTGATCTTGTCAACAGGGGAAGAATCAATCAGAGAATTTAACTGGGTGGGGAATCTCTGGTAGTAGGACTTAAGGGCGTTATAGGGGCCGTTATCCAGTGGTTGCATTCCGTGGCTGGTGTGTGCTGGGAAAAAGCACAGCAAGATGTGGGCAAAATAACACCGCATCATAAATTCGTCCTTTTCTAGAGTCAGTTGCTGTTTAAATCGGAATAAATCAAATAACCAGTAAATAAATAGAAAAAATTGGTGTACATACGGAGGTATGGCTACCATGACCATCTAGGATCAAAAGGACTGGTTCCCACTGCTCCTGGCCAAGAATTTCATCCACTTGTGGTATGAAAACGTGCTCAAGCCACTGGCAGGCAATATCGTTACTGGTCCAGCCGTTTTCCGACGTTATATAGTACCAGTCGGCTATCTTCTGGAATTTCTCGAGGAACCACTGCGCTTGGAGATCTTTTCCCTTGAAAATCAAGCCTGGTTTGAGTACTCTACCGGTAGCTGAAATGGTCTCGATGAAAGATGTCCACGAGCGGCCCTGGGGGCTCTTTAGGAAAGCTTTCCTTGTCTCAGAACTTTCCAGAACTAGGGAATCAATGCCTATAAGGGTAGTTAGTTAACTGTGAGGGTAGGGGGCTCGAAAGAGTTACCAAAACCCGACATGATGCCGCCCTTATCGACATTGTACGTATTTTCTGGCTTTACCCAGCCATAGTCCTCCAAGATGTTGAAGAACCAGTTCACAGACTTAGGGGTAAACCCCTTAAACCGAGCAGATTCCATTCGCTTGCTGATTTTAGTCTGAATGGTAGGGTTGCGTCATTTAAAGCTGTCCATATAGTGGTTCCCAAGTGGTGCGAAATCCCCCTTTCTTTTTAGGAGTTCTATCACAATTTCCCTGACGGCTGAGTGAGAGGGGGCAAGCCCCAAAGTCTCCTGGCGCAATATCCAGGCTGCTACCTTGCTTTCTTGCTTAGGAGAAATTCTCTGCTCGGTGGTGTGAGCTTCTGTTTTAGTCCCTCTCCCCCTTATGCGTGCTGACAGCGTGCTGGCCGGGATGCCGTATTTTTGGCTGGATTTTCTCACGGACATGCCATTATTTGTGACGTCTAGGTAGGCATCCACCACATCATCCTCTGTATACGTGGGCGGAGGCATCGTGGCTGGCTTCAGGATGCTGTGGTGCATGAGGGACAGGGGCTCACAGAGAGAATTCTACAGCAAATTTGTATTTAAGGGCGGGGCACAGAGGCTGTTAAATGCCGATACCAATGGCCAGCAATTAAATAATCTACATTAAGCTAAACACCAAGAAGAGGGCTATCTAACTATCTAAAGAACGTTTAGATACCCTCAAAAGGGACTGTAATCCGTGTAAGTGAGTAAGGGGACTTTTGGTGGTGGTTGTGGGGTTTGGCTGTGCCGGTTGGCGGGGTGTGCCGGTTCGGGGGGTCGGATGGTACTTTCTAATAAGGGAAGGATCTGACCAGAGGATCCTTCTAAAGGGGCAACCTCCCACTATACCTATCTCCCGCTCTCTTCATTTTCTTTCTAGTCTTGATATTCTCGTTAATAGAATAATAGCGGCTTGCTGCCGGCCATGTCCCAGCTCCTCAGTACGCTCGCTGTGACACGGACAAGGTGGGAGCACTGCTCGATTGGGACAGCCCTCGCAATGTCAGGGACCTTCAGAGGTTCCTTGGCTTCGCGAATTTCTACAGAAGGTTCATTCGAGGCTTTTCTTCGATTGCAAGGCCCCTCACAGGTCTCTTCAAGAGGTCCGAACGCTGGGACTGGAATAGCACCTGCCAATCTTCCTTTGAGACGCTCAAGAAGTCGTTCACACACGTCCCGGTGCTCTCGTACTTCAACCCCGAAAGACGAACGGTAGTTGAAACGGATGCCTCTGACTGGGCAGTCGGTGGAGTGATCTCTCAATATGACGACAGAGGAGAGTTGCACCCCGTTGGCTTCTACTCATCCAAACACATGCCAGCTGAAGCTAATTACGAGATATACAACAAGGAGTTGCTCGCAATAATCAAGTCTCTCAAAGAATAGCGACCCAAACTCCAGGGCTCTGACAAGCCGTTCGAGATAATTACGGATCACAAGAACCTGCAGTACTTTATGTCAACCAAGCTCGTGACGCAAAGACAGGCCCGCTGGACGGAGTTCCTCAGCCAATTCAACTTCCAGATTGTTTATAAGAGCGGCAAGCAGTCTGTCAAACCAGATACCCTGAGCCGGAGACCTGGTGATATCCCGACCTCGAAGAACAATACTACTGACTCACAAGTCGCAGCGAGGCAGCAAGTACTGCTCCTAGAAGCGCGTATATCGCCAGGGATGGCTGCACGCCTCTGCGTGGTAGATACCTCCGAGGATCTTGACGACCTTATCAATACAGCGTACGCCACAGACCTAATGACAAAGAAGGTCGTGAAGGCCTTGTTGCATTCGAGGAGGTAGTCTAAGGTTGTAAAGCGTTTTATGAACATGCCTTTCGGCGACTGCGAGCTACGAGATAGCCGTGCTTTTTACGAAAGCAAGCTCTTTATCCCCGAAAACAATCACCTGCGCTCCCAGATCCAATATCGCACGCATGCGCTACCTGCCAGTGGTCATTGAGGAGAGACAAAGACTATTGAACTGATCAAGCGTGACTACTGGTGGCCAGGGATGTATGCAGAGATTGGAGGGTTCGTCAGAGCCTGTTACGTCTGCCGACGTGTAAAGGGACTAAAGCAGAGTCCTCAAGGGCTTTTACACAGCTTGATGGTGCCTTTCAGACCATGGGCGAATATCTCAGTTGACTACATCACCGGCTTACCTAAGTGTATGCGTCACGGAATTGTCTACAGCTACATCCTCGTGATAGTCAATCGTCTGATAAAGATGCGTCACTTTGTACCAGTCGACGAGCTGGATGTCGATACAATGGTCGACGCGTTCATTAACAGGGTATTTTCACTCCACGGCGCTCCTGAGTTTATCACTTCCAACCGGCGAGCACAGTTCGTTTCACACTTTTGGCACCGATTGGCAGAGCGTTTAGGCTCCAGGCTGAAACCCTCGTCTGCGTATCATCCTTCCATGAACGGGCAGATGGAGATCTTGAATGCCGTACTGGAACAGTATCTATGTATCTACATCTTGCTCGATCAAGACGATTGGGTAGACCACCTGCCTCTCGCAAAGTTCGCTTTGAACAATGAGGTCTTCAGTACCACGAAATTTTCCCTATTTTTCGCTAACTACGGATGGAATCCATGGATCAGCATCGAGCCTCCCTGACTGCGGCCCCCAAACTTGACAAGAGACGAGGCACGGGAGTGGGACAAGGCTGATAAGCACGTTGAGCTCATGAAGGACTTGCTCAAAGAACTCCGTCACAATATGGCTAAGGCACAGGAAGACTACGCGCACTATTTGAACATCAAGCGCAGCGACGCCCATGTGTACAAGGTAGATGACATGGTATGGCTGAGCTCCGAGAATATTGTCACCTAGAGACCGTTTAGAAAGTTGAGCGACAAGTGGCTAGGTTTATTTGCGGTATCACGAACGTACAAGCAAGCATGCGCTCTCAAACTTGATGGGCAATTTAACGGCATCTTCACGGTGTTCTATCATTCGTTATTGCGGCCCGTTGAAAAGCCCAAGACCCTGGGACAAGTGGAGATCCACAAGGACTCCCGGGACGACCAGAAGGGCCTCATCATTGTCCCAGATGATAGGGGACGTCTCCAGAGGAAATGGGTGTTCAACAAAGTGACTGACAGCTTTCTGGATGAAAAGGAAGGTCTCCAGTACCTCATCGAGTGGCAGGATGGGACCACATTGTGGCAACCTGCTCGCAACCTCTAGAGATGTCACTGGATCATTCACGAGTTCCACCGCATGAGCAAGGGTAAACCAGGACCCCCATGGTGATATCGCAAGAAGGACGCCCTCGAGTAGAGGGACTGGCATGAAAGAAGGTCTGAAAATAAAGCAGAGTTGAGTAACGACGATTCAGATGTATCAGGTGAAAACTCTGCTAAAAGCGACAATAACACTGATTTTGACGTCTGAATCGCCTCATTTGCGATCAAATAAGGTTTGGAAGAGGGGAGTACTGTCAGGAAGCATATCCTGGGAACAAAGGAATCATACATGTACATATACATGGCCTCCAAGCCCGATTAGTATTGTAGCCCTCTGCAGAACAACATACATCTTTACCCCCCTATATGGTTCGCCTTCTAACAGCCAATCCGTATCTTCGAAGGTGCCTGGGTAGGGGTCGGAAGTTGCCGCCATCATGTTACAGACGACGAAGGAGAAAGAAAGAAGACTGGAGTTGATGAACTTGTGTGAGGCTGCTTCCACCGCTGTGCGAGGATAGGCGTGCAGCCTTTGGGGGTATGCTGTAGAGGCAGAAAGGTTGTTTTGAAAGCAGCATATATATGTGTGTGCTGGTTTTGGAAGTGCTACCGCACGAGCGATCAATTTTGCGTGACGAGTCGCAGGTTGGAGGCTCGTGTCACAAGATGAGAATGTGCAAGGATGCACACTGGGAACTCATCAATGCCCAAGCGAGGCAAATGCTCGGTTGCTACGACGATGAGGCATCAAGGTTTGCTCCACTTCAAGGAGATTCACATCAATAACACCTATAACGTAGATGACAAGCGAGCGGCAATTACAAGCGAACGGTAACTTTTCACTAACCTTCCAACCAACATGTCAAATAACTCAACCACAACGCATTTAATTTAATCTAATCAATCGGATTCTTTTTCTTCAGACGTTTCTATCTCTATTGTACAAGTTTGTGCATTATAGTCAGTGTTGCCACAAACGCCACAACGTCGCTCACGCGGTGCTGACCTCCTCGGACGATGACTACCTTCACCCATTTTCTGTCTTGCCAGCTTATTATCATCCTTTATAGCCTAGAGACCTACTGCATCTTTAATAAAAAGTACTTCTCTTTTTGTTAAATATTTGTTTTTTATCCTCTGGTACTTACTTAGCAGGTGATTGGCCTCCTCTAGCTCGCAGACCCGGGAATCAACCAAAGTGACCTTGTGCATAAGACCGTATGTAGCCTTTAAAAATGAGCTCAATACATCAACTATTGATGTAGGTGAGCTTCCCTGGTGGTTTTTGACTCAATTTCAGATATAAACCGACTGGTTTATCGCTTCATTGATAGTGGTAGGCGTCTTCAAAGTTCAAGTAGTGGGTGGCAGATTGGGGTCTGGCGACGGTGTTTGTACGACAGCGACAGCATCCAGCTTCAAAATGACACTTTCTAGGTCGAAAGGAACAAACTCAGTGGCACTGAAACTGTGAGGACCTGCTCCCAAGCAGCACTCAACTGCCAGGACTGTGGTAGCCAATCGGAAGCTGGCTGTGGGGATCAGGCACAAGCAGAGCTCCACCTGCTCCTGGACTTGGTCGCGCTTTTCGCAATGCGTTGTTCGTCATTTCTTTCCTTTTCTCTTTAGCTTAGAATCTTCGTCTATAGCACCCAATGGACTGAGTTCGCCTCAATGCCTTGATCTGGTCGTGACAGAAACCTGCTCGAATGTTTCCTGGCATTATAGCAGTGTTGTGTACTTCACAAAACGCTGCAAGGAAGTCCTCCTTCGAAATGTGGGTTATATGACGCTGGATGAGATCCTCAATCATGCGACTGTACGCTCGTTTGAGCGGGCCAAAACAACTGACATCTAAAAGCTGGAGCCTGTGTGACGAGTGGGCAGGCATACAAAGGGTAATAATACTGTTGTTCTGATAATAATCCTCAAAAATCTGGGAATGGTAGCTTTCATGACCATTTAGTACAAGGAGGAGTTTACCGGCAGTCATACGCGGCCTGGTATACTTGTCAAAATGCCGAATCCATTCCAACCCAATCTCGTTTGTAGTCTACCCGTTATTGAACACAGCCACCTTCCAATTGCGTGGTAATGTCATGTCGCAATACCATGACGCGAGGTGGGTTTTGCCCTGTAGAATGATGAACTGCGGGACCACCCAACCATCAGCATTGACAGCAGAAATTGCTGTAGACCATTCTCTGTTGCCTTGCTGAGCTTGTCTAGGGCTATTACGTCTTTCAGCGCTTATAACAACCATACCAGACCCAATAATGCCCATCATAAACCCAGTCTCGTTGAAGCTGTAAATATCCGCGTCTTGGATACCATGTTTCGCAATTACCGCCACAATTTGGCAAAACCATGCGCAATACGCGTCTGGATCTTTGTTCAAGACCCTCTGGTAATCCATTTTTCGATAAAAACGCGTCCGGAGGCCTGATATGCGTTTGGTGAAGTTCTGCGTCTAGTTCTTTCTAACACGTCCATCCCCACGCGCTGCCAACAATTGATTTGCCATATCTTCAACATAACTGTACCGGGGTGGAAATGCTCGCGCATCTAGGTCAAGAATGAAGGAAAGAATGGCATTTTCTTCAGAAACCGTAAGTTTCAAAATATTGGGCATGCTATCGCGTCGTGATGGTCGGCCAGCAATTCTAGCCTTCAAGGTATTATATGGGACATAGAAAGTCTTAGAAAGCTTACCAATGGTAATATGAGGGTCGCGTCGCTTAACTTAGACAGCAAGCTGTAAGTCTGATTTGCTATAACGCAATGCCATTATTGTTGGTTGATTAGTTAGGAACCTTGATTGAAAGGTTAGGTGGCTGGTGAAAAGTTGCCGTTCGCTTGTAATTGCCGCTCGCTTGTCATCCACGTTATACCATACACAAATTGAAATGAACTATTGCGGTAAACAAGGCGCCTAGATCAGCTTCACATAAGAACATAATGTTTTTGCACTCAGAGTAACATCCGGTAGGTGTAGACTTCATACGTGATTAGATTTATCCCTGGAGGTGAAACACCATGATGATGCTTGGTGAACTAAAATGCGTGCACTCTACCGTACAAACATTGAGTGCGTACTCTTTGTGTCAAACAGAGCGTGGGGGCATTTAGATGGGTGAAAACGTATATTCTGGTGTAATCCGTGTTCTTGTTGTATCTCTGTGAAAATCCTTCTGTGGGCTAAGTGGCCCAAAAATGCCCTATTGGCCTTGTTAGTGCACTGCCACCTCGCTGAACGTCACGGTGGCTTGCGCGCCATTCAACAGTTTGAGGTTCCCTGCCATGATGGGCCATCCCACCCAATCAAAGATAATATGATCGTTTTATTGATTAACGCAAGGTTTCGACTGGAATGTCTTTTGGGGATGGAGGCTCCTCTCTTAACATTGTGCAGTCACTTCAGGTCCGTGCCACGCCAGACCCGCGAGCTCTTCAATTGCTATCGCCTTCGGCGACACCATGATCTGATGAAGAAAGGAAAGGCGCCGGACCTCAGCGCGGGGCGGTAACCAAGCCTGCCTTTTCGGCACTCCCGAACGGCATACGACTTCTTAGCTCTCGAGGGCCGCATTTAACTGAATTCTCTTATTTTAGAAGTATCTCTAGGCCGAAGGATCACCTGTTTCCATTTCGGGAGTGGCAAACATGGGGGGCTAGTTTTTTTTGACAGGCAGCAAGGATGGTAATGGTTAGCGTTTCCCTAGGTCGGGATTTTGGACAGTCCGTATCTAACAATGCATAACGAGAATATCATCATTAGATTTGCGGCCCCGAACAACCTCTTACACAGACCGAAGCATGCCACCGTGAATCCGTAATGCCAAGTGCCCAGCATCTGTCATCCTTCAAGCGTATGGTCCACTTCTATATATAGTGATCAATGCAGGCAGCAGCAGTCTCTACTGTAGGTCCTTGATCACCCAAGCTCGCCACTCAATCCATGTATTAACGTCAAAACGGGGTTTCAAGACACATCGGCGGTTCTCAGAGTCTACAGCCAATGAACGTCACAGCACTAGGCAGCCGCCACGGGATCAACTCCTATATATACCAGATCATGTCTTCAGCTAGCTTCATAGTTACCTTTCTTCTTCACGTACAACCACAATATCATTTCCTAAGTCACCATCCGCCGAACTGTGATTGTCAACGATACACGCTCTTGCAAGACAACTGACGGAGCTACTCCTTGCTTCATACAGCATGCGCTTCTTGAACTTATTCGGTTTTGGCCTTGCATGGCTAGCTATTGAGTCGGCCCAGTTTCCGACTGAGGTGGGTGCTCGCCTCCGCTGGGTCGAAGAATATCAGCTGACTCCTCAACCCAGGGCCGCAATGTCAACTCGAAGACGACGGCAAATATCCAGAGCCGGTCAGGCTGGGATGATTTACCCACATTTGAATTGAGCGAGCTCAGCAAGAGTGGGTATCCGGAAGACGGGGTCACGTCCTTTAATGTTAAGATCGATCCCAAAACGGCCGAAGCAAAGAAGCTCAGTTCAAACGAAATCTGGGTCAGGATCTCTTATGCAGTCAATACCGAGCTCGAGGTCCATAAAGCCCTCCAGGCAGAAGACATTACGCCCCAGATTCTGGCCATCGTCAACCTCGAGGGTGTGAGGGTGGGCTTTGTTTCTGAGTACCTAAAGTTGGCCCGCCAGGCGGAGCGAAAGGAGGACAAAGATGCATGCCGCGAAGTCCTCGAGACAATGCACAAGAAGGGCTGGGTGCATGGAGATCCGAATACTGGGAATTTCCTCATCCTGGGCAAGAAAGTCTATGTCATTGACTTTGAAACCGCTGAAAAAGCGACCAGCGATTTGATCATAGTCGACTTTAAGAGATTCGATACCGCCTTTTGGTAGTATTGATATGGAGTATGATGTGAATGGTAAATGAGTTCCGTGGCTATTCCATCGGAGTGGTCAGGACTGTGTTCTCGCTTTACTGTCAACACTGTTTCCCTCCTCGCCCATGGGCTACAATCACACTTCTTAGTCTCTGCACGCGCACCACCACGGCTGTTTCATAAATACTTCAAAATGAATGATTACCTGAGATAAGCAATATAAGGGTCTGAATATTGTACAGTTATCTCTCTCATAGGGTGCCTATTACAGGCGTAGACTTCGCAGCCATTTGAGTGTTCAGTGTAGCTGTGTCTGGCCCGGAGGCAGATACCGGTACAGGCCGGCGTCTCCGCATGCATCAAGGCACCGACTGGGAGTGATGCATAGTGGCGGAGATCATGCAGAGTACGGCTGGAAGCGTTTGGTTCTCGTTTCTGCTTCGGTGCGTGAGGCGCAGCGAGCCAACAGATCACCCAGTACTAACCAACTTCACGCTGCATCCATACAAGGGGGCAGATTGTCAGAATGGAGAAACCCAAGACTGCTGCCTGCACATACAGAGGCGGTACGATCATTTCGTATACCTCCCCTCTTGAATTTCCCATCAACTTCAACCTTCCTTTCGTAGTGGTTATTGTATGATCCATTTGCCAACAACCGTAAGGAATGCTTCTGCTCTTGCGCCGTTGAGTCAGCTTTCTCCACGATCCTCTTGGCCATGGCCTCCCAAGTACCACGGGTGTTCCCGGCGCCCAAGGTCCTAGCCGTTGTGGCCCCCCTCAGGAAAGACGGTGCTTTGCCATCATTCTGCTTCGGGACAGATGAGAAGCCGATCGACGTGGGTCAGTGTCAGATCTATGCCGTCAAGTTTCCAAACGGCGAGACTTGGGCCATTCGTATTCCCGTGCATGCAGGTAGCACTCTCACGCCGAATGGCCTCTCGAGTATAGTCGAGGACGAGATAGTGACCTTGACCAGAATGAGCGACTCTGGAATCCGCTGGTCGCCGAGATTGATCGGCGGCGATCATGGCATCGACAACGGACTTGGGCATCCGTACCTCGCCCTGAGCTGGATTCCGGGAACCGTGTTGGAATGGAGCTCAACTCAGCCCGCAAAGCCGGAGCAGAGGCAGAAGGTCCTCCACCAGCTTGTGGACATCCAACTGGAGTTAGCCCAATGCACCAAAGAATCGCGTATGAGCTTCCCTATTCTGATCTCACCGGCTACCCAGCTAACGCCAGCTCAGGCCCAGGAACTTCGGCCACGCGCTACTTGACGGACATCGTCGATGGCAAGATTGAGCGTTTCAAGCGGGGTGACCTGCCGGAGCTCGACCTCCAGAGCTGCCTGCTGCATCGGGAGTTGGTGCCTCGAGTCATCGCTGTTTGCCATCTCACATGGGAACCTGGCCGCGCACAAGATCATCGTCGATCATGAGTACAACATCACTGGGTAAGCTTTTACAGTGACCATGCCATAGACTGGTGACACTGACGTGTCGTTACAGGATCATTGGTTGGGTCTTTGCTCGTTTCTGTCCGCTGCAGCTTGCGCTGCGGCTTCCGAGATTTCTTGCGATCGACCCAGATGTGAATGATCCAGCACCCCTGCCACCTGGCTTCTCGACTTCTGCAACTGGAAGTATACAGCCCTCAGCCGAGCTCTTAGCGGACCGTCAGTATACCATATCACATCTGTCGGATATCGACTCACAACCGGATTCACTTGCATCACTCATGAAGACTGTCGTGTCAGCTCCCAACGTCGACTGGCAGGACCTGGTCTACAATTCCTGCTTCAGTAAAGGACTTCATCGATGGATGTCAGAACGTTCCTGGTTGCTTGATGCCTCAAGCAAGGAGATCACCATCACCTAGGAGAATACAAGTTTTGGGGCAGGAGACCAACGGCGGTTGGGTGCTCTTCAAGTGTCAGAGCTATAGAGGTTATCATGGGCAGTCGAAACAAAACTCAATTGGCAGGGGACCATGTTCCAGGCTTCGAAAAACCCGTGCGACCACCAAGATGGGGCATTGCGACCTGGTAGTAAAGGGTGGTTTGACTATACGTTACTATCTAAAGCAGTCCGGATCTGTCTCGTGTTCCTTTTAATAGCCCCAATCGTCCCCGGAACCCCGTCTCTTTCACCTAGTCTAGTGCGAGCATGATGGTAGATGATAAAAATGCCTCGTTTTCTTGGCCGCAAGCAGAAGGAAAGGCGTAACGTGCGGAGTTGTATAGTTATCCTTTATTTCCTTCTTAATTCCGACCAGAAACTTAAGCTAGTGACGCTCTTCTGAACACGCGTAACTTCAATGTTGGGTGTCAGAGATAATCCATTTGGCCTAATTCTCGCCTGTTCGCCTAGGCTTTCATGCGAACCCTGGCTGCAGGCCGGTATGACTGCATGGGAGGAACGATTGGATGGCAGAAATGGCCCTCGCTGCCTAAAGTAACGTATGATCCTGGCGACCTCGAGCCTCACGTGTGCCCAAGCCCCAACGCCTTATTGCCTGAAGTACGGGCCAAGGAAGCTACCTACATCTGTTCCCTACACCGTGTGAATCATGTCCGCCGATGCTTTGACTGCGCACATAACTCGCCGACTCAGCGCAGTAGAGCCAGCACGCAACAAGAATGAAGACGACAGCAAGCGGTTGAGCGACGCCATTGGCGATCTCCTGGCCATTGGTAGCCGTGTCGCCGATGAGGCACATGCGTGAGTGCATTCGGTAAACTGGCACGAAACTGGCGATGCGATCCCTGAACTCAGAGCTCAGATATACACCTTCAAAGACATTCCAGCCAAGCTCAAAGAGTACCGAAAAAAGAACCTGAAACGATGGCTCTCAATCGACGGCGCTCTATTCAGAGCAACGTGTGGTGGAGATGTGGCTATCGTGTACCTCATTGATCATCGTCATCGGTGGAGATAGAATAACTGATTGATTGATTGATTGATTGTATTTAACGTGGGGGGTAGCTCCTCAGTAGTGCAAACTACGCCTCCCAGAGCCTCTGTATCGCAGGGTTATGGAGGTCTCAAGATAATAAGTACAGTCAGTCCCGCTCACGGGCCCATCCCCGTTGTTGTGGCGGTATGACCTTGGGGTCATCCATCTGGTCTTTCAAGAAAAGCTATCTATCGGGGGCAGATTATTGAAAAGAACTTGCTCTTCTTTATGAATTTTGTTTATTCTGTGCTCCTCTCTCCTAAGTATTGTAAACAAGCTATCTTAGGCGAGTACCTAGGCAGCAGCTGGTTTTTTCCTAGCCTCTTACAAAAGAAAATATGTTATGGTGTTTTCTTTTCACCATAGCTGTAGTGATCATTTGAGTCTGTATGCCCAAAGCGTTCATGGTATCTGGCAAAGTCGCCATGTCCAGATCTGGCTGCTAAAAGTCTGTATAAAGTACTCCTCTTAAAAGATATAAGGTCTCTTTCAGTTATTATATGTGAGTATATTTCTTGATATCTAGGTTCTGATTGGTCTTTTTACCATTAGTTGAACTCTTTCTTGCCCTTTCTTTTGAGATCTCTCTTGACCCAAGAGATTATAAAAAGGTTTGTTGTGTCTGTTTCTAATATGGTACTCTCTTTTGTTAGTATATTAATAGTTTCATTGCTATCAATATCTCTGTGTCCAGGAATCTACTTGACGGTCACTCCAGGAGTGTGTGCTGTGACAAGTTCTTGAAATCGTAGAAAAATGTTCTGTGATGTCTTGGGTGGAGTCCTATTGAGCCCATCTATCACTGACGTGTTGTCCAGGCAGACATATAGCTATTTTCTGTGTCCAATTGCCCTGGCTGTTACAAGACTTTGGAAAGCATTATGGACTTCAGTATCTACTACTTCTGCTTGGAGAAGTCTGTCCTTTCCCCGGTATACTTCTTGTGTAGTGCCGCCTTTCCTGATGGTATAACCCCATCCAGTGCGGATTATGCCTTGGTCGTCCAACTATGATCTATCTGAATAAATGACAAGGTTAGTGTTCATGTTTCTCTCCTGTAGCCATTGCTTTAAGAGCTTTGTTTCTTTGTCTTTGTCTTTACGGATTGGGGGCTTTTTTTATGATGGCTTGGTAAGTATTGGTCTCTGGAAGTCAGGGACTAGCTGGAAGCTCCTTTGTAACCTTGTTGGATTCTTGTGAGCTTGTATTTAGAGCCTGCCAATAAGAGGGTGTCTCTGGTCTATTCATCCTAGTCAGAGGCCGTGACGTCGTCTTATTAACTCTGCAAGAACTCCTGCTGGGGGAATCTACGATTCAAAGTATAAGATATGTCCAGGGTGTGTTTTCCAGACTGGCAAGATAGCCCTGATCGCTGTTCGTAGTACGGCATCTATTGTTCCAAGAAGCCCCTTAATGCGATATGCTGATGTCCCACCTAAGCTCCCAACTTTCTCGATTCCTGGGTACCAGGCCTCTAGGCCGTGTGTAAGAATAGGAATAACACAAGCTTTCATAACCCTCTTGATTGACTTTACTGGAAGTCCTTTGACTGTGTTGCATAGTCCTTGAAGATAATTTGTTACCTTATTAGCTTTCTTGGCCCAGTAAGAAACGTGATTTTTGAAGTTTAGTTTTCTATCCAGGGAGACACCCAGCCATCACATGGAGTCCTTTGCTGTTTTGTTTATTGTCCTGTGGCAGACTGGAGGGTTGTCTGAGTTCTTTTTCCTTGAGAAGTGCATGATCTCAGTTTTGTCAGGGTCAAATTCAATAGTGTTGTTATATCCCCATTGACTGAGCAAGTAAAGATTTTCAGAAGTCTCTATAGCTGTTTCTTTAAGGCTCTTTCTAATGCAGAGAGTCGCTAGGTCGTCTATATATCCAAAACGTCTCTTTTTCATACCAAGTCGGGCACAGATTGGCTCTATACAGCATGTAAAGGATTGGAGAGGCTGGTGAGCCTTGTGGTAGCCCACAAGTGAGAGCTTTAATATCGGTTACAATATCTTCAAACCGAACCCTTGCGGACCGCTCAGACATGAATGATTGGACCCATCTTATGAGAAAGCCCGGCCAGCCCTGTTCTCTCATGCGAACCATCAGCAGTCCCATTAGGGCAGCATCAAAGGCCCCTTTCACATCTGACGTGACTACCATTACAACGAGGCCTTGGTCGAGGGCCTGCTCAATATCGTGTATGAGTGCAGCTACCAGGTCAGTGGCAGAGCGCTTTGGTAGAGCTCCAAAATGTTGTGGAGCTAGAATTCCAAGTTTGACAACAAACCAGGTAATTCTTTTCGCGATGAGTTATTCTAGGCCTTTGCCAAGACACGACAGTAACAATATTGGTCTGTAGGCCCTGGGATTGGAGTAGTCTTTCTTTCTTAGTTTTGGGATCATCACTACCTCAGCTACTTTGAATGGTTCAGGGTGGTGTCCAATCTGTAAACAGGTCTGGAAAAGGGCTCTGATATGTTCCACAATGAATGGCCAGCAAGCTTTCAGAATCCCTACTGTGAGGGTATCTATTCCCGGGGAGTTGCTCTTGGTCCCTAAAGTGCACCCTTCAGCCTCTTCCAGTCCGACATGGTATTCAAGGGGGATGTGTGGCTTGGGTTGTATGATCTGAGCGGACCAGGGGTCGATGATATCGTTGTCTGAGGTACTTCATTCAAGCGTGGCTAAACGTAGTGCATTTGCCTTGCTTTCTTGTGACTCGAATATTTGGTCTCCTATGATGATTAGGGGGGAACGCAATCCTGTTAATAGCTTGTGCTAAGAGACGATTCTGTATAGGTCCTTTGGCTCAGTTGCTGAATTGATTAGAGTCTGCCAGTATTCTCTCCTAGCTTTCCGAACCACGCGGCGAAATTCCCGTCGGGCTGAATTCCGCCCTTCTTGGCTTGTAGTCTGTTTGGAAAGGGCCCTGTATGTCTGAACAGCTGCTTTGCAGTTACAATCTCCTTCAGATCAAAACAACGCGTCAATCACCCTTCGACTTCACCACTCTCAACACCGCAATTAATAATAGATTTACGATCTTTTGGAGACAAACTGAGCGGCAATCGCGTCGTTAATGGCGAATTCACTTCAGAAGCTCGCTTAACAATTGTGGTGGCGCGAATCGACGGCAGAACGCACAGGGATATTGCAACCGCGTTCAAAACGAAACGCCTGAAAATCATCTCTGATATCACCACTAACTTTGAGGCCACCACACCAAAATGTGCCTCAAGGAGTGGTCGTCCACCCGTTTTGAACACTCGCAAACGCGCTCGTGTGATCGAGAAGGCAAGAGAGCTCCCCAGGGCGACGTGGCAAAAGATCCGAAATGAAGCCCACGTTTCATGCTCTCCCAAGACTATCAAGAGGATATGTCATGCACACGGCCCCCAGAAGTGGCGCGCAGCAAAGCGAATCAAGCTCACGGATAAGGATGCTCAGAAGAGGCTCACTTTCACCAATTATTACAGCATACCAGAACACCTAGAGGAGTTATTGCGAGCCATGTTCTCAGATAAATATACGGTCCAAAACTCATCCGATAATCCAGGCGATTGGGCCATCCAATTCTCTTCAGAGCGGTACTGTTATGATCTCGTGAACGAGACGGATCACGGCAAATCTCGTATTTCAATAATGGTGTGGTCTATGATCTGGCTACGCGGCGGAGAAGGAGGACTAGGCAAGTTGGTCTTCTGCCCACTTGATCCGGATGCTCCGCGCAGAGGAGTATCCGCAGAGTCATACAAATGGGTTCTTGAGGAAGGCCTGCTTCCGGTCTACGAGGCTAGAGATCCTTTTGTTCAAAATAACGCAAAAATTCACCTCACTGGCGGTGTTCCGGAGTGGATAGAGGAGCACGGCATCCACTGTATCGACTGGCCTCCTCACAGCCCCGATATGAACCCAATCGAGCACGTTTGGCGACTTCTGAAGAAGAACATACGTGAAATCGAGCCTGAATTTTCTGAATTGAAGGATAATATCCCCCATTATCGCTACGCACACGAGTTAATTGAGCAGGCGTGATCAGAGATCGATCCGGAGCAGGTTCGGGCCTTGATGGAGTCACTGGAGGACCGAATAGCTGCAGTGAGGCGCGCCGGTGGTTGGTATACACACTATTGACTTAGTTATTAAATACAATTTATTTGAGAATTCTATCACCAGAATTAGATGCGTTATGGTTCAATTGAGTTGGAGGGTATAGTAGATGGAAGGGGTAAAATTGGGGATCGGGCGGAGACTTTTGTCCACGCATTGTACCAACCCACTGTAATTTAGGTATTTAGATACTTCTCGGATGGGATCCTTCCCATCCGAACGTAACCAAGCACCAACCAGAATACACATCATCACAACCAAGACTTGTGGAAGATCTCTGTTCTGGTTCCGCTACCACAAAGGCACACTGCTACAAGCCTGCGCAGAATCGATTTCATTAGCCTCTTAATCAAGCGCTTATTGATCTCTGCCCACGTGTGCTCGATTATCTTCTTCGTGTATGCCTCGTTACTCAAATTGTCTTTCAGATCTTGAAATTGAGGCTCTACTTTGTCTATCTTGCGCTTTAGAGCGTTCCAAATGTGCTCGATCGGGTTCAAATTGGGCGAGTGAGGCGGCCAGTCGATGGTCCAGATATCGTGCTCCTCCAGCCATCTCTTGCACGCGTTCAAAGTGTGAATGGGGACATTATCTTGCATATAAGGGCCTTAGGCCCATAAAAAAATAGTAATCCTTTCTTCAAAGATTTTAAATATAACTTCGTAGTCATTCTGTCGTAAAGAGAGTCCGGATCGCTTTTCATTATTACTAGCTTGCCTTTACCACCTTTGCTGTTACGTAACCAGATCATACCACAAACTATGATAGAGATTTTGGCTTTAACGTGTTCTTGCCGGTTCACAAGGTCGTTTTGATACTTTTTGGATAAGAGACGGATGACTTAGGAGCCTAAAAAATCGGGTAAAGTTTTTATTGTACACTTGTCTGAATAAAGGGTGTTTAAAAAGACCGACAATCTTTCATTATTGTTAAATTGGCGTACAATTTATAAGTCTCTTGTGAGCACCTTTAGTAGTGAGCTCAATTCACTTCGCAGCGTGTCATTTCCTCAAGTTGTTGCGGTCTAGGAAGTGCCAGAGGGTGGCAGAGCTCGCTGGCGTGCCTCCCTGCATACGGAGGTCCCCGTACGAGTTTCTGGGCTTCCGGCGAGCCGGTTGAATGATGTGAGTGGCTTGCCGGCCTTGAATAACCTGGGGACGTCGTTCATGAGGCCTCCGCATGAAGATTTGTTGCTCTTTAAAGCGTTTGATCTGGGTAGCTACCATGGCGCGACGGCAACAAAACGCGCTGGCCACGGCCGTCTTGGTCGCGCCGCCCACCACGGCTCCGCACATGAACACGCGAGATTCTGAAGTGAATTCATCGTTTTTGCCGCGGTTTTTGCTTAGGGCAAACCCGAATTCGTGTAATTTGTCCATTATTTGACTGCGTTGTGGTTATTTAAAAGAAGAGGGTGATGGTGGATTGATTTTTGACGCGTCTGTGGGGCGTTGGGTGTACGCATAATATTGGTGGGTCAGTATACACTGAACCTCTAAAAGTACCTCCTTCCGTGCCTTATCTATACATCCCCCGTTTAGCAAGCGAGAGGTATATTTATTGTAAATAAGCGCTTTGGGAAAAGCCTCAAGTATACCTGCCAACTGAATCAAATCTTCTTATTCCAGGTTACTTATTCCATTCATACGAGTGTAGCATAAATATCCATGAGTTGACTGGGGCATAACGGACGGAGACTCATGAATGGTGGCCGTATCCCTTCGGGGCACTGCGGCTTCTCCCAACGCTTTCGAGTCGCGAGCACGCAATTAAGCGTTCTCTCTGCGGAAGTTTTACGAAGATGATTTTCATCTTAGATAAGATACGACTGCAGCCCGATGTCCGCCTTTACATATCGTGACCCCCATTCGACTAGCCAGTTCCCATTGGGCAGAGGCCGGGCTGGTGAGTGGACGCCGCCGGCATGCATGAGCGATGCCCTGGTCCCCAATCGACGGTGGCAGTGCTGGGAGCATCAGTCTGACCGTCCGAACGTAACGGTGGCACAGCATGAGACTTGTCAGATTACCCTCTCATCAGTACAACAACATCTAGACTTTCTTCCTGCAATAACTCCACAGCTGCAGAGTATTTGACATCTAGGTATCTGAGCAAACATGGCCGCAACCTTCGATTTGAAGCGGCTGAATGCCGCTATCGACACAACCCCGATCATCGACAATCACGCTCATCCATTGCTAAAGCTCGAATACATGGGCAAACACCCACTTCTCTCCATCGCTACTGAAGCCAATGGGGATGCGCTTGATGACACCTGGTCCAGTCTTGCTCACGTCCGTGCCGTGAAGCAGCTGGCAGGCCTTCTGGGCTGCGAACAGACATGGAATGCGGTGGCAACCGCCATAGACCTGAAACGGGCAGAATCACCAGATGCGTGGGTGCGACAGTGTCTCGAGGGGATTGAGACCATACTTGTTGACGACGGGCTAGACATGCCGGATCAAGTGGAGAACTACTCATGGCACGACTCCTTCACCAAGAGCAAATGCAAGCGCATCGTCAGAGTCGAGGCAGTGGCGGAGGACATAATCGGCCGCCATTGCAACACCGCCTCAAATGCAGAAGGGGAATCTCATCTACAGGGTGTCTTGCAAGAGTTCAGAGAGGCAATCGAGCGATCCATTGCGGACCCCGAAGTAGTCGGATTCAAGTCCATCATCTGTTACCGAGGCGGTCTGGATATCATCTCAAGAGAGGATCTTGGTATTGATGGCTCAAAGGAAGCACTTAGAGCGATCATGAAAGCTCACTTGAGCGGAGAACGCCCGTTCCACCTGCACAAGAAGTTGCAGCATACTCCCCTGAACCACCTCATCGTTCATATGACAGCGCAATTCATCAGCGAGGATCGTGCCGTCCACAAGAAGCCCATCCAGTTCCACACGGGTCTTGGCGATAACGACATCACCCTGATGAAGTCTTCACCATCCCACCTACAGACCTTCATTCGGCAGTACCCGACGGTACCCATCGTGATACTTCATGCAAGTTACCCTTGGACCAGAGAAGCCGGTTATCTTGCAGCAATGTACAGCAACGTCTACGCTGATATTGGGGAGGTGTTCCCCTTCCTCAATCGCCAGGGCCAAGAGGGCGTCGTGAGACAGATACTCGAATTGTGTCCTTGGTCCAAGATTCTATGGAGTACCGATGGTCACTGGTTTCCAGAGACATACGTACTAGCAACGGTGCAGGTTCGCTCTGTTCTCAAGAGCGTCAGTACCTGTGGACCTTCTGCTGGTAAATGAGGTGTGCTGACGTACTGATAGATTATGGGAGAGTTGGTGCAAACCCGACAAATCGATGAGAAACAAGCAGTCCAACTAGTCCAGGATATCCTGTTCACGAACTCCAAGAAGCTGTACGATCTTCATGTCGAAACTGTCCTGCCGACTTTTCCGCAGTTGGCCGCTACTCCATGTACTGCCCTGCCACAAAATACTGTTCTTGGGCGACTTCGTGCATCAGGTGCCAAATACCTGCGCATCTATTGGCACGACTACACGTCCAGCGCCAGATGCAGATTCATCCAGATGAAACAGGTCTACAAGACCATGGAAAGCGGCAGGCCTATGACACTCTCACTCGCAAGATGTTGCTTCGGCCTGCTTCAAACAGACAAGATGATCCCTCAGGTCAATGCGACTGGGATGTACACCATGCACCCAGACTGGTCGACTCTCAAACTCGGACCAGTCGCTGGTCATATCAGCTGCTATGGCGAGTTCAGGGAGCTCGACGGCTCGGAAGCAACACTGTGTCCTCGGACGATCCTTCGCAAGTCCATCGAGAAAGCAGCCGCAAACAACCTGACATTCTTACTTGGCTTCGAACTCGAGTTCGTCATCCTGGAGCGCAACCCTGATACGAGCAGCCCGGATAGATATAAGCCTCTGAACAATGAGGGACAAGCCTGGTCGATGGCCAGGGTTCTAGCCGACTGGGGTAGTGAAGGCAGCTTCACTACGGCCATTGACGAGGTATTAGATCGCCTCGAAAAAGCCGACATCTCAATCGAGCAGTTTCACCCAGAGAGCGGCACCGGGCAGTACGAGCTCGTGCTCGGAGCGCTGCCACCCATGGAAGCCTGCGATACCTTACTGCATATGCGCCAAATCCTCGAGTCCGTCGCGGCTCGCCATGGGTTCCGCATGACGCTCCATCCGAAACCCTTCGCCAAAACCGTCGGTTCCGCATCTCATTTGCACATGTCCATCTCGTCTCCGGGCGGCAACGAAGCAAAGGTCTACGAGTCGTTCTACGCCGGCATCTTGAAGCACATCCGGGCCATCATCGCAATCACCTACAGCAACCCCACGAGCTATGAGCGCATGGTCGACAGTTTCTGGGCGGGCGGCCGGTGGGTGACGTGGGGGACGCAGAACAAAGAAGCCCCCTTGCGCAAGTGCGAGGACAGCCACTGGGAGCTGAAGGTGATTGATGGTCTGGCCAACCCCTATTTCGTCGTCGCTGCCCTGCTCGCAGCTGGGACGGATGGCGTCCTCAATAAGACACCCATGATGTGGCGCGATTGCGCTCACGATCCGGCAAAGCTGAATGATGCGGAGCGGAAGGAACTTGGCATATCGACCATGTTTCCCGCGGACTTGAAGGAAGCGCTGCAAGCTCTGAAGGACGATGAGGAGCTCGGCCAGTTACTTCATCCGGACTTCATACAACGCTATGTTGATGTCAAGACCGCAGAACTTGGGCTCTTCGATTCTATGAGTGCTGAGGATCGCCGTCGGTGGGTTCTGGTGAGATATTAGGCATGAAAGGTCGCCATTTCGCAACAACTTTGTTCGGTACCATTGTTGGGATGATTTGTATGGCCCGTCAGTATTCTACACTGTTTGCCCATTCTCCTCGTAGTTCGCTCATACGTGGATACTGCAACCTTGCTTACATTCATCCATTGATGTAGCGAATACAGATGAACCTTCTCCGACCTTTCGTATTGAGTCTCACCCGAGTTGAATGTAAGAAGGTCAGATAACACACCACGAATCAACTTCACTGAGTTCAACCCATCATAATCTAATCTTGATCTTCGTCCATACATAACTCAATGGGATGACCAACACTTACAATGTGTACCCGGGCCTTCTGATGTGGAAAGACCTATTCATCTCAATTCCAATGCGAACTACAGCAAAAGAACATGGATTGGATCACAATGCGGCATCTTGTTTTTACGTGATAATGCGCAGAGGTTTCTCTCCCTTCCCCAAAGCACATAAGTGAATCTCTCTGACTATGAAGATACCCCCCTTTTCTTCTCTCCTTTCTGGTCAACGGTCAGGGGTAACAAATAATCGGCAATACAACACATAGCTTCTGACAACCGATTTATATCCCTCGGACTCGCCGTCCCTCGCTACACGACGGGGACTCATCGCTTCTTCTTGGCTTTCAACAAGCCCCTATCCGCCACGATGGGGGGTTCTCAATCGGCAAATCTTGCTACATGGCTTTTGGTGCTGTCCACGCTTTCTTGTGGCGCTCTCGGATTAGATACGAGTAACGGCCAGTCTACCATGCCATGAGACACAGCATATGGGATAACATATCATGTGAATATCAGCTAACGAGTGGCAGGGTCGTCGCTTGCAGCAACTGCGTCGCCACTGCTTCCCACGGTTATAGACTGTATCTTCGAGGACGTCACGCAGTATGTCGTCGAATTTCCCGCAAGCACGACTGTCATCGATGGCGTCGTTACGACAGCACCCCCTTGGACGACCCTGTTCTCCACTACGATGGTCACCTCCACATACGTAAATATGAGCGCCTGTCCTGCCGTAGTGCCCACTCCGATCCCCGTCATTTCCAGCTTCACTGGACTTCCTCCGTCGACATCTGCTTGTACTATTCCTACCATAGTTGCCGGCAGCCAGCCTGGAACTACCAGCGGTGTTGTGACCTCAGTCGTAGGCTCAATCCCTATATCCACCCTTATTTCCACACCTGTTTCGATCCCTACTTCGGTCCCTACTTCGACCTCTCCTGGCTCCGGAAATGCTACGACTCCGTCGGCTGGTGGGTTCGTGACGATTATCCCTATACCGGGCGCTGCTCCTACAACGGTTTCCTTGATACCCGGTGAAGTTAGAATTATCTCCCTTCCAGCGGGTCTATTAACGACGATTTCTGCACCTGGGGGTGAATCGCTGACAGCCGTACCGACCTTTTCGACAAGTTCGCAGCCTGCGACCAAGTCACCCCAAAGCTCGTCTACCCAGCAAATGACGAGTAGTGATGCCTCTTCCAACGATACCATGATCATTATTCCTCCAGTCTCTCCCACCACGTCCCCAAATGGAGAATCGACAGTTATTCCACCACCTGTGACGGGGACGAGCACGTCCTCGTCTACAGGTGGGATCATCATCCTGCCTCCTGGTGGACTCGGCGGAGGTGGTGGTGGTGGAGGTGGTAACCCGACAGGCGGTCCTCCTCCCGTGACGTTGCCGTCGGATTCGCCCTCTGGAACCATTAGACCTTACCTCACGGGTATTTCGCCAACGATGAGTCCTTCTTCTGGGATAAGCGATACTATAATCACGTCGCCTGTCTCCCAGACGAGCCCTCTACCCACGGTTTCTGCTACGATTAGTAACGGGACCATCATCATCTTTCCTCCAGGTTGTGGAGGAGCTGGTGGTGGAGGAGCTGGTGGCGGCGGAGGTGGAGTTGTCCCAACCATACCGCCAGATCCTCCAGGCGGCGGAGGAGGTGGTGGTGGCGGGGGTGGAGTTGTCCCAACCATACCTCCAGGTCCTCCAGGTGGCGGTGGTGGTGGCGGGGTTGTCCCAACGATACCTCCAGGTCCTCCAGGTGGCGGTGGTGGTGGAGGTGGGAGTGGTGGAGGTAACCCTAAGACACCTCCAGGTGGTGAACCTACGACACCACCAAGTGGTAAAGATCCCACCACAGCACCCGTCACAGGTCCCACATCGCCTACATTACCTAGCACAGCTCCCACGGGCTCCGCAACCTGTGAGCCCGTCGATATTACGACGACTGGCACTTCCACTTCGACGACAAGTACGACATCAACACCAACGCCTCTCTGTACCGGCCTTTCAAAATTCTCACGGCACATGGTAACAGTTGATGGGGTAGAATACTACGTGCCCGCTACGGGCGACCCCCTTTATATCATGCTCAACGATGCCACTGGTACGGAAGTCAAGATCGCACCCGACCAAGTCGTCATCAGCGATGCCGTGTTCACCGTCCCTACTGACCCTCTTCCCTCGCCTTCTGAGGTGACCCAGGGCAACTACAAGATCAGTTTCCGGTCCAGACCTCTGCCTACGCCGTCCCTGCAACCGGCCAATTCACCTGCTGGGCGCGATTTTGCGCTTGGAGTTGCCAACGATTATATCAAGTTCTCTGACTTGATGACCGCGCCGGTTGCCCAACTGTTCTCTCTCGTATTTGACTTGTTTGCGCGGTACGACGCACCGCCCGGCTACGACGTCTTTGACTTCCTCGGCTTCGAAGATGAGGTTCTCGACGCCGTGCAAGCTGCTGCGGCCAATCTGACCTCGATGTTCGACGAAAAGCGTCAGGGGGCATTCGAGGGTTTTCTGCACCAGATCTCGCTCCTGGATGGACCAGAGGACGAGGACCCAGACCCTACTGATGGACCCGGTGACGGCGGCCGGAACTCATGCGAGGGTCCAGATTCTGGAGATGCTGGTGGAGGCGACGATAATCAGCCTGACGACCAGCCTTCGGCCGCCAAGTACATCGACACGGTCTACTCGGGCCAGCCGGGCATCCAGAATCTCTGCCAGAGGGCCCCGTGGAGATCGGAGGGACTGCTGAACGTCGTTCGGTTCTTGGCTCGAGAGGACTGGACATCCCGCCCGCAATTGCTCACATTTTTGAAGAACCACAAGTCAAGCTACAGTAGGTTATATCTCGACTCCCATCCTCCTGCTGTTTCAGTTATGCGCAGGATATCTAATCCCTGCTAATCTTGAGTTTACCCCTGAGACACAAGACTGCAACCCCTTAATATTGACCCATTTCTATCAGAGTGGTGGTTGCTAACTCTTGGTCTTGCAGTGTCCAACCAGCCTCAGGGGGTCGAAGGTCTCACCAGCGGCGGAGGTGTCTTGATCTCCGGAGCCACAGCATTCCACGTAGTATCGCGAGTGGACATGTCCAACACCACTGAACTATTCGGAAATCGCAGCTGGTACGTCAAGACGGATGGTACCAGGGCTCCGCTCTGGTATTTCAATTCGACGGTTGCATTCATGGACGCGGGTACTGGATACACAAGCGGCACCGATATCATCGACCAAGACGGCATTGACCAGAGTACCGGGTATGCCTACCTGAACGAAATGGATATGGCCCAGGGTTATCCTATGGCGTACGCCTTGCAAAACTGGGACTATCTGAAGCAAACACCCAGCCTTTGGTTCTGGGTCTACCTGCACCCGACCTATGAAGAAGAGGCACCCCGACGAGCTCTCTACGGAGTAGAGCCTATATATGACGACCCTCCAGAGCCCCGGACGCAGACGCGGAAGCGGTCCAGGCCTCTCGGGAAGTCAGCAAACACCACGGGTTTGAAGCATCTCCAACGCCGAGCCCGAATCGACGAGGACCTCCCACCCGCCTTTGAACACCAGCTACTGATCTCAGCCAGGGAGAAATACCCGATGGACGTCCAGATGTATTCCCGAGATGGTTCAGACGGCGCGGGCGTTACTATATTCGTCATCGACTCTGGATTTGATTTGTCAGGCGGCAATGTGAGTCTGCAGCCACACCATTTGTTAAACACGGGAGACATGATCTAACAAATGAGGCAAAACAGGCCCAAGAATACCAGATCCCAGAAAACGACTTCCTTGACCACCCGGACCAATACTCCTACGTAGTTCCGAACAGGCTAACTCGGCTCTTTAACCGGAATAATCAAGCCAGCTGGCTGCGTGAAGAGATCGGCGACTCCTGCGTAAGCCCCTGCAATTTTATAAGACCCCTAAAGCTGACCAGACTAATCCTAATTTCCGCACATTATAGACTTACAACGGTCAATTCGTCGGACATGGCACACAAGTGGGTGCTCTCGCCTTTGGCCGTAAGGTAGGGCTTGCGAAGAACGCGATACCCTTCCTTGTGAAGGCCGTAAACGGATATGTCGACAGCGACGGGGTCGTCAAGGGCGCGTATCTCTCTCCCGATGCAATGGATGATGCCCTCACGAAGATCGAGCAAATCATAGTCAGGCGAGGCCTTCAGGGCAACGCCGTGATTTCATCATCACTACGTGAGTTCCGTCCCAACAGAGAGTGAGTGAGTCTTACCAGCTGACGGTCCGCAGACACCGATTACTGGGCGACCCCCCAGGACTACGAGGTTATCCGCGCGATGTACGCGCGGCACCTGACCACGCTACGGGACTTGGGAGTAGTTTATGTGCAAGCCGCCGGCAATGATGGGTACAACCCAGCACTTCCTGGTGCGAACGTCAACTATATCGGGTGGCGACTCCCCGGCGGGCTCGGTGATCCCGTTGTAAATGTAGGCGCCACGTACAAGAACGGTGCAATGTGGGAATAGACATGCCCAGCTGGCATCCCAGGCGATGACTCCTACGCACAGGTAGACATCTGGGCACAGGGCTACAGGGTCCCGACCGTCGGCCTGGGAGGAGCCGAAGCGACGGCGACCGGGACCAGCTTCGCGGCACCTCAAGTGGTCAGTCCCTCTGCTGCTCACAGAAACCGTCCAACTGACACGCATACAGGCCTGGCTCGCAGCCTATTTGATAAGGATGAACCGGGACGCGTTCAGATGGCAGCGGCGGGGAAGACAAGATCAGGGGTACCTGATGGTGCTGAATATCAGAAATCTGCTTATGGGCTGGCCATACCGGCGCATACCCATGAGCCAGCAACTGAACCTGCCGGCTGGCCAGCAGTTACCCTATCCCATGCCACACGATGTCAACGTCGCCTACAACGGCATCCACGGCGTACAGCCAAGTAAGCCAGCCTGTCCATCCATCCACCCCGCTCTCGTCCCCTCCTTGAAAGACAGCAACTAACCCGCCATGATCCCAGGCTATCCCGAGCCAGCGGCGCTCCCAGCAGGGGGGTCAGCAGGCCAAGCCCACGCCAGAATCGACCCGAACGACGAGGGCTATTTCTGCCCGATCGATCCCGTCGGCAGACCCACCGCCACCCTGACGGGGGCCACGACACTGGCGACGTCGACGGTGCCGGCGGCCTCGTCGACCACGCCCACGGCGTCGCCCGCCCCCACGACGTACTACAGCGGGCCCAACGTCCAGGGCTGCGCCAACGACGAGTGCAACCAGTGCGCCGACGGTTATACGCAGGAGTGTTCTACCGCTTTTGAAGGGGTTCGGGTTCTGCTTTTGCAAGTGGAGTTCGGGCTGTACTGACGGCGCTCCCAACCGAGGTATGTTCCCTTCCGTTCCGCGATCAATCACCGGAGCCATCCACCAGTCATGGGGTTATCCAAGAGAGAAGCAGAGAAGAAGAGAAGCTAATTCAGTCCGAAAACAGGCGAGTGCAATACGCCGTTTCCCAACAAGGGAGACACCCGGATCTGTAACACGGACGCCAACATCCTCGGTCTCTACACATATCCCTTTGGGTGAGTCCTACCTACCCCCCCCCAATCCAGAGAAGCCCCTGGCGGCTCCTTGTGTTCGCCTGCTAACCTCTTCCGCAGTCGCTGCGATTGTAAGAGAGATGACTGTATCCATCCTGAGGACTGACAGGACATCATCATATGTCCGGATGGCGTGGAGAAGACTTGCCAGCTTGATGATGTCCATTCGGGCTTCTGTACCTGCGAGTATACCTAGAATACGCGCTGATGGCAAGCAAGAGCCGAGGAGAATTGTAGGACTATATCAAGAAGATGTCCTCATGATGACAGTATTTACTTCGGTACAGGCAGAATAGACATCTACCAGCCAACGTACTATACCAGAAGACAAATATACAATACCAAGAGATAGGTATTCACCGTACTACTCCAAGACCTACATGCCTAGGGAACATATCTTTTAGAGGGTTGGGAAGGTGGCCGTGGTTCATTGACTGTTTATTTAACCAGCGACCAGCATCTTCGAGGCTTCTGCGGAAGCCCCTTTCTGAGATTGACACAAAGATTCATTCCCAGAATGGATTTGACAGAATGATCGTCAAGGGTAAGCTATTGTCGGCACACGATACCACGCAAACCGCCTGTCGCTGAAAAGCGGCGGGAAAGCGGCGGGAAAGCGGCTGGAAAGCGGCGAATCAGTCTCCAGCTCCGCTCCGCGGGACTCTAAGCAGTAATGCTCGAGGTATCAAAGATTAGCAAAAGATATCAAGGGAAGTACAACGGCAGCATTTGTAGGGAGTGAAGCATGATCTCATTCAGCGCAACATCGTGTCATAATACTTATGAGAAGCTGAACACCCTAAGCCATGCTCATGAATGCATTAGCGTTAATCAAACGTAGTCTTCTTGCCCTCAGACTTGACGACAGCACCCGTCAAGTAAGACGCAACATTCTCATCACCATACGTCGGCTTCTTCTTCGGTGCCCTCTTCTCGACAGCCGCATTGCCATCCTCTCCCGAAGTCGCCGCTGGTTGCCGTCCTTCGCCATTCCGCTGCGGCCTCTCCGGCCTGTCCGGCCGATCCTTGCCGAATCGCTTCCGATACCTGACCTGGTCATCCTCGGCGAAGGCGATCTTCAGCTCGCGGCCGCGTAACCTGTTGACCCACCACTTGCGCATCTTGAACTTCCGCTCCTGCTTCTCCTGGCCGTCGCCGTCAGCGTCCGCCTCAGCGTCGTCGCGGAAGTCGTCCTCCGTCTCGATCTCCTCCTTGATCTTGACAAAGCCCTTGACGGCCCACTCAGCCGCCTCGGCATCCTTGAACTTGACCCAGCCGAAGCCCTTGCACTTCCCGCTGTCCTCGAACGTGGCGACCTTGGACCACTCGATTTCGCCGCACTTCTCGAACTGCGCCCACAGGTCGTTCTCGTTGGTCTGGAACGAGAGGTTGCCGACGTAGATCTTGCGACTTGTGTTCTTCTTCGCCGCCGCAGCCGCCGCAGCCGCCGCCGCGGCATCCGTCGCACCGTCGCCGTTCTCCGCTGTGGCCTGGCTGCTCTCCTTCGCCGGCCGGCCCTCAAACGAGTTCGAGTTCTTGATCAGGACCTTGCGCCCGTCGATCTCCGTCTCCGTAAGCGCCATGGCGGCAACGGCCGCGGCCGCGACGTCGAAGTCCACATATGCAAAGCCCCTGTTCTGCGGCTTCGGCTTCTCCTCCCCGCCCTCACCCCTCCGATCCCGCGGCGCTTTACTCATGGGTAGGTTGACGCGCGTGATGTTCTCCTCCTTGATGACGCCGCCGGATCCCTCGACGAGCCACCTGAAGAGCTCGACCCGCGTGACGGTGAACGGCAGGTTGCCGATCCAGACGCCGTGGTCTGAGCGCTTGTTCTTCTCCTTCTTGCCCCCCTTGGCTATGGGCAGTCCGTCTTCATCGTTCTCGGCGTCGCTGTCGGGTTTTACCGGGAGTGGCTTGCCCTTCTTGAGTAGGCGCTTGGCTTTCTTGGACGGCGGTTCGGGCAGCTCGAGGTCGACCTCGATTTCGTCGACGGAGGACTTGCGCTTCTTGGAGGTGGTGGGCTCGGCCGGTGAGGCGGACCGGGCTATTTCGGCAGTGGCCATTTTGACTTGCAGAAATGGCCAAAAAGACAGAATGGTTCCAGTCGTTGATTGCTCGGGTTTTCGTCTCTTGAAAGGCGGTGGCCAATTAATGGAGGGACTGTCACAGAAAGTTTTTCTGGGGCTGATAAGATAAGAAACATAAAATGCGACGGACGTAGATTATGTACTTAATGAGTTTAACGCACTTATAGGGGTGTCTAGGTACAGACCTCGAGTGATACGACATCTTTTACGAACGCAATTTTGCGACGTACTTGGTTCATGATCACAGTTCTCGATCTCGTAAATCTTATGAGGTTCAGATCATTCTCCCTGTCCTGCTGAGATATCCCCCTCTGTTCATATTCTCCGGCTACCCATCTTATGAGGTAGTGCCTTTTCAGAGTAGTGACATCAGGTCAACCTCCCGCGAGCCTACCTCACTCATGCCTCCAGCCCTCATCCTCCCGACTAACAACCACCTCATGCACATCAACCCTCCCCTCCACGATCTCCCTTCCATTAACCAAATCATTCTCATCCGCCCTCCTGCCCGCCTCCTCCGCATCCCCCGCAATCCCCGCCCTCACATGCCTCCTCACGAGCCTCTCCCGCGCGACCCCAAACCCGACATCCACAAACCAGCGCTGGTCCATCAGCGCCGCCGCCGCGCGCCATGGCTCCTTGTCCAAACAAACGTAGTTGCCCTCGAACACGACGATGCGGTGCTCGGGTAGTATGGCGATGTCGTCGGCCTTGGGGTCCTTGACGGCGTGGTCGAAGGACGGCACGAGGATGGGCGCCGTGGCGGGCGTCAGGGGCGCGCGCAGCGCCTGCACGAGGGTCAGGAAGGCGGCGCCGTCGAAGGTGAATTCGGCGCCGCGGCGGGCATGCGCGTTGGCTGGGTCAGGCAGCGCCGAGAGCTGCGCGCGCGTCAGGTGGTAGCCGTCCATGGGAACAAAGGCCGCGACGGGGACGGCCTTGGGGACTTCGGGGTGCAGGATCGCGTGCCGGGCGTTGAGGGCCTGGGTCACCATTTGGGAGAGCGTTGTTTTGCCTGGGATATGTCAGGTCTTTTGACATGCCTTCGAGGGCCGCCGGTTGATGGATTTGGTCCGACATGAGCACGGTAAGTACTCGAGTGAGTTGGCTGGCTTACCTGAGCCTGGTATGCCGCCTATCGCGATCACTGAGAGCTGTTAGAACTGGCTTTCCGTTTTCAAAAGGTGTCATGACTTCGGGTTGTCTAAAGCTCTTGACAGTGGGAGCTTCCAAATGCGAGGTTTCCTTCATATGTTCAAGAGAAACTCACAGAATCGGTGATCTTCCGGTATCTTTTGAAACTGATCCCACGCCTTATCCACCAGGCGTTGTACTTGCTCATCCATTTTCGTTCTGGCTTCCACGTCGAGAAACAAAGCTATAAAAGGCAAAAATGAGAATCATACGACGGGAAAAATGTTAGAAGTTATTACTTCAGGATAGCAGGTCTAATGAGTATGTGAGCTCTGAAGTTGACTGTTGGTGTTGGTCTTGAGCTTCAGAGTTTCGGTTATTGGACCCTGAAGTAAGCCCCTCTATCAACTGCCCCACTAAGCGCATATGCATTCTGATGTCAATCTCGGCATACCTAGAATTTCACAATCCATTCATTGACTCCTTGGGCGCCAGCAGATTCACAGCCTCCAGCAGTCCAATGACCAGTGACTCATATATCCAACAACAGTTATGGTCTGTCGGTAGCATCATCTCGATTGTGGCAGCAAAGATGGACGCCGACCTCGACTCCGGCCTCTTCGGCATCCAGCTCTCCGACTCGGAGGCCAGCGGCGACGACACCACTACCGAGAAAGCACCCGCGCGAGACGCGCAGTCCGAGGAGGCCTTCCTGGAAGTGAAGAAGACCTACCGGGTCAAGGTCGAAGACGGCGAGGTGAGAACCTCCTCTCTCCCTTTCCGTTCGTTTGACAGGCTGGTGATCGTTGAGCACTGCTGGAATACTCACATGACTCGCATCAGGTATGGAAGAAGGTCAAATTGCCCCTTGGGCCGCAGGTCACGAAGCCCGAGGCGCAGGCGCTGTTGAATGCGGTCGAGGAGCTGTATTTATTCGGGCGGTTTGCCGAGGGTGCTCGGTTTGTGCAGACGGTCTTGCATGGCGAGGACGGTAAATCTGGGCTTGATGACGATACGAGGAGTACGTTGCGGTATTATGAGACCAAGTGTGCCGAGAAAGCTGGGCGTAATCCATAATACAACGTTTCGCCAACTGGATATTCGGAAACACGCAAACGACGGATATCACTCGCATTCTTCTGCTTGCTGATAATGATGAGAGGAAGAGGATGTATTAATTGCAACGCTCGCTCTAGGCCATCTAAGTCTATCTCTAAAGTTTGTTCCCAATTGCAACAGATGTTGTCGAATCCAGCAGTGTCTATCCTCTTTTCAAATCATGTTGCTGGGTATGCCGGAACGCCTTGCTTTTTGTATGTCGTATCAACTAGACCACCTGTCGGCCTCGCGAAAAATGCAACAATTGTCTAAGGAGTTCGTGGAAATCGTCGCGTGTTTGGTGGTGAAATTGAGTGGTGATGAGAGCTTGTGCCGATGCTTATGCCTTCATCTTAGCATCGCCCCGTCTCTCCTTCTCGCGTTCCTCGGCGAATACTCTCCGGCTCATGGCGAGCACACACTCGAAACCTTCCTTGCCCTTCATGGAGTTTTCGTGGAACCGGGTGACCAGGCTGTCCTCGATACTGTTCTTGATCCTCTGCCAGCCGCCACATAGGGCCGTTATCCGCGCGTCCTGCTCGAAGCTTGTCTGGTTCGCTCCCATGGGCTTGTACACCACCGTCTCCTGAACGTTAATCATGTTCGCCCAAGTGATGTTGTGCGATACCATGGTGACGGTCTTCTCGGCTGGGTTGACGTAGGATGTCTCAAAGACTTGGCTAGTGTCCATGGAACCCAAAATGGTCTTCACCCAGTCCGGTGCTGACTGCTTGCAGGTGATGAGTCGCTCGGTTCGTAGAATGCCGGTGGCCTGGTCGACTTCTCGTGCGAGTGTGTCGACGGCGATGACATGTGTCGTCTTGTCATTCCACGGGCAGTACTTCCGCCAGTTGGCTGTGGATACTTCTTCCCAGGAGTAGTTGAATGTGTATGAGTTGGAGAAGACCTTCATCTTGGAGGAAGGTTCCGAAGGCGTCGGGACCGTCGCTAGATTGAAAGAGAGTTCAGAGAGTCACTCTAGATGCGGTCCGCAGGTTGGTCGGGTGGTTGCTGGGTGGCGTCTCGCAGGTGTTCGCGTGATTGTATTGAGGTCTGTCGTGGCGAGTCCGGTATGTAGCGAGAGGCCGGTCGGAAGCGCGGCTCACGAGACAATGTCCACGAAGAGTAGCGGAAGAGTGAGGAACAGACTGGCGAGTCAAGTCGTGTCTGTTCTAGTATGAATGGCAAAAAATGAACTTCTTCGCTTTTGTTGGGGTAATAAAGAAGGTGGTATGTATTACTGAACCGCCAGAATGAATGACGGGATCTGGGGATGTGAGTGTTTTTGTTCCTTTTGTTTTTGGAAGTCGAATCAATCAATCAAAGATGCAGAGATGGGAAAAGTTGAAGGCACACGACCCCCTGGAGATAGTTAAATGGGGATTGGGTATCGGGTCCACTACAGTCATGCACGGGACAAGGCCTAACCTTAGAGGCTGCTAGACCTGCTACGGGGACTCGTACAAACGCCAAAAATTTGCACTGCGGCAATAATTGGGGGTTCTCGGCTTGGCGTCATGACCTCGCCTAGCGACCCCCATCGGGCTTAGCGGCAGCGCATCAGAGGTCCGGGGATGCATCGGAAGCGGGCTTGACCGTTGCAGCGTCTCTCATTGGGCGAGCTCATGGGTCGAGCTTTGTCCAACAATCCACCCTTCCGGTCTGGCCCAAGCTTCATATTCCATTCCATCAGACTGGGCCTTTCGGCTTTCGCGGGTCTGGAGTAGCCTTTGGACTCTGGTGTCTGGAGCGAATGCGGAGAGGGATTTTTCTCACTTGTCGGTTGTAGCGTTGCAGCACACGACACTGCGATCTGCAGGGTCCAGATCTTTTGGAATCGGAACTCTGTCATTCGCTCCCGTCTCCCTTTCCCAGCTTCTTGGATCGGCAAAGCCGTACGCCTCCAGACGTCAGTCGTCCTCAGAAACAATGGGCCCGATGACCTCAGCCCTGACATGGCAGGTCGACAACCTGAATCAGGAATGGGAATGGTCATCCCATTGGATTCGTTCATCCCGTTGCATCAAACAAATCATGTCCCCTGTGACGTAGCCTACACCAGATACTCGACAACGACTACAACTTTGGCTCAGTGCATAGAAACTCCTTTGGCATTTGCTATAGTTTTGCCGTCGATCGGACATGACGGCATGACTAGACCAACGCAACTATGTTGATTAACTACGAACACGGTGGCACTTGACCATTGTACCTCAGTGTGGTGAAATCGCTCCCTATGGTCACAACCAGCTCAACATGGTACACCACTGTTGCCATCCGCCGCAGTGAGGTCTGTGATGTGGTCGAGATGCTGTTCGCATTTATCCATTCATAAATCAGCGCTTGTGACAGTTCGCAGAGTACGCCCCTCGACGGTTGCACAACATGTCAGTTCTTTGCGTATTTAGTAGTCGTCACCGCGACTAATGACTTCCTTCACCGTAGGTCGGAGCAGTATTGTCTAAATATCTGATTAGCAAACCCATCAAATAGTTGCACTTTGATGTTGGCAACCTACGTGCTCGAATTGGGCCGTGTATGACCCCTTCTTGTCCACCAGAGGCGGATAGTCCTCGACGATACCAGATTGGACGAGGTTGTTCAACTATTCCCATGTTAACAACTGGATTGAGGCCTGGACAGGCGACAAGACTTACGCCGAGTAGGTACTTTTCCTGGCCCAGTCTATCCAAGTATCTCCGGCAAAACGGAATGGTAGAGAAATTCTTCTTGATGACATTCAGAAGCGACTTGGCCGATGATAGACGCAAGTCGACCTTCGGCGCATCACTCTTAAGCGCGTAGTGTGAGACCTCTCCTTCGTCATGAACGTAGCCGTTACCGGTGCTTCCAAAGGTCTCGATGGCGAAGACATCGCCCTCCTCCATCTTCGTCGTGTCAGCCGACTTGACGATTGGGACGCTCTTGGTCCCGTGGATGCTGTACGGCAGGATGGTGTGGCCGCTGAGGTTGCGGATCGACTTGATCGGGTACGTGGTGCCGTTGATCTGACACTCGTAGCTCTCCATGGCTTCTTGGATGTAGCCACCCAGCTCGCCAAGGCGCACATCGATACCGGCCTCTTTGACTCCCGTATTCGTGGCATCCTTCACTGCTGCCAGTAGATTGTCGTACATGGGGTCGAATGACATGGTGAAGGCACTGTCGACGATGCGGCCATTGACGTGGACACCGATATCGACCTTCATGACATTGCTCTGCTGCAGCACCGTTTTGTTGCCCAGGTTCGGGCTGTAGTGTGCTGCAATCCGGTCGAGGTTCAGTCCTGTGGGGAATCCCATGCCAGCAACGATAGCATCGCCCTCCGCCAATCCATCGTGACCCACCAGTCTGCGGACGCTGTCCTCAATACCATTCGCGATCTCGGTCAGGCTCTGGCCCGGCTTGATGTTCTTCTGCGCCCACTGTCGGACTTGACGGTGAGTTTCGGCAGCTTGACGGTAGTCGGAGAGGAAGTCGCTGTTGATGTTGTCTAGATGTCGCTTTTCCTCGTTGGTGGTACGGTAGCTGTTCTCGTTCAGGTACTCGACTTCCTCGCCCTTCGGGTAGGTATTATTCGGGAAGAGCTGAGACATCAAGACGCTCGGCGGGTCGGTCTGGGCGGTAGGAGCCTTCTTCTTCTTCTTGGGCTTCTTCTTCTTGTTCTTCTTCTTTTTCGCGGCTTCAGGTGCGGCCTCTACCGCCTGATCATCGGCATCGTCCCCGGAGTCCTCGCCGGAGTTTTCTGCGGCATCGCCACCGTTTGCGCCGTTCGTTGCGGCAGCTGCTTTGCCGTTGGCGCTACCGTCTTCGTTGACTGTAGCAGGTCAGACCATCTTCCCGAAAAGCGACGAGTGCCTCTGGCCTACGTACCGCTCAGCTTCTTGAGCTCGTCCGAAGGTGCTTTGCCCGCCATCTTGCTCGAAACACAGCCTGTCGAAGCTAAGGTATCTTACGAGGGCTGGGCGAAGTGACAGCAACCCCACCAACTTTTATCGACCCAAGTGGATGTCGCAAGCAGGGCGCGTGGCAGGGCGCGGGGCACGGACCCGTTTGACCAGTATACTGCTTTATTGAACTTATCCCTGTCCAGAATGTGGGAATATTCATCTTACGGGTTTCCCCTGAGGAAGTTCCAGAGTCCCGCTTCGTCTCTCTAATGGACAAAGGTTAAACTTTGACTCTTACCTACTATCACTTGGCCCTTGTCTGGAGAAATTCTCGATACTTAGGAGCTCATCACGTCTCAAAATTGTTTCTTTTTGTGACTAGGTGAATATCCTGCGCAGACTAAGTTCGCCTGCCCTTGACTAGTTGCACCTCCTCGTCAAGAAAAAGACAGGCGGTTATTGGTAAGATATTTCCTCTCATTCCAACGAGAATTACTGTGCAATCCCGAGGATCAACCTCACCATATATCCTTGGTAGCTTCTAATACGGCCTTGGTTGATGATAACATGACCTGTTCAAATGATGAAAACTCAGCGTAATGAGTCGCCTGGTTGATGACTGAGCCATAATCCCACCAACATCCATCTTCTATATAGAGCTCCAACTGCTTTCGGGATTCCTACTGCACCTGACACGGATCAGAATCCTCAGGAAACTGTTCAATCTCATCGTCCCAACCCCTCACTACTCCCCCCATCATTCCCCCATTCACTCACATCATAGTCCATATCCTTGGTCCACCAATAGCTGCAACCTTCGTCTTCCATCTCGCTCATGCCTTTGTATGTCATGCCCATCCCATCGTAGAATGTACCGTAACCTTCCTCAGCGCTGTCTTTGCCCAATACAACATCGAGCTGGGCCGGTATGCTACCCGACGCGTGCTCATCAAGCCAGTGATCCAGCTTGATATTGTCTTCCTCAATTTTCTGGTCCCTATTATAGCCAGCAAGTTTCATGTAGCACCGTCGGAACCTCATCCGCCTTGCGGTAAGCAGAACTGACTTGTATGTCTTCAGCAATTCGGCCTTGGCAGATTTAATTTCGAATGCCAGGAGAGACGACTTGAGAGACGCCAGAGCATCATGAGCATCATCCCCTTCTGAATCAATCAGGCTGGGCATCTCTTCTAGATCCATGAGGCTAGGCTCCACTTCTGAATCATTCAAGTCGGTCGTGCCTCTGAGGTGTGCGTAGAGGCCACTGTGCTGGTGCTGGACCCATCTTGCCCACTTGTTGTACTCGGTCTCGCCGAAGAGGAGACTTAGCGTCGGCTTCCACAGGACGGAAATCATGTGTTTCTCGTAGTCAACCTCGAACCCGAACAGTTCTGTATCATGGAGCTCCTCTCCTACTTGTAGCGTGTGCGGCGGCGAGGATTTGCTCTTCTCGGGGGGCGGTAGGGTGTAGGGCTCGAACTCCCGCTTTATCAGAAAGCTGAGATAATCATAGAGGTTCATGTCCTCATTGTTGACTTGTGTTTTCTTGTGTCGCTTTACATTCTCTTCGAGTTTGAAGACTGCGCGTTCGCCCCCGTCGGTAGTGCCGTTGAATTTGAATTTCAAGTATACGCAGTTTAGGTCGTTTCCTGCGGGGCCTTGCGCCATCATATCTGGCCACAGGCTGACGATTGTGTCTGGCAGTTGTTCTCAGAGAAACGAATGCTCAGTGGCGGTTTTGAACATGGGCGAGGCGCGTCGGAAGTTCAACCACACTCGGGGGAGATAGCCGCGGATCATCAATGAGACCAATGATGCGAGTCCACACCTCGATCGGAAGCTGAGGACAGGTAGGTCCGATTGAAGAATCCATGATGAGGATGGAATGTGAAGAATTTGAAGAGGATTGTGAAGGAGTTGAAGACGAGTGCAGTTAAAGTAAGGGGCGATGTGTGTTGTAGACAAATAATAGTATATGGCACGAGGCGGTGGAAATTTCTGCTAGCCGCCTCCTATTCAGGAGGAGCCGGATCAATTTTCTTTCAGGTCCCGCCTCGAGTTCAGGGGGGGTAGACCTAGGCTACTATTGCACGTCACCTGACGTATCAGTGTCCGTGCCTATATAAGCCCCCCCTAGGCACAGGTTGGTACTGTAGCAAGACCAGTCGGTTCTGTCCGCAAGGCTCGACATGGCAGTCGCCATTCAAGTCTTTGCCATGCCGACTAACTCGCTGTCATCTTGGTTCGCCATACCAAGGGGTATCCTCTGCACTAGACCCGTGCGATCCATCCTAGTAGTGACTTGCGACGGTATCTTCAGACCCTGTATGATTCTCCTTCTTCTCTGCCTTGATAACAGTCGCTTGACGTGGTACCCATGGTCTGAGCCTTCACTGTGTTCTGGTGGCCGGAATACATTCGTCCCTACTTGAGACGGCGTCTTTCGAACGGGCTTGACGAGATGAAGAGTCGTCGCTGGAACCCCACAGCGTGCCACCATTCGATTCGGACTGATAATTTCGACGCGGGGGGAGCCTAGGAGCCGCGACTGCATATTTCAGCGCAGTAATAGTTGCTTTAAATGGAATGATTTGGCGTTCAATCACGAACACCACAGGTCTTTGAGATGCCGGCGGATCGCATAAGCCCAGTGACCTGTGACACATTGCTATATGTATAATCAGAGCTGCAGTGTAGTTCGATGGCTAGCAATTTTGATTTAAGCTTTTACTAACATACGCTGCTGTCCCTGCTCTCCTTCGTAGTCTGGGTCCTGCAGCTCTCATGAAACATATGGTGCCTTTGTTCCCCATTTTCATGGCTCTCGCTTCGTCGCCTTCGCCTCCTCCATAGGCCTAGATAAGACAAGCCTTGAACTCGCGCTCCCAACAAGCATGATTTGGGCCTGGTAATGCGTCAGCTAAAGACCGAAAGGCGTTTCCTACAATCCGAATAGGGGAAAAGGGGGCAGGTCCACAAATGATTATTTCATGATTATTTCATTTCAAACGCGAATCTTACCAAATTTATTTTTGAGCACATTGTGGTCTCCATACGAGGCTCATCCCATACCTTAGTACTGGTGCGTAGTAGAGACAGCTACAATACTCCGTGACATCATTGGGCAATTCCCCTTGATCCAGTGACAGCTGCTTACCCCTATCCGCTTATCGTACCTATTGCCTCTCGGTTTCTAATACACCCCGTGAGAAGGGCGCCTTAAATTTTAATCCTTGAGTCAACCATGTAGTTTGAGTAAATCACCTAGTTTGCGGGACGAAGGTATAGGTTCGTGCCCCCCTATTCTCACCGTGACGCAATTCAGGCTCAAGTCCCATACCCCGTACCATCTTCTTGAGGTCGCAGAGCGCTGCCACTGTCAGACGTTACCGATCAACTTGGAAGAGAGCCCGGGAAAGTAATCGTCATCGCACCCATCGTTGGAGTGATTCGGCCGAGCGGCTTAACCCCCGCCGAACGTCCATAGGCACGGAACCAGGGGAGCCGCTCTAGATGGGCGCATGGGTGTGTCTTGTCATTTTTGTCGTGAGTACCCTACGCGCCGTGACGGAGCGTAAGAGGGTAACAGAAAATTAGTAAAAGGCACGTAATCCATTCTAGGCCTCTTCATTTCGAGCACGCGCTGCGGTCAAGACTGCCAATGCTGATGAGCATAATGCGTGTGGCACCTGAGCGTGCGGTCCATTTCGATGGGATGAAGACCGGATGGATTGGGCTTGTGTATCACGACTCTAATGCTTTGCTATGGTATATGACATTGGCCGTATCGGGCATGATCCAAGTGATTTAACCCAGCTCGTGACTTGCATATGTTACCCTCACAACACTCAACGCCACAGCCAAGTCAAGACAGCCCCCGTCGACTAAGAAAAGAGAGCCACGCGCGTCCATCGATCGTTCAAAACAGCTATGATGTATTCGGGACGGAGCAGTACGTGCCTAACTGCCTCCTCAAAGAAAGAAAGAAATCGTAAATCGTGCCTGTTCGTGTGGCTGACACGACTCGCATATGGGCGGTACGAACCTAGCGATAGTCAGCCATAGATAGATACGCCACTGGACATGCTTGATAGAGAAAGACAATGTCCAAGAAGAATGAATCGTCATGCAGGCTTGAAGGGTGGATGGCGAAGGGGGTCAAGAGGGCATTTCGCTTCTGTGATATAGGGGTTCACTGTATGTACCTGAGTCGAGTCTAGACGTGGCAAGTGACCTACCCCATCGAGCCCAGTGCGGACACAGTATCGAGACGGCGAGGGCACGGTAGGTAAACAACACAAGTCGACGCAAGGTGTCACAAAGCGGTATCAAGCTACCAAGTTGGTTTAGTATGCTGTATTGGCTACCTACTGGAGTATTGGGTCATCATGCACACACATGACCGCCCACCCCCTATTGCAAAGCTGTCAAAAACGCAGATCCTTCGGATATGCCGACTCATCCCAGTACGCCTGCTGTGCTTAACGATTGCTGTTCTCTTACGGACCACGCCTAGTCCGACGAACAGCGCACATTCTGGGATACCCTGGTGACTTTTGATCACCTTGCTCAGAGAATATTGTCCCGTCCCTCATGAGTGATGGTCCGTCCATCGGCCCCTAATATCACACACCTTCGCTTCGGCAGCAGAGTCCTACCGCTTCTTAACACTAGGCCTGGGCTTGCATTCATCGCCTACTATGGGATGTAGCATCACCTTGTTGGGATAGTTCTGGTTATTGCCAGCGAAGCCCTTGCTCCAGTCGTACCCGACAGCATAGGCGAATATGTTGCCGGCGCTGTTGAATGTCGTCGCTGTGATGCTTCCACCGACGGATGGGTAGCCCTTCAGTCTGTGCTTGGCGTCCTTATCCCAGAAATGGAAAGTGCCGTCACTACCAGCAGTACTGAAAGTGCCATGCTGAGGGTGGAATGAGATGTCATTGACGGAATACACCTGAGTGACGTTGCCTGTAGGCGGATCGCGATGACACTTGAATGAGAAATTGGAGCTGTCGCAACTTGTTAGCATGTCCATGTCCGTATGTTTGAGATTTGCAAGTCGACCCACCCCGAGTCCTTGTCCTCGACGTATTGGATCGCACAACGTCCCTCAATGCTACCAATCGCAAAACCTGATGCATCGGTGAAGCAGCTGACCACACGTGTTTGCCATTTGAGCGGGCTCTGCAGTGTCTTGTAGAATTTCATGGGGTCCTGGAGGTTGACAACATTGATGTATCGGTCGGCGGTGCCAATGACGAGAAGTGAGTTGCGCACGTCCATGGAGTAGACACGTTCCTGGCACGTAATGCTTGCAACCGGGGTGCTCTGCCGCAGATCCCAATACTTGACGGTCTTGTCCCACGAACCCGTTACCAGCATGGGGCCGTTCGAGTTGGGCAGCTCGAAGAAGCGGGCGGCTCTGACTGTCTGGTCGTGCTGCGCAACTTGTGCGGACTGGAGGGTCTGAAGATCGCAGACCTTGGCTTGCTTGTCGGCTCCGGCCGAAACGAGTTTTTGGCCATCCTAGATCTTTCGTCAGCCAAAACTGCATCGCCAGAAGAGAACGTCGGGAATATGACAAAGCGTACCTTGGAGAAGTCTACGCTCAGAACTGGCGCTTCGTGTTCGTAGATGTGTTTTCCCTCACTGGCTCCTTGATCCGATATCTGGTATATCCGCACCTTCTTGTCCCAACTGGCGACGGCCATGATATTCGCGGCGGGAGAGAAGGTCAGGTCGGAAATGGTGTCCTCGGGAGGGTTGGAGATGGCGACATCGTTCTTGAGGTCCCCTATGGTGTTACTCGCGGCCGCAGCGGAGGATGTGCCGAACAGTCCAGCCATCTTGGACGATTTCGGGATCGCTGCGTAAGGTCTCTCGGACGATTGGTGGTGTTGGCTGGTGTAAAGGAGTACGAAAGCCGTTGGAGATGGAGCAGCGCTGGGAAAAGCAAAGGCTCAGCGCATGCTCACTGGTTCCAGCAGTAGCTGTAGCGAGAACGTCTGGTATGTTCCGTGGGACTGAGCTTTGGGCCTGACGCGTTTGGTCGTATTGTCAGTAGCGCGAATGCGTCAAAGGTATCTCTCAGATAATGATATGGGCGTGCGTGGCTTTTGTCTGCGCAAATGGGATTATGGTCGCGACGGCGGCCTGCTCCAATGAATTCAGCTTGAGCTTGGGCCACACCGTCTGCCTGCCAACCAGCTGTCAAAGCTTGCGCCGGCACTGGTGCTCCAGCTGCGTGATCGGCAACACCTCTGATTAGCTCACACTAATATAGCCCCACTATGCAAGAGCTTGCAAGCTAATAAAAGCCTGAGCTCCAAATTCTTTCACATCTTTCTCTTCTCTCGTTCTACAACCCCCTCGCCCAACAGATCGCTATCGAAGCTACACACAGAGACAGTCTTCGCTCGCGGAGGCCGTCTCGTCCCCCAGCTTTGGGTAAAGTCCCCGGACACCTTCACTGCGCTCGTCGCAGCAGAAGAATTGCGGAAACGCGCCGCCATAGAAGCACAGCGGCTCACTTCTCCCCGTCTGTCCTCCTGCCCATTTACTCGCATCCGCCCCGCCTGCCATTCCAAAGTCGCTTCCTGCCCACCCTTGCAGTCTGCCCACGTGTGATTTCTCCGGCCTCGAGACGACCATGGACGATGATAAGAGTCCGCGCTCTTGGCTGGAGTCTTCCGTTGTGGGCCTGCTCGGAGGCAGTCGCGATGGTTGTGCGGCCGTGGATCGGGGAGCGGGGGACGCGAAGGACGGGTGCAGAAACCTTTTTTGTCGAGATTCACAGTTATGCGATTGCCTCGCTGCCTTCCCGGCAGCTTGGTTACTCGATGGGGCTCACTCTTGGTGCGAGGGGGTTCATCACCAAAACATCTGTTTTGATCAACGCCTTTCCATGATGGAGAACCCGACACCAAACTCTAGGCTTCGTGGGAAGTCCCCCTGTCTGCGGTGATCCGGATTGGAGGCGTACGTGGGGAAAACTGGGGGCTTTTACTACACCAACGTTCAGGTGATGATAAACGAAATAGAGTCAAGCACTGAGGCGATCCACATCGTGGTGAGCCCGATGACGACTAAAATGCGTTATGGTATCTGATGAACATCACTTTTCCTCTTATTTTCCCCTCCCCTCCAGCTTGGCTCATCCGAAGGTCATAGTCCTATCACCGCACAACTTAGCTACACGTAATTCAAGTTAATAAAAATCATATGCATCAATTCCCATGATCTCTTGCTGTTTGCTCTGTAACCTCGCCATGAACATGAGATTGTCCAAGTGATGACTGGCCATATCACTGGCGTGGAGAGTTATGTCAGGCGCAGTATACATGTGAAGTATATTCTTCAAGCCAATCATCACGCCCCAGTTGTTCTCGAGGCTCATAGTCAGGGTGAAGCCACACCTCGCATTGGCTATATAGTACAGAGTGACGTTGGGGACCAAGTCTATAGTTAGGAATATGCCATGCAATCCCCCACGAATCAATGATCCGAGTCCGCCTCGAACTCACATCGTATGGATCTCAGTGACGCCAGTTCCCGCGCCGTACCAACATGGTATCCTCGCAACTCCCCCAGATTACCCAGATCCTCAGACACCGAGGATATAGAAGAAACAACAAATCTGCCCGCGTCCCCGAATAATACTTTATACCGTCTCCATCTCCCCATCTTTCTCCCACACCCATTGATCTTATTGTGGCCGTTGTCATCTTTCCCAGTGATACACCCAGTGATCTTATTATGGTTGTTGTTGTTGTTGTTCTTATTATCAGGCGGTCTCTTTACATCAGCCCGCCGAGCACGACCTTGCCCACGCTAGCAACCTCCTGCTTCAGCCCAGCGCGGCTCGAGTCCTCAAACTCCTTAACGACGCCCTGGATGATGATCTTGCGGACGCGGGCGTCGGCCTTGGTGAACAGCTCGGCGACGACAGGACTGCAATCACGCGGCGACGGCAGCAGGCTCATCAGGCGCGAGTAGCAGTCGATCAGCACGTCGCACAGCGTGGCGAAGGTCTCGAAGAAGTCCGGGTCGAAGGGTAGGTTCGGCGTCAGCAGGTGCGTGTACTCCTCGCCCGGCAGCAGGTCGTTGCCCTCGCCGCCCAGCCCGAAGCTGATGACGCCGGCGGGCGCCGAGTTGACCGCCGACCCGTCGCCCGCCGCCGCCGCTGCTATTCCTAGCGAGCCGTCGAAGTCCATGCCCGCGGCGCCCGACTGGCGGCGGCCCTTGCCGCCGGCGCCGCGGCGGAACATCTGCGGGAGGCGGGCGCGTGACAGCGACGACGAGTTCACGCCGTTCTCGGTGTGGATCTGCTGGTACGAGTCGAACTCGGCGAGGAGCGTGTTGAGCGAGCGCAGGAACTCGAGGGGGGTCGAGGAGTTGAGGTCAATGACAGCCGGGAGGGAGAGGCCGAGGAGGAGGTAGTTTGTCGCGCGCCGCGCCAGCTTGCGGCTTTCGAAGTAGGGCATGCGCGCGAGGTCGGGCTTGTCGAAGAGGAGGGTGTTGAACCAGTAGACTCGGCCTTCGTGCCTGTGATGGGGAGATGTGTTAGCTTCCAGTGCGAGAATGATGGAGAAGTGACTTCAATGCGACTTGCATGAAGTAATTAAGACGGGGCGTCTATGTCACTTACGCTTTGCGCAGGTAGTCCAATGTCGATATGCGCTTGTTCGCGACATCCTGTATGTGCTGGTAGAGCGAGGGTGATTCTGGCGGCGGTATCGACATGCCGGACTGTGTGACCGGTGGTGAGGTCGTCGTCGTCGTCGTGGTAAAGTAGCCATTGGTAGGCGTGGGGGCCGAGCGGCCGGTCAACATCTTGCTGTAGGAGTCGACAGACCCGGGCGACTGGACGATCTCGTGGTCCCTGGCTATCTTGGCGGCGGTGAGGAGCGCAAAGTCGGGCAGGGCGGGGAGTATCGCGGCGTCGGTCACGACTGTCGGACCTCCGCCCCCATTGGTGGTCGACGAGCTCGCGCTGCGCTTGTTTCTGCCCGGCGACGGGGAGGAGACCTTGCGGCCGAAGGATGGCCTCCGACTGTGGCTGCGCTCTTTTCTCAGGGTGTTGGGCTGGCTGCCTTCTCGATCGCCTGCACTCGTTCCGGGCCGTGATCTGCTGCTGGGCGGGCTGAGGGTGGATGTGGATGTGGTGTTGTGGTTGGAAGAGCTGCCACTGCCCCAGATGTTGGTCGAGAAGAAGGGAGCTGCATTCTGCGCCCCTGTCGAGGTGGCCGCTCTGTGCATACCCGGCCGCTCCAGCCGCTGCATGATCGACCCTTTTTCCCTTCCCTCGAATCTTCAATCGATAGAGGCTGAGGAACCCGCTGCGGCGCTGCGAACACCCAGCAAGAGTTTAGCGCACACGCAATCGCAATCCCTTGCAGGTGAGCCTGTTCCTACTCCTGCGGCTGCCGGCTGCCCTTGAACGCGTCCCTGTAAAGATTTGATTGGATGTGGGGGAGAGCAAGTTTGACAGTGATAACGAGCAATCAAGGGATCGGACGCAAGGCGGGATGAGAATGAGGGGTATCAGACACGGCTCAATAGGGGAATAATGTATACAAAGTGTACAATTGAATACAGATAGAGGTCAAAGTAGTAACAATGGTGTGCGTGTGTGACACAAGCTTGTGTTGAAACAGAATACTAGAAAGATACCGAACGAGGGCCGAGTGAGCGGGAGCGAGTTTGGAGGAGAGAAGCTGCGACTATTATATCACGGCTTGAAGCGATCAATTGGTCTCGGGGAAGTTCAGGAGTCATGGTAGCTCCGGGTCCAGATCTGATGATACGCAGCTGGGTGGATTCGACTTCAGCCGACTCAGCCCAATGAGTCTTGGAGCTTGTTATTATTATTGTTGTCCTTGGTCACAATAGCCTGTGAATTGTGACGAGGGCTAAACTATATCGAGGTTCTTGAAACCGCCACCTTCATCAGACCACAGCGGTCTTGGGACAACAAAAGAAACGGCACTCCGGACAGCTGCTGGTAAAAGCAAATATTGCCAATCTGCAGGCTGGGTTCAGCCTCACAGGCAAGCAGCCGCAGTCGGTGTTTCCAGGACACGACACAGGTGGTTTAGCATGATGCTCGTTACCAAGTTACGTCAGCCTGAACTTTGGAGTCGTACTTTTGGTGAAGCTAACACAAGCGTCGAGTTCGGTGCCTCGACGGTCGAGTGGAGTTGAACGTCCCCTAGAGCTAACCAAGTTGACAACGGACGCATGGCATCATACTTCATGCTATGAGAACCCGAAAGAGACCCTGAAACGGGCAGTTTAGATGTCTAAAAAATAAAAACACATCGTCGAGTCTCGGGCGGGCGGAAATCGACGAGCGAAAGAGAGTTGTCCTGATACCTACCAGACTTCGTGCTTTGAAGGCGCAGACAACCGCTTCGGGAGGCCCGAAATGACCATCTCAACATTGGATTGATCTGCGAACAATAGAGTGATGAAGGATCAGGGTTCATCAGCCTCTCAAAAAGCAATGGTCAGGGCTGAAGAAAAATAATGCAAAAGACCCTGTCACCCTGCTCGACCTTAAACAAATCGGCGGGTATATTTGACTTACGCATAGCTGCATTGACGCGTAATTGTGGCTGGACAAGCTCATGTATGCACTTATGCAGTATACCACCACGTTGGTGCAACCCCGCCTCGCCAACGTCGGGGGAACCTTACGCGCTACTCGTGAAACACCCAAATTAAGTAGGTAGATTTCGTCGACATCGGAGGCTTCCACTGCTGCGAAGTCTGCCATGAGCCAACAGATGTCGCAAGAATGCCCAGGTAGGCCTGCCCTGTTCAGAGGCATTGCCTGGTAGGAACATTCAGCTTTCTAATACGGTCCAGGGAAATCATCACAATCCAGGCGGGCCAATGCGGCAATAGCAGTCAGTTCAACCTCCACGCAGTTATCGATGCGCAGCGAAGCGACAGCGCAGTCGCTGACCTCTAGGCAGTTGGAAGTGAGTTCTGGCAGCAGCTGTGCCAGGAACATGGCATCAACCAAGATGGCAATCTTGAGGACTTTGCGAAAGAAGGCGGTGACCGGAAAGATGTCTTCTTCTACCAGAGCGACGACACGAGATACATCCCCAGAGCCATCCTGATAGATCTCGAGCCCCGAGTCCTCAACGGCATACAGACCGGTCCTTACAAAAACATTTACAACCCAGAGAACTTCTTCATCGGAAAGAGCGGCATAGGAGCCGGGAACAACTGGGGTGATGGCTATCAGTCGGGAGAAGCCGTGCATGAGGAGATCATGGAGATGATCGAACGGGAAGCGGATGGCAGTGACTCCCTTGAGGTAAGGACTGGCGTCATTCGATCCAGTACCTGCCCACTGATCGTTTCTCCAGGGCTTTATGCTGCTCCATTCCATCGCGGGAGGTACAGGTTCGGGGCTTGGATCTTTTCTCCTGGAACGAATGAACGACCGATTCCCCAAGAAGATCATCCAAACATACTCCGTTTTTCCCGATACGTCGAACGACAATGTTGTTGTGCACCCATACAACAGTCTTCTCTCGATGAGACGACTTACACAAAACGCCGACTCGGTGGTGGTTCTTGACAATGGAGCCTTATCCCACATTGCCGCCGACAGACTCCACGTCCAACAAGCTTCGTTTCAACAGACAAACCAGCTAGTATCGACGGTCATGTCAGCGAGCACGACGACATTACGATACCCGGGCTACATGCACAACGATCTTGTCAGCATCCTGGCTTCTTTGATCCCGACACCGCGATGTCATTTCCTGATGACTTCATATACTCCATTTACTGGCGACCAAGTCGAGCAGGCCAAGACGGTGCGGAAAACGACGGTGCTGGATGTTATGCGACGATTGCTGCAGCCCAAGAACCGCATGGTCTCAACGGTGCCTGGCAAGAAAAGTTGTTATATCTCGATCCTTAATGTCATTCAAGGCGAGGTTGATCCGACAGATGTTCACAAGAGTCTTCTACGTATTCGGGAACGGAAACTGGCGACTTTCATCCCATGGGGCCCTGCCAGCATACAAGTTGCTCTGACAAAGCGCAGCCCATATGTCCCCATGAGTCATCGTGTTAGTGGGCTGATGTTGGCAAACCATACCAGCATCGCGACGGTAAGTTCCTTTCTCGTAACATGCCGGTGAACCGGATCAGTGACGGTGGCTGACCGCATGCAACAGCTGTTCAAACGCATCGTCAGACAATACGATGGCATGAGAAAGCGAAATGCCTTTATGGACGGGTATAAGAAGACGGCCCCCTTCTCGGAGAACTTGCACGAGTTCGACGAAGCCCGAGAGGTGGTGACGGATATGATAGCCGAGTACGAGGCAGCGGAGGATGCCAACTATCTGAATCCAGACGAGGGCAACAATGTCACGTCGGGGGAGACGGACAAGAGGATGGGATGATGGATCATTCCACCACACGACAGTAATGAGTCATGTTGAAGGCATCCATAAGGTGCGCCGGGCTGTTTCGCGAACCACACCTGTGCATGGGGTTTTGGCGTTCACGGTATCATGTCATTGGTAATTATGGCCAAGGCTGGGGAGATACCACCTGCGAAACAGCATACACCACCTCCGTTAGGTAGTAGTTAGCTGGCAAGGCTGGCGACTGGGCAGCATTGTTGGCGCCTGGGCAGGCTTGGACTGATGAATCCAATAGGAGATGGTTTTTCATGCAGGCTAACTTGTTCTTGGACTCGACCCAATCTGTGAGCTTCCGGCAAGCACGCCGTCTGCCAATCAACAAGCAACAATCCCGCTGCCCGTCAACAGCCGCCCCCCGCCTGCAGCTAACATGTGCCACGGCCCGCTAAGCTGAAGGAATTTGATGGAATCTGTTCCTGGATCACTGGATCGAGATATCAGGCCTGGGTGTCGGTGGAGTTTTCGGAATAGGGCAAATCTGCACGTGTTTTGACGTCACTCAGGCAGGTCTTCGTCCTCTGCCCCTCCAATGTGACGTCAATTGCTGCCCGAGCCCCGCCGGACCACAAGCTCCAGCCCCTCCAACAAGCTGTGTCGTCAAGGCACTCCCGTCATCATAATAAAAGCTTCACAAGCTCCAGCTTTGCTATTACTTCTGAATCTTTCTTTTCCTCCATCATCAACACGAACACACAGTGACACACACTCGGACCAAACACAACCACAAACTCGTATCTACCAGTTCACATCCAACAACCACCAGTAAGTCCCACCATCAGACCCTCCCGCTGTGATCACCTCGAGAACAGCTCTTGGCATCATTGCTCCTGGAGGCGCATTTGCTAACTTGGATTTTTGCAGAAATGACTCACGGTAAGATATTCGACAGCTCCAGTTCCCACCAGTCAACAGTCCTGCGCAGTTTGACAGGAGGGGTATCTTGAGACGAATGGCTCACTAACGTTACGTCATCAGCATCCCTTGACCAGAAGACCAAGAAGGTCAACGAGGCCCAGGAGAACCTGCCTCTCCCCGAGCAGCCCCCGGTCGCCTCCGACTGGAACTCGGCTGACGCACGCACCGTCAATGTCGGTTCCGGTGGCGTCTCGAGCGACATCTCGACCGGCGCTGGCTCGACCTCGGGTCTGCGGGAGCCCGCCAGCAAGGGCGACGTCGACCTGAGCAATGTCGGTCGCGAGGGCAAGGACAACCTGTCCGGCCCGCCCAAGGACGCTGCCGCCAGATAGATCAAGGCACGAGTCGTGGATCGTATTTGATACATACAAACATACACGAACGCATGGGTGGTTTCGGGATGGATCATCGACGGGGCGATGGATTCATGGCGCATCAGGAATGGATGGGATGTTTGTCATTGACGCTGCTCTGATATGGTACGATGGATATGCATCTCGTGATGATTTGCATTGGTGGCTCTCGTCTACTACGGACGAGGTCCCCTAGGATAGTCGGCAATTGACTACCTACCTACCAACCATCGACCATGCTGCTTGCTATATCGTGAACTGTTTGGATGATACGAAGTTGTGTAGATCACTTTCCCCGGAAATTCGCGTTGTCATACTTGGGATTCGCAAGATGCGATGACCAAGTTGATCCGCAGTTGTCCCATCCTGATTGCCGCAAGGCCAGCTCACATGTGTCAGGTTGACTCGCCATGCAAGAGACGCATGCGACACACTCATTCGAACTTGTCCCTCGGATGTAATCAAAGCAGTGGCATAAGAAACAACACTTGTTGGCCTTGCCTTCAAAGTTTCGGTATTCATTTGACGTTCTTTCCTCGTCCATGCCGACCTGTTTCCTTCTGTTGGTGTAGGCCATCCAGCTACATTGCCGCGCTGGCGATATGAGGCCAGATTTCAGAGCCTCCTGAGAATGTTGCGCCTATCAAAGTCGAAAGGACCTGCACCTGTGGCTGCCGAAGAGCGAATAGCACCGTATGAAGCTGTCTGTCAGCTTCAATCGCTACGGGTCCTTCACGATACGGACTTGGTTTGCAAGACTGTTGTATGCCCGTCGCAGGTATTGTAGGTAATAACTCTCTGACGAAATCCTGGCAGCAACAGCAATCCAGGACTATTAGAACATGGGGAGAGGCACGTTCAAGTTCAGGCCTCCTGGTGATGCCATTCTGGGCCACCTGATCGACGCAAAATGGGTACTGAAGAAGAAGGGTACAGTCGATGCCGTTGTTCGATTTCTAATTCCGTCTGATCCTTGCAGCCTTTTATTGCGCAGAGGATGTTTCCAAAAGGGGAGCTGCCTCCTTTTACAGAGGTGGTAATCCTTTATAGTCATTCTATAACGGGCTACTTGCTGACCAGCTCGCGCGTCTCGGCGCACGGCTGGTACACTCTAAGCAAGCGCAACACTACGACGTACAGATATGTGGGATGGTAAATGCTGGCGACTCCATGAACTATGTATGTTTGGGGATTCTGGCTCCGTATATGATGGTATATTTCCTGCTAGAACATGATGGAAAGTGACTATCGTATAAAGCTCTGTCTACCAGGTAAATGTCGGTGAGAACGGGCGGGCAGTATGAATATGCGTATTTCTAGCAGGCAAGTACGGACATAGTCGCCTCAGCCCCCAGCGTACGGAGCTGCTACGATTTACCATCCTGCATATTTATAGACAGTGATCATCTGGCTTCCCATTCCGGAAGGATCGTGCTATAAGCGAAGGAACGCTGAATCAATGTACAAGGGCTGGTCACTGACAGCGCAGAGGCGACGTAGCTCTAGAGACGATCAGACAGTTGGTTTCCTATCTTAAGAAATCAAATATATTGCTCCCTTACCCTTGTGTGCGGGTACTTGGCAGGGCTACCTGTCAAGCCATCCCACTGTACATCATGCAGTGCTACCTTTATGTGGTGATTCAACTTCCTTGACAAAGAAAACAGTCCACGCACAAGGGCTTTTCGGGTCCGTCATCCATGTCCATGGTATTTAAGCTCGACCTGGCCTCTTCCCGAGTGCTATTTCCATCTGAGAGTGCCTATCGGCGCCCCCCTGACAGATAAAGGCTGAACAATGGCCCAATAGCTGATCTGGATTGATCTTCAATTGGCAAAGGACCGGGCCGCTTTGGTGCCCTCGATGGTTTCTTGCCCTAGGTATATAACGAGGAATACCGCCCCCTTAAGGACCCTCGAGAAGCATAGAGTACTACCCTCTCAGGAACCACGCAGCTCTTTCACGACTTGTTCAACCACTGCTGAAAAGAGAAACTCCTAATCGTCCACAATATCAAGCCGTACAACACACCAACCTACGATATTTCATACAATAACAAAGTCACAATGAAGCTGACTCTCTCCTGGACCATCATCGCCAGCCTCCTAGCCGCTAGTACCACAGCCGGCCTCGTACCCGTCCGTAGCCACGACCCCAATCCAATCCACATCTACCAAACATCCATCCACCAATCCATAACCCAGAATCAGGCCGCCCCCCGAGACTCAGAGAAATACAAGACCTTCCAGAAGCGCGCGGCGGCCCTGCCAAAGCACCGACATGGCTACATGCACATGGCCGACGACGGCGTGTTCCGGTCTCTGGGCCCCTTCCACGAGGTCCTCGGCTTCGTGAGGGCCTCGGCCGAGGTGCTAGCCTGCTAGGTCGAAGAGGCCGCCGAGACGCCCGAGTTGCGCGATCACCTGCGCGCGGTCTGGGATGGGGTTGATGGTCGTGAGGTGGCCGACCCGTATGTACATTTTAGAGTCTCTCATTTCCCCTCATGGCCATTTTTTGGGGCTAAATTTCGTCTTTAAGCCTGTGTCAAGAGCCCTTTGCTCCCGCGACATGCACCCCGGCTCCTTGCTTCTCGTCACAATATCTGAAAGCAGTAATTGCTGACTCTAGTTTGCTAATAGGTCCAAAATCCGGCCCGAGCACATCTTTCCCGCGCTGCGCGAGGGTTTGGTCCCCCGCAATGGCGTCAGCCGGCCGGATGACATTTTGGAGAGAGATGGGGGCGTGCAAAAGTTGGAGGGGAGGGTGAGGTTTTGTCTTCATCTTGGTAAGGAATGTGGCAAGAATGACGACTGTGGGAGGCCGGAGGCCTGCGATTGCGAGCGTCCTGACAATCAGGCCAAGGGGAAATGTAAGCAGAGGCTTTGAGGAACGTTCAAAGGGTAATAGAGTGGACGGCCTGAGGGGGGCGTCGGTTCGGACGCTTTGCGTGTTTTGAGAAACGAGGCAGCGGGAGGGAAGAAGTAGGTGTACAGATCACTCATTAGCATGGAATATAGTAGCGCGAGCGCTACATAAATACATTCAGCGGATGAACAGTAGATCTTTCTCCAGAGGCTGCGTGATCATAGTCCAGTATTCCCTAAGGAAGTGACGAGTGCATCATCGGAGAGAGAGTGCAAGGGATGAACTAGCTGGCATGTGTTGGCGGTCTCTGCAAGACGTTAGCTGATTCAACCTCCCTTTCCTTCATCAATGATCTCGTTTGACCAATGCGTTTCAGTGACAGATTCCAGGTTTACGGCAGGAATTCATCCGCTACCTGTCCCACTCCTACGTTGATAAGCAGGAGATACGGGTCCGATTCCGCACCGTTCCGGCCGCACGACCCACTGCGAGGGTTGGCAGACCGCTTGAGCTGCTTCTGCCGCTCAAGCGTATGAAGCCGAGTTTAATGAGGAGCCAGGACGATATTGTTGTGTTGGAGTGGCCGGCTATCATGATGGGGCTACCGAGTTGATATCAATACGCGATGATCCGAGAGAGTGACAAGGTGGTTAGGTCTGAAAAGGGGCCGTGGGATCGCTTGACATGATGATCGGAAAAGGAGATCTGACCCATCGTGTCAGCATCTGAGATCTCGGGATCGGAGGAGGTGGGTGCAGTTTACGTTCTACTCCATCGTCGGATAGAACTATTGACGATACCTAGATCGCATTGATAGCCCCAGATATCTCGCTATATGCTAGTAGTTAGGCACGACTCAATTCGCTTATTGCCTTGATGCATTTCTTTGTAGATGCTCCCCTTAGATGCATACCTAGGTAGAGACGTGGAGCTCGCTTTTAATGGATAATTCACAATGAATGTGACTTCGCCTGGAGGATCCGGCCTACTGGTAGGCAGACAGTATGACCCGCTGGCAAGATTGGAGTATAATCTTGAAGGGGGTAAACTAGTGGCTCAGTGCCCACTGAACGACCTGCCCACTGGGTGGACGACAACAGACTCTTTTCAATGAGATCGTCCTCCAGTGCCTTCGACATTCTTCTCGTACTATTTAGATGGTGGTAAGACTACAAAGAACTTCTTTGTAATGGGGATCCCTTATAGCTTGCATGATTTGCCTGGTCCCTTCAAGGAACCCATGAATCAGTCTGGCCATCACAAACCAACCAGAAGGATCAGCAAACAAGACTAGGCACAAGAGGTCCTCGATTCAAAGTACGTAGTTCTTCAAGGAGAGCTTCCTTAGTCACTTTTCGCTCGTTCGTTCGTCGGTTCGTTCTGCGTTCGTCATGCAACCCAGCTGCAAGCTCCACATCATGCCTGTGTCCTCCCGTCTTCCTTTGGTCCAGTCGTTATCACCACCGTCCGTTTGACTCACGTAGGGAGAGAAAGACCACTGTTTGAATGGATACAAGTTGGATGTGAAACATGCATTATTTCGCGCAGGGAGCTGCCGCCATCTGCAATATCCCTTCATGATTGTGCCCCCGAGTGCCCAAACTGCAGATAGAGTTGTGAAGCCCATCATGCTGCCAAGGCCCTCTCGTCCTTGAGTACATAGTGCTTGACTTGATTCGGTGATGAGGGGAGGATCAGAATCATGTGTGCTTCGAAACTGTCTATCTGCGAGATCTGACCAGACCTTCAACTATTTCGTTCAGATCTGCGGTGCGTGATGTAGGCAACTGCATTACACCCACCCCTGAGATTAGTTTGTGCACACTTGACATCTTGCCCTGATCCCGAGCTTCCAGTCCACTTGGTATCGACACATCACTCACCCCATATCCAAGGTGCAATGCACACGCGTTTGACATTGCATGACCACATACACCTCAGTTCTGCTATAAATCCTCAGGCAACTGGCAGCAGCCTGCAATAGGGACATGCATTGCGGGAGATCCCACTGCAGATGTTCTTGCACCAACGGCCGTTGAATCACCACGGACTACGGCTCTGTGGCTCGGCATGCAGGTTGCAGACGTCCTCAGCCTCGAGATCCCGGTCAAAATTCTTCCACTACTCCCCAAAAGTTGGTTGAACAGGCTGCGAATTGCGGTTCTGACCGGTGTTTCCTGTATCTCTGTATCCACATTCCAACTTGGTGGTTGCCCCTCGCAGCAGTGCAGGTGTGCAGGCGCGCTTTCCCCGGAGACCTTTCCTGGTGCCTGTCCTCCCACCTCCAAAAACCCGTGGCTTCCTCCCCAAGCTTGTTTACCTTCTCCCACAAAACACACCCGCACAACTCGAGGGAATCTGCAAATCTGCAATATATCCTTCCATCTTCCATACTGCACTGCCCACACCACATCTCCCCAGCCCACATGCAGACCACCTGCACACCAACCTAAGGTAGGTACAGGTACATACACCTGCATACCTGCCTTACCCGCCTCAACTGTCGTGGGTGTTACATCTACCTACCTAGGTACTTCCACCATCACCTCTCACCCCATCTGTGACGATCCCGCAGCCAGCCAGGGCTTACGACCGACGATTCGCCTCGAGCGCGATTCCGACTTTGTCTTTGGGGCTCCAATACAATGGCAGACCAGGAGGATCAGGCAGCGAAAGCTGCTCATGCCAAGGCAGCCATGCAAGCTATGATGGTGAGTACTGATCTTTACATCCTAGTCATTCGCCAATTACCCTACATGACGAATGGCAACAGCGCTGGCTTCTGGTGCTCCCTACCTTGATATGCGGCCTTGCTTCGTGCACCTTCACACACCGGCCCTACACAATCCGCACCTTTCTATACTTGCTAACAAGTTGTTCTTCTAAACAGGATGATCTTGGCCTTGAACGGATCGAAGAACTCGCCAAAGATGACGGTAGAGGACCTAGACGGCGCCATAATGACTTTGAGAGACGACCCTTCCACCCACCGCCTCAGACTGTTCACAAGAAGGGTGGACCTATCGAACCTGCGGCCCTGATGTACCAAAGTAAGTCCTACATCAAACCGACATCGTGATGCTCAGGTGCACAAGACTGACGTGTGAACCAGATGCTGTCAAGATGGGAATTTTCAACGACGATGACGCAAAAGGAGTTGAGGGTTTGGACACCTTGAATGACGGACAATCCCACCGCCGGAAGAACGAGCCCATCCCGTACGCCATTTCCAGCCGGCATAACCCATCCCAGCAGGCGGCTCCCAATGGAAAGACGCACCACCTGGTCAATACAATCGACAATCTCCTGCACAAGAATCCTAAATATGACCCACTGTAAGTGAAGTAGACGGAGCCTTACTGCGTAACGACACTGATCACAGCATAGACATCCCAGCTACCGGAGAGATAACAACACTTCCAAGCGGCCTACCCAGCCCCTTCCACAAGGCTCTCGCATAGGAAGTCTGGGTGGATTGTTGCCGCCCGGAGGAGAAATCAAGAGATGGGAACCTCATGCCAAACAGCCCAATGGCAACGTAGCCAATGCCGAAATGCCAGGTGCTGGACGCGGCCGCGGCGCCCCTGCCCAGCGTCCCTTGCACCAGGCATTGCCAGTCCACCTGGAGGCTGGACGCGGTTGTGGCGCACCCAGAGCCCGTGGTCCCGACATTTCTGTTGTCATGCCCGCAAGAGCCGTGTCGTCAGTACAGCAGACTTTGGCGCCTCCTGCCCAAACCACACAGAGGGCCGCATCAAGTACTGTGGGAACTTCTTCGTTTTTACCACCACATCTTCGGCCAAAGGCAACAACAGCTTCGGAGCAACCACGAGCACCTGCGCCCGTCCTTCGCAATCAGCCCATCGTGCAGAACGTGGACATTGGCCAGGCAACTCAACAGAAAATCCTCCCCCCTCACTTGCGGCCACCTCCCTCGAAGAAGGACAATGCATCGGCATCGAGCACGACGCCTGGTAGCCGACTCACCCAAAAAATTAGCCCGCTACCGGCTAGCCAGACCTTCCTCGGAATGGAGGTCATCATCCTGCAACAGGTTGGCGCCGACAACGCCAAAGTGCCAGGCCGTGTCGCAATATACGAGCTAGCGGAAAAGCCATTTTGCCTCTGGGAGTTGGTGGTTGACGAGAAGAAGGTAACGCGAGCCGATATTCGCGAGCTCCTGGCTCCCTTCGTCAGTGGAAGTACCGTCTACGTACGTCGACAGAACAAAGCAGAACCCAAGGGGCAAGTCCGCTCAAGTCAATTGAGATTTGAAAACATACCCACGGCCCTTTATTTCGAGCAAGAATTGAAGTTGCGCCAGAAACAGTATTCTCAATCAGCCGAGCCAATCCTATCAGAGACTAGCGAAGCTGCAACTCAGCTTGAAGGCACCAATGTCGCGGACGTGGCAAAGCCGCCGGCCCCTGCCGTTGCTTCCCCAGTACCGCGACAAGAGGATGTCCCGTCCAAGACAGGTACCTTGATCGACTTCTCTGCGGAACAACCTGAGAGACCGTCGTCTCGTTCCGATGAGCTGGTCGGATTGAATTACAGTGTCGAGAAAGCTACCACCGCCGATCCCTCCATTGATGCAGCTATTGGGCAGCGGGATCATGAAGAGGAACCGGAGGAACAAGTTGAGGAGCTGGAAGAGGGTGAAATCCTCGACTCCGTTTCTGAAGGTGTAGAGCCTGAAGCGCGGCCATTGTCTCAGGACGAGGATACCAAAGCGACCAAAGCGGCACTCCTCGACCTGAAGGCCACCGAAGAGGTGCCCCTTGGGGAAAATCTTTCCCAAGCTTCACTACGCATTCTGTCCCACATTACCGACGCGGAATACAACGACATGTGGCAGACTTCCGCGAACTTGTTCAACATGCTTGGATCGGTAGACACGTTATCGGTGGATATGCCGCTGGAGAAGTTTGTGGCTCTGCAGACCGCATGTCTGTGTCTTATGCGAGACGATGAGTTCATGAACCTCTCGCGAGATGACCACAAGGAGCAGAGGAAGATACTGGCAGTTGTATACACTAACGTTCTCCATGCGACCTCTCGAATAACTCGATCAGCGGGGGACATCCTAGACTTGCGAGATACGGCGAGGTCATGTCCGGCTGAAGTCCATGAGGTTAACAAGCTCACGAAAGATTGGTTCCAGAAGCATCCCAGGCCCAAGTCGAGTTCCATTCCAGCAGCACCGTATAATTCCGATATCTTCGCCAAGAACGCGGCAGAAACTGAGAAGTTCCTCTATGCAAATGGACAGCGGGCCGAACCGAAGCCCCCTTCGCAACAAACCGCACCCGCATATGAGCTGTCTGCTGCTTTGAAGGATGGTATCCCAAAGCCTGGTTCGAGTCCTGCTCAAGCGTCGACCCATTCGGCAGATGTAGGGAACCAAAAGCAGCCTGCTCGGGGCCTGCCCGCCGCGAACCTGAACTACGTGAAGAGGTCCCAGCAGGTGTCCAAGACACTTCCTCTTCCTCTTGCGGACAAGACCAACAGCCTTACGAAACCCACCGAGACAGGTGAGAGCTCGAGGACAGGTAATCGTCAGCTAGCCCCAGAGGAGGAAAAACCTACTCGTCGAGGCCTTACCCCAGCAGCCCTAAATCTACCTCCTCACCTTCGGGGGGTTTCCAGTGGGCGAACAGTCTCTGAGAAGGCCCAGACTCCGAACAAGGACATGGGACTTTCTGCTCCCATTGCCTCTCGTCAATCACCCTCACCGGATTTGCCGGCAGCTTATGTCACAAGCAACTCTCCGGCAATTGAGCAGGCAGGATCAATGGTCCCCCGATCTGTACCGCAGCAGCCAGGGAAAAGTTCAGCGAATGAATGGACCACTGTGAAGTCTAAGAAGGGTCTGTCATCTTCTCGCTGGGCTGATTCCGCTCTGGGTAGCTCGACGTTCTCGTCTTCCGGTGCAAACCGCAACATCGAGTCCGGAGGTGGCCCCAACTTCTTCGGAAACTCCTTCGGCTTGGATGGTGCGCAGGACGAACCAAGTCAAACAGCATCCTGGGAGGCGACTCACAACCGCTCAGACACGGTTGACACCAATCATTCATCTCAAAGCGAAATGTCGCTTTTGGCGAAAACCTTGGGCTCGTTCCACGTAAATGGCCGTCGAGGCAGCTGATCGACCTGATGACAATACTCTCCTCTACCCTTCCTTCACTGCATGGCAGACGCTTGTCTCGTCTCTATGCCTTTGCTTCCCATACGGGAAATGAGCCACTTGTTCTGAAGGAGACACGCATCATGCACACGGGCGTGGTTCTTCCACCAGGGTCCCTGCCCATGCCATGAACACCACTTCCTGGTCTTACGGCTTGAACAGAAGGAATTGGAAGAGTCTATCTTCAGCCCTTGATATAAGGGCCTCTACTGGGAGATGTACTGAAGTCTCTGTTGTACCTTGTCATTTCTGTTACTTCGTTCTTTTCCTTTCCTTGAGTTGTACGGCCTTGTGGGCGACCTGGCAGCGCCTAACATGAACGCGCAAAGGTTGGACAAAAGTGTTCGAGCCAGTACTGCCCTTCACACCTTCGAGTCTCCAGCCGAGGCACGCTTTGGGAAGCAGCTTGTGCTGTGGTTGTGCGGTCATTGCGTGGTATGTTCACTGATACTCTTCAGATTATACTCACCCTACATGAAAACGAAGCTGACGAGATAGGCAGGCCAACGCTCAAACGCGCGATCTGACCAGGATATCGGCAAGACTCCCTTGTCTAGTCGACTCGCCTCCCTCGTCATTTTGCTACAGGGCTCTCCCCACAGAGATTCGTCACAAGATCCTCAGGGATACCGGCCTCGTCGCCCCGAAGTCTGCAGTTTCCAGGGACTTGGAGCAAGGGTTCAGCCTGTGGTACCAGCATGACGACGACTAATATATTTTCCCTACGCTTTGTGTCGTACTAGTGGTGTGAGGGAGGGGTGGGGTGGTGGTGTTGTCAGTTTGCTGAGGTGAAAGATCGTCGTCAAGGCAGCTTTCATTGCCCAAGAAAGTTGAGCAATAGCCTCATTGATCGACTTGCCCACTGGGCAACGACCATGTGTACCATTGACCCAGACGAGTCTGACAAAAACTCTGACAGACATCGGCAAGATAAAGCATAATCTCGGGTTGGTTTCTTGGTACTGACGTTTGGTATTACAGACTCTACATGCATGGTGGTGGAGGAACTTGTGCATATAAAACGACCCGTTGAGGTCATGTTTGACCACGATGCAAAAGACAGTTAGGAGTCCTTGAGTAATGGAGACATCTTGCTTGAGCAATACATATACTCGCCCATATACCGATGAAACTCTGGACGCATTAATGCCCACATCCTTCTGTCTGTATATTGACCTATGTCCCAAAGCACACATATCACCGAAGGAGTGCGTTGCCAGTATCCGCTACTCCGGTGTCTTTCAGCTTCCAATGGCCTCAGAATGAGGGGTTCCTGTCGATGTTGTACAAGTAGCAGCCAATGCTCTGAACTACGACATCGGCCTTCGACCATCTGCTTTGTTCCATGACTTGGATGATCACCGCCTCCCCAGTTGAAGCCAGCATCCCCGGGGAGTGATGTTTAGGCGCACAGATCAAGCCTCAACAAGAAACTGCTGAGACTCTGATGCGCCTGGCTCCTCATTGGATATCCGTTGCTGGATAGTTAAAGCAGTCCCACGCACGGATCCAGGTCCATATCCGATGGCTTCGGTATTTACTTGGGTAGTGTAAGTCCGCGAGGGGGGCTGACATTCAAACCAAAAACTTGGATTTGTTGGACTTACTACCTGAGATGCCATCAATTCTCCACCCATAATCGGGCGAGGCTTACAGTAATCAGATGTTACAGCACTCGAGATTTAGCTGGCGATATCGGGAATACAGGACTGTTGAACACGTACACCTCTCTGGTTGAGTGGTATCTATATGCGAAGAGTCTGGGACGTTACAGGATTGTTGGCGGCCATCTCCCGTCTCGATGCCTCTTCAATAGCCGGTCTCTGCATGCATGCCGTCTGGCACTTCGCTTATGATAGCAGGCATCACACCAAATCAGCGTCGCCCCTGGCCCCTGAGGCGAGTCGCATCAGGCACAGTTCCGGTTCGGCGAAGGGGTGGGATGTGGTATGCTGTCGGAGCCCGATGGTTTCATGGCATGAGTTGAACCAGACGTTGCATTTCTCCAGCCACGTTTGGCTGGATGAGCAAATGCGACTGCGCCACAGCTGGAACTCGCGGCGGGAGGGTGCCGCCCGGGCGGTCAGCTGGTGGGATTCTGCGGGCTCCCGTCCCCGCACTACGGCTAACGGCTGCCCGACCGGACTCTCTGGACTGCAGATGCTACGACGAAGCGAACATGCCGGTTCGGCCTCGTGACTGGCTGGGGCTCGGCTTGGCTGGGCTTGGCTGAGCCCGGGTGGTTTTCTGTCGCAAGAGGCGGTATCCTTCAACATGGTGCCCTCGAATGCAGAGGAATGCAGTGGGAGGGGGAGGGGATCAGCTACAGTCACTACATGTACCTACACGTACGACGTCGATCATCCCGGAAGCTTCCATTCAGAGCTTGTCCTCCAGGAACACCACGGTATTCTGGAAATTGCAGGCTCGCAGCATTCTGAGAGGAGCACTGGCATTCCTCCAGTCATGTTCCGGTATGTATTGCAGGGAAAGTATTGGAATTGACCTGCACTCTTTGTGTGTCTTTGTGACTGGGGCTGACCAACAGCAACACTCGGCACCGAATTTGGGCACTGACGTTTGGGCCTGTGGCGTCTAGGAGTTCATCACTGTCATGGATTGGGGTGTGATTTGGTGACTTGGGCCAGCCGACAACCTGCCTTGCAGAGCACAGTGTCATTATTCTTGACAAGGGATCAGTCAAGGCACCGGACTGCAGTAAAACACAGTATTATTCAGTAGAAACACAGTAGAAACACAGTAGAAGCAGACCCGCAGCAAGGTAGAGCCTAGTCAACGAGGTAGCGCCCAGCACCGACCACCACTGAGAGCACCCGACTGCACAACACACCTGCACTGACACACACGCCACAGCAACAGCCCCATCCACCCATTTCCACATCCATATCCACCCTTCCACTTGACTCCCCGTCTCATCAAATCAACTGTCATCAACCGCACTGCCACATCCTGCCCTGGCGTCAATGCACCGACCGAATGAATGCACGAGCGACACAAGTCTCACTAAGTAGCCAAGTAGCTTCCCTGGTCAACTGGTCCGCTTGGGAGGAAGAGGAACGAACCATTTGCATTTTTCCTTTCTCCTCCTCCTCCGACCCCAACAGAGTCAACACCACTCCTCTGCCCGACCGACCGCTTACGATTTCACCACAACCAAAGTCTTCGTGGACTGACGCAACGTCGGCCGGCCATAACAATCGTCTGCTGCACCCTTCATTAACGGAGGCGCATCCATTTGACTTTCCTTCGCCATGAACGTATTGCTGTCCCCGCAGCCGCCCTTCTTCCCTCACCAACAACAACCCAACCGACGATCTCCCACCCGCTCAAGTACGTGACCCTCTCATTGTTGTCTTTTGCTGCTGAGTCGCTCTTGTCCCTTGTCCGTGCTGCACCCTCGGCCGTTGTGGGCATATGCACCGACCGAGTTCGGCCTACATAACAAAGCAACATTGCTCTATTGCATACTAACCGCCGCTTTCAAACAGTGTCTCCGTTCCACAGCACCAGTTCTACCAGCCGAAAGCGAAAAGCCGACGATGACGGCGACGAGATGGCCATGTCGCCTATGAGCTCCCCTGCCGTCCAGTCCCGCCAGCTCGCCCCTCGACCAGCCAAGAAGATCAGATCGAACGACCTTGCCGGCCGGCCTCTGACTCTCCCCCGTCTACTCGAGACTCTTGACGCCACACAACTGCGAGCCGTTTTGCAGACCATCTGCGAACGACAGCCGGAAATCGGAGAAGAGGTCGTCAAGAGCGCCCCGAGACCGACCGTCGAGTGCGCATTACAGGTCTTGACCGAATACCAGGACAAACTGCGACAAGCATTCCCGTACGGCGGTTCCAACTCCGACTACACATACTTCCGGGTGAAGCAACCTCTGCTCGCTCTCATCGATGCTCTCGCCGATTTCACCCCTCAGTATCTTCCGCCGAATGAGACGCAGGCTACCATCTCGCTGCAGTACCTCGACGGCGCCACGAAGTTCGTCCACGAGTTACCCGAGTGGGAGAGCCACAGCCATCGTTCCCACAAGGAGAACGCTTACGACGAGATATCGAAAGCTTGGGCCCTGGTCGTCAATGAGGCCGCGAAGAAGGGAGCCGGTTTCGTGCTGCACTCGGGTGGTTGGGACCAGACCTTAGCGAAGCACAACCAACAATCGGGTGGACGACTGGAGGCCGCCATCACCGCCATGGCCAATCACGTCGGATGGGTTGGTGGCGGCGGATCGAACGGTGGAGCACCAAGTACGCTTGCAAACCAACAGGGATCCATCCTGGACCAGCTGATGGCTGGCAATTACGGCTCTCCTGTGCGAGTTGGGCCGTGGTAGGCTCAGACCGACAGTCACGTAGGGAGGAGTGAACAGTTCTAACAGTGTCGGTGATCGGGGCCGAACGAGGATCAACGAGTACATGAAGCGGCCAGCATACAGCACTTGGTGTTTCAGCATCGACGTGGGGCTGCATGGGTGCACCATGTGCGCCACCTCACGATGAATCATGATGGCATATTTATTTGTTCGTGCACTGGCATGGGACGGAGCATAGATTTGGTACAGGGCTCACGGTTACACTATTCGGCGTTTCGCATCATCAATCCGGTGGTGCTTTGACTTTTTGATATCCCGTCTTCCCCTTTCCTTCTGTCATTCCTTGAGAGCACCTCATATAATTCGATGGTGGAAAATGGGAAGCCCCCCTGCATCTGGGTGCTTCCCTTTTGATGGGCCGGAAGTGTTACGATGGGGCCACTGCTACTGTTTGTACATATGTCTTCGCAGTGGTCCTGTTGCCATATAGCGGGCGAGATGTCTCGTATAGAGAGGGTGCCAGCAACCATCCAGAACATGTTCTCCAGCCCATTTCGATTGCGCCATTCGTGGTAGTGTGGACAAAGTGACTGTAAAGACGATATGGCTCGGCGGCATGCTTGGTATGAACCAAGTTACGATACAGGCTGAAATGTCAACGTCACGTTCATTTCGCCATGACCCTGCCTACTTGTACCTTTGAATCAGATAGACGTGCCAGTAATTCTATGCGCACAACTTTATAACCGGTAACCATATGTCAACTCTGATGATTTAAATCGTATATGTCGCACACACTTACCAACACACGCTTTGCTTACGAAGGCGATTCCGCCACACCACTTTGATCTTCCTTTTTTACTCCGAATTTGGTACCAGGAAGATGTCGCGAAATGGGTCGATTGAGCATCTCTAGATAATGTATATTACGAGGCTGGTAGGGACGGGTCGGGGCATGTGTAGAACACTACATGGAGATGAACATGGGTGATATCAGTGCTTTCCTGGTGCTCTGGGATATTTGGTTGTTTGCATGTACTGCTTGGAGAGACTGCGACTCCTGAGGGCTTGCTGGTGCTTGGAGTTTACTGGGGACACACAACTTCGAGCGCATAACGTGAGGACCTATGTATGAACATCTTGAGTCAGACTTGAGACACTTCATCCGAAAAGGTATTATCGGCACCCTAGGCGAACGACAGGTGGAAAGCCCTCATATTTTTTGTGACCTTCTCATCAGCAACTGATGTTGGATGGATTCGGTGTTGAAGTCGAAGAGGGGGGAGGAGGGGTGATGCAGTCTAGTTGGTCCAGTGACTTGGTGTCTGCCTACGCGTCTTATGTAATATGGAAGTGGGGTCTCCACCCGCCTTACAGTGGTTGCGATGGTTCATGCGCTCAGCCGTGAACCCAGGCGCGTCTCCATGCCCATTCCATCTCCAGGCTCCAGCAACTCCAATCGACAACCTATTTGCGTCGAAACCAGCAAACGAAGAATCGATCAGGCTCGGCCTTGCTGACACGCCCTGTGACTGCAGAATAAGCATGAGCCATCATTCAGTGCTTGCAGAGTCTCGATCATAAATCCAGCATCATGCCCGGGTAGGTTCCCATTCATCGCGTCATCGCGTCGTCGCTAATCCGTGCATTTCTTCCAGTCCCGGCGACCAGCACAGCGGCATTGCCAATCCTTTCGAGGAAGCCAAACCGCGCATATCCGAGTACACCGCTGTCCAAATCGCGACATTGCAGTCGCGACTGGAGAAGCAGTTGGGACCCGAATACCTGTCATCACGCAAGGGACCTGGCGGCCAGAAAGTCCACTACATCGCCGCTGATAAATGTATCGCCCTCGCCAACGATGTCTTCGGCTTTAACGGATGGTCCTCCAGCATTCAAAACATTCAAGTCGACTTCGTAGACGAAAACCCTCAGACTCTGAAGATCTCGCTCGGTCTTTCCGTCATTGTTCGTGTCACTCTGCGAGATGGCACCTATCACGAGGATATTGGTTATGGACACATGGAGAACAGCCCGGGAAAGGCCGGTGCCTTCGAGAAGGCGAAGAAGGAGGGAACCACTGATGCGCTGAAGCGCACCCTTCGGAATTTTGGCAACGTGCTGGGCAATTGCATTTACGACAAGGACTACTTGGCCAAGGTCACCAAGATCAAGACCGCTCCGACTAGATTCGACGAGGATAACCTGCACCGACATGCGGATTTCGTCAAGAAGGAGCAGGCCGTCGTGAAGGCCGAGCCAAAGAACTTGGCGGAGCAGAATGGCGACACGACCGGTTCGCTTGGTGGGTTTGACTCTGATGGTATTGACTGGGTGGATGCTGATCTATTGGACGTGTAGTATCGGCGGCTATGCTGGAAGATGAGTTTGGAGACGACTTTGACATGGCTGATTTCGGCGTCACGGAAGATGGTCACCCTGACGAGGTGGTCTTATCTGGTTCTCATGAACATGGAGTGAATTCAAGCGAGAAGTCTCAAGCTTTGCCCGCTGGTAATGCCAGTCGATCATCCACAAGTGGTGCTCCTGCTCCGAGACCAATGCAACCGCCGTCTAGACCTAACGCACAGCCGCCTCGACCACCTCAAACTCCTAACCAACCTCAGCATCGGCCGGCACCGTCTTTCCAGAGCCGTTCTAATCCACAACAACCCCAGCAGCAACAGCCTCGGCCGCCCAGTCACGTCAACAATACGGCTCAGCAAGCAGCTACGGCTCGCAGAACGAACACACCGCCTCCCAACGTCCAGAAGCCGCCGAATGGAACAACTGCGGCGAACGCACAGCATGCACCGAACGGTGCACCTGCTGAACCAGTCGCATTCTTCTCAGCTCGGGCAGTCAAAGATGTACCGGAGGATGTAGATCCGGGTACTGTAGTCATCGCGGACAAGGGAGCCAAAGTATTCAACCCCCACGCCGAGAGCCCTTCCATCCGGAAGACACCCGGCATCGATCACAAATCCTCGAAACCTCTGGCTAGAAATGGACAGCATGTCCAACCAGTTAAGAAAGATGAGGAAGAGCAACGGACTCCGACTGCTAATGGCCAGTCAAACGGAGCCGATTCAGGACCTGGAAGGGCGGGCATGGCGAACCCGGCATTGACGCACGCCCGGCAGATCGGTGCCCCCGGAGGCGGAGGCAGTCCGCTCGGCAACAGAGGACAGTACAAGCCACCGACGATGAAGCGACCTGCTCCCAATGGTCCCGACGGCGGAAATAGGGCTCCGCTGACCGAGGTGTCGGCTAATGGAGTGACGAACAACGGTGCTGGCCCGGGAGGACTGGATGCCAAGAGACAGAGGATGGCGTGAAAGCAACCACAGCACAGATTGCTACAATATGATTGCTTGTATGGTTAGGGACCCTGGGAGTTGCATGATACCACCGCTTTATGTTGAAGTATATACAATTAAGAAGCTGTCCGCGGCCGAAAAGCGGCTTGTGTTTATGGTATGTGTCACCCCAGTACTTCAGCGTTCTGAAATGCCTCTGCTTTTAGTTGTGAGTGCGTCGCGCCAAGCCGTCAGCCGCTGACGGTCAGCCCGTCAGCTTATAATATACCAGAGGGCTAATACCATACGATCCCCGCCTCAAAAAGCTTCATGATGCCCATGTGAATTCTGGAATCTGAGGATTACATATCTTATTTCGTCAAAAGCATCATACCCGCAGTCCATCTGCGGCCAATATCCCGCCGTCCGGTCCCCGCGCCAGTGTTTGTCTCAGCCGGCTCACCATGAAGCTGTCTGACGTTTCCGAGGACTGGTACCTCGGCAGCCCGATGCGGTCCACGATCAGGTACATGCTGGAAACGGGCTACGAGCAATGGGGGTTTCTCATCTACCGGTGCACCTACGGCGACGACGACGCCTGGGACAGCTACATGGCGTACCTGAGGGAGGAAGTGCACAGCGATCTGGACCACTCGGGCTGCGACGTGCTGCTGGAGCAGTACGCCCGGTGGACCGTGGTGGAGGACGAGTCACTGCTCGACGGGGCCTCCAAGGACCAGGTCAGGCGGCGCTTCGTTGCGTGGAGGGACCGCCACAGCGACAGCGTCTTCCAGTGGCCGCCGCCGCGCGCCCGCCAGCCGCGCTTCGCGTACTGTCTGTATGTCGACCAGAAGTGCCTCGACACGCTGCATCCGCACGTCGAGGCCAAGTCCGCTGCTAATCGACGTGATCGACCTCCGCCTCCTCTTGTGGCTGCCGTCATCGACGGCGATTTCCACGAGGGTCGGTTCGACAGTCACGCGCGCGAGGGGGAGACCTACCCGCCGGTTGAGGGCTGCGCGAAGAAGTACGTGGGCTGGCAGTACTACTCGGCGCGTTGCCTTGCCGGGTTGTATGAAAACTTGCAGATTGAGCATATGGATGGCTACTTTAGTTATCAGAGACCGCCGGCCATCGGCCCGTGGTGCAGTCGATCCATGGACGATTTGGTGTAGTATTGGTGGGGTCTGGAGGTAGCTGCTAGACTGTTGTTGGCGATGCAGACTATGCGTTGAGTACCTAATGTTGGTGAAGAAAATAGACGTGATGAAACCCTACCTAGAGCTATCGGCTGGAGGCATGTGAGTATGAAGATCATCCTGGTTAAGGTACCATCATCCTCTGGAAACGGTGAGGATTTGTACGACAAGTTCATGTACAGCGATTCAAGCAGTGTCCTCCTCATCTCGTTGGCATTGCGAGGTGGCCGCTTTCTCGTTGATGGCCATTGCGTGCTAACTACCTCCTGGCGATACCATCGTCCGAGCGGTCTGTCTGCCATGCCCAAATCCGCCTCAGCAGTGCAACATGTTGGTATGTACCAAAGGCGGCCAGAATCCGTCAAAAACATCCCCTGCAATGGCGAGGTGCGGGACGCACTCTCGAGATCGCGCCAGCGCTTGCCTGGAGGTCAACCCGAGTTCTCTTGGATGGACTTGTCGCGCTGTTTTCGTGGTTGACGTAGCTAGAGGAACACACCAATGACCAGACGCAATTCTCTCAGTGAGCTCGTTCTGCGCCGTGGCATTGCCTATTGCCCGGGGAGGCCTCCAAGTTACATTGGTCTCGAAAGTGTCTTGGGCTGTTGGCTCTGCGCTTTGCATGTCTGCAAATTCAGATTGAAGGCCTTCTCCTTGTGCCTCTTCGACCAACCTGAAGTATAGTCGTTCCCCGACGAAGAGTCTGCTGAAAGACATCATTGGTTCGCTCACTCGCGGCGCTGCTGCTTCCAGGGGGTCATTGTCGACCACTTCTCTTCTACCATCAGTCTCTCCTGATCTTGAACTTCGGTTGACCCCCTTTGTTGGGAAATGCCTGTGCCGACGCCCAGAGTATACCCAAACTCGCCTCTCGAGCTTCTTGAATGCCACTCCTTGGCGCCTGGAGTACCTGTCAATGGACTACGTTGCGTGTGGCGTATTGACATTGCTGGTCATCCATCTCTTGTTGATAGGGCGCATGTTGTCCTAGCTCCTTGCTGACATTCATTCCAGAGACTTCACGGGATTTACCGAGTTATACGCGAAAGCTGATGGAAAGAAGGGGCCTGTGTATATGGGTAGCCCGGCTTGGTGGTACATGTTTGGAGAGTATTTGCCCCTTGGTATCTATCGCCTGCAGAACCACATTGAGAGGATTTTCCGGGTAAAACGCCTTCATATGTTGCACCGCGACCCGCGTGATAGAAAAAATTCCCCCTAGGGAGCCACGAAGTAGTCAGGGTGAGGAACCTGCTCAAGAGAACTAATCAAGGCCCCTTCCAAAACCCCCATGCGCCAAAACCAGCCACGGCAGCAGCCGAGAAGATGCCCACCCACGCCATGCCAGCCTGGATCAAGACGCGCCGCATGAATCTGTCCCTGGCGTCCTTGTCGTTGGCCCGAGGGAAGGGCTCATCGGGAATAGGCTTGCCCAGGAACTGGCAGAGGGGCTCCCACCCGTCGGCCAGATCCATCTCCAGCAGCCTGTCCTTGGGCACGAGGTCGCGCACCCACTGGTTGTGGACCTCTATGAACTCCTTGCTAGACGCTGGCCTTCCATGCGTTCGTATTGGGCTGGAAGAACAGGGGAAAAGATCAAGTCAGCTTAGGTTACGTCGTCGTCACAGAACAACCGAGCCATCCCTCCATCCCTCCATCCCTCCATCCCCACTTTTCCCCTTTTGGGTATCGAAGCACAACAAAACATTAGGTAGGTAACATACTCTTCCAGATACCCCCGCGCCGTAGCAGGGAACCACCGCGCACCCGGCAGCGGCAGCAGGATGGCCTGCGTGAGGCGCAAGCTCCAGTCGGACGAGTTGTCGCCGAACAGCGAGTAGCTGCGCCACCAGCGCTCCGGGTCGCGCGTCACCAGCACTACCTTGACGTCCGGGTACAGCTCCAGCAGTTCTGGTATGAAGTGCAGCATGGGCACATCGGCGCAGCCTACGAAGCCCGCGATGCAGGCCTGTAGGGACTTGAGCATGCGGGCGCGGTCGCCCGCGCGGCGGTGTGCGTAGATCTGGCTGATCTGCTTGCAGTAGGCTGGTGTCATCCGTCAGTTGTTGTTGTTGTTGTTGTTGTTGTTGTTATCATCTGTCATCCGTGTCCGAGACGTTGGATGGAATCTGGTGTTCTGGTGTAGGGTGGTCAGGTAGGTACCACATACCATCTTCGCGGTTGAATACCTGGGTCCCGCCGTGCATGACGGGGCCGTCGAGCAACTTCTCCAGAGCCATGGCGAACGAGAGGGTCCCCGTGCGCGAGAAGCCCGCGTCGATGACTTCGAGCTTCCGCGAGGGGTCTTGCGGTACGGAGGCGGTGTTGCCCATGGTAAGGTAGTGTAAGATTTATCCAATGGCCTATGTATGTTAGCGGTTGACGTTAGAGAAATAGTGTAATACTGGAAGTTGTCAAGGTGATACCGGTATGTAGGTATAAATAGGAAGGGTAGCTGAAGGATCTGAGATGACGTCACTAGTATATTACGTGTATCCCCTTAATGGAAGCACCCGACCCCGGGACCGAACATGTCGGATATTCTAGCTGGTCAGGGGTTGCGGCCAATTGTCTGTCGTAGATGGCGGTCAACCCGCAATTCTCTTTTTAGTAAACACCACCAGATGAGCTTGAAGCACGCCCAGTGGTTGCGTCGTCGTCAACTGAATCGAATGGTGTCGGGAGATCAGGGGCAGTGGTAACTAGGTAGTTATTGGGTAACCGGACCTGGTCATGCCATTTCCATGCTCCAGCATTAAATAATTATATTAATGATCCACATCGCTGAACTCATCCCATTCAGCCTGATCGGCATCAATCCGTCCTCTGTACGATCATCTTTGCGAACGTGAGTGAAATACGAGGAATGGTCACTGGCCTGGACTGTCACAAAGCCCGCCGGCTTCCCGATCAGAACAGGGAAGTCCCACTGGCTCGACAGCACGCGAGAAATCCCATGATCACCACCTAGCAGTATACGGCAAGCCGCCAAGCAGCAGCCTTGAGCGTAAACGTTTAACAAACCAGGAGAAGCGAAGTCGGAATAGCCCCGAAGATCGATGAGTCGCTGCGGAGAGGGAAGCCATGTAAGAGGCTAAACTTTACTTACCGGCAGGTGGCCGCTTCACCAGACAGGGCTGCGAGTGGACGAAGACGTTGCGAGGGTTTCCCCGCAGAGTTAGTTCTGTCCATCGCGGGCTGTTTGGCCAAGTGGCCAGGTTCCAGATTGAGTGTCCAGCTCGAGATCGTGAGATGCTATATCGTCATCACGACGCGCCATGGGATCGGTGTATGCCATCCTGGGGGCAGGCAGGTTGGGAGACGGCATCAAGTGAGATTCGACTGGTTCCAATGGTCTTTGTCTTTGACATGCCAAGCATGGTCGGGCTCGCTAGGCGGTAGCACTGCACTTGGTATAGTCATTACCGCTGCCCAGCTTGATACTGATCAAAAGAACTGGTACGGCTAAAGGTCTAATTACTGAGCTGTAGATTTAGGAGAATGGGAGAACACGGAAGATGGCAGGCCATGTTTGCTGTTGTTGCGTGAACCCCTATTCATCGCTTGCTGTCTTGCTTTGTCCGAAGCAAACAAATGCAACTTCTTGTCATCCATGACTACCTAAGGTCTTTCAGCATCCTCTTAAAGCAGCCTTCAGAGACCCAACTCGTTGATTCCTGAATGCTCCATGCTTCAGGACTCAGGCCAACTCGACAGCAGGTGCTCAAGTGTCAGCTTCGCGTATTGGCGCACAACTTGGCATTTCCCCTGATCACCGTCTCTGCAGAGGGCATAGTGAGCTCCACAGCTTCCACCTCGGTAATCATGTCCACCTCGGCGGGCCCAGCCGGGCTCGGCAACGGCAACAGACGATACCTCTCTATGTGGTCCCAACCGCACGTGATCGCTGACCGCATCCTCTTACTACGCCCCCTCCCCAAGTTCGGCCAGCAGCCCTCGCCGGAAGACGCCAAAGACGGCATCGATGACACCCACGAGCAGATGCTCCGCAAGATAGGCAAAGACCGCGAGGAGATCGAGGCCGCCGTGAAGTCGAGGTGGGACACCGCGATCAGCTACATGCAGTGCTCGGGCGAATCTCGTGGTCTGCTGCCCGGTCCGCTGTGAGACCGGTATTTCTCGAAGGGGCCGCGCAATACCAAAAGCACCCGCAGGATCATGAGGGACGAGGACCACGTCTACCGCTTCGTGATGATATGTGAGTTCGTCTACCGCTGCATCGGCGCGGAGCTGGGACATGATGACAAGGAGATGCTCGGCTGGGAGTCCGAGTACTAGGTAGATGCGGACGAACGGTTCAAAACTTGGGTTTTGACCTTGAGGGATATTGTTGTCGGGGACAACCTTATCAGACTTCAGGAGGAGGCGGAGGCAAAGGCCGAAAGGGAGAAGAAGGAGGGTGCTGAGAAGACTGAGAAGACTGAGTGAGCTTGATGGGGAAGACACGTTGGGTCTTGGGACCTGCTTCGGTCCGCATCGTCCGCTGACCGTGATTCCGGCTATCTACGATGGTGTCAGTTGTGTATTTTGATACACCAGGCTTCTGGTTAGGGCTCTGGTGGGAATTGCTCGGATAGAGTGCAATGTGTGTACACGAGCTACAGACAGCTCATGAAGCCTGCCCCAATGCTCTTGTTGTGATGTACTCTTGACTTTGGAGGATAATAGTACGTGATATACGATCCGGATCTAATCGAGCTGCCTATGCTCTCATTATGATAGTCAAGTGCCCACCCCACTAAACAGCCTTGCGGTGGATTCAGAGAAGAGGAGAAATCGATATGCACAAGATACTGTAGATGAACCTCCAGTGACTCAGCATCAATAACTTCGACGAGAGGGTGACGGAGATGCTTGCATGTATACCGTGCCATGCATGACGTTCTCTAATTCGCCATCTGGGGAGTCTTTCAGAGAGGCCAAGGCAAGGAAGTGACTTAATGTATGTGAAAGTATCTAGACGTCTCCTTAACGTTCTTTCAGACACAACTCAGCTTGATATGTATAACACATGTTCCAACAGTACTTATGTAGCAAACAATGGCTCTGTTATGGAACTATCACGTTAGATGACTTTCAGCGTGTACTTCGTGAATCGTCATGTGTTGTCTACCATTGCATAGTCACATAAAGCTCCCAGCTTCTCTAAAGACATACACCAGGTGTGGAGATCAACGATAAAAGCTCAACATACTATCTTCTGTTACCTTAATGCATGACCAAGTCCAACTATTCAGCCCACAAAACCACCTCGTACGCAACGTCTAGACGCTAGCAAGAACTTCTTAGATGTTGTGCCTCAGGGTGTGCGGTCCCAAAGTGGTCCGTGCGCCGGGAGAGCAGCTAGAAAGGCTGTGGCACCAACTGTTGCCTCAGGTATCTGTGTATGTTTGCCCTTCTTAACCATCAACAAAAAAAAAAACGGACCAAGAAGCATGAACTAATTTTACACACACGACGCCGTCCGGCACGACCTTACTTCTTCTCCCATATTCAATCGCTGACTTAGATCGAGTATTTCTGCCGATTCCTTGATCGCCGACACAAACTGCACCACCCTCAAGTCAAGACCAGCGACCAAGACGAACCAATATCGCCGATCATGTCTTCCAACCCCAACCTCACAGTGTGGAACGCGGATGTTCGTAAGAGTGCGTCGGGAGGTACGCGTTGAATAGTACTCACTAAATCAACAGAAGCACCTCATCGCCAAAGCCAACGACTTCTAACCAAGGAGCCACTACCAGGTACTGATACGCGTCGTGTGGACGGTCGTATGGACGGTACCCTCGAGGAGTTTTTGACCTGCGAGCCCTGGGAAGCCAAGCAGCGGGTCCAAAGACTCATCAGCCTTGCCGAAGGTATCGACAATCGCCTCCCTGGTGAAATCAAGCAAGCCCTCCAAAGGGAGCAAGAGAAGCTCGATGAGCTGAACAAAGACTACGATCAGGGGAACTACCAACGTGGCTCCATCAACCGGAAGAATCCCACGGCGCTCGTAGCGATCATCTACAGCGCGTAGCAGTACCCCTCCCCATGGCGACAGAGGCACCAGAAGAAGACATGGCGAATGGAAGCCACGGAGGCGCACAACACACATCAAGGATGAGGGCGCTTCGGCGATCAAGTGATGGCGTGGAGCGACTATGTCACATACAGCATCAGAAGAAGCAAGGTCATCAGTCTGAGAGACGAACAGAAATCCTCCGCGGAGGCACGACCACGGCTTACAAAAGAGCAAGAGCCACGGCACGAAGCCACGGGAGCCCCCCCCCTGTTTTGCGGTCCCAGACATCCCCGGGCCTCTATTCAGAGCCCTATGGTCGACCTACTGACTCACAAGTTCTCACATTACCCCGTTTTCCTGCTGCAGACATCCTCAGGCGTCTGTTCACGTTTACATTCTCGAATACATCCCCACGGGCCTCCACCAACCATGAAGGCATGTTCAAGACAGCATCCTTCCAACCATCAAAACATCTTCAACACAACATCCTCCCCCCAATCAAGACATCTTCAAGACAACAACATCCTCCCAAACATCACCGACAATGCCGCCCATTCCCCCCTTCCTGGGACCCGACGAGTCCGGTAAGTCATGGCCAAACAGAACCCAAAGCAGTCCCAAGCCCACTGGCTGCCTGTGTCTGATCTTCCGTCTGACCACAATATAGAACGCATGTACTTGATCGTCGTGACGCCCGGAATATCTGAGGAGAATAAGCAAATGGCGTACAAGATGCACGAGAAAATGTGTTTGGCCAAGGAGCAGTTCAAGGAGGCAGAGGAGGGCTCCGCGGAGCACAAAGACCTCGGACTGAAGTACATGGAGGCCGAGGGTGCGTTTTCTGCTTCACACAGTGGGCTCTGGCAATGACCAGTGCTCCTTTCTGCTCTCCATGAAAAAAACATGTGCTGATACTTATTTACAGTCCGGTTCAATACCTACGCCTCGATGATCATCGCTCTTGCGGAGCCGGAGGTGCAGCCGGAGAAGGAAGAGCCCAAGGGCTATCTTGCCGGAGACGACGGCGACGGTGACGACGACAGTGACGACGACGATAAGAAAAACGATGACGAAGAGGACGATCAGACCGAGGCCATGTACGCAGGCGGAAACAACGACAGTGATGCCGACACCATATCCGGCCATGAGGCCTAGAGAGGCCATTCGCACCTCGCCTCTCACCTCTTGCGGCTGGTAATCCTCTGTTTCCTGACTCTTTCTTCCCACTTTCTTTCTTCTGGTAGGAAACTTCCCCTGGGAGCAAAATCGCAGCCATGCACCAATGAAAGTCCATTGTCTTCCATGACCAACCTAGTACGCGCCTTGTGACTAATATCCAGCCAATGTTCATGATGAACTTGTCGTTACGCATGCTGTTGTGGTAGTGATAGTAATGGTGCGACGTTGTGAAGAGGTGCTTTCATCTTCCATGTCCTGTCGTCGCTATCCTTATCCGGCCTTGTTGTCGCTGCCCTTGTTCGCCCCTATTTCTCCGCAATGATGTTCTGCAGGGGGTGATCCTAGCTATGCTCTAGCTCTGGCTATGATAAAACGCGAGCTTGCCGAAAAGAGACACAGTGCCATGAAACGCAATGGACCATCACAGCTTCATAAATGATGCGCTTACATCGGCCGCATGCATTTCAGTTCATCTAGGCCTGGTTGGGAGTTGCTCTACATGCAGTCGATGGGAAGAAGGCAGAAGAGACTACTGGACACCTCCCAAACAAGGCCACCACGTAAGTCGTGGGCTACAGTGTGATGAGGACCACGCGCACGTGCGAATACTCCCCCAACCGGCCGAAGGAACTAGGTACAGTCGGTTCCCGCGCAGCTGTATCGGCACGTGCTGGGCGAGGGGTACGTGTATAGACAAGCACTGAAACCCTTATTACAAGACGAAAGATACGGAATATCTCGTATATTAGAGATATAGAAATGCCGTCCGGTGAGGGCTTTTGTGATCAAGCATGATATACTTGGCCCAGCTTGCCGAAGAAGCATGCCAGCCAGCTCACGATATTCCTCCAGAACAGCAATATCCTCACGATATCTGCCTTCAGTATAGCCCCAGGCTAATGATTAAAGACTCATCATCCAACAGACGTCGAGCAAGAACAAGGACTTGGTCCGGAAAGCAATCCGAGCCTCGATCCCTATCGGTAGACACATTTTGCGGCTATCCGAGTACCACCCCACTCGGCATGGACAGTGCCGTCGACCTCGCCGGCCGCATCGACCTTGTACACACCCTCATCCCCCCTGCTATCACCCCCACTGCCACTGTAAAGTTGAGCTGGGGGTTCCCAGTGACCTGGGCCGTACTCTACCGGACCTATTTCGCAATCCTGTCCAGGTAAACAGAACAACGGGTCGCCCCAAAGCCTCAGCACGAACCTCCATTTGCCTCCGGGGAACTCCTTCCACCCCCACTGGCACCACGCGGCGACCATCACGTTGAGCCCTTCGGCGCCAATTACGTTCATGCACTGTTGATCTCGTGTGTCAGTGGTGGTATAATAGCGCAAGGCGCTCGAAACCGGGCTCGCTGAACTTTGCTTAACTTACCTGGGGGCCGGCGGCCGTGCAGATGACATAGGGCCACTTGTCGTTCCAGTCCTGGGGCGCCACGGGGGCCCCATCATCATGTGTCTTCGCGGGTGCCTCCGCAGGCGCCGCGATGCCCAGAGTGGCTGTAGCGCCGAGCAGCAAGACCACGTGTCGAAGCATGATGAATAGGTCTGAGCTCAAGAGTGGGTGTTGTGTTCGTGAAGGGTTTGATAGTGGGTGTTGTGTTCGTGAATGTTGTGATCCCCAGGAACTACTGGCGTAGCGCGTTCCGGGTTGTTGTGAGAGAAAGCGTATCTTATGACAGAAGAGAAAGGGAAGACGAGGACTGAAGTAGTTCACTCATGTACGATCACACGAGGTTGGGGACCTTGCATGTGATAGCTTGCTTGCGTTGACTTTCTGCTAATGCGAGCGATTCGATCCAGCCATGGATCCACCAAAGCATCAAAGGAGGAAGATGACAGCCGGACTTGAATAACCTACCTGACTACCGTAAGAGACGCGCATGTGACTATCGATGCTCACGTCGTTTCGTGTTGGCTATTCGTCGATACGCTGAGCGGGATGCAAGATCGCCTTGGCCAGCCGTCGTGCCAACCCGAGATCCCAACCACCCCAGATACTAACAGCAACTAGTTAACGCAAAGTCCTGCCACATCTCTGTTGCCATCCACGTGAAAGTGTGTCACCGCCAGTCAAGCTATTCTATACGGGGCTCCTCCTGTTGTCGTGTTCGTTCTATGGCGTTTTCGGCTCGGCTCTTCCCTCGAGGTTGAAGAGCCCAATAGCAAGTAGCTCAGGGTCCGGTTGAAACCAGCGCCATCCCCTGTGCCGTGGTGAAAGCTTGCTTCTGGGAAGAACACGTCAGCCCCAATCGCACATGTCCAGGTAGCAGTTCCACCGACCATGTACGTATATCCCTTCTTTGGTGGTAGAAGCAAGCCAGCAGCCCTGCCTCTTCGGCGGCGGAGTCGGAACAATCGTCTGGGATGCGCACGTGGGATGCCTCGCAGTTTGTTGATAGTGTAAGAGAAAGGCGGTCGGTCGTCTTTGGCGGACCGGCAGACAGGGAAGCCTCCACGGAGCAGCTGGTCGACGGCTGACCTAAACCTGAATGAATCCACCTAACATCTGGTGGTTGCCACGCCCCAAGATAGGAGGTCATCCACGCCCTCTGACCTCAACACTCGTGTACCAATATCCGTGTGCCACTCCCTCTGACCTCGTCACACTGCCAAAAACACCCCGGAATCCCTCCATGCAAGCGCTATAGGCTCGACAATAGGGGGCTCGGAGACCGGCAATTGGGATGCTCGAATAGGAGTAGCGAATTGAAGGTCGAATAAGAGAAAGAGGTCGGCGATTCGCATGTTCGGCAAGTAGTTAATCCGTGACGGCGATGGCGATGACGAGGTGTATGGATGAGGGACCTCTCTAGCCCTTGACGAGGTGTATAAGGGGCTTTCAGCCCTTGCTTTAGACACGTCACAGCATGACGGAGACCAATCGAGGATTGCCGCGACGGCGAGCGTTTGGGTGATCGTCAAAAGTCGAGCAACAGAGTATTGCGAAAGTAGACTGGACCTCTGAATAGATGAAGCTATGCGAGATCCAGCGGGTCGTAGATCGAAAGCGAGATGCTACCATGTGAGAATTCAGAATGGTATGTATTGGAAGAGGAATAAGGGTAGCTGATGGGGGTACCACCCTACTTGAATAGGTGGGAAAGGTACCTCTGACAGCTATGAGGTGATCTCACAGGGTGACACATGTACTGCTCAAGATACGCCACTGAGCACGTATTCTGACAGACCGCCAGGTAGCTTCGGGCTAAGGCACCAAACAACACAACTCAAAGCAATCGAGCCATCCTGAAACAGACGACTTTCGTACTTTAGAAACGAATCGAGCGGCGGGTCATTTGATGGTAGTTTTCGGACCTGAATGGTGTTCGACGGGGGGGGTGGGGGGGTCAAGGCAGACCATCTGAAGATGCCATTTAATTGCGAGCGTCGTATAAAATCTTGATCAGCGGCTCTGTAAGAACACTCACTGTTCGAGCAAATGCACAAGGATGAAATGGATAATTGGGGAGCAGGAATGTCTCGGACAACCTGCCCTTTGTCATTTGCAAGCTACGTTGGTGATATGGAGAAACCGACACCTGTGATGAATGTTGGGCATCCAGCATTCGTTTTCAATATATCGCAACCGACATTCCAACCAACGTTGTTTCGGACGAATCTGCTTTTGGAAGAATGTTCCTGTGCGACCTATCGTTGTGGTTGATTCAAGCTCAGCCTGATCGATGATAGGTCAAAAGCCTGTGTTAGTTGGCTCGACGTGATCCATCGGACAGGGGTAAGCATCCGTCGGTGAACTCGGCTTGCTCTCACTGAAAGACTTGCAAATCGTTGGCTGCCAGCCGAACGGAGATTGGCCCGCATCGGCCTTCACTTTATGGCTGACCTGTGCGGTTGGCGGCTCTCGTCGGGGTTTCATTCTTGCCCATCAACTTTGTGTAACGTCGCTTCTTGCCTTTGTACTTTCGTTAGGTTGCCGTAGCCTTGCGATCAGGATATCAGGAATGCTCGGACTCGGATATTGCAGGGCAGGCCGAGAGGGACAAGAGAGATAAACCAACACGTTAGTACTCGAAGCAAGGTTCCAGGTACTAAGAATGATCTCTTCCTACTACCTAGATAGACTGACGTGGAAATCCTCGCGCCTTCTCTTTTCTCTTTTCTTTGATGTTAGAAACCCCTAAAGCCAGCATGACGAATCCTCATAGACCTCGCAGAGCTAGTATGGCACGACAGGTAGCTGCGAGTCTCCCCCTCAAGGCACCTACTCCTAACGTCATGAAGTTCTTCAGTAGTAGACGTGTCCCTCCAACACCCCTCTTTGTCGATACAGAAGCGACTGACTGCCAACCTAGGCACAACCTCGCGAGACGACACAACTATCAGAAAGGCCTACCAGGCCAACACTGAAGATGACTCGTTCGTTACCTCAGTCTCTCCGGATGCGGAAAGGTGTGTGTCCAATGGAGGGACCGCCCAACCCAGAGGTTGCTCAGATGACGGACTCACGATGCTTCCAACGTCCATATCCCGTCTGTTTGGTTGCGCAGAAGATGCAGCAGCGCCATGAGAAGTTCTTTGTCTTCGTGGAAAATGGACCAGTATAAGTTTCGCGAGAATTCAGGCTTCTGGTGATTGCAATGTCTGGCTCCATCCACCCCAACCCTTCCCCCTCTCAGCCTCTGCGATAACCCGAGTTTAGTCGAAGCCAATCTCCTCCTCCGCAAGCAACCTAAACTCAGCATCTTATCAGTACTTCTGTGAGTATAGCTCCGAGCAAGCTTCCTACCACATCCGCTGATACTCTTTCAGTACAGATCCAGCAAAATGCCACACACAGTTGAGAAATGCACATGCCCATGCGGCCACCCCTACCAGAACTACGTTACCCCTGACTCCGACGACGAGATAATCAAGAATATATCTCCTAATATGGCGACTCTCTACTCATGGCTATGCCAACCCTGTCGGGCGGAATTTTACTATAATAACGGTGACGAGGCGAGACAATTCGGTCGAGGCTGCGAAGGAACATGTTATCCGGAGAATTGGAAAAGGTACACTGGCAGTACCTGATCAGGACTTACTCATTCGAACTTCCTTCTTCTTTTCCTCCTCATTCCTCTTCTTTAGTCATTCATTTCAGGTTGAGGTGTTGAAACCATAAACACCATCCAGTCCTTCGTTTAAACTGCTCATTTCCCACTTTCATATTTCTTTCCTCGAGTTTGGTCTTGGTTTTGCTTTCGGTCTTGCTTTCGGTTTCGGTTTTGCTTTCGGTTTCGGTTTCGATTTTGGGTTTCGTTTTGGTTTTGGGTTTAGTCTTGGTTTTGGTATTGGTCTTTGTCTTTGTCTTGGTCTTGGTTTCGGCTCGGCGTTCAATTGTTTCACCTCTATCTCTCGTTTTTATAATACAGTGTCGACATTAATATTCCTTTTGCTCTGCAGTGCATCGTGATTCTTGAGTTCAGTGTGATGGTGGTAGCCAAGTGAATGACATGAGTCACTCCTCTGCGGGCCACCCCGTGTCTCTGCCGCAGAGACCTTTCGCCACGACTGATAAGTTCTGAATGCTGCTATAACGGGGGACTTTCGAGTGAATGAATGATGGGCTTGGGGTCACGCATGACACAGACTTGGGTTGCTCACAGTAAGAAGGGCCTCGCTCCCCTCATACAGGAAGAATAAATATCAGTCCAAATTGAATCAGACAATAAGCCCACATTGAAGCTGCTGGAGGGTACCTCTATATCTTCGGTTCTGATGACTTGCCATATCTCGGCCACGAGAAACACTAAGTTACCTGCACATCAGCCAAGACTCACGAAACCCAATGGAGATTCATTTTGAAGGCACTCGTAAAGAGTGAAATTGGGCAGTAGGGTGTACGGATGAGCCGCTGGAAGATTCACTGGTTGCCCCATCAGCCAGTCCGCAGCGTGGCCACATCGCTGGAAAGTTGGGCATTCACAAGTGAATGGAATAGTAATGCTTATATTATTCGAAACTCCCTAAGACTCTGTGAATGTATAGATGAGTAGTTCATGTAGGAGGTCATCCGCTCCGTAGCAGTGGATATGCTGCAAGGCGTTGCTGGATCACGAAGCTTGCTCACATGATACCAGCCCATTTTAACACGTTCATGTAATCACAAACAACCGGTTGGTAACGAGTGTTGCCGATCCATAAAATATAGACGCTTGACGTCTGATGTCCTGTTCGTAATAATAGACTCAATAATCGACTTACCTACACCGATACCCACCCACACTACACAGCAACACACTACACAGCAACACACTACACAGCAACACACTACATAACAACACGCTACACAACAACACACCACAGAACAGCACACCACAGCGCAGCGTAACATAACACAGCCAAAACAACTTCACATCGCAACCTAAACACTCGACAGCGACCATGGACGCTTCCATTTGGGGCATCATCGGCCTATGCATCGCCTTTATCCTCCTCATACCAATTGCCTAAATCATCCAGGAACTGCGTAGGCGCCGCACGGAACGATGATAGCGCCGTACGCCAGGCGAACACGGCCAGGAGCGGAGGGGCGTCTGGGAGAGCAGAGTGGCGAGAAAGGCTTGCTGAGCACATGTGTATAGGAGAACGACAAGCTATCGCGATATGTTAGTCGGACCTGTCAGGTTTCACTTACTCTGGCTGTTGTGAGGGCTTGACTGGGGGTGCATCGAACTGCTTGCCGCGTCAGTGACCAACGTGGAAGGCCGAGTCAGTCCCCTTCAACTCATTCGAAGTACTACTATAGGGGGAAAACAAGGCCGACAACTTATAACCCGAGCCCCAGATAAACCCTTAAACCCATGCCTTCGCTTTCTGCCTGCCAATTCGCCACTCTCAGAATAAGAGACAACCACTTGATGTCTGAGGTGGAGATCACAACCATCGTGGGAGTTATCGTTGGCTGCATTGCTCTTCCAGGTTTCTTAGGTCTCTTCTTCCGGGCGTGGAGTACTGATCATGAGCGCACCGCGTTCTGTCTTGGGTGCACAGGCTGCCAGTGCCAGGGCTGTTGCTGTGTTACGAAGTCATGGTTGACCACGAAGCGTCTCAGGGTGCCGGCCTCAGAAAACTCACAATTGCGTTAGATACCTACGACATACGCAGCTGGTGTTTGGGTAGCTGCAGAATCGTCGAGACCGGCGCATACTGGAACGGAAGGTTATAGTAGCATCGATTCAGCGCCTGTATCTTCCCAGCAGACGGTCAAGCCAGAAGAACATCGCATTTTATCAGCAAGACATCAATGAAACAATAACCTTCACAGCTTCATCAACCAACTCTCCTTTCGCTGGCAGCACAAGACGTTGATAAATTTGTGACTAGGGAAAACGGTGGGATTTTAGCGTCCTGTCAGTGATCCTTGGCGACAGCCTCAAGAAGTGGAGATGTGGTACGTTGGACAGCAGGCCGGGGGAAGATTCACCCTCTGTGCAGTGGGCAGCTGGAGCGGCGCCAATGGAAGAACCAAATTCCCCGCGGGTAGGTCGAAGCTGTTCTGTGTTTAATAACCACGAACCTCACAGCCTGCTTCGTGCAACCTCTCCGGTCATCTCAAACCTTTTCCAGCTGCTGCAATAGGGCGTTCCCCCGCTGAGACTGCATCCGTGACCCTTCGAATCGTCTCGACTGTGGGAAAACGGGTAGGAAAGGAGTGGCCTGATAGGTGGTCCGTTTCTTGCAGCTCAACCAAAACTGGAAGTCCTACTTGATTGCTCATTTTGTAGTCGCATTGCGCGACGCTGGACCAGTAGGACCAGTTGAGGCTGGTGGACGGGACGGGAATGGCCTGTAAATTCTCTGCCGCGGCAAGCAACCGTTTCAGTCGTACGATCTGGACCGGATCAGCTCACTCAGCCCAAAACAGCCACGCCTGCCAATCATGTGGCGTGCTGCGTAATGACTATTGTACAGCATCTGATTGGCCAGAGGGTCCCTGTCATGCCCCCTTCCAGTGGTTTTGGTGGGGCCAACGGGGGCTTCCGATCGAGACCCGCTGGAGAATGCCTGTAGCTCCACTGCGTTCTCCCCATTCTGGAGTCCCCCAACCCAAATTCAGGGCCCAAGATTGCCCGGTGTGCTCCACGTTCTGCCTGTCCAACTTCCAAGTCAGCCCTCCCTCTTTTCCTCCAACATGAAGGTGGGCTCATCTATCCATGTGCCCAGCCGCTGGAATCCCGCAATCCCACCCGGTTTATTTCAGGCAGCTCGGTAAGCGTTGGTGTGGTAGTGGTATGTGGTACGTGGTAAGTGGTAGGTGGTGCTACCCGACGTCTTCAAAGGAATATAGGAATAAAACTGTCCTGCCCCCCTTCCTATCCGGTCTACCGTATTCCTGAATCTGTATTGTCTCCTTCCGCTGTGACTGCTCTCTTCTCTGCTACCTTTACTATCAACCCACAGAACAAGTTTCTACTTATTACCCTCTCGTCACTCCAGCTCATCAACCACGACGTACTCTTCTCAGTACAATCCAACGTTCGACTCCGGCGCAAACAACTACTCCTCGCCTACCCGCACTTACACCCGCGCTGCCTCCGTGGGGCATCTTCGACATTTCGACTCTTCATACCACGACAGTCTACCACACCACACCATGTCGCCCACATACACCATGTCGGCACACCTGTGCAAGGAGATCTACAAGTCCTTCCAGACGCGCCAGATCTCGCCCGAGCCCGCGAACAACAACACCACCACCTACACATCGTCGCCATTCCCGCGCCGCTCGCCCTCGCCCGAGAAGCGCTCCATGGACAGCGATCGCAGCGACTCGAGCCCCGCCTCTCCTCCTCCCATGTCGCGATCCTCGTCGGCCTCGAGTTGGAGGTGGGGCGGCCGCTAGAGGTTGTGAGCATCAAAACGAACGACACTGGAGCTGGCCTAGCGCCCGAGGCTACCAGAGATGACAGTTTGCATTGGAGGAATGGGACAACATCACACCATTTATGATACCACTACGACGGATTCATTATACCACACGGGCTGGCGTACTGGCGTACTGGATTGCACATGTTCGGGAGGGAACGGAAGGGTCACGCGATCAGAGGCGGGGATCGCGCCAATACCCGGCGAAGCACGCCATCACAGAATACTGGAGCATGCGAACGTGGGGTCCCATTTCAGCTTGGCGGGTGTCCGTGGGGGATTTGCATATGACATGCACCGGCCTGCGCAACGCCATCGCATCATGGCCCTACACCAACTCTCATGACGCCCCTTCTTGTCGCTGCTCGGAGTTGCTCTTACCCCTGAACGCCACCCCGAAGCAAGGAATGGGGGAACCAAGGAGTAGGACAAGATCTTGCTCTGACCGACGATAGCATCTCGACTAGGGTACAGGACACAAGTCGCTCTAGATGGGACGCGCAGCAGAGCCGTGGCTACGATTACCTACCTACGCAGAGCCGGGATCCTTCAGAATTTGACGCGCGCAGATGAATGCTTTGGACATAGTTGATCAATACAACTGATACCATTTAATAGATGGCTGCGCCCAAAGCTCACGTTCTTCCCAGGCCGAGCCACTGACAGACACCCGAGTATATCACAATGGCACGCTCTTAATTGTCGTTCTCAGCTTATTGATTATCTTGTTGCGTTATGAAATCTCGATCTGTTCTCACAATGTATATGTGACTGTCCCTTATCAAGGTCAACGATGGCGTCAATCGTCGAATCTTGATGGCAGGGAAGCAGCCATGGCGACTAGAAGGGTCTCCAGTGAAGCTACTGTGACCAGCAGTCAGCCGCTTGCCGCCAAAGAACCTTGGACTCTTCCCGGTACGTACCGCCAGTAAAGTCAGAAACTCGTTATCGGCTTATAATCCATAGCTCAACTTGAGGTAAGGCGTGCCGAGCAGGGAGGCTCTGTGGAACATCCGTCACCTCATCTGGCAGAATCGTAATGCGCACCTTGCCCACCCACCATGTACCATACCTACAATATAAGTCTGACTCATGTGTACGTATAAGGGAGCCATAACCTACTAAGCAGAATGTCACCGGATGCACGAGAGGAGAAACGAACGCCTGGCATTGCCGCTCCGGCTAATACACTCAGGGGGGACATGTGGAACGAGCGCTCAGTGGACCTTGTGTGAGAATACTGGGAACAGTCGGGTTATATTAGAAGGTCCCTGGCCTGTGTCTAAGTAAATAACCGACATGCTCCGTGGTCCTGCGACGAACATCCAGCATGGTTGTCCACTCTTGTGCTCATCGATCGCAGGAGTCATGAGACAGCACAGGTACAACCCTTATCTCTCACGAAATAGACTGCGCTACTGTGCTTTGGCTTCGTACTTTTGGTTGTGAGTGGCGATCGCTCTGATGAAAGGTCAGTACGATGAGCGGGTAACCGCGTATAATATCAGCTATGAGAATCAACTCACCTTCCACTGGGGTCCGACTGCTTGGACCAGGTCGGCGTCCACCGCATGACGGTCTCGGCGCAGTGCGGTGGGAAGTGCTCGTCGAACATGGTGCGGTACCAGTACCTATTGCGCGAAAGTCAGCACCACATCAGACCGTCCGCTCAGATAAACAGACAACCATGCCAGGCAAAACAAGGGAGAGATAAGAAAAAACATACGCCTCCTTGGTGTCGGGAATATCGCTGCCCCACTCGGGCTTGGGGTTCTTCATCATCTCGTCCGTGACGTGCTGCTCGGCGTTGTCCTTGAGCGCGTCGATCCAGCCGTAGCCGACGCCGTCCGAGAACTGCTCCTTCTGGCGCCACAGGATCTCCTCGGGCAGGTAGGGCTCGACGTCGGGCTCGTCCGACGTGTCGAAGGCCTTGCGCAGCAGCCACTTCTCGATGCGCTCCGGCGTGATCATCTTCTCCTTGGGGTCGATGTTCATGCAGGCCTCGAGGAACTGACCAGGGAAAAGGGAGGTTAGCAGTGGAGCCCGCCGGGGGATGTGGATGGGTGAACAATTGGCAGGATTGACATACCTCCTTGTCCAGGAACGGCACACGGGCCTCAAGACCCCACGCCGACGTCGACTTGTTGGCACGCAGGCAGTCGGACAAGTGCAGGTTCTTGACGCGGCGCACAGTCTCCTCGTGGAATGCCTTCTTGTCGGGCGCGGCGTGGAAGTATAGGTAGCCGCCGAAGATCTCGTCGCTGCCCTCGCCGCTGAGCACCATCTTGACGCCCATGGCCTTTATCTTGCGCGACAGCAGGTACATGGGCGTGGAAGCGCGGATTGTTGTCACGTCGTACGACTCAAGGTGCAGGATCACGTCCGAGAGCGCGTTGAGCCCGTCCTCGATGGTGAACGTCATGACGTGGTGCTTCGTGCCCAGGAACTTGGCCACCTTGACGGCCGCCTCGTTGTCGGGCGACCCGGGCAGGCCGATGGAGAAAGAGTTGAGTTGCGGCAGGTATGTGACGGTGGACAGATGGTCTTCGTCGTCCATACCAACCAGACCCTCGCCCTTGTCAGGGTCCTCCGACTGTTCAGCGGCGTTACCGTTGGCAGCCAGCGCAGCCTTCTTGAGTCTCATTGTTTCCCGCTGGGCAATAGATGCCACCAGACTTGAGTCCAGACCACCGGAAAGCAGCACACCATAGGGGACCTCGGCCATAAGCCGTTTTCTGACAGACTTCTCCAACTTCTCCCGCACCAGCTTCAGGTCGAGCGGTGTATCGGGCACCTTGGAGCCATCCCACCAGCTCGGTTGAAAATACCGAATTGTCTCGCCGGACTTGGTGTCGTAGATATGACCAGGAGGAAATGAACGGATCTTGTCGCAGACGGAGTGCAGACACTTCAGCTCGGAGGCGAAGTAGGTGGTGGCGCTGGGCTCTTTCGTCGACCAGCCCTGGTAGAATGTTGTGATACCAATAGGATCGCGGGCGGCGATTGTTCGGTCGAGGTTCTTGTCGTAGAGAACAAAGGAGAACATACCATCCAAGTACTTCGGCGCGTCGAGTCCATGTTCCATGTACTACCCGGCCCGTTAGCCATGGCTTATCTTCTTCGATGCATCTCATTGCGGTGTTGTAGGTGTCCTTACTAAGGGAATGATGACTTCACAGTCCGACGTGGTCTTGAAGTGGTAGGGCTTCTTGAGGTTCTTCCGAATCGACCGGTGGTTGTAGATTTCGCCATTGACGGCAAGAACGATGCTCTCATCCTCGTTGGTCAGGGGTTGGGCCCCCGACTCTGCGTTGTCTTGTCAGCAAGAGTCTGTTGTAAATGGCAAGACAAACTTCGGAGGGTGACCTACCAACGCCGACAATGCTCAGTCTTTCATGGCAAAGAACTGTGCGCCAATTAGTCGCCAATGTCCTGTGTATAGCCTGTGGTATAGCCTTACTTGTGTTTTTCGAGATAACACTGCCACCTATAATGTGCAACCGTAGTTTAGTAGCTGTATGATCGCTTCCATCTGACCGTGGTCTTGTCTGGTGGTGGGTGACTCACTCCAGTCGGGTCCTCTGTGCCGGACTCTGCGAACAACAGGTCAATTAAAGTCCCCAAGCTCGGTCGGAACCAATACTCACTGCTTAGCAAGCTTCAAAGCCGTCGGCTTGAACTTTTGGACGTCGGGATGACTGCGCACAAACCTCGTGTTAGCAGACTTTGCGACACGTTCACGGGTTGCGTTGCGACTGGATAATAGTGACGATGGCGGAGTTGATCATCAACTTTTTTTTGGCTTGTGAAATGCCCCTCCATCTAACCATTGACGGACATCCAAGGCTCGGGGAGACTCACCAGTGACAGGCGAATATGCCACACATCGTGCTTGCTGCCTTTGCCCTCGCTGACTGTGGATTATGTTTCTCGCGACAGGATCTAAGGTTTTCGAATCTGTAATTGTGCAACGCGCAGTTCGAGATGCAATTGGACTTGAAAGTTTAGAAGCAGTCGCTCCAGAGCGGTAGTCGTCAGTCTAACCCCAACAAAAAAGGGCCACAAGGTCTAAGTGAATGTGGAAGATGGCAAGGTGAATGATGAGTATCCGAGTCTAAAAGTAGAAAAGAGTCACACGGATATCAACACCAACTTGTAAATTTCCCGTTCCTGATAGCACCACGTTTTTTTTCTGCCGGGGGCGGCTTGATAGCATTGAGTTCGCTACCACCAGTCCGGGTGGGAGCCGATCTCGGCGATGGATGACTGGCCCATGAGTGGCCAAACCAAGACGGTGAAGGCGGGAGGTGCGTGCCTCAGTCTGTCTCAGACCCATATTACTCCCGGACTAGAGCTGGCATTTTACTGATAAGAGAGAGGAAGTCTATCCATGACTCGACTTTTTAAAAAGTTTACTAACGGCATGTTGCAATGGCCACACACTAGGTAGCCAAGAAGCAACACAATACTAGGCTTGGCAGAGGAGATGTATTCGGATCCATCAATGCAGTTTTCAATTCTTCGATGCAATTGCCATCATGTGAAAACGAGGCTCGGGAAGCCTGATGGGCATGGGAAAATGCAGAAGCCACTGATAATCACCGCCAAACTACATCGTGAACCTTTTGGTCATCCTTTGTTTACCTAAGGCATCATCTCGCATTATGCCTACTGCCTGACAATCTAGCTGTCTCCCTAGACTAGACGTGCATGGTCCAAGTACCATCTACGTCTCTGCCAGATTGCGTTTGGTCCATCGTCAACGCCGAATGCTCTGCTGAAAATCATAAATCAACGCCCCGTATGTGGTATCCGAACCTAAACTCCGAATGCTCAAGTCTGTCGCGTGCTCACTAGCCAGCAAGCCCATCTCGTGAAACACTACGAAGCGGCGTTGTCTCGGACGGTACGCTTGACGCGTTTCTCGTACTCGATACGGTCTCTCTTGAAGAGGTTGTACGCTTCAGCTTGTGCCGGCGAGTCGGGGTTCGGGTTATCGAGAAGGTCCTGAACACCGAGTGCGATCGCCTTCACCGTGATGGCTGGCTTCCAGCCTTCATCCTCGTTCAGGATGGAAAGGCAGACGGTTCCGGAGGGGTAAACGTTAGGGTGGAACAGAGGCGGCGTAAACTTGCCTGCAATCGAGTATCGGGTTAGTCGCGCAGTACTTGTTCTCTATCGCCACAGAGCGCCGTGAATGGACTTACACTTAGGGGGCTTCGTCGGGTATTCTGTAGATAGTTCATAGAGATTAGTGAAGATCCTCTTGTGCAGGGTCCTACTTGCCACGTACCGTCGGGGAAGATCATGGTCATCTTGTAGAGACCTCCCTCCCAGATTGTTTTCTCCTTTCCGGGAATGCCGCACTCCCAGGTCTTGAGGTCGAGAACACCCTGGGCGTTCTTGACGGGTCTGGCCCAGAAGCCGAACGGGTGGTCCTTTCGCCATTGCTTGCTACCGATAACGCGTATGTTAGTCGAAAACTCGGCACCGTGAATCGCAAAATATTCGTCCTCCCGAGCAAGATGCGCCAACGCCTACTACATACCGTTCCTCTCCGAGACGCAAGGTGCACAGAGACATGTTGATCGCAGATGACAATAGCTGGGGTGGAGATTGTGTTTGGAGTCGAGGTGCGCAGATTGTTGAGAGGGCGGCGGAAGTGAGGCTGCAGGTGTTAACGAGGGAGCCGGATGTTAGGTGGGACTGCCGGCGTTAAATAACAGAGCCGTATAGGGTCAGTTGCGACGAAGGAGGGTTGGAACTTGACGGAGAGTCAGATTCTTCTCGAGATGAGATTCCGTGGTTCGCGAGAAAGAAAGAGAGAATGAGAACTGGCAGGGGTAGAAGTAGAAGAAAAGGGGACAGCACCAGTGACGCCTGAGGCTGCTGGTGAACGAGAGGTTTCGGTGATGTGCTGCTGCTGCAGGAGAGAGAAAGGTTGGTACTTGGAAGTTTCAGCGGGGTCTTGGGGAGCCACGGATCGGGAAGGCGGTGGGTAGTTCTGCCGGAATTCCAGGTTGTTAATGGTGGGGTGATTGTAAGGTACCTAGGTACCTAGGTAGTGTTCTCGCTGCCGCCCCGCGGCGCATTTCGCCAAGACTAATGGCCTCGCAGCTGCCTCGGTAACGCGGGGGCCATCCGCGGCTTCCAAGTCTGGCAACCTCACATTTGACGATCAACTCTCAACCTCTCGCATACTGCCGCATCTAGTCCACACTTCTAGACGTACATATCTGAGGGCACCTTGTTCGGTCTGTCTGGATCCGGGTACTTCGACGGCCTCCTTCCTTGCTGCCTTGCCTTGCGCCTCGCAGCCTTTGTTCCTGCTCGAGCATCACGCACGCGGGGCTGTGGGGTCTACGGCGCTCCGCTGGGTTGATCGCGCATCAGTATCAGCATCCGGGGGTAGCTACCTCGGTCTGTGTAGAAACATCGCCATCGACGGCAAAGGCAATCATGGAGGCAGACAGGGCCGGTGCGGCCAAGGAGGGTTCCAAACAGCCCGATGCCGTCTCCGAGCCCGGAGTAAAAGCGTCAACACCTGTGCCTGACGTGGGTGATGCGCCGGATCCAGATGAGGATGACTTGGATGACCTGGACGACATGCTGGACGAGTTCTCTGCAGTGAAGGTGGATTCCAAGCAACCGCCCAAAGCATCGGGTCTTGGGAAAGCAACAGAAACAGCCACTGCTTCTGCGACTGCTCCTGCGACTGCTCCCCCTTCGGATGCCGCTGCTACGACGTTGAACACGGATGTACCGCCGGTTGGACCTGATGATTTTTCGGAGGAAGACTTTGAGAAGCAATTACAGGCTGGCATGGCCGAGTTGATGAATGACCTAGAGGACTCGGCAAGTTCTGTCTCTATTATTGCATACAAGTAGGCTAATACCCTGCAGCCCGATATGAAAGCACAGTTCGACAACATATTCAAAGGGCTAGGAGCAGCCGCAAGCGCGGGCCCAGCAGAAGCATCGACTTCAGTTCCAGAGACAGGTTCAAAAATGGCGTCTGACCTCAGTCAAGACGCGAGTTTCCAAGAAACGATTCGCAAGACCATGGCGCGAATGCAGGAATCGGGCAACCAAGCAACGGCCGCCGCCGCAGCAGAAGGGCCTGATGACGACTTCCTTGCTGAGATGATGAAAGCCATGAAGGATATTCCAGGCGGTGACGGCAACGAGGAGGACTTCTCGAAGATGCTGATGGGGATGATGGAACAGCTCACCAACAAAGAGATCCTCTATGAGCCGATGAAGGAGTTGAATGACAAGTACCCAGGATGGATGGCCAAGAACCAGGATACGCTAAAGCAAGAAGATTTAAAGAGATACCAAGAGCAACAGGTTCTGGTCGCGCAGATGGTCGCGAAATTCGAAGAGCCTACGTTTGCGGACTCCAACGCCGCCGACAGAGAGTATATCGTTGATCGCATGCAGAAGGTAATGTTTCCTGCTTTTGGTAGTGAGGCCACGCTGACGGGTGAATGAAGATGCAAGATGCAGGCTCGCCGCCGCACGATCTGGTCGGAGATATGCCGTCGGCGAAGGAAGTCCTCGATGGGCCTGACGAGTCCTGCACCCCACAATGAGCCACGTTGTTTTCCAGCGAGATCGAATGAAAAGGTGTTTATACATCTGGAAACCAAGTATTCCAGCGGTGGCGGCTGCTTCGTGGGGTATATATAGGATTGCGGTCTTATGCGAAGTCATAGAACCCTCCGCCAATGTACCTACAACACCAATTGATCGCGAACAGGATCATAATTATTATAAAGGAGTTATAAACTTGAATAACCGCTCGGGGTATCATTTGAAATTATCGTGTTTTACAAGCGGAGCTACCGGTAGGTATTCGGACATTCCGGGTTCGAGACTCGGACTACTGCCCTGCGGACTACCTGTAAATAAACACGCTCACAAGCTCTCAGGTGAGAATGATGAATCATAGCTAACTACATACATCCAGTTTGACGCGATAAGCAGGGCGGCGTGATCCAGGGCAATGCGCCTCTACGAAAGCCGACCGCGAGCGTGTGTACATCCAAGACAGCATAGCATCATCGAAAGATTATGGAAATGGAGTACCATCATTGATGGCGCAGACCAGCCCGGTGCATAGACGGGATGAATTAAGTTTATTGATAACATTAAGAGCCCGACACGAGCCAAAAATTACCTATGCAATGCATCTTAACTAATACACCGGGAGCTTGAAGGCGGGGAACGTGTAGGCCCAGGTGTCCTCGCTCGCGGTATCCGTGACACAGTCGAACGTGCTGTTGTCGCCCGACTGCCACAGGGGGCGATTGGGCCAGGAGCAGAGACCCTGCACCTCGCCCTCGTAGGGCCCGGAGTTGATGGTGGCATTGAGCACGGCGGGCGCCTCGCCGAACTCGACCCAGTCGATGACGGCGTAGACGATGCCCACGGGGTACGGCCCGTCGGGCTGCAGGGTGTTGCGCTTGCAGTGGTCGGCGCCGGGGACGAGGTAGAGGCGGTACCAGTCGTTCATGGCCGCGAGGGAGTCGGCCTCGGACTCGTTGGGGTACATGATGGAGCGCACCGACTGCCAGTAGCGCACCGTCGACGCGGTCGGGATGCTGGGGTCCGACTCGCCGTGGTAGTTGATCATCTTGCCGCCGTGCGACTGGAACGTCGTGAGGTCCGGGAGACTGGTCTGCAGACTGTCGGTGTATCTCTCGAATCCGGTGGTCATCCAGTCGACTAGGGTGTCATAGGTGACGTCGTTGAGGTCCGGGAGGTTGTCGATGTCGAGCAGTTCGACGAATTTGGCAACGTATTCGCCGCCCTTTTTGTTGATGTTGAGTCCCCATGTCTGAGTGTCCGAGTCGTAAAGGTTTATCGCATCGCTGAACGCGGAGCCGACTTGGTACGAGACGTAAGCTCGGTCGCCCGACGAGGTGTGAAGACCGTCGTAGATGGCTTGGGCGACCGCAACGGCCTCTGCGCTGAGCGATCCGCTCACGGCTGGCGAGGAGCCGTCCGACGCAGCAGCGCACGAGTAGCTCTCGCCAATGATGGAGGTCAGGTTGAAGTTGAGCATGCAAAGATCGGACCGGGAGATGACTCCGTCAGTCCTTCCGTCGAGGGGATCACAGGCGGCAATGGTAGCATTGACGATCTTGTTGAACTCGCAGGTTGAGGGGTAGTAGTTCAAGGTCTGCTCCACGACATTCGAGAACGAATGGCTTGTCTGTAGCTGCCCGTAGCGGATAGCCGGTGCACCCAGGATGGCGCCGTCGTAAAGATCACCGTAACGCTGGACCTGGCTCAGACCCTGTCGTCCGCCATCTGAGCAACCCTGAAAGTAGGTGTAGATTTTGGAGTCAGTATCGTAAAAGCCTTGCAAAAGAGGTTTCGCGACCATGGTCAGCTCGCCTAGTGCCTGGTATGCAAACATGTACGTGTAGTCCCAGTTGATAGTTCCATTTCCATCCAAAAGGACGCTGTCGAAACCGGTGCCACTCAAGGCACCGTAACCGCCATCGGTACCGCCAGTGGCAGCGTGATAGACAAGAGTTCCGAGGAAATCGGTGTTGAGCTCGTAGGCGAATCCACCAGTGACAATGAATCTGTTCAGGAACACATCGGGAGCCGGCAGGACGTAGTTAAGCACGACGGTATCGCTCTTGCCAGTGTGCTGGTAGTTCACGGTTACGTTGCAGTAGTCGTACGTCGTCGTCGTCTCCTCGGCAGTGGCATTGTAAACGACAGACGCCGTGACGGTATCAGGAAGCAGTTCGATGCCCAGCAGAGTTCCGCCGGCGGGAAGAGCCGCCTGCACGTGAGATACTGTACATAGGTCCTCAAGAGTGGCGTCGGTGGCGACGGTAGCAGTGGTTGCGGCGGCTTGGCCGACAGTGGTGGCGGTAGAGCCGGTGGCAGTGGTGGCGGTGCTGATGGAGGCGATAGAGGCGATGGAGGTGCTCAAGGTAGAGGCGGTAGAGGCGATAGAGGCGGTGGTGGCCTGGGCCCCGGCGGAGCTTGTAGTTGCGGCATGTAGAGCCGTGCCGAACAACCCAAAGGGGTTCCAGAAGTCACGCATCTTGGAGCTGAAATTAAAAGTAAAGAATAAAATAAAAGAATGTGGTGTAGTTAGAGAGTGATCAAACGAATGTCGGCGACTTGAAGCTTTATTACTTCAATCGCAATTAATGAGTGACTGGAGATACAAGAGCCGTTCTGGAAGCGCTCAGAGGAGTTGCGAACTGCTCGGGATACTTCTTATATAGCGGCAGCAATCGACACGCATGGAGCACCCCGGCACTGCTTACCGTACATCATCTACCGTTCTGCTGTTACGGGGCGTCTTCAACGGCGCCTGCAGGAAAATTTGCTTTCGCCAGAGCTTCGAAACACGCAGCATAGCCTCCTTCTCGGACCATGCCGTGGACTCGTACCTGAGACGACGAGCAAGCGTGAAAGGGGAGTTTGTCGTTAGTAATGACGAGCAGAATATTGTGGAACTTTCGTATTATGGCGGCGCTAGATGGAGAGATCTTGGTCATACTGCAAGGAATGCGAGATGGTGATGGGAAATTTCAGGGAATTTCCCGACAGGCCACAGATCGCTCGGAACGATTCGATCTAGTTTATACTGGATATCCACTCTATATGGAGAACGTCCAGAATAGTAACATACTAGAACGCCCAGTAACGCCGCTGGATCCGATCGACCATCACGTACCGAGGCTTTGGTACACCACCAACGACCAATGTGACCAACTAAGTCGTATACCAAATAGCCCAAGTCCACGAACTGTGCCCCCAACTGAAAATTACAGGGGCTCTGAAAGATCCCACTGGCGAGGCTAAGTGGCAGGAAGATGCCTGCTAGCAGCGGAAGTACCGTAGATGTATCAGGATCTGAGGTAATGTTCGAGATTCCTGGGCATGCCGGTCGTTCTGTTGGCCATATCAATGCAGACACCATGAATATCGGCCGCTATGTCTTCGACATACCTTGTAGCGTTGTTGGACGCGTCGCTTCTTTCGTGTGTATTGTTCTCTGGGGAGATCATTGAGTCTTCGACGCTACTCAGCAGCGATCCCATCAGCGTTGTCAACAGGTGGACTAGGAGTCCAGATTCTTATATACCTGTAAACGTCGATAGTGGTATATACATGACTGATGCAATCTTATGCGATGTCATACATAGAACCCTCCCCCAATGTACCTACAACACCGAATGATGCCCGTATCCGAGACTCCCCAAACCCGATGGACGGGTACAAAATGCCGACCAAGAGATAGAAAACATGACCCTGACCCATCTTCACGAGATGTCCATCTGGCCTGATGATACACAGTATTGACTGCCGCTCTCCTCTTGCGACACGAGGTCCATAAACAGACTGTCGTAGTCATCGTCGTCGGACAATGATGGTGAATTGGGTCTGGCGGATGCTTGGGAGGACGACTCGGCCTCTAGCATGGACAACATCGCCTCCATCTCTCGTTCCTCTTCCTGCGCAATGGCGTCCACCATCACGTCATCGTCGGGTTCCTGTGGTACTTGGGGCGGAAGTTCGGGAATGTCTTCAATCTCGTCCTCGCATACAATGCCGTCCAAATCCGACTCCCTTTGTTGTCTCCGTCTCCTGTCCAAAACGGCCCATTCGAGCTTCAATGTCTATCGCAAACGTTAGATTCACCACCCAATTGCAACAGCAATTGAAAGGAGCAACATACCTCCTGGTCACCTCCTCTCCTATCCCACTTATTATCATCCGCCCGCTGCCGCACGTTCTTCAGGAACAGTTTCCTCCGGCCATCCTGCGCGTTCTCCCGATTCTGACGCAGCGGGTTGGGTCTCGCATTGCGCGACGCGTACTTGAAGAATTTGGACGACGGCCCTTTTATAGGCGATGACTGCACGTCGCGTCGGGGCAGCGTGTTCGGGTCGCGCGCAGATAGGGGCGGTGGCGAGTACTGCGACGGTCGGAGGGGCGACGACGACAGTGGCGACGAGACTGTCGGACGGTGGGGCGAGGAGAAGTCGAAGTTGTTGAAGATGGGCGTGGGCATTGTCGCCAACATCATCTCGTCTTCTCAGGTATGAAATGGTACAAAATTCGACGGAGGTGGTGTACAGCAAGCAATATTGGTAGGGTGGGTTGTTGTTTAGTCGTTTGGGTGGCGGCTTGAAGTCTGACTCTGACCGGAGTTGTTCAAAGAACGGCCTGCCAAAGCGCGCGAAGAGACAAACAGAGACGCGAACCCCGGGCTCTCTGATGTCATGCACCAAAGCGGGGGCACGACGCGTAAAGAGGCTACTGAACCCCACATGTCTGAGGCGAATCCATCCACGTGGTTCACAAGCCACAGCAGCGAGCAGTGTGCCTTGTGGGTAGCGGTTCCAGAATCAGGACCAAGGTCACGAATGGTGGCTATTGGTCTGGATTCTGGAAGTTGCTTAATTGAAAGAAAGGATGGGTGGTGTCCCCATCCTAGAAGTAGCTATCATCCCAGTTGGGTACGAATCTGGTACAAACGGGTACCAGTTGGGTTCCAAGGTACCTTGTACCCTGGTCCGTGACCCATCCGTCATTGTGGCTGGAAATGGGGCTGAAGAGCCACAGCAGTGTGGATCCAGTGCATGGACCCATATGGAGTATTCTGGAACCCCACCAGATATGTTGGAGGTTACCTGATGAAGGCTGCCTGGCAACCCTTTGTTGCCCCAGGTACCTCACCACTGTAATTTAGGTATTTAGATACATCTCGGATGGAATCCTTTCCATCCGACCTTTTAATCAAGCACCACCCAGACCACTGATAGATTATAACAAGACTTGTGATTTGTCAGCATCTGGGAAAGCTACCAAAAGGCACAGCAGTAGGTCAACCGTCAATGCTTGTATCGGGTTACCTCTTTACCCATGTTTACCCCTGTCTATCATGACGCTGCCGTCGCCGGGCTTGTCCGATCGCTGCCACCCCCTGCAATCGGGTCCGACGCCCGTGCCTCCTAGTTAGAAGGAAAACCCGACGTTTGCGACTTTTTATTAGGCAATCCCAACACATTTGTATCGTTTCAAGGTTCCACTTCTTCAGGAGACACAACATTACAGGGCTTCAATATCGTGACAACAACAATATGTTCCGAATATCTTCTTGCTATGAATAGTGGTCCAATTCTGCAGTCGTTGCTCTTGTCGCCATGAAGACTAGCTCCATCAACCCCCTGAGCCGCATTGCGAGCAACGCGCCTTGGACCTGCACCAGTTGCCGCACGCAAGTCCTCGCTCGTTCTAAACCGACACATCAATCCTTGTCCCGAAAGTACGCCACAGGCCCGTCCGCCTATTCGAGACGAATATCGAAGCCCCCAAGAGCCAAAACTGCCATCTTGACCGCCACGGCAACTGGCGCGGCCGGTGCTGGAGTGTTGGCTTTTACCGACGACATAAAATATGGATACGAAGCCACAGAACGGGCGGGCAGAGTTGCCACGACCCTGGCTATCTGCATCAACGAGTAAGCCATCCGTTGGCTCGGCGGGCGGACGTCTATCAGTCACTCGGTAGCTAACTCGAACACTAGCTACCGAACCTCCTTGAACCGACGCGACAAGGCCGAGGATCCTGCCGAGCAGGACACCCTGTTGAAACAATGCCATAAGCGATGTGCTGAGCGGACATTGAGAGTCTTGGAGAAGAATGGAGGCATTTTCATTAAGTTGGGACAGCATCTGGTATAGTCATCTGGTCCAGGAATGTCAGGGGCACTGGCTAACTGCAGGCAGAGCGCAATGACATATTTACTACCATACGAGTGGACGAGTACCTTCATACCCTTGCAAGATAAGTGCCCTGTGTCTTCGTTCGAGTCGATCGAGGCCATGTTTCGACGCGATACCGGCGAGGACCTCAAAGACTATTTCTCGGAATTCGCGGAGGAGCCGATCGGGGCAGCTTCTCTTGCGCAGGTCCATCTGGCGACTGTCAAGGATTCCGGCCAGAGAGTTGCCGTCAAAGTTCAGCATCCCGGACTGGCGCAGTGGGCGCCTCTTGATATGAAGCTGACAGCCTTCACCTTCTCGACGCTCAAGCGGTTCTTTCCTGAATACGACCTGGAATGGCTGTCGGCAGAGATGGAAGTGTCGTTACCACAAGAACTAGACTTTCAGCTCGAGGCGGCCAACGCGATCCGCACACAGCAACACTTTGCACAACGACCAGAGCTGCCCCTGGTGATACCCGACGTTATATGGGCGAAGAAGCGCATTCTGGTCATGGCCAAGGAGTCCGGCAGTCGTCTGGACGATCTCGACTTTCTAGACTCAAACCACATCGATCGCGACGAAGTCTCTGCCACGCTGTCACATATCTTCAACGAGATGATCTTTGGGAAAAACGCGCCTCTGCACTGCGACCCACATGGTGGCAACATCGCGATTCGAAAGACGACCCGGAAAAGAAAAGGGGGTGCCAACTTCGAGATCATTCTTTACGACCACGGCTTGTACCGAGTCATACCAGAAGATCTGCAGCGCTCGTATGCCAAGATGTGGCTGGCAGTCATTGATGGAGACATGGACCGCATGAAGAAGTACGCCCACGAAGTGGCCGGTGTCACGGAGGAACAATTCCCCCTTTTCGCCAGTGCCATCACCGGCCGCGACTACACGGTAGTCCGCTCGTCGATAACGAAAACGCGGTCCGAAAAGGAGAAGAAGACGATGGGCGACGCGCTGCAGGAGGGTTTGCTATCCGACTTAGTCACCATGCTCGGCCAGGTCCCGCGCATCATCCTCCTCATTCTCAAGACGAACGACTTGACGCGCAGTCTCGATGAGAACCTGCACACTCGCCAGGGCCCAATGCGCACCTTCATGATCCTAGCGCGCTACTGCGCCCGCACGGTGTTGCGGGAGCAGGTTGAAGAGATCAGAGAGCGACCCGGAAGCCTGTTCTGGCCAGGAAATGCGTTTCGGCTCTTGAACGCGTGGATGGGCTACCTGAGGGTGGAGCTGAAACTCGAGGCATTCGAGCTCTGGCTGAGCATCCAGAGGGTCGTAGGACTGAACACCGCGCAGCAAGGAGGTGGCATCCCCTCTGTATTATAGACGGTTGAAGACGGCACACATTGATTGTTTTGTGCGTACCTACAACATGCATTACCATGGCGGAGATACCTTATAGATAGACGGATGCATGCTTCCGTGTTCCAGCGGCAACGAGCATTTTTGAATTATTCGAGGTTGAAGAGGGTCTGCTTGTTCTATGGAGATATACTCAGCCCTCCTAAGTCTCCGTACTCGCCCGTACCGGCACATCATGGATGACAATCGTGTCATCGCTGAAGTTCGCTACCGGGACATCGTGGATGACGATAGTGTCGTCTCGAGATGGTGCCATTTTTACGGGGACGTCGTGGATGACAATAGAATCATCGAAAAAGCTCCCTAAATAGCGTCAGTAAAATTCTCCCAAGCCCGATGGCTAAGTCGTGGAAGTTACGCACTGAAGTTGATAGGAGAGGCTGCGGCCATCGACCCCACGAGGGCGCAGAGCATGACCTTGGACAGCATTGTCTCGGTTTCGGGGAAGCAGACGGTTTATGGTCGTTGATGGAAGTCGGGCAAGGAGTCAAGGGCGCTCGTACTGTGGTAAGGGGGCAAGCGGGCAGAAAGGCTTATTGATCTTCCCTTCTTGAGGGGATGTGGATCTCGTACCGTTATATCATGGGCATATGCGGTGAAAGCCTATGTCATGTTTGTCCTACGCATGTTGTATCGATGCTACGTGGGCCCGTCCCAGCGTCGCACCATAATTATTACTTCCGAGCGGGCGGTCCGCGCCCAACGTCGAGTAGTTGTCGGTGCTGTACAGGCAGACTCCTGAGCTGAACGGAACACAATGATGACCCCTTCACTGGCTTCGTTGGGACATAAGACGGCAAAGCCTCGCGGTTGGACACCGAGCAGCCCAACGGGTTATCGTAACCGCTGGATTCGATGGTGCATCTCACTGATATCAGGTCGCCACGAAGTGGTGGTGCGTGGGACTGAGGCTACCAAGCCAAACTATTTGCTTTTTGAGGCCGGCTATACGCATCCGACATCGTGGGACGTTCGATCTTGTTGGCTGGAGCCCTATATACCACCATGACGCACGGGCGAACCTCACCAATCGGGGGCTATTGCGGCCCGTTGGCCAATCGTAACACGCTTCTTGAAGGGAATCCGGACCAGGAAGGTTTTCCGCGGCCTGGATAGTTGCATACATACTCATGCGACGCGGCATCCCTCGTAACCACGTCAACGATAAGGCACATAGGACTCGCCCTTACTCGAGACCGGGTGGCCGCACGGCATAAGGGATAGGCAGGCTCTGCTGACTGGCAAATACTGACCAGATAACAGCCCAGCTGGGGCAATCGAATTCGCAGAGTTTTGACTGGAACGGCTGCTCCGAGTCACACACGGGCTATAGCCTGTATATGAGAGCAAACAAGAACACTGCTCATCAGACACAAGTTGGTCACAGCTCTCAACTTCGAAGCTCAAGTGGATTCTCCAAGTCGATTCTCGAGGTACTCCCCCTCCTATCCAAGTCAACATGGAGAACTACTCCTCAGAGTCCAAGGATCGCCTGCTTGAGCAGGCTGATGGCTACAGTGACAGCCATTTCGACGGGTCCACTGAGAGACATAATAGTCGATTAGCGGGCTCGTGGATTCGCACGAATGCTCTGTCGTTAGCAATACTCGCGTTGCTCCTATATATCGCGGTGCTTCAGACTGTAGATATCGCCTCGAAGCGTGCTGAGCCGAAGGAAAGCATAAACGATGATGTGCACGACGCCCATTCCAGTATGTCTACCCCAAAACCCATACCCACGAGCCTGCTGACGATGATCAAGCCCTTGCCGACCCCTTCCTAGAGTACGAAGACAGACAAGAATGGTACGCCTATGAGCATCCATGGAAGCAAGAGCCATCCGAGGAGCTGGACGCCGTATGGGACAACTTCCTCTACGGTAAGGAGAGGCCCACCATACACCAGTTCCCCTAGTTCCCACCTCCTTAGAAAACACACAGCAAGCTGACCAATTCGCCGACAGCACGCAATGTAAGAGTCACAGCAGACGAGATGGACCTCGCCCACGAGAACAAGACGGAACGACTCCGGATCAGCGGCGGCGACTACGCCGGCGTTCTGGGCGTCTTCCACCACATGCACTGTCTCAACAACCTGCGGCGGGCCCTGCACTGGGGCTATTACGGGCCGCATCTCGCGGAAACCAAGCACCCGGACGCCTTCTCCACGGAGCACTCAGGTAATCAACCAACCATCTACTCATCCAAATTCTGCCCTAAAGAAAGAGTTTGTTTACGGAAGGGGCGGTCAATCATGCTGACTGACAAACGCGTGCTGCCCAGACCATTGCATCGACTCGATCCGCCAGGCGCTCATGTGCCATTGCCAACACGGCGGTCTACACTGCTCTGTGGCATGACGATGCCAAAACGCCGCTGAGCAAGGATCTGACGTCGAATCACGAGGCGAAGTGTGTGAAGTGGGACAGCTTGGATAGCTGGGCTCGGGAAAGGGCGCTTGTGCCGGGGCAGTATAATTATCTCCCGGGGCCTTACGAATCGAACAAAGTTGATCGAATAGGGGGGAGGTAGAACTAACCATAAGTTAGGGGCCAGCTGAATAGCTCAAGATACCTCGTTTCAATGTAGCAACGTAGAAGCAGTCGTTATTAGTTCACCGGTTTGTGAGCGTGCAATATGACGGGATCCGTGTACAAGTGAGTTTCCGTGGCGGCAGGCAATCACCCGTTCCCAGAGCCCTGAGTCCTCCAAACCTCCCCCCTATTGGTGGCAGCAGCCCCCGGGATACGACGCAACCATCCTGCAACCCGAGGGGTTTGGTCAACCCCTGGCAGGGGACCAATACTAACTCGACGAAAAGTGCTCTGCAGGTCGTGGTCACACAGCAGGTCATATGCACAACCCTTATGCTTGTTATAATGGCTCGGGTGGGTGGTACTTTCGATCCTTCCCGCGCAGCGTCGAACGCTGGCAGTGCTGTAGTATCGTAGGACATCCTGCCAACCTCGCCTCGTCATCATCATCATCCACAAGGCTCTGTCTGCCACGAATGCAACCCGGACCTGCATGAAGCATCGTTGTAGGGTGCTCACCCCCTGCTTCCCCTTATTCGTGTACCCCGACACCCGTCTGGCTGTAATTGCCGGTTGCTGTGGTTGCCAGACGAAGCTCGGCCAGACTGCGCGGGTCGCTACTTCCTCGCTGCGTGCATTCTATTTTGCATCATTTGGTCTAGGTAGGCACAACCATACCAGCCAGCTCTTGGCGATTCCAGTCAACAGTTGCTCAAAAGTTCGTACCTTCCAAACTGACGAATTTTCTAACCGGGCAACAACGATCAATCTTGTTGCAAGTCTGCTGATAAACGGTTTAGTTCGAGCACATCACCATTCATTCCAGATCTCAACATCCCATCCATAAACACCCGCTTACACCAGACAATTTTCTGTCGTAGTATCAAACTTCAGCTTCAGCTCTCTTCTAAGTCCCCACCCCGAGATTTCGCCACGCACGTAGGCTATTGCGAGCTCTCTCGAGTATTCCCACGCACACACACATACACACCCATACGTCCGTCCACCATGGCAACATCAGCAGAAGCGCCGCCCACGCCGCCCACGACCGAGAGCGAGGTCTCCCGGACGACGCCCACCGGCGAGCCCTCCACGACCTGTTACAAGATCATCGGCGACCTGTCGTCCGCCACCTCGCCGCCCCTCATCGCCCTGCACGGCGGGCCCGGCGCCGGCCACGAGTACCTATCCCCCCTCACGGCCTTGTACACGGCGCACGGCGTCCCGGTGATCCAACGGCGTATCTGACAATGTGAGCAATTTTCCTCCCCCCCTATCTCATCCACCGTGCCCAGTTCCCATGTCCAGTTAACTGCCCCTGCCCCTGCCCCAACAACTATGCCCTCCTTGCACCACCAGCACCGCCGTCATCGTTTCACGGGGTCTATACAAGATACCCGTATGCTGACACGCATCCCTCGCGCCCAACAGCCAAGGTCCCTCGGAATTCCAACTTAGGGGCTGGATCAAGGACTGGGAGGGCTGGCGCCCCGCGCACAAGATCGCCGTCCCCACGCTGCTGCTCAATGGGCGCTACGACGAGGTCATCGACAAGGCCATGGAGCCGTGGTTCTACACCATCCCGCGCGTGCGCTGGGTCACACTCGAGAACTCGAGCCACATGGGTCACTGGGAGGACACTGAGCGCTACATCGGGCTGTGCGGCGCCTTTCTGGCGAGCAGGGACCCGTCTTGAAGGGAGAGGGGTACCGTGCCTGGGGGAGCGGGCCGAGGGGGAGAGGATATCATAGAAGGTCCGTTGTGGTCTTGAGAGGCCCGTCCAGCAACAGTAGATTCATCGAATCAGAATAAGCACCATGGAATAAGCATTACGAATGGCGTATCCAACCAGAACTGCTTATTCCTATATGCTTATTCTAGTATTTCGAAATTTCCACGGGTGATCTGGAGTCTTATTTACAGTCGGCAGGGAGGAACGACGATACAATTGTCATCCACGACGTGCCTGTGGTTACTTCCGACTAGGAAATTCCAGTATAGGCGAATCTGCTGGGCCCTGGCCAAATCCGTTGAGGTTCTCCGGCCACGATAACTGTGTGTCACTCAAGGTGCTGTGTGACGATGGCGTTGTCAATGGCCTGGCGATAAGGGGATGTGCTCCGAGTGGGTGAATGATACTACTTGAACGTGTCTTCGGGACGAATATGTGATGCACCTTTCTCTTGTGTCTGATCGATGTCTCTCAGTTGACTCATACACTGTCAATAAACACACATGATACTGTGCTAGGCCTCGCTTTGGCTTTGAAATGCTGTTGCAATTCTGCTTGCACAAAGAGACAACTCTATGCTCATCAGGGTACATTATTCCAACTCTGCTTGTACCTGTGCATCCCCTCCGAGACATCCTGTTCCGGACCCGGAGCCCTCACTGTCAAAGTGACGATGTTCTCTGCCGTGATCTTCATATAATCTCGCCGACTCCTGTCCTTAGCCGTGGGCGAACCGGGGCTCACGTGTTGTCCGCTGCGATTCGGCACCGATAGTTTTGACAAGGCATACTTCGAAGGGAACGTCGTGTTGTTCGCCCACATCTGGCCGGTCGACAGCGAGCGGAGGAACGGCCAAAAGTAGATAACACAAGCGGTAGATATACCAAAAAGCTGGACCAATTGCGTACTGAGGTAGTATGGGAATGCTCGGAGTGTGTAGTTCTCTTCGAAAAGGCGAGGCAGGTAGACAAGCTGGCAGACGGTTGCCGCAATAACCCTTTCGAGCAGTCAGTATGATAGGCTGGAGTGGGGGCATGTTTGGTATACGAACAGTAGTCGAGACGAGAAGAATGTGAGCACAGTGGCACGCGTCTTGAACGGCATGTGTAGGGGGAAGATGATCCCTATGGGGAGGACAATGAGCATCGCATCGGTGATTATATCAGTGATGCATTGGTACTTCAGGTATGCATGCTGCTTGCGGTTAGCCTAGACCCTCCTTGACGTTCATCATTCAGGCTTTACCATGTTGATACACTTGGGTTGCCGCCGTCCCAGGGATCCATTGTTTCACATCGGAAGGCCGTAGTCAATAGCGACGTGACGATCCAGAGTCCGATGAAGAGACCCAGGGCATGTGTGATGTTGCGATGGTTCCGGTCTGGCGATAACGCGAGGAGACTCGAGCAAACTGAAAGTTTGGCGAACCCTACGGAAAGCAGGAACAACAGCTCTTTGGCGTATTCGAGCTGGACGTCGATGGTAAGTATGGACAGACATATGCTCGCACGACACTAGACTCTACGACTCACCTTGAAGCCGACTGATAGGTCATGAACTGACAGATCTTCGATGTCTTTGCCAAATATCCGGCTCTCTGGTACCAACAGGGTCACTGACTTCCCGAGGCCAAATATCTGCCCATGTGTCAACTGCTACTCCGGCCCTCGGAGACTAATACGGCGAACTAAAGCACGTACATATGCAGAGACGATGAACAGATCTTCCCATCCAAAAGTTTGGTTCGACTTCAAGAAAAACCTCGTCAATAGTCGAAAACAGAGCATCAGAGAAGTAATCGCCAGGAGGAGCCAGGTAACGATCTGGACGGCAGGATTCAGGTCGGAGTCCGTGATGATGATACCTCCGACCCTGTCGTCGAGTTATCGTTGCCAAAGGAGCGACGCAGAGTCAGCGCCATCATGAGGACGGCCCGATATCATTCGAAGAAGTAGACTTAGGGAAGAAAGGCTCGATTCTATGCTAACGAGCCCAAGCCGTCGGAAGGTGGGTTTGAAGGTTGGGATTAGAGAGATTCTCCGTGGGTCCGGAGTATATCACCTGCAGGACGGGATCTGGGTAGATAGCGAGGGCCAGAGAGGGGGACCCCTGGCGCTGACATCTTATAGGACCCGCGATTGGTACACACATAAGCCGGATCCAACCTGGTCTGCGTGGTAATGGTGGTATTGCTGAGCACCAATTGGCCACAGCATATGGTATTCCATCACTCAGACGGTATACAGGGGTAATCTAGGGGCTGGCAGGCAGGCAATGTGGGAGGACTGCAGAAACCACGCCACACCCCAGCATACGGTAGGGTAGTCTGCGAGAGTTAGACTTGGACTATACCTTAGTCTATAGGGCCGATGTGGAAGACTTGGTCAGGTCTTCGTGTCTCCTTCGGGGAGGGACGGCTTCGCGACCACCACTCGTTTGGGTCGGTTGCGACACCACCAGGCTTCCGCGGGGATTTTATTGAAAGGACCTGGCCGACGAGGGTTGGAATTCAGTAGGAAATTTGCAGACGACTGACCCTCGCATGCATGGGTTGATGGGTTCACCGGCGTAGTAGGACCGTGGCACGGGCATAACAGTTACGCCCTCAACGCGGGTCAACGGTGTACACGAAGTCACTAGAATTACACTAGATCATCAATGAACGTTCACCGCGGGTGGTGGCATCGTGGTGGTATACAAATGTAACGGTCTACCGGTAAGGGCTTGCAGTGGCTGAAATGCATCATGGCATTTCTCCAAAGCATATCGAAGACCGCCGTATGAGTGAAAGACCTCGCTATTAACCTCAACCATTGAGATATTGATCGAAGTGGACAGCATGCAACTTACATCCTTGCGCAGAGGCGTGCTCATTCCTGACTATTAAAGGCTTCGTCCGGACGACTGCGGGTGCATATCGCTCCCAGCCTCTGCAGGTCTTCGGTTGCCAGAATGGAAAGCCAACGCATGGGAGGGCGTACTTATACAGCCCACCCGTTGACCATAAGAGAGCTCTGCCTGACGAGCTGAGGAAAGGGTAGGTAGGTAGTACAGGTGGGTCAGAGACAGACCATCAAACTTCCATTGTGAATGTCGCGCAGACCCGCGGACATCGTGCTACCTTCTGTATGCACATATACGTATTTAGGTAATTGGTTGAAGAACTGGCAAGTGCGAGCCTGAGTTGTCCGCCCTTCATGTTGTGCAACACCGACCAATAGTTTGCCCGCAACAAGCTCAGTGCTTCCAGAACTGGAAGTCAAGCTTCGTTTGTTCCTTCCCTACCTAGACGGCGGTATCGAGCCTGACTTCAACCTGAATTCGATCGACTCCAATTGCCCAATCCCAATCCTCACTCTCTTTTCTCAGCGGTGTGTAGGTGGTCTTGCACACGGGTTCTTGTCGCCTCACTTCTTCCGGGAGACTGCCTCGTTCTTTCCCGTCTCCTACTCGATCATACACAAACACACCCACGCAATGGCCTCCTCGCAAATCTCGACGTCCAAGGACGACAAGGACGACATTGAGCTGCGCGTCAAGACCCCATCCGACAAGGACGACGACGGGCAGCTGCCACCCACCACGCGAACCTACAGCCGTCACAGCGCCAACCTCAACGACGATGAGCAGCTGCAGCGCCTGGGCAAGAAGCCCCTCCTCAACCGAAGCTTCGGCTTCATGCCCATCTTGGGCTTCGCTTGCTCGGCGCTGCTGTCGTGGGAGGGCATCGTCACCAACTCTGGCTTGGCCCTGACCAACGGAGGGCCCGCCGGCGTCATCTGGGGCTTCCTGATCAACTGGATCGGTACGCTGTCGGTCAATGCCGTGCTCGCGGAGCTGAGTTCCATTGCGCCTACAGCCGGTGGGCAGTGTAAGTGTGTCCCATATCTAATCTGCGACATTATGAGTACGGGACGCAATGACTGCCGAGTGCACGGGCACTTGCTTTGTCTCCCTTACGCCAGGGGCACTGGGGAAACTCACGACGTCAAAGCAATGATGCAACCCCCCTCCCTATCACCGGTTGTATGGATGTGTACACATGCTAAGACATTTCCTCCAGATCACTGGGTGGCCATGATGGCACCCGCCTCCTGTAGCGCCTTCCTGACATATCTCACCGCCTGGCTAACTACCATGTCATGGCAGTTCATTGCCGTGTCGATTGGGTACATCATCTCGACAATGATGCAAGGAATCATCGTGCTTGCCACCGCCAGATCGTACGAGCCGACGAAATGGCAGACGGTGCTGATCCTCTGGTACGTATAGAAACATCCCATCACAAAACCCCGAGCCTTGGTTTCGGGAATAAACTTTGCTGTTCCCTTTCCTTTTTCATCTAGAAATTGCCTGTGCGGGGTTCAAGACAGGATGTTGACGTACACGCAGGGGCGTCATGGCATTTGCTGTCATCGTCAACTCGACCACCAGTCGCGCACTGGCCAAGTTCGAGGGCCTGGTCCTGGTCCTGCATCTGGTTGGCTTCTTCGCCGTGCTGATTCCGATGGTCTACCTGGCACCACACATTGACCCGGCGGATGTCTTCAGTACGTTCCTGAATGGAGGTGGCTGGGCGAACCAGGCGCTGTCGTTCTTTGTTGGGTTTCCGTCGGGCTCTTCGGCGCTGATTGGTGCTGATTGTGCGGTGCACATGTCTGAGGAGGTATGATCCCTATTCCCACTATGAGGCTCGAACTGGGACAAGAGTGTTGGATCAGGGCTGGGAGAACCCCTGAGCTCATTGAAGGACGTTCTGAGCCTCTCATAATATAATGAGTGCTAACACATCGGCGTGACACAGATTCAACACGCCGCCATGGTGGTGCCGCGCGCGCTGATGTATACAATCATCATCAATGGCTCGCTCGCATTCGCCATGATAATCGTCATGCTCATCTGCCTCAGCGACCTCGACGCCGCGATGAAGTCAGCAGAGACCCTTTTCTACCCGTTCATCCAGATATTCTACTCGGCAGTGAAGTCGAGAGAAGGAGCCTGCGTCATGGCTGGCCTGATTCTGGTCCTGTCGATGTCAAGCAGTGTCGGTATCTACGCGTCCGCCTCCCGGATGATGTGGTCGTTTGCGCGAGACAAGGGATTACCATTCTCCCAGCAGCTGGTTAAGGTTAGTACCTATCATTAATTCCCTCGTCACCATATATGCGAGCAGCGCTCTGACCGAACCAACCGTAGCTCACCAAGGACCAATTGCCTGCAAATGCCATCTTCACCACGCTGGGGATCACCGTTCTCTTGTCGCTGATCATCCTCGGGTCTTCAGTCGCACTGGGTGCTCTCATATCACTGGTGGTCGCTGCGCTTTTCTCCTCGTATCTGCTCTCCTGCGGTCTGCTGCTCTGGCGTCGCTGCACGGGAGCGCTACAGCCGTATTCGACCAACTGGGAGAGTCTGGATTCCGGCCGTCTGACCTGGGGCCCGTGGAGGGTACCTGAGCCCCTGGGGACCATCAACAACGTTGTTGCCTGCCTCTACTGCGCCTTTCTCCTGTTCTGGTCTTTCTGGCCGCAGTACACGCCCGTCACGCCCGAGACAATGAACTGGAGCATCCTGGTCTTTGGCTCTGTGGTCGGATTCTGCATACTGTGGTACGTCTTTCGGGCGAGACATTACTTCAAAGGCCCAATCAAAGAGATTTGAAGTATCGGTATGCTGCTTGGGTGGGTTGAATGCTCATTCATGAACGCCTGCGAGCGATGAACAGCTACTGGAATTGTATGGTAGATAAAATACCGAAGTCTATAGTTGGAAAGGGATGGATCTTAATAGAATAATGCCCGTGGGTTGCGGCACTGCATCTGGTTCAGCTTTGAGGTCTTTCAAACCACTCTTATGAATCGTCATGTGCTTTACGTCAAAAAGTGGGAGCTGCAGCGCTCGCTGTCTTGATGTGACAAAGTCTAGAGCAGGCAGGCAGGCCACTCCCAGGGAAAATCATTGCCACGTGGACAGTACAGGGTTTGACATTCATGCGCGCGCACTGTCACCAGCTGGCAGAGGCCTGTGACAGCTCAGAGTCGAGTTCATGCTGTACCCGCATACCGGGTCCGTGCGGTTCCTGGCGGTTCCTGCAGTTCCCGTCCCGGCTCCATGCGCCAATTGGGTCTGAACAAAACAAATTTCCATCGCGACCACCTTCGACAATTTGAACTCCCGTATTACCGCACACTCCTTCACCTCTCCATTCCAATCCCCAACACTTTCCTGCCACCAAGTTGCATCCCCAAGAGAATACTGCCCATTATGTCTGTCCCGGCCTACTCTGACATCTCCAAGTCCGCCAACGACGTAAGTCTTGCTCCGAAGCCCATCCCCATCTGCCGCTCCCAGAAGAATTTCCCACAAGCTTCCATCCCGTTGCGCACTCGCTGACTCACTTTTCGCAGTTGCTGAACAAGGACTTCTACCACCTGTCAGCTGGCACCATCGAGGTCAAGAGCAACACCCCCAACAATGTTGCCTTCAAGGTCACCGGCAAGAGCAGCCACGAGAAGGCCACCACTGGCGCTGTACGTTCGGACGTTCGATGATCCTCCATACCCACCTCGCTACCTCCCTGTAGCTGCGAGTACGAATAGCAAACGAAGACGGAATGGCGCCGCTAATCATCAGTACCTCATATACAGCTCGAGGGCAAATACTCGGACAAGGCTCGCGGTAAATCTACCAGATCCTCTCAATTGTACAGAAAGAAACTCGCTCGCGGGCAGCCAACGGTTGTTACGGCTACGCTGGGTCCCATCGCGGTACCAGGAGCCTGCCGCCAATGGCCCCTCGATTTCAGCGTCTTCCTCACCCAACAAGTATCAACCTTGCTAATGATGTACCACGGCACAGGCCTCACCCTGACTCAGACCTGGAACACCGCCAATGCGCTCGAGTCCAAAGTCGAGTTGGCCGACAGCATCGCCAAGGGTCTCAAGGCTGAGGGAATCTTCTCCTTCCTGCCCGCCGCCCAGAGCCAGGGCGCAAAGCTCAACCTCACCTTCAAGCAATCTGCTTTCCACGGCCGTGCCTTCTTCGACCTCCTGAAGGGCCCCACCGCCAACGTCGACGCCGTCATCGGCCACGAGGGCTTCCTGGCTGGTGCCTCTGCTGGTTTCAATGTGCAGAAGGGAGAGGTGACTGGCTACAGCGCCGCCGTCGGCTTCCACGCTCCCCAGTACAACGCTGCCATCACCGCTTCGGACAACCTGACCATCTTCGCTGCCAGCTACTACCACAAGGTCAACAGCCAGGTCGAGGCTGGTGCCAAGGCTACCTGGAACTCCAAGAACAGCAACGCTGTTGGCCTCGAGGTTGCGAGCAAGTACCGACTTGACCCTGTCTCTTTCGCCAAGGTGCGCAAATCCAATGTTTCAGTGACAGGATGACAAGAGGCTGACTATTGTGATAGGGCAAAATCAACGACCGTGGTGTCGCTGCTGTCTCGTACAACGTCCTCCTGCGCCCCGGCGTTACTCTCGGTCTCGGCGCCTCCTTCGACACCCAGAAGCTCGAGCAGGCCACCCACAAGGTCGGTGCCAGCTTCACCTTTGAGAGCTAAATCAGTGCGCGAGTTGTGGATGATTTCGAGGTGTTCTTTACGGGTTGAACCTGGGATGAATGCCAATACCCTCACGCATTGTGTACACTTTACAAGACGGGCGATTTCCTCGCTACCGGGTGGATACCTCTCTTGAATGTAGATTAGCCAGGCATTTTCAACGTTCATTATGCATCGTTCTGCGTCCCCATCACGAGACACTAAACCCTCATAAGTCTCCCTACACTCCTCATCCCCCATTGAAGCGAAAGGTGCGTTTATCAAAAATGGAATAAGCACGCTGGAATAAGCATCGAAGATGACTTTATAGTCATGAGCTGCTTATGCATGTCTGCTTATTCCAGTATTCCTAGATATTCACGTGTGATATGGAATTTTTCCAACATGGCACGTACGGAGACTTATGAAGGCTGGATGTATCTCCATGCACAGGGTGCAATGCTCTCTCGTATGTACAATGCATGCCCTTTATGGCCCACCGCCAATGTATACCCTCTAGTTGGCGTGTAGCGGCTCCATCTTCAGCCATTGCCTTTCTTATCTTTTTCTTTCCGGCTGCCACCACCGCCCCAGAGTCTACTTATCGCGAAGGGGCCCAAGAAGCTCACCATGATGACGCCCCCAATCATGAAGAACATGCCCGCCACGCCTCGTTCCGGCTCGAACGAGATCTCCTGCCCGTCCACCTGCGACCGCCTCGCCTCGCGCCGCCGCTCGTGGCGCCGGCCCGTGCGCTCGTGGCCCTCGCGATCGAAATGCGGCACGTCGCCCTGGTGTCCGAAGGGGTCCTGACCGGGTCCCATGCCGCCTGTCGAACCCGCGCCCGTATGCGATGATCCGGAGCCAGGATCCGAACTTGAGCCAGTCCCAGTACCGCCCCCCGTGCTCTCCTCGTGCGCCGCCCTCCGCTTGCCCGCCTGCCCGCCCCAGCCCCCGCTGCGGAAGAAGCTGGGCGGCGGGCCCGTGAAAGTGCCACGGCGGCGGCTGAGGCCCGACGCCGGACGGCCGCCCGCGGGGTTTGTGGACGAGTAGGAGCCGCCCGGTCGTGTTCGGCCGTGGGTGGATCCGTGGGAGGACGTGTGTAGGCGCAGGGTGTCTCGATCGTAGGCGGCGCGCTTGGCCGGCACGGAGAGGATCGAGTAGGCCTCACTAATGCGCATGAAGCGCTGAGCGGCGTGCGTGTCGCTGGGGTGGAGGTCTGGGTGGTGGTTTTTGGAGAGGGTGTAGAAGGATCTGTGCGTTTGAGGGCTATTAGTTGACTTCAATTGTTCGGTTCTGAGTTTGACTGTAGTTGGAATGGAGACGGCTTTGGTTGAGTTGCGGATCGGATGTAGGTAAATTCTTGGAGTGGGATATCGCGTAACCGGGGCTAGGTAGCTGGTGTCGCGTGCGACAAGAAAGGGTAACGGATGGGAAGCACTCACTTCTTGACCTCGGCCGGCGTCGCCCCCGGCTGTAGCTTCAGCGTCTCGTAGTGATTGCGCGAATTGTCGATCGCATTGTCTCTGAGGGAGGTGGTGCTATGGAATGGTCGTCTCGCTGTTGCTGCTGCCATTGCCGGTGACGGCGGCGCTGCCGTGAAGCTGTATAGGAGCAGCCATTGGCGCGGATTCTGGTGGGCTGAGGCCAGAGGGGACACGGCGCAGCGGAGGGGCATGCCTCATCCCGAATGCCGGTGTCTATACGAGGGTATAGGGGATATTGGAAAGAGAGGATGTGGGAGAATATAGGAGAGGTAGAAGAGCTTAGATCTTGGGTGGGTTTCTGGTCCATAGCAAAACAGTGACGACATGAATCGGCAATTGAGGCGTCAGCTGTAGCTCCAACCAATGTGGCGTTGAGTGGATCCGTTTATCTGCCAATCAGGGATTCAGGGGTAGAAGACAAGACGGAGGAGAACGGAGTCTGGAATACGGCAATGCTGCTCAACACAACTACCTACCTTTTGTCTTTTGACATGGTGACGCGACAGATCCGCAGCTATGATTATCTCTTCAGATCCGGAAGTAAGAAGAGACCCAGCATCCAAAGGGGAAACAACTTCCAGCTAAATACGTCGCCCTTTGTACTCCTATCCCTGAATAGATTCACAGCAATCGCCAAACCTGCTGCCCATGCAACGGCACTCTCCTGCGACCCAACTTTCCAGAAGGAGCAGGCGACAGCATTGGATATAAGGACCGCAGCTGCACAAAGCACCCTCGCGTTCACATCCCCAACCACCAGTGGCAACGTCCTTCGCCCAGTCGCTCTATCCCCCTTTCATGTCTCTGAAGTCTTGAAGATGGCTGCAGGCCGTGATCGAAATTGCGAGTATGCCCATCCAGATGGCCGCCTTTCCCTCTCCGGCGAAGACGGACCGTCGGTAGCAACTTCCAAGGGTCCGGAGTAGAAGCAAGCGAACCCAAAGCCGTTCAGGACGTCTTTGAGGAAAGGGTCTGAAGCGTCACCCCATTCGGTGTACCATATTTGAACACCGCCTCGAGCAGGCAAAGTACCATTCCTCCCGACGCGAGGGCAACAGCAAAGGTTGTAGGGTACATGCAGTACAAGATGATGGTAGCCTGGTGCGGTCTGAGCTGAGCGGAGGGCAGGATCATGCCTCTGGTTATGGAGGTTTGATATGAACAAGTTGCTCTAGGACCATAGCAGCATCTCTGGGCTGCTTCTAAGTATTTGATTCGAGGTTAGAGCCGAGCCGACCATGAAACGGTCTGCTATTGTTGCGTTTAAAACGCGATGATGTTTCTTCATAAATATAAAATAAAATAAAATAATCAATGGGGTGAACGAACTCAACGCCCTCAGCCTTTCATTCGCTACAGGCCGGTTGGAGGATAACGGCAAGGGCATCGAGCGTGACGACTTCTGGGAAAGGCTTATGACATCACGAGACCCCAAGACAGGCAAGGGCTTCACCCGTGAAGAGCTTACCTCAAGAAGCAAGCGTGTCTCTTCACGGCTGCCGGTACAGACACCTTGATCACGGCGTGTGCGGCAACACTCTTTTGTCTCACTCACGTTCCCCACGCACTGGCTCGTCTGACGAGCGACTTACGCAAGGTGTTTCCTGTTTAAGCCGCTGGCGACACTTCACGTTGACCGATCGATTTCGCCAGGCCGGACGTATTTGTTGACTTGCATCGATGAAGCCTTGCGGCTTTACCCACACATTCCCAGCATCCTACCCCGCCAGGTCGGGCCAGGTGGTATGGTCGTGGATGGTGAATACTTCCCACAGTCTGTCGTGTGCGGCATCTAGCATTACAGTTTGCACCGGAGTGAGGAGTAATTTCCCGACCCGCTCCAGTACAAGCCAGAACGCTGGATGTCAAGTGAGCAAGACCTTCAGACAGCGACACTGAGCACGCACACGGCAACCGTACAAGCCTCAGGGCGGGCCTTGGGCAGGCAGCGGCTTTTACCCATTTGCAGCCGGTCGCTACAGTTGCATAGGGAAGTACATGGCCTACCAAGAGGTCTCCTACATCTTGGCCCGCCTAGTCTGGCAATTCGATATGAGGTTGGAGCCAGGCACCCCATGTGGGAGAGGGAACAGGGATAGGGACTGAAGGCCGCGCGAAAGGGATGGATATCAAATCCTGGATCGTCATGTTTGTGAGCAGTATGGTCCTGTCGTGCAGTTCAAGGTCAGAGAAGATTTTGGTGTCATGTAGCTTTCTTGCACGTAGCGGGTACACTACAAGCCATGCCTACATCCATATTGCATTCAAGAATGAGCCTCTTTGAAGACTACTGATTTTACGATACCCGCAGGACGTCTTACAATTGGGAATCAATCGCCCTATGTTCCGAGACGCCCAGTCTCCCCCATGACGCGAGTACGCTCTTCCTGATACCAGTTGACCTACAATCTGGATTAATGAGAGTAGCATAGCATCAGTACCTCCCAAGGGAGAGAGCCAGGCTATGAAATGCCGTTACATCTGAACGGAAAAGCTGCTTGGGGGATTGGCTATAAATTCCGCCCCATCTACTGACGGTGTACCAACTGCATGATCACCCCTTCCACAGCAGTCCAATCAAGTGAACCAGATATTGCAGACTTGAAGGTGTTGGCATCTGCGCCGCATGTTTTGCTCGGTCGTCACAAGTTCACAAGATGAAACATCTCGGTGACTCGCCGCAATGCTGCCTCAACAATTTCTTCTGATTGCTACCTTGCACCATGGACGGGGGTTGAGGACCTGGCCGTGCTCTAAGTTACCCTCCGCCCCGTGCTCACCGATGAATCCATCCGCAGCACTGCCAACGGATGGGAACCAGTGTTGGCTTCGCGGTCATACGACGATTGACCTGGGATGAACGACCGTACACAATGGAGGTTGCGTTATAGGTTGTGCCCGCTCGAGGGGCCTAACAACGTTTTCTGGAAGGTATTACGGAGGTCACCTTTTTTGTATGACATGGAACGACTGACTGTTTCGATCGGGGACTAATCTCAGAAACAGCGGCATCCAGGGTTCTCACAGAGTACACCATATATTACGCCTTGAGTGAGTACCTAGAGGACGCATTGGTCTCACCGTAAAAGAAGCACTAATAAGTGACACCCTTAATGCAATGGCAACGCCCCATCCCCCAGCATATATAAGGTACTTGCCCTTTGAAAATGAAGTGGCTTACCTGTGTTACTATGATATATTCAGCATTCCAGGTTGTCTTTAATGGTTGCCGGCATTTGCTTGATGTGCCGCCGGCCAACACCCCGCAGTCCAACGGCGACGTTGTCCGACATGAAGTGACCAGCTTGATGATTGACGGTACTGTGGAAATTTCAAGGGAGACCCAACAGATGCTACATACGAGAGGCAGAGAGGAATGTGATGGTCCATGATAGCTGCTAATCGGCTCTGGCTGTCCCCAATGCTACGCACATATGTCTTAATTTACTGCATTGTGACACACAGTCGCACAACGTACAGCTACCGCAACAATATAGTCACTATGTACGCCCCCACTGGGCGAAATGTGCTCGAGGAACTCTGCAGACCAACATGAACACCTTCGCATTGCACGCCCAATGCGACGTACAGATGTTGTACGACTAACATGTTTTATGCTAGCCTGCAGTTGGCACCAGGATACATATGGCAGTGCACCGGACCGTTCCCTGCCGCATGCCCGTCGTGCCCATCATGCTTGTCCAGCCCCGTTGGAGGATATCTGCTGTCCCGGAGCCGCCCATCAACCCAATCACCAATGGTCAGCATCACCTTTGGAGTTAAGAGACCAAGCTGCTGCGTGTCACGGCGAGCGTACTGAGGAGCTGGGACATGGCCGGCAGCAAGCAGCTATTACTCTATTGACGAGAATATCAAGACTAGAGAGGAAAGGAAGAGAGAGAGAGAGAGATAGGTACAGTGGGAGGTTGCCCCTTTAAGGGGATCCTTTGGTCAGATCCTTCCCCTATTGGGAAGTATCCGCTTGACATGTGGGAAGGTCTGTGCAGGCCGTCACACTGCGCACGCTTCACGAGCTTTCTGTCCCTAAACTCCTGTGGATACTAAGACTTGAATCCCTTGTTTCCAACTGTTACGGTATTACATAATACCTCCACATATTTATGTACATATATACTTCTAGCTTCCCCTTTCTCTTCCGACCTTGCCTCTTCTTCCTTAGATATCGTTGAATCTAGATATTTCATCCCATCAGCCCTGACCAGCGCAGCTGCAGGCCTGATTGTCACACCAACTTCATCGGCACACCGAGTTCTCTGAGGCGATAATCTTCGTGCCTTATTCAAGCATGGCTACCAATGGCAGCAGCTCAGCCGTCGACAAGCTCGACTTCACCACCTTCGGCAATGAGGTCGATGGTAAAATCCTTAGTTCTAGCTAGGGGAAGACCCAATGCACGCTGAATCCTGCCACGAAGGGGGAAAATCCACCAGCACCCGTCAGTACGCTCGAAGACGTCAACAGAGCTGTTGAACCGGCTCGGAATGCAGCAAAGAGCTGGGCAGCAGTACCAATGTCAAAGCGCCAGCAAGTTCTCAAGGCCTTCACCGACGCTTTCGAGGCACAAGAAGAAGGCTTCGTCCAGATGCTAGTGAAGGAGCAGGGCAAGTCGGTAGGTGACCTGTAGTGGCGAGGGGTGTGCCGGCCCTCTTACTGATGTGAACCGATAGATCAGCGAAGGCCATCATGAATTCCGGCTCAGCTTGCAGTTCCTCCGCGGCTTTTGTGGGCTCGACCTACCTGAGGAGCTCCTTGAGAGCAGCGAAACACGGAAGGTCACTGTACAATACACACCACTTGGGGTCGTCGCCGGCATTGTGGCATGGAACTATCCTATCTTCATCGCGTGCGGGAAGATTGGACAAGCCCTAGCCACTGGCAATACTCTGATCCTGAAGCCGTCTCCTTTCGCGCCGTACTGCAACCTGAAACTGGCTGAGCTGGGCACACGCTTCTTCCCACATGGTGTATTCCAAGCACTGAGCGGCGACGACGACCTCGGACCGTGGCTCACAGAACACCCTTGTATCGATGTCGTCAGCTTCACAGGCTCTGTTGCGTTAGGTAAACAGATAGGAGAGACCTGCGGAAAATCCCTGAAGCGGTGCATCCTCGAACTCGGGGGAAACGACCCAGCTATTGTGTGCGCAGACGTGGACATAGCTGCTATTGCGCCCGTCATCGCCTATCTCACCTTTGCTAATTCAGGCCAGATCTGTATCATACCCAAACGCGTCTACGTCCATGATTCGATCTACGACAAATTCCTCTCCATCTTGGCTGCCTACGCGACGAACCTCAGCTTGAAACAGGAGGAACAGGGTGCTATAGGACCGGTGTCCAACCAGCCCCAGTATGAACGGGTGAAGCATATGCTTGAAGACATCGAGAGGAATCATCTCACCATAGCTGCTGGGAGCACGAAGCCCCTGACGGACCGACGGGGCTTCTTTCTGTCTCCGACTCTCGTTGATAACTCGCCGGACAGTTCGAGAATTGTCACAGAAGAGCCACTTGGTGAGTGTTCTATCCTACTTATCTACCACAGACAAAAGTACCCCGACGATGGGAAGAATGACCAGGTTTTCCTTGTTGACAGACATACCAGGACCCGTGGTCCCAGTGATGAGATGGACGGACGAGTCAGACGTCATCAATCGCGCCAACAACACCGACTTCGGCCTCAGTGCCTCCGTGTGGTCAAGAGATGCTGCGCAAGCTGAGTGCATGGCCCGACAGCTCCAGGCGGGGAACATTTGGATCAACACGCACGCAGCAACGGACCCGAAGTTTTCGTCTGGGAGCTTCAAGAATAGCGCAAACGGTGCTAACTTTGGAGTCATGGGTTTGAAGGCCTATTGTAATCTGCAGACGATACACGCCCGACTAGGTTGAGCAGTCATGTCGAGGACTCAAAAGAGAAAAGACAGTAGTTGTGGTGAAGACATAGGCAGCGCTGGAGCAAATACGCAGGTCGGGAAGTAGTCATCGGATCAAATCTAGTTGTCTTTAGTTCTACTAGAACTTATCTTTCCTAGCACCTTGAAGACCTTGAAGCCTTCCACCTGCAAACATCGTTCAGAACACGTCCGGGTGATATGTGGCCAAAGTTAAAATACTCAGCGTCACGACTTGCGAGCGGACCCTGCGTCAAACTTACATCATCAAGGTAAATCCATCCATCATCAGCACCAGTGGACTTGGCCTGGTGGTTCACAGGCACCTCCCAAGCTGCTATCTTAGTGAGAGCCATGGCCACGGGCTCTGCGGTTGGTATGGCGATGTTTGAGAACCATACGTCAGGTTGTCTTCCGCCCTACTGTGGCCCAGCACGTTGCCCCCATTTTTCGATGAAGTGTGGACACCGCCCCACAATAGGGGCGCCACGAAAGATGGCACGTCGGGACGGGTGACAATCCCAAAGTTTTCATGGACCGCACCTCAGGGCTTTGAGCGAAGGGACAGGACCACCAGACATTACGGTCAGTTGTAATTCATGAGTGTGTTGGATTAACTTGATACGGATGGTATCATCATTCGTAAAACCGTCCAAATCCGCAAGCCCCCATGGTCTCGCCTGTGGCCCGCCCACGTGGTATCATAAGGACTTCGGCCATTTGAACGCCGAGTATGCTCAGCAAATGTAACTGGCGCTCTCATCTTCCTCCGTCATGACGACCTCGTTGATCAAGTCAATATAGCTCCAGTAGCACCTCTGGACTCCCTCGCCGTCAACCTTAGCATCCGCATAGACCACCGCAATCCAGGAAGTACCGCCCGCAGCCGCGTTCCTCCAAGCGGAACGCTGCATGCCGAAGATTGCCTTCCGATTCATAGATTCACAACCGTGGAATTGGCGGTGGGGAATGAAAGCTACTTTCTAGGTTTCAGCGGGCAGTTTTTTGAAGGGAATGTACTGTTTTCAGTGGTTTAAGGCAGGAGGAAGAATGGATTGCTATGTAGATATCATGGGATTAATATTAGCTTACGTGGAGTTTTCCTCGACCCAAATGATAGGTCATGGGTATATGCAGGCTATGGTCGAACCATAAGGCGATAATCAAAACATACACAGAGAATAGTGGTTCTACAATGCCCCAGTCCGGCCAAAACCTAACCCTTCTCAGACAGGGGGAAACTGTCGATGGTGTGGTGATAGGTCGTCCAGCTCGTATCCCATGCGCCCCACCTCGTCTGAAGATTGGAAGCTCACTGTCACAGCCTCCGTCTTCATGATCTTCTTCGCGTCCGCATCTAGGATGCTCTTGTCGCTCGCCGCATCGCTCGCAAGACCGTCCTCTGCCCGGCTCTTTGAGCGATCCGCGGCAACGCAGGTTGTCTGACTCCTCCCGTTGCCATATGCGTTGCCGTACTTGGTGCCGCGTGTTCGGGTCCGGTATTGGTCGGTCCGGTCGCCTGATGTCGAGAAATACTGTCCGCCGGATGAGACAACGCTGCGGAGGAATGCGCGGAGCACCGGAATCGACGCGGCTATGACTGTCACCGATATTTCGACGATACTCCAGATCACGATATCGCCACCGTTGTCTGCAGGTGTCGGGCGTTAGTGATCAATCCCTCGACAAGCACGAGTGCAGGCCACAGGGGCATGGAAGACGTACAGCTAAAGTCCTGGTTTCGCAGCTTGACTAGAGTGACGGCTCTAACGATACCTGTGCAAGCAGCACTAGCAAGTCGTATTAGCATCTGATCTCTTCACGCGCAGGTTGCATAGGTCACTCACAAGACTCCTATGCTCATGGCCATACCAACTCCGATCTTCTCCGAGCGCTGCATTTGCAGATTCACGACTATGAACCAAGGGATCATGGCCAAGATCAGATCGCACACGGAAGAGTATACTAGACAACGTCATCAGTGTTCCGATGCCAAGGGACATGATTTGATCCGTCTTACCCGCTGAAGCGATATTGATCGCTGTGCGTACACCATCGGGCCAGCAGGTTCCCTGAATCATCGTATTCCATCCTTTTTCGGGTGGGTTGCACTCAAGAAAGTTGGCGATGACGGTCGCATACATGAAGGCGTTCATGGTGACCAGAAGAACAATGATAAACGCCTTGAGCCACCCTTTAGTCAGGCGAAGGAGCATAACGCCGAACGATGTCTTGGACCATGCCGCGCCAAATACCAGGAATGTGCCATTGATAACTCCGCGAAGAGACATCAGCACAACGTCCGGGTAAGAGAGATGGAGGTCTTTGCCGTGTTTGCCGAATCCCAGAGATATGTTGGCGCTGATCAGACCCATGCAGATGATCTGACAGACCTGCTCTACGGGTCAGCTTATTCCTACCCGTTGAGCTGGATGAATGCCGCGTTCTAACAGCTGTTTCTCAGGATAGGGGAGCGCAGATTTCGAAGTACTTACCCAGGCTGCGATGCAGATGTAGTCATCCCACCACATACCACGATGCTTCGTGATCTTGACGTGCACCCTCAAGCCCAGGAAAATCCCCGAGAGCACGATCATGGTCCACGTGACGCCATTGATCAGTGGCCCACGATTGGGAACGTCGTCACTCATCACGCAAACGACCTGGGTGCTACCTAGTCGTCGAACTGCTTACAAGACGAGGGCGGGTTGACGACAGTGACATTTCTGGAAGGAAGGCATGTGGATTGCTTTATGAGATCCCTGAACTTCACCGGTAACAATGCCACGAGAAAGGAGTAACTCTAAACTGCCGGGTCCCAATCCCTATCCTGCCGGGTCCCTAACCCGATTGGGAAGCCATCCCACGCGCCCAAGTCGCTGCGCACCTGACCCAACACCACACTCCAGGTACTTCAGTTTGCGTGCGTTTCTCACCAAGCCAAAGGTACCTACTATGAAATCGCCGGGTAATAACGTGATCTTGCCGGGTAACACAAGTGGTTAGGGTAGCCGGGGGTTTGGGGGGCGGTGCGAGCCCCATCTGTGAATGTGTCCTTGTGCGTGCTGGCGACCGTTGTGATTACAGTGGACTGAGCGCTGTAATTACAGTGGGTTAAGCGCTGTAATTTGGGACGCTATCCGAATCGGGTTAGGGACCGGCAGGATAGGGATTGGGACCCGGCAGTTTAGAGTTACTCACGAGAAAGGAAAGGAGATATCAGTGGAACTCCGAGGGGCGGAATCCTCTACGTTGAAGCTCGTGGAGCTTCACAACGCTAACGTGCGCCGGTGTCCAGCAGGGAACCAGGACAGACCGCATTGGTCGATGTGATCCGAGACCACGAAGTATTTAAGCCCTTGTGGGACCCGGACGTTACCCGTTGGTTTAGATCCAAGATTTGACGATGCTTATTCAACCCTAGTGAAGCGCCGGGTCAGCGATCGCCAGACGGCCTCGGGGTAGCAGGAGGCTTTGCGGCAGGACATCCGGGATTACTTTCAAGGCTCGCTGACTACCTGCAGTCGTCCTGAGAGCCCAGGAGGAGGTCGATTTCGGACAGAGCTTCGTCCCCAAACGAGGGTTTCTTCTAATAGAAACCACCTACCCAGCACGGACCTACCCAGCACGGATCACGGATGCTTACAGGAGTTTCCGAGGGGGTAGAAATGAAGGGTTCGGGAGCCATATCTAGAGCTTCCGGGCGGAAGATGAGGGTCTATTGATGATAGGTTACAAGTAAATGAAGTGAGCCGGCGTATTGTAGCGTTATCAATCCTACTGTAGTCCGGACATGACTCGCTAGTATTGTAACCAGCTTGGACCTTAGATACTAAGCACTAGCTAGTCGGGACGGTGTCAACAATGAAACCATGTGTAATCGCGATATCGCATATATCACCTCTTCTGAAATGGAGTTGCAGCCACATTATCATGGTCCAACTTTTCTCGTTCGATCCCTTGGCTGACAGCGTAAGGCTCTCAGAGCATCACGAATCAGATCGCAACGCAAGAATGGTCCCACAAGGAGTATAACACCGTCTATACAGCAGGGCACTAGAAAGACACCAGCATACAGTACTTGCCAGGAACAGAAAGTCGGCGAAAAAAAGCTTCTAGAACGGAGACGGACGGGATAGGATGAATACCAAGAAAGCTTGTTACCAACCCCCTATCGAGCCTCGGGCGATAAATAAAGCGGTTATGCAAAATGCACACGTCAGAAATGAGAGTAATTAACAGTTCGTTTTAAAAGGAGAGAGTGCGGAAATGTAAAAAAATGAATTATCGGACCTACCTTATCTTGTCGATACAGAAGTGGCCAATCTTGATAGTTATCATTTATCGTCCGTATTGCGGAGGGTACTGGCTGTCTAAGCTGTGCTGGTCGTGTACTATGCTTGGTGTTGCTATTAAATGGAAATAAGAAAGACACTGAGGACACATATGGGCCTAGATGGACACAGGTGCCGTCGTGGTCGCATTCTCCCGTTGCGGTAATACTCTCAAGCCTGGCTGCCATTGATGAAGCTGGGTGGAAAAGAGGTCTCGTATCCGGCTGGCACATACCGTCTTCTCCCCCTCGAACATCAACCTACCAGCACCTTCTTGGGAGTTCTCTAGGAGCTCATCATCGACAGGGCCAGATCTTGATGGGTGAATGCCTTGTGGGGTGTAGCCGACGATACATGGTGATCGACGAAATCTCAGAGTGGTGTAGAGATGGTCACTTCCCATTATGTACCATCCAATACGGACCCAGAGCCCCTGGTATATGGAGACGCTAACAATTACCATCCCCGACATCTGTAGAACTTCGGCAAGCGTCCAGATTTCACGCCTCGGTGATGGATCACGTTACCGATCGCGCTACGGCCAGGGAAGGGGGACGGACACTCAGGGGTGTACCGCATCAAAGCAGAGATCTGACCGACCCGACCCGACCCGGTGGCATGCAACTGGGTCCGCCGAACGGAAGCGGCCACAGCACTGTTACTTGACAAGCAAGAGGGGGCTCCGACACCATTCTAAATGAGTCCGTGGGTCCGTGGGATGGCTCCACGAAGCAAGCCTGGGGTTTTATCACACACCATGCCGCTTTGCGCTGACAGAAATAGGAGAAAGGGGTTCGCATCTAGTGTGCGGAGTTCGGTTGCTGGGTCTACGACAGAGCTTTGCATTGTGTTCCCCTTTCCTTGTCGTCATATCCTGTACAAACTTGATCTCCATCTCTCAATCTGATGGTTGGAAATCATGAAGTCATCACATCGACAGAGCGCTCGTGCGTCCATTCGGTCTGGGCGTTGAGCTATCGAAGTGCCGAGTACATGCTCAGCCCTGGAAATACCTAGATACACCATGGTAATTTATTACAGATGGAAAGCTAGAACACGGAAATTTTCAACCATCGCTCGTACTGTTAGTCTCTCTTCCGTGCTGAAGCATCGGTCAACGGTTCTCCTGTCACACATTGCGAGTTACTTTGCCACAACGTAAACGTCAAAGTCCAACCCCAAATGATCAAGAACCCCTAAAGTCGTAGCAACACTCTAGAGATCGATTATACCCGGAGGAGGTTCTAGGAGACGGGCTTGGATCCCAAGGTCGGCGATGAGGTTGTCGTCGAACTGATCGCCGATGACGAGGCCAAGTACGGAGGAGGCTCCCAGTTGAAGTTCGGAAACTGGGAGATGAGAACGATTCCGTGGTAGATCAGATTCATGCAGATTCAAGAGTGGCGCCGTGACTGTGCATTCAGATCGGCGAATGAATCTAATCGTTTCCCTATTTGTGCCCGAGATGATGAGGTCATATTGGTTCTATCACTGATATATATACAGTTCAAATTGCTTCGTGACCCTTGCCAGAGGGACCTCTTTAGTTCCGCCGGCTATACTGGTCTTTATCCATACTGTTGATCGACAACGCTCTCGAGTCGGCCATGCTCCTCTCCCCACTTCCGTCGCTCTCAACAAGGACCGACGTGACAACCTCCATCTGAATCGTATTCCCGCCCTGCGGTGTCAGCGAAGTCTGGCTCGAGGTCGTTCCCAGATTTCCCCCGACATGTCGGGCGCCTGCCTGCGAGTCCCCCCGGATCCGCCACCACCCGCCGTGATCCGCCCGCTCCCGCTCCCGCTCGTGCTCGGCCCGCCCGCCGCGTACCCACACCATGTTCCCAAAGCCAGTGGCCGGCGTGCGCATGAAGGCGAAGGTGTCCAGCCCCGTATCCTCGTTGGCCAGGTCGTTGCCGGTGGCGAAGACGATGGCGCGCCGCGTGGTGGCGAAGAGCACGACGTCGAGCCAGCCGTTGCTGGCCGTCAGCGCGCCCGCGAAGCAGAAGTAGCCCACCGGCGGCTCGCTGCCGGCCATGGTGGCGATGCGGCCCAGGGCGAGTGGCAGGATGCAGACGAGGTAGATCAAGGGGTAGGCGAGGAAGGCCGGGTGGTGCTTGTCCTTTACGTTTTCCAGGCCGCCGCGCTGGTGCTGCCGCCGCAGGAAGAGGACGATGAGGGCGTAGAAGGTCGTGGCTACGACGATGGAGATGAAGATGAAGAGGTAGTGCGTTAGCAGGCGGAGGAGCTCGTATTCTCGGCTTATCCAGCACTGTGTGATGGGGTCAGTTGTTGTGTTCATTGGTGAGAGCGGGATGACCCATGAGACGTACCCAAGCAGCAGCGCGAACGAAATAACCGCCGTTGGCGGCGCCGTTGTGCGTGGCCGCCACCGGGAGAAGCGCCATTGCGTAGTCAAATACCCAGATCCCGATCATGCAGGCATACAGCACCCTATGGGACGGCCGGTATCCCTTGACGATTGAAAAATAGGTGTGAATGGCAATGGCCGACATGAAGCAGCTGGAGGCAAGATCGCCGGTGCAGATGAACAGGCCCTGAACGAAACATGTCGACGTTCCGACCATGATGTCGTTCTGAGCTGCCCAGGAAGAGCTCAGAAGGAAGGCTGTGGCCTGGTGGAGGTCGGCGAGGAGAAGGTTGAAGATTAGGACCAGAAACTGGTTCGGTAGCTTTCTCCTAGGTGGAAGCTGTCTCGTCTTGGTCGAAAGATGAAATGACTTGCAGGCGGCGCACGGCGTGAAGTCCTGGACGTCCATGGAGAAGCCTTGGCCGGTGGCGGTATCCGCAACATGGTGTTTTCTCGAGAGCTGCCACGAGACAATCTTGACAGTTAGGTAGATGAACAGCGCCAGGCTTGCGAAGAAGGAAAGGAAGGCGAAGATAGCGATGACGATGGAGCCGTGGAGGAGGATGGGCGGCAATGGTGCCAGCGTGCCGACTGCAGGATTCAGGGCCATGGCGAGCTCACGATGGCCCGTAGCCTGCTGTGAGTATCTGATGCACCCAGTGGGGACAGAGCTTCGAGACGAACAGGTGGGAAGCGTGTCAAGATATAAACGGTCGTTTAGTACGTGTTGATGCGGGTGGTAACAGGGTCCCCTTGGCCGTGATCTGAGATCTCCCGGGGTAAGCCGCCCTCATGTTGCCGAGACCTATGACTTATGCCGAGACGTAGGATTTTCTCCGGTGGTGTTTGCTGATGTTCGCGATGGTGGTTGGACGGTTCGTAATTTCGTGGTGTCTCACTTTTCCAGCTCTGCGTCGACTAGGCTGGGATCAGGTTTGCGGGCAGCGGACCGCGTCCTCCAGTCCGTCCTCTTGATAAGGTACGCATTAGTTCTCATTGGGCTGGAGTCTGACCACGCTTACATATGGCACCCATCGGAGCAGCAGTAGTGTTCTTTAGGCTTTCAGCTTGAACTCTCCCTGGAACTTTCTTTCAATGATTAGCCCCGTAGAGTTGAGGGGGGTCATGATGAGTGAGACCTGATCATTGATCAAAGTACCGGAGGGTTTGTATCCCGGGCTTACTTTTCTGAGTCGTGACACGACCTCGGGAGTCATGAGTGACGTGCTGCTCTCCCGGATTGAACTCGCACTGCACCTGGGGACACGCGTAAGGAGGTAGGCATCTAGTTAACCTGGGTACGCAAAAGCTCGGATCGGGGAATCCAGACTGAGGTACGTCCAAGTCGTATGGACCTAACGCGAGCATGTCGGCAACACCATGGTCCATACAGCTCATCTCAACTCAATCAATCACAGCGATACTGCGTGCAGTATCGGAAGCATGAGCAGACATGGAAAAGCAATTGAAGCAGTACCAACAGCTTTCATCAGCCGAGGGACTAAGATTAAGTTCGGTAGTATACGAATTATTGAAGCCCGTTGGTGGCGGGTACTTAGCTCAGGGCAAGAACAGACACCAGTAACATCAATATACCTGGTTGGCCAATTCAAGTTTATCACCGTCAGCGGTACAAGCGGGCCTATTCGTTGCCGATAGACAAGTTCCGACACGGTCTGTGGTAGTGTCAATCGGGGCGGCCTGATCCTCTGTTTAAAGTTGAGCGAGCTCATGGGGAAACTTTCCATTTTCTAACGTAGTGCATCGGTCCTCGGCCCGAGACTCTCCACTGGCATGAGGTTCGCGCTTGTGAACAAGCAAGCCGTAGGACGTCGATTCCCCTATTCGCCACTTCTCACCGACTGACGTGACATTACTAGAACCCCATCTCAGAAGGTATCCAGAGCACTCGCCACTTTGTATCAAGTACGCCTAGCGCTCGAGTCAAGTTCTCCGTAAAGCTAGCAGAGTCTGGGGACTCGCGAGGCAAGAGATCAAGCATTAGTCCCAAGTATGAACTCTATCCCCTCGTCTATTGAAGTGCTGATTGCAGATATTTCAGCTGTGGCAAAATTGAGGGTGAAGGGACAGTATGCCTCCGGCATTTATTAAGATCCGGGAGCCATTCTAACCCTTAACAGTACGTCCAAAGCCAAGTCTGATCAAGCTTTGCTCTTTTTTACAAGCAGTCTCGCCGGCTAGACGGAAGCTTGCCTTGGTACAAGTGACCACCAATGCCAAGTCACTACCTATGCCTGCGGGTTGCTTACGCCATGTCGGAAACTCCGTACCTGCTCTAGCCAGCTTGGCAGTGAAGGATACTTTTCTTCTCACAAGCCTCATCTGACATACCTGGAATAAGAGTGACCTGCACCGGGTCATACTCTTCAATGGTATTGTTGGGTGCATCACGAGTAGAATAGATCATGAGGTAACTTCAGCCCTAAATAGACATGCGACACCTCCGTAGGGCCCGGGCATAATATCGAGGCTTTCAGACAGGATGATGGCGTATATAGCGCAAGAGGCGTCAAAGCTGTTTCATGCAGCTGAAAGCCATCTGTCATGCATATCTGCCAGGGGCTGAGAGACATGCCAATGCAAGGGAACAACGGCTGAGCTAGCAAGCCTGGTGACAACAATGACTACCAAGCCATGCAGGTGATGTGTTTCTTCAGGGACATGAGCCGTGGCATGTGCTCCATGCCGCCCAGATAACATTGAAGAATGTCATGCTGACTTGATACAGCTGAATCAAAAGTGTCGGGGGCTGTATTCAGCTAAACTCCAAAAAAGCATCACCAGCTGAAGTGGCACAAGGGTATGTACCAGTTGGTACTGGACCCAACCATGAACATGCCAAATTCGCACACGACAATCACGCAGAGGAGTCATGTGCTTGGAGAATATAAACCTCAATTCTCACACAGCGCGCCGGCTGTTCCGTAGTATACGGACGTACTATCAAAGCTTCCTAACCCTGATCTACCACCATTTTTTCGTGTTCTTGTATCAAACCCCAGCTGATGGTTCCGTTGCAAACAGAGATGCAAATGAAACTGCAAGGAGTTTTCATGCCTGGAGTTCCCTTCAAGTAGGCCAGCAATCATGTCTGGCTATCGATCAATGCACCAGATATACCTCCATACTGACGGAGTTCAGAGGGTTCTCGCGATCGCTCGCTCAGAGAGAAAGTACCGAGAGTGAGCCCTGCCAGACATGCTTTACTGGTAGTAGACAATCGGACCTGTCGCGCCGTTCACCGTATACGGAACCTGCTGCGGCTGGGGCTGCGGGACGGCGTAGCCTTGCTCGACCATGTAGACGGGCTGCTGCTGGACAGGTACCTGCTGCATCGGCACTTGCTGGTTGGCCATGACGTACACCTGCTGCTGTCCGACCTGCATCGGCTGCTGCTGCGGCGGGTTGCTGAGGTAGTAGGAGTTGTTGCTCCAGAAAGGCGAGGTGCCGGCCGCGTACTCTGTTGGTATGATGTTAGCAATGAGAGAATCAGTCACTGTGATGCTAAGGTTTGGAGGTTCGAAGGTCGGAGGGGGGAAATTTCAGACGGGACTTAGGACTTGGGACTTACGCGGAATCGGAGCTGCAGTAGGGGCCGGTCCCATGATCGGGGGATTGTACCACATGTACGGACCCTGAGGCTGCTGCTGCTGCGGCTGCGCAGCCGGGACAAAGGTGTACTGTTGTCTGCGTAAACATGGGTCAGCTTGCGAATCGCCGGTCAAATTAGCCGATTGACTGTGACGCTGGTTGCACTTACTGATTCATGTTCATGAACGGGATGGGCGTGGTCGGGTGCAGGGGCATCAGAGGGGGGAATGTCTGGAGCGCTGCCTGAGGAATGAATGAGTACGGGTTGCAAGGCACGTCCGGGGGATGTCGAGGTCGTTGCTGCTGCTCGGGCTCAGGATCGGGCGTTGCCGATGCAGTCGCGTCGGCAGCCGCGTCGGCAGTCGCTGTGGTTGAAGCTTGATCGTTCTTGGGCTGCGTGGCGGGAGGCTGGGTAACAGGGATGGTCTGAGGTCTTCGAGTCTTATTGTTGCCGGAGACACGAGAGGTGTCAGAGGAACTGGAGCTTGAGCTGCTCGAGTGGTTCGAGTGGACGGAGTGGTTGGAGTTTACAGACGGGGCAGGTGAATGAGTTGGAATCTCGGCAGAGGTCCCGTCGGGTTCGTGGGCTGTAGATGTGGCAGAGAAGTTGACGGCTCGAGTAGCTGCGTCCATGTCGGCAGGCGTAACTGTATCGGGGGCTGTGTTTGCTTTGGTGCAGCTGCTGTCAGTGGTACGTCGTGATTTTATTAGGCGAGTTGGTGCATGAGATTGGTACGTACCAGCTTCCAAGGTGTCAGCTGAGCCATCGCCAGCAGGCTTGACTACGAGCTCTGGAATCGGCTCGGCTGCCTTATCTTCGGTGTTGTCGGGGTTTCCGGCAGCACCGTCGCAGTTGCACAGGGTATTGCAAAGTCGGCACATCTTGGCGACGCGATGGCGAGCTTTGTGGTGCTGCTTTACTACAGTCAGTAGGCTTTCTACAGAGCAGGGCATGAAGGGCAGGTTGTAAAATGCACCGAGACGCACGTGAATTGGCGAGTATGACGAGCGAAACGGCGATCGGTGATGGTATGTGTGCCTGAAAGGAGTAAGGGAGGGACGAGCTTGTGGTAAAGCGGATGCGGTTCGGCGATATTTATCTTAGTTTGTGCGCCCATTCAACCAAGAAGACTCATTCATGGAGGAAGCCCGATTCATGCACGGGCATCCGAGCTTCCCATCGTTGCTCAGGCGTTCAGATATATACTTAACTTGCCATTAACAAGATTCTCCAAGATGTGACATGTAGCCCCTGAGCAAACACACAGTGCTTTCCACCGTCCACACCACCACCCACTCACACGTCCAGGACAGGGGAAACTAACGGCCGGACTGCATACTACGGCATTGTGTAGCTATCCATCTAGAGAATCAATCTCAACGCAGCTGGGCAGTACCTGACAGCTTATTGACTTACAGGAGTCCCAAGTGACCCAACTAAGTTGAGGACAAGCTTGGCCCGTCATCCCAAGCCATGTAGTACCTAGTCATGGAAGAAACATGACAGTTTGACGCTTGACAGCAATAGAAATTGGCAGAGGCCATTCCGAATAATCAAGTTGATCGCTGGAGATTATGCGGTATCAATCGATGTACCTTACCACATCAAGCCAGTCCATCCCAACCAATGTCTCCATTGATACACTCAGCCCTCATAAGTCTCCGTACGCGCATGTTGGCAAGATTCCATCACCGGTAGGATACTTGAAGATACTGGAATAAGCATATAGGAATAAACAGCTTTAGTTTGGTATACCAATTCTGATGCTTATTCCAGTGTGTTTATTGCAATTCGATAATTTTACTGTTGTGTGCTGAGACGGGTGATGTACGGAGACTTATGAGTGTCCAATGTACAACTGCTTCCTAGCAAACCCGACGGGAAGTACGAAGGCATAATCCATGTTCCCTCAAGTATCCCACCGAAAGGGGTGCCTCAAAACCGCATCCATAGAAACTTGCCCGCCAAGGTCTGTGTCCAACGTTCCCATCGCCAAACTTTATGTGAGGCTCTCCCTTTCGTGTTTTCAACCCGATCCATCTGAGGCTCTTCTACATTCAAGTACACACAGACACAGGGAGCTCGCAGGATATCGTCGAGTCCATTCCGCTGCCTACGTCCCAGCCTTCCCTGTGAACAAAATCGTAGAATTCTAAATACCCAGCCATGCTTCAAGCCGCAGTCTGCCATGTTGGTACTGAATTTGAGGTCCTCTCTTTGCCTCTCTTGTCCCAAGATCCTGTGTGGGTTCGATACACTCACCCCCCATAGGTCGCCGTCCGGGATCCCCCTATCAAGTCGATGATGTCGATACTGTAGTCATATTAGTGGAATAAACACCATAGAATAAGCAGCCTTGACCCAAAAAGCCAGCCTGGATGCTTATTGCGGAGTGCTTATTCCAGTATAGTGAATATACTTACCCAACGCTTGCAGAACGAAGGGTGTACGGAGACTTTTGAAGTTCAGTGTAGGTGCCATCTTCGGATAGTTCCCCGCTGGCGGGAGGGCTTGGCCAATGCTTCTATACGTTGTTGCGAAAATGGCACGAGCGACGTGTGAGCTTACTATGATCAAAGGCCAAATATATTGTCATTTGGATGCTCCTTTGAACGTGTTTTACCTTCAGTGATGCGGTGTGTGAACACCGAAAAAAGCCTACGGTTCTAACCATGCCATCACTATGCTGAGCACCATTAGGTTTTCGTCTTTGACATCATCCAATCTCTCTTCCTTGTCAGCCTCGTTATCAACTGGCGGAAGAGCGAGGGTAAATTCGTCACTGGGGCCGGATCACACACCAGCTAACTTACCCCATTTCATGACACGTAGTCAAGCGGTTTCCGCACAGTAGCGTACTCCTCAGACGAGAACAATGAAGCTCTCAGCGATGATTCCGTAGGTGGCCAGGTAAAGCTGATTGATGCCACTAGTATCATAGACTTTTCAGCCATAACCAGTACGTCACAGATCACTCCGTCCACTAGAGAGTATGTGCTCCCCAAGCTGACAACCAAAAGGGAGGGGTTTCGTCGTGGATCCGTCACAGGCAATAATGGAACGCAAACATCAACGTTGCGTCGAAGTCAACAGCCTTCACTCTGAGCTAAGCTACGCTCCGTGATCATCTCGTTCTCGCAATGTTGTGTAGGATTTCTCGTTGACCATACCGACTCGCAGGCTGCTGATATACAGCAACACAATACTATAATGACAACATTCGGAGTGTGCCTGACAACGACGTATACTCCCAGGGCGCCGTTTTATCATCAAAGTTATACTTTAATGTTGCCGGGTACAAAAACCGACGCCGAGTTACCCAGGACTCGGAGTCGAAAGGGTGTGGCAACCAACTTCGGACCCAGTGGATTCAGCGCATGTCGGGTCCGTTCTAGAGGACACAGGCTGGACAGGCTGGACAGCGACGCCAGCTTCGGCCTCTTGTCATCAAGCCTTGCGTAAACGCGGCTTGAGATGGTTACCTTATGGTTCTTACATGACGAAGTCGCCGACGAGGCCCTTCTCTGCTGTCCCCGAACAGTATCATATGATAGGCTGGTAGAAAACGGTCAGTTGCCGTCGAAGATGCTGGTGTGTTCGAGAATGGCTCGCTCAGCCGCGGTATAGCTGGTGGGAACATGGCATTACCACAGGCTTCCCCGTAGGCAGCGTGATTGTGGAACTATTCTAGCCCAGGATGGGATTGAGGTTCACCTTGCAGTACCTCTGTGACCGAGGTCTTCGATTCGCCGACTCACGACAAGGGTTGCAAGAGAAGAAGGGCATGTAGAGCCAACTGAGTCGATGATCCATCAGTGCCAAGTGGGAACAGGGACCTGGAGCTGTGAAGGGAACCGTACGCAAAGTCGAGATCCCAGACTAACCATGAACGGGGACGGAGCTTGAGCTGGAGATCAACGGCCAGTAATTCTGAAGAAGCGGAGCCGCAGCTTTCACATCACGAAGCGGGTGCGGGCCTTGACAGACGGTAATGAAACTCGTCGAGGACACGACACAATCTCGCCAGCGAACGCCGCATCTGGTTCTAGGCTCAGCAGTATATCTTCACATGGTGGATTTGATGGTCCAAGCAGGTATCGACATATGGGTGCTTCACGCAGCTCCGTTGATCCGCCTGCAGTAGTAAGATCAACAACCCCGGCCACGCTTCTGTGGTAGCAATACACCAGTTTGGGAGATCTCCAATTCATGAATGGCTTGTACAACATAGTAGAGACTCTGCTTCTGCGGGGAGTCCCGACTACTGAGAAAGGCTTGTTCGATATGACTGAGTCAAGAATACTTCCCAGCAGAGTTTCCCAACGACGTCAGATTGTCAAGTACATCGCACGTCTACCTCAAGGGTAGGACGAGAGAATCGCCAAGCCGCAGGGAACCACCACTTTGAGCGGTGGTTCTGAGGTGTTCTCTTGGCTGGGACTGTTGAGCTAGGGCTTGCAAAGGCCACAAGTAATATTCGTTCTTCTTCGTCTTTCTTTCTTGACAGGTTCGCAGAAACACTTGGTCTTGCACAGCCTGAGGAACGGTTGGGAAGACGTGTAAGCGCAGACAGGCGAGTGGCCTCGGAGTATCCCATCATCGATCGTGTAATCGTGCGTACCTAGGTAGGTCGTGGAGAATCCTTCGCCTAAGAGGGGAGTTCCATCCACTGGATAAAGAAGCCCTACTAAGCCATCCCATGGGTTTCCCGACAGATGCTATCTCTCGCTGACAAACAGAATTGAGGCAAATGCGATGCGAAAGACGTTCGTCAGCTGTGTTGCGCAATACTCGTGGCTGAGGCAAATGGCGAGGTGTGGCGATGGAAGTTCCAATTGGGGTTGCTGTTCTATTTTTGGCACGCTTTCTGACCTGCATAGGCGGCTAGGGATACGCTGGAGAACCTTGCGCCGGTCTCTTGGCACCGTCGGCTGATATATCGCATCTCCCGCTTCGCCATCATCTTGCGCGGTCTCTAATAATAAATGATTCAATGGAGGGCAATGAGCGAGCCTTGCTCCGGCGCGTATGCTCGGCGTCATGTACGGTGCAAAGGTCCAGTCCGTTTATAACTTTATATGGAAGCGAGGAGTAGGTGAAAAGAGGCAGGTATGTCAGTCGGTGGAGTATGTATAGAGGTCAACCACATATTAGCTGAGTTGAGTACCAAGAGAGATAGGCGACTTCATCATACCTTCCAACTCTGAAGGTCATCTGGGATGGAGGAAGAGACGACGTCACGGCTGGTCACGATGCTGCCCCTTGATCCCTCGTTTGCCTTTTGGTGACCCTGACTTGCCCGAATTGGGTCTAGTGTTGGGACGCTGCCGGAGCGACAGGGGGTGGGGAACAACAGGGGGCTGAAGCCTGCCCTCACTGCCCAGCCTGCTAACTGTGGCAGTCAACTCCTAGGTAGTCGACCTGAAACACCACACCTCCCCTCCTCATTATCAATAGCCTGGTGAAGCCAAGTCCTCTTCAATTCCCCTCGCCTGCGAAAGCTGGACGACTTGAAACCCACGATCCACCAACAAACCAGTCTGCCTGGTGCCAGTCCTGTTTCCGCCGACCGACCCTCGTTCCGCCTGTTTACCATCTCGAGCATCCAAGCATCCCTTTGCGCGTTAACCCAGTCAGCGTCTTCTCTCGCTTGGCGCTTGCCACTACTTGCGATAGACTTTGACCGAATCGACCGTCGTTGCGAAGCTGTGTTTACTTGCGCCTGTATACGGAATAGGGGTTCCCTCACTTCTCCAACGACGACCACGACCACGACCACGACGACGAGTCCTTCTCGCAATCCGCCAGAGTCTCTTCTCGCGCCTGTCCGATTATACCAACGTTATCCGGGTTAGCGCTGCCATATTCGATACACATCGTCGCCGGGGAAAGACCCATTCCAGGATACACGCCGACCGCATTCCAGCGACTGGCAGAACCCGTCCGTCGCATCGCATTCGCTCGAACACACCCACACACAATCCAACCCCCAGGATCCCGCCTCAGTGTGGGAATACGCTATAACCATGTCGTATAATCGACTAGGTATGTGCGAGGAGTGTTTCCCGTGTTTCCACTACCCTCCCTCTCCATCACATCCCCTGCCTCTTTCCCAGCGTCATCAGCTCCTCCAGGAGGACATGTCACACACATCACTCACCCTCGTCGTTATATGCTCCCTTGACTTCATTACCCTCCCCCTCTCCTGTAGGGCACTGTGCTTTGTCCTTACGAGTTGGTCGTCGACTTGGCCCTCCTTTGTCAAAGGCGACCCAACGCTGCGGCGCAAGCACCACGTAGCCAACACAGCTCCGGGAGCTTTCTTTCTTTTCGTCTGTCTATAAACTAGTCTAGTCGGGTTGCGAGGTGCCAGTCAGATTGCCGTGTTCTAATCAACCTGCTTCATTGTAGACGACGATTACTACGACCCAACCATGGATAACCGGATGCACCCGCACCAGACACCCCCGCCCGGTCATCCAGCGCAACATGGATACCAGCTAGACGATATACCGTACGGCCAACACCCAGCTGCGAGCAACCTCGACATTCCCGGTGGACCGGGCAGATATACTCCAGGCGATCAGCTTCCTCTCAACGCCGCCCACTCGATGAGTGACCTCTCGCAAACCCCTTACGGTGCCGGGCAAGGCTACCACTCTGACTACTCAGTCAACCCGGAGCAGCACCACGACGCCTATTACAACCAACCATACGAACCCCAGCCCACGAACACGCCTTTCGGCGACCAGGCGGCCTATGACTATGACGACCAGAGACCAATGCTTGCCCAGAACGACTCATACGCGCATGGCGGCCAACCACCGGAGAGCTACAGCGACGATCCGCGCCAACAGCAGCCTGCCGCGCCTATCAAGAGGTGGAAGACGGTGAAGCAGGTTCTTTTGTACAATGGAAATTTGGTTCTCGATTGCCCCGTACCGCCGAGACTTCTGAACCAGCTCCCACACGGCGAACGTGACGAGTTTACGCATATGCGTTACACAGCAGCTACCTGCGATCCCAACAATTTCTACGATGAGAGGTTCACATTGCGCCAGACGCTGTTCAGCAAGAAACGGCACACTGAACTATTCATCGTCGTTACCATGTATAACGAGGATGATATTCTCTTCGCCAGAACCATGATTGGTGTGCTGAAGAATGTCGAATTCATGTGCAGCCGGAAAGACAGCAAGACGTGGGGGCCCGATGCCTGGAAGAAGATCGTTGTTTGCGTCGTGAGCGACGGACGGTCCAAAATCAACCCAAGGACGAGGGCACTACTATCCGGTATGGGTGTCTACCAAGAAGGTATCGCCAAGCAACAAGTCAACGGCAAGGATGTTACCGCCCACATCTACGAGTACACAACACAGGTCGGTATGCAAATCAAGAACGATGTGGTACAATTGATCCCCAAGAAGCAACCCGTGCAGATGCTCTTTTGCTTGAAGGAGAAGAATCAGAAGAAGATCAACTCCCACAGATGGTTCTTCAATGCGTTTGGTCCGGTTCTCAACCCCAACATCTGCGTTCTGATCGACGCTGGCACCAGACCAGGGGGCAACTCCATCTACCACCTCTGGAAGGCATTCGATCTCGAGCCCATGTGCGCTGGAGCCTGTGGTGAGATCAAGGCAATGTTGGGCACCGGTGGTAAACACCTGCTCAATCCCCTTGTTGCAACGCAGAACTTCGAGTACAAGATGAGCAACATCCTCGACAAGCCCCTCGAATCAGCTTTTGGCTTCATCTCCGTCTTGCCCGGTGCCTTCTCGGCATATCGCTATATAGCTTTGCAGAACGACAAGAACGGCCTAGGTCCGCTTGAAAAATACTTCAAGGGCGAAACACTCCACGGTGCTGGTGCTGGTGTTTTCACCTCCAACATGTATCTGGCTGAAGATCGAATCCTCTGCTTCGAGCTTGTCACCAAGCGAAATTGTCATTGGATCTTGCAGTACGTCAAGTCGGCGACAGGAGAGACAGATGTGCCAGATACCGTCACGGAGCTCATCTTGCAGCGTCGTCGGTGGCTCAATGGGTCGTTCTTCGCCGCCATCTACGCCAGTGCACACTTCTACGAATTCTTCCGGTCCGACCACTCTATCTTGCGCAAGCTGATGTTCTTCATCGAATTCGTTTTTCAGACGATCAACATGATATTCGCTTGGTTCGGCATTGGCAATTTCTTCCTGGTATTCAAGATTTTGACGACGAGTCTGGGACAAGATTCGCTTCTCGGCGAAGTGGGTGTCATCCTCGGAGTGGTCTTTGAATGGTTCTATGGCATCTCTCTGATCGCCTGCTTCGTGCTCTCTTTGGGCAACCGCCCTTCGGGTTCCGGAAAGCTATACACGGCTATGGTGCTCTTCTGGTGCATCATCATGATGTGAGTATTGTCCCTGGTGCTTATTCTGCTTGTGATCCGTCGCTGACCTGGAATAGCTACCTAACCTTCGCTGCCGTCTTCATTACTGTCAAAGCTGTTCAGTCGCAGAACCTGGAGGGCTTCAGCATTAGCGACATCTTCAACAACAAGCTTTTCTTCTCCCTGATTGTCTCCTTGCTGTCGACATACGGCCTGTGGCTTATTGCGTCGCTCATGATGTTCGACCCCTGGCACATGATCACCTCATTCCTGCAGTACCTACTTCTGACTCCGACATACGTCAACGTTCTGAATGTTTATGCGTTCTGCAACACGCACGATATCTCGTGGGGTACGAAGGGTGACGATAAGCCGGACGAGCTACCCACAGTCGACACCAAGGACGGCAAGGGTAAGACCGATCTGCCGGATGAGGGAGACTTGAACGCGCAATACGAGAGGGAGTTGAGCGTCTTCGGCAAGAAGTACGTCGAACCCAAGACGCCCAAGACCGATGCCCAGAAGGCTGAAGACCAAATGGATTACTATCGTTGGATCCGCTCTCTGGTCGTCTTGATCTGGATGATTACGAACTTTGGTCTCGTCGCTTTGGTTCTTAGTACCGCCGGGCTCGAGAACCTCAACCCCGATGCGCAGAAAGAGCAGGACGATTCCCGTGCGACACTTTACATGACCATCATCCTGTGGAGTGTCGCAGGCTTGAGTGCCTTCAAGTTCATCGGCGCATTGTGGTTTTTGATAGTTCGCATGTTCAGGGGCGTCTAGAGAGCCTCCGTTTCGATTATTCGTTTGTCAGGCAGCCATTTATATTCAACCGGCGTTTAGAGGACATCCGTTCTCAGTCCTGCTGTCCTCAGTCTTCATATCGAACGCTACGTGGAGAGCATTTTGCAGCTCATTGAGCTGGTGGAGTTGCTTAACGAGGCTTTCGAAGACATGTTTCTCTTTGTCAGGAATGCATGGAGAATGCTAAACGCCAGCTACGACGCTACTTACGCCAAATTGAGACTTCCTGAACGGCTCCGTAAAATGTTTTACCAGGATCCAACCAACTTGTTTTCGATCGAGGTTATGGAGGGTTTGATATCACTGTTCGTCCAGTCCGAGTTTCGCATAGCCCTCCTCTGTGCGGTTTTTGAGCAGGTGCTTCGGGAGCATTCAATTGTCAATCCAGGCGAGTTTAAGTTTACATCCAATTCCAGACTCATCGGATGGCGTATGAAGGGTTCTAGTTACTTGCTCGGTGCTAAGGAACGCCGTCGTCAGAACAACCTCTTCAGGAAGTTTGTTCGTTTCCTGATAACTCTAATACGGGGCGCTGTGGAAGGTCCAGGCTCCCGGCCGCCACCCCCATGGTACCGATGAATCTCATCGGTATACAGAAACTCTGACACCAGCCGGTATTGTGTTCAAAAACAGCGAGGGCGAACTTGCATGAGCGCTTGCGTTTTGCGGCGAGGATCTGGCGCGTTCTCTGCAGTACTCCCACGTTTGCCACGACATCCTTGATGGATAGGCGCGCTTGTGAATGGAGGACGAAAGATGTGAGATCAGCGTTACGCCAGGAGGGAGGGCATCAGGTGGCGCAGCGGTGTTTTTCTGAATCGGTTTCTCTGTTTTCTTGTATCATGATCTGTCACGATTAGATAGCGTTTCTACAAATGCCATACTTGTTATGAGACCCTTATCCGTTCTTGACTTCGTGAGGAGATTTGAGTGAATGCTGCATTGTGGGGTGGTGGATGGGTGATTTTCAGGACCATGTGGGAGAGCTATGAAAACCCTTGAACACGATATTGTACCCGAGTGAATGTGTTCCCGACCCTGGTTGTACGGAAACCTGGTGGTAAACTCGGGTAAGGCGTCTTTCTGCGGGTTTGGAGTGATGAGGGTTGAATGCTTTATCCGGGACGGTGGGTGTGTCTTCCTCACCTCCATTTGTACAATCCTGATATGGGTACCAATCTAAACCTATGTGCCTGTCATGCTCAGAATCTTTCGCCTTGAATAATCCATGGGACTTCAGGGGCTCGCTCGGGGTCGTACATGGAAGTACGGAGTAGGTTAGCACTTCTTGGTCCACTCGGGCATCTCGGCCGGTACGGAGTCCGGTTGACGATGGACTTAAGGGGGAGAAAACCGGGGCTAACGGTCTTGGCTGGCCAGTCTCTTGTTGGTATTGCTGGGAACGTACCCACGTAGGTCCCTGTGCTTGTAAGAATAGTCAACACCGACGTTCCCACTAAGCGTTGGTGAGGCTTTGGATAGGGGGGCGGATGTTGAGACTTAAGTCCGCTAACTCCTTATACGCGCACTTGACGTCTCGGGGGAGGCTTGCGGGTGATGGAAAGCCGTGCCAAGCACTGGAACAGAAGCATGATACAGATTAAGGTACACATCTATAAGTAGCCATGATTCAACTCGTCTGCAGGAAGTGAAGGGCAGACCTGAAGCAGGTTCATTCATCATCTCAGCCAGGTTCAAGCACTTCGAACGCCTACAGTCTGTTCTCTCAAAAGTTGTCGGTTCACACATCGTATGTCGGATTTTATCAGCAAGATGCCGTCCACTACCCACCCCGAGTTCAACGAGAAGACCGAGGGCCTTGAGGTCGCCAGCACGTTTGCGGATGGCATCCGTGGCAAGACTGTTCTGGTGACGGGCGTGAACCGCGGCGGTATTGGGTTCACTACTGCGCAGGCTTTCGTACGTGATACCGATAGCAGAACACAGCATGGAAAGTACTAATATTATACAGGCCTCCCAATCACCCGCTCATCTCATCATAGCAGGCCGCAGCACCACCAAGCTCGAGGAGTGCATCAACGCGCTCAAGGCCTCATACCCAGGGGTGGACTACCGACCCCTGACCGTCGACCTCTCATCCCAAAAGTCCGTCCGCGCCGCCGCCGCCGCCCTGCTCTCCTGGCCCGACGTCCCGGTCGTTGACATCGTCGTCAACAGCGCAGGCGTCATGGGGATCCCCGAGCGCACGCTCAGCGAGGACGGCATCGAGCTGCACTTCGCCACGAACCACATTGGGCACTTCCTGCTGACCTGCCTCATCACGCCCAAACTGATCGCCGCGGCCTCCGCGCCGGGCGTGCCCCGGGGCGCCGTGCGCGTCGTCAACGTCACGTCCGCGTCGCCCACCGCCGCCAAGATGCGCTGGAGCGATATCAATTTCGACAGGGTGAACAAGGAGCTGCCGGCGGCCGAGCAGCCGAACTACGCCTGGGTCGAGGCGTGGGGGTACGACGACGTGGCGAATAAGAAGTACGTCGGGCTCGAGGGCTACAACCAGAGCAAGGTGGCCAACGTGCTGTTCGGGATCGCACTCACGAAGCGCCTGTTCGACCAGCACGGCATACTGAGTTTGGCCGTGCATCCGGGCGTCATAGGCACGGAGCTGGGGCGCAATTTCCCGCCGGAGAATCTGGCGCGCATCGAGGCTATGTTGGAGCAGGGCGTGTTCACGTACAAGAGATTGGGGGCCGGGGCGTCGACGAGTCTGGTGGCGGCGCTGGACCCGCGGTTGAGCGAGGGCGTCGGGGAGGAGAGGGGGGGCAAGGAGAATTGGGGCGCGTATATGATGGATTGTCAGATCACGGATAAGGCGCAGCCGCTGGCGGTGTCGAGTACCGAGGCGGAGAGGCTGTGGGCGCTGTCGGAGGAGCTGGTGAAGGAGAAGTTTGAGTGGTGAGCTTGGAGTTGTATGTATACATAGATGACTGGAGTATGGCCTGTCTGCTTCATTGGTTTTGCCTATTCCGTTTGAGTTGTCTCACAGCAGAGAATAGATAGAGTGATAGCTCAAAGCGGTCAGGGACTCATCCAGCGCGTGGACTTACCAAAGCATACTATGGCCGGACATTACATACTTCCGTTGCCTTCTCACCACTATTGTCAGTCGTAATCATAGCAATGAGATAATTGTAGTCGGCACATCTCCCTGTTCGCCAGGAAGAAGACAGCTTGCTCCAGTGCTTACTTGCAATTGAGATTACACCTGTACAGGCCGAGTTTCACAAAACATGCCGCAACTCGACCAAATCATATGTCTCACGCCAAGTGATCAATATAGGGGCTTCGTTGTATAACTTCCTGCCGATGATACCCACGCCGTGCCCAGTAGGATAGAAAGCTGATTGAGAGGGCGATATAGGGTTCTCTTTTGGATCAAGGTAGAAATTATGTGTGCCTCTACCTCATCATGTGATAAATAGAGAAGCCGGGAAAGGGTCCAATGAACAAGAAGCACCAAACTTTGCTATCAACGGTGAAATGGCTCTCATCCGCCTTAAAGCGGCCGACCAGATCCAAGGAGGTGGCTTAAGTCACATTCGAACCTCCAGCAAAGCTGTCCTCCCTCGAGCTGCCGGTTTCTAAACCATTGATATCGGACTACGTAGATGTGCACAACACCAAGTTATTCTACTAAGTTTCGAACTGGAGGTGGTCTTCTAGCAGATTGAGGCAAATTGAGGGCTTGCTGGACACTATCGGGGGGCATAGTATGCAAACTGTACACATGTAACACCAATTTTACCACCACTTCTGTGTTTGGCCCTGGAATCCAAGAACAGAAGGGCTGGGAAACATGGATGGGCTTGACCAGCCTCACTTGAGCTGCCGTCAAAACAATCAGTCAAAGTCGAAGGCTGTATGTGGAGCGCAGACAGACCACTTTCTAGTCGTTATGTCACGCTCCAGGATGGTCTCGTCACTCTGCCCCTCTGTCAATCGTGATAGACTCGCCATTCCTTAGACCGACCATTTGGCTCTTTTACACTGTTCAAAGGGATGCAGATACCACCATGAATAAGATGGCAGCGGATCAGCTTAAAATGGTAGATAGTGGCATGCATACTTAGAGATTGTGTATGTTCTTACGCCCCAGATGAAGAGGATGAGATCTAATGATGGGGAGCCAGACTGTCGACGCGGCGCATATGCTCCTCGACGATGATAAAGGCAGACGTGCGACACACACAAGCCTTGTTAGTTAGGTTCGGAACGGCGGACCCCTCCACGCTGGTCCTTTCGTGATCGAACAGACCATTGTAGAGATTATTGCAAGGTGCTGGGCCACGAGGTCACCTGCTGCAGCGTAGGCGACATGGCATCGACAACTATTGTGGGTTGTAGATATTTGACTGCCATCATTCGTGGATTTCATTATCAGGGAATGGACCCTACTAGAATCTAGGGGACTTCGCGGCCCAACCTCTCCAACTCCTCTTGTATGAACTCGCGGGCATTCAAAAGCTCTGTGCTGCCGTACACTACTCTCTTCTTAGCTCTACCTTCTCCCGTGCGCTGTACCCATTCCTGAAGGTTGCCGTATTCATCTAGGCTGCCTCCGCCTACCGTGAACACAATGGCATCGCTGTAGCCCTGTCTCCTCTGCCCGAAGCTTGCTCCGGTGCCTGTGGCCTGTACGCCCAGGGTGCTAGCTCCGGGCATTGACCCAGGTGTACTGACCGCACCAGCTCGCACTGCGCTTGGCGGTGGCATGCTCCCTCTCGCATTGGCGCTCCGTGGGTCAAAATACAGATAGTTCTCTGTCTTGGCAATGGCGGCTGTCGAGGCTGTTGACGGATCCATAATGGACTCGACGATCTTAGTAATCGTCAAGTCGCGATTGGCAGGGAGGAAGTTCTTGATGCCGCCTATCAGGCCTTCGAAGTTTGAGGCCAGTGAGGTCGCGCCAACACCCGTTTCCATCAAACGATCAGTCAGTCCCCGGGATAGATTGGAGAAGCGGCCAAATAGGTCTGTACTCCCACTTTGGGCGGGTTGAGACGTTTCGATTGTGGTCATCTGGGTCATCCTTGTTGTTGCGCGTACTCTATTATAGCTGTCAGTTACCCAAGCCGGCTACATGGGGTTAGGGTCAAGACTCACTGTCGGACGTAAGCGAGGCATGTGTTGTCAACACCGGCCGCAGTCAGAGCTTCTTCGAACTGAGTCCAGTCTGCTCTATTGATCTCTTGCTCAGTGCTGAGATACCAGATTATGAACAGCCGAAGCTTGTCTAAAGGATCCTTGCCCTTCTCGGCATCCTTGACAATCTCCAGAATCTGCGCCCTGGTTTGCTTCATGACGTTTTCCTCCGTCTGGAAGTAGTTGTCCAGCTGTCGGTTCTTGATACCAGTGAGCAGCGCGGCAAGGATGTTCATATGCATATCCAGCACGGCCTTCCTCTCACGCAGCTCCGGCAGCAACGTTATTGCCGCCTTGAGATGTTGCGCACTCGCACTGGTATCATTCTGTAGGTCCTCTATTGATGAAGCACCTGTCTTCTTCGTGATCTCGGCGGCATCCTCCTTATATCGAGTCAGTTCAGCGTCGATGTTCTCGGCCACTTGGGGGAAGGGCATTCCGGCGTTCTTCTCCCAAAAGAAGTCGGCCGATGTAAGGTCGTACGCCTTCTTTGCCACTCCCTTTCCCGGATGCTCCTCGTCTATATGTGTTTCAATGGTTATACGGTTGAGCTTCATATTGAGAACATCGTGGACTAGTGACTGGTAGGTCCAAGAGTGGGAGAGCATAGGATTAAGGTCGACATTTCGGTCGAGGATGACGAGAACAGGCCTAGACGTAGGCGTGCCAGCAGACGAAGCTGGTCGGGCGTTGTTTGAGAATAGGTTGTCTTTCGAATTAAGAACGTGATCGCGAAGTTTGCGGTCGAGCTTGCCTGCGATCATATCTGCAGCGGCTCCCTTCGGACACCGTATTATTGGGATAACACCTGGAGACTGTTAGCATACCGCCTCCTCCAGCTTTGAATGGGACTACATACCCATGGTCGCAATGACACTAAACAAGCCGCTGACTATCCGGTCGACAACGTGGTCTAACTCCTCGTCTTTCGTCTTGGCACTGTTCAAGGCCCAATAGGTGTGTTCTTTCTGCATACCAAGGCTGAATAGGTCTGGTTCGGCGACTATGAAGTTCAAGTATTGATCGAATAGCTGGGCGATGTGTTCCGACGTGCCCGCAGAGGCGGTTTGCGAGGCGAAGTCTTCGAGGAGAGGCCGAGGTATGGAGGAGAGAAAGTTGATATAAGCCGGGGAGTAGAGTCCCTTCTGTAGATCACTGGTGATGCCCTCCAAGTTCTTCGCGTTGGGCTCGACGAGGTATACGACAGGGACGTCGGGGATGGGGTTCCGCGTGGCAGATAGATTCACTGAAGAAGTTCAGCAGGCGGGTCGAGTGTCAGGGGGGGATGGTGTATGCGCACTATGCATGGTGACGCCCATGGAGCGCAAGTCGCTCACGCGAAGGACGCTGGAGATGACATCGCGGCCCAGGTCGTCGAAGACGAGGACTTTCCAGATAGGCTCCCCCTCGGCAGTCAGGATGGGGCCGGCGGGGGCGAGACCGTTTGCGTGAGAGTCATCGTCGTCCTTCTGGTCGATGGTGTCGTTGAGGTTGAGGATCTTCTTGAGGGAGGCTGCCACGTGCGGAAGGCGTAAGCATTGCAGAGCACAAGACGCACGCAGGCAGACCCGACGCGAACGGGGAGGCAAGGAAGAGATTCTCACCAACTTGGCGATCGCGCAGTGAATATGCCTTGGTCGCCATGGCGAGGCGAGGTGGTATGGACTGGCAGACTGGCAGACTGGTAGACTGGCTGGGACGTCGTCGAGCTAGATTGCCGGCTTGCTATGCGGACCGGGGGTTGCGCTTTGGAGGTGAATGTGAATGCGAATGCCCGTGTGCATGAAGCTGGGGTGGGGTGGTGTCTTTCATCAACTGGTTGCACTGGTCGTGGTTGACAGATCAATCACTGACGGGAGCTAGGGGGAAAGTAACAGATATTGGATGTATTGCCATGAACCAACTCATAACATGGACTCAAAGTTAGGTGTCATTTAGGCAGTTTAAAGTACAGTACAGATTGCTAGAAGACTCGTACACACTGCGGGAGCAGGGAGGTTACTGAATATCGATGGTTCAAATGCAGCGCGATCTGTCATTACCATCAGGTACCGGAATCTCAGGGTCGGTGTTGGCGGTTTCCTATTTCCGTTCTGTCCCCCACATGCAGACCCAACAACATTGAAGACTGGATTCAAAGGTGGTGGCTGTTCCTCGTGGCGCAGTATATCGTTGTCGGTGCCAGTATGTGGTCCATGCCCTCATTGTTACAGAGGGAGGAGCAGACACAAAGACTCCGCTAAAAAGACCCAGTTGCCCAATCAAAGCCACCAGAACTCCTGCTGTGTGGCCCCGCCATCTCATTGCAGAAGCCTAAAAGCGCAAAGGGGTCCGTCCTGAGAAGCCCACCTGCACTGCCTGCCGCCCAGACCTCCATCTTCTCATCTTCCCTTCTCCCAACTCCGACAGTCTTTTCCCTCTCATCAGACTCTCCGCCATCCATCCCCCATCCATCCCCCATCAATCATTTCCTCACATAACCGCAACCTTCCGGCAACAACCGTATCTATCAAACTAACATTTGTCGTCGTGTTCCACGTACCTCTCAATCATCTTCTCGTCTGACTATTAATTCTAATTAATTAATCCCCCTGGTGGCACTCGTGGTGTTTCTTGCCGGTCGCTCCTGGGATTGGTGCCGGTCGCTCGCTCGTTTTCTTTGACTCGATCAAACAATCAATCTGCCAGTCCATGAATCACCAATCGGCTTCGTCCATCCAGCCAGCCATCCTCCACTTCAACTCTTCATAGACTTTGGGATACGCGGTACTTCATGTTGTAAATCTTCTCCTCTCAGCTAAGAGAGCATGACAGAGCCAACTGTCTTCAACCTAAGAAGAAGAGGACTCGGAAGCAGCTAAAGTAGAACTGCAAGCGTGGGCAGCATCAGGACTAAAAGGGTATGAAGATAACACGCTCCCTCCCCCTTCCTTCTGCTTGTACTGTTTCTTTTTGCCACAAACTGCTGCATTTGTTGTATCCACACCATTGGGAGAGGGTGCGCGCGAGAGAGGTGAACTCTCTTCTGGTATTGGTCTTTGTTCATCCACGGGCATCCTTCGTTGGGTCTTCTCCGTCTGCCCGGAAGATACAGCGCCCGCGAAAGTGAAATCCCAAGCCGGCAAACAGGGTAAACCTGGTTCGGGGGGTAATCCCACGTACCTCACTCACCTTATGAATTCGCAGCAGAGAGAGCACTCGAGGCACAAACAGACTGGTCAGATCAATTCAGGTCCGACCAGCTTGAACACATTGAAAGTTCTACTGCCATCGCCTGATAAGTAACTCATAAATTCCCACCGCTCAAAGGATGGGAGAGTGAAAAGGGCCTAAAGAGACGCCAAGAGCCAGCAGAGGAGAGAGAGAGGAGAGAGACACTCAGCCTATTCCTTCACACACACACACACACACACACAGACACACACACACACATACAAGTATGAATATGACAAGCCACAGCAGCATCTCAAGCCGTTCATTGTAACCGGTCTTGGAAGCCTGTCTGTTGCTGAAATTCTTCATTCATCTGAAATGGCCTGTCGGCCTTGTCGAGAAACCCAGGTCCCCAATTGCGCTCACACAGCACAATATCACACTTGCGGCGAAGACAGGCGTACCGTTGAGCCTTGTTGTCGCGATCATGCATTTTCAACCTCTAAGCGCAACACCCCTGGGTCTCTTTGAGGCCACGAGCTCCAGAATAGCAGTTTGGTGGTGTTCAAGTCGATTCAAAACCAACGCTGTCATCAACACGGACGGCTCACAGCACCAGCTCGATGCGGCAGAAGGCGACTTATTGCCAGGTACTCGCACCAACGCCCAGAATTCGACCTATTCCTCATCCTTGGTGATGTTGACCTGGTCGCCCGAAAGCCGCGCTCGCTTATTCATCTTGCAATACTGTGCATTGCCCTCTGAGAGACAACGGTCTGCTCTGTACACGCACGCACTCTCACATCCGGCCACGGCCACCTGAGCTTGGATGGTTCCACCTTCTGCCGACCTGGACTCTCTTGGATCTCTCTCTCTCTCTCTCGCACACGCTCACTCGTCTCTCTCTGCTGAGCGGCCTGCGGATGCAAGACTCGTCATCCCAGCCTGTCTGACCGCACATAAGCCCGGTCCCCATCACTGTTTCGTTGGCTTGCTGCGTCTCTTTACGTTGTTGTCGTGTTCAGCGTCGAACGCCAAGCTGATCGTACCGTTCTGGTGTAGATCTGCGGACCGTTCCCGTTTCGCCGCCCGAATAGGACACCACCTGCAGAGTCCTCACCCCACGCCTGCCGACTGCCGACAGTCGACACCAGGCTGACCAGGACCCGACTGGCACCAACCATCTTCTTAGACCCTGGTCTCCCAGCAGCCTAGGCACACGCCCTGGTATTTCCTCTCTTTTTTCCAAAACACACGCCCTTTCTCACCCAGCTCTCTAATATCTCACCACAGTCCCAAACGCATCAACTCGACGCTTGATCCCTGGGTAGGGTAGGTTTTCGAGCCTTTCGTCCTCAGACCTCAAGAAAACATTGCTACCGTTGGCAACACGGCAAGACTGTTCTGGTAAGTGATTGATTGTCTGATTCGGCAAGCTAATGGCCAGGGTTCGCTCGAGTCCGCAGCATTGATAGATGCACCCCTTGTCTCTGACGCTGTGCAATGATGGGCTCACCCCATCCACCCCAACGGAGATGCACTTGGACTAACCCCGTCTCCTATCCCCAGATCACGTGCCTGGCTGTCGTCCAGTCCAGGACGGTAGGCCCAATTCGCATTCTCGCCATGGACCACCAGAGCACCGACGACTGGCAGTATGCCCAGGATGCTACTGCCATCCCTCAGAGTGTCGATGCGAACGGGCAGCAGAATGCCAACTTCACCCAAGAACCCTTCTTTGCAACCTTCCAACCTCAGACCCAACATGGGGCTCCCTACCAGCTTTACAATGCAAGCGAGGAGTCGTATACCAATGCCTACCACGAACCCAACCTGGCTGGTGGAGGAATTCAGCAACACAACGGGCCAAATGGTGGTGTACAGCATCACAATGGAACAGGTGGTGGCCTGCCTGCACAAGGCCACCCATACTACCAGTCTGGAAGCCCCTACCAGTTTCAACCTCATGGGGGCCAAGACATGAACTTGCAGTACGGAGGCAGTCAACTTCCTGCGAACGCAGAGTACACAAGACATAGCCAGCAGGGCAACTTTCCCTCGTTCTCGGCTCAACAGCACCCGCCCACCCGACCATACCAAGGGGACTTCCCTGCGTCGGCGTGGGCAGAGCGCCCTGCAAGTACACCAGCAGCGTACGACCAACCACGCTTCATAGACCCGGCTCAGGATACATCCTACCAACCAATGGACATCGAACATCATGGGTCTGGTCGACAGACGCCACAGCAGATGCAGTACACGGCGCCTCCCCCTCAGAATAGCTTGGTATCGCAGCCATCCTATCCGTATCTGTCTCCCATGCAGTTCGTGGACGCTGGTGGACCTTCTCAAGTCCAGCAATACCATAGCCCGCAGACGTCAAGCTATGCCGCTGCCAGGGCGCCACGGCAATCGGCTTACAGTGCCCCGTTAGCTGTACAACCTGCTGGCGCTGCTGCTCAGCTCTCGCGACCGAGTTCCACCGGTGTTGCTGGCCAGGCGGAACCATGGAAAGTGGTATCACCAAATGTCTTGACACCGACACAGCCTCGAATTGTCCAGACTCTCCCAGGTCCGGACTATGAGCCGCTGGAGGGATGCACGAATTTTTGGATTAGCAAGAAACCTGTCATCCCACAGATACCCCCGAACACCAAGAAGGCGAGTGTGCTTGTCGCAAGTCATAACTTAAGCGGGACGCCTCTTCTTCCCGGCAGGTTTTTACCCTGTGAGATAGCACGTGATCACCAGGAGCTGCAGACGAGATTTCCGGATGCACCTGAGTCTGAGAAGCAATCGCTCCAAGCCGGAATGGATGCGTTGGATAAGAAGATGTTCAACCTGACTGGGACGAAAGGTAGGATGCTTCATTGGTGGTGGCGGCCCAAAAGTGTGGAATTGCATGCTAACCGTCAGATTTAGTGCCTAAGGTGAAAGAGAAGGCAAAGAAGTCTGCGAGCTCGGGCGATAGCAGTAGTGATTCTGAGTCCGAAACAGACGAGACAAGCAAATTGGCTGAACAGGTGAGTTGCCCTAATCATGGTTGCTGGGGACCATCTCTGTGCATGGTGCTGCACTGCATCATACCCCACTGCCTCTGCGAGTTCGCCTTGTAAACAACCACCAAAACCCCAGCTACCACTACCCGCCCAGGTACAAACCGCACCATTCACCTCAACATTTTGCTCGTCGCCTGGTCGGCGTGCACCCACTGTTCCCAGCATCACACACTATCTACAGCTTCCCTTCAAAGACCGCTATATGAAATTTAGTACTGACATCGTCTTTCCCACCTCTGTAGATCATGGCTGCTAAGCGACCTGTCGACCCCGTTGAGGCTGTCAGGTATGACGTCGTTCGTATCTTCCGGAAAGATTACGAAGAAGTTGGCGCGAAGAAGGTTGGAATCACAGTTGGCGCCTTTGGTGAATATGTGACCAAATTGTGGAATACCATCAAGGACCTCAGGAAACGCCTCGAGTCCGCTCAAGATAAGATCGCGACGGACCAGCAAGACCAGCAAATTTTGCAGGCAGCCCTTGCTCACCATCAGGAGCAGCTTCGCACTGCTCTCCAGGCTGCCCTCGAATTTGGCGATACGCACACTCTCAGAAATTTGGGAGGACACGACAAGATTGTAGTCAGCCTCTTCAATGGTCTACGACACCAGTTGATGACCAAGAACTACAACAGTCCTTTGGCAAAGACGATTCTCCAGCTCGCGTCACAGTTCACCCATCTAGACACGACGTATCTTACCGAGAAGCTAAAGCTTCACAAAGTGCGGGACAAGTTCTACAATGAACTCGACGCTAATGGGAAGAAGTGGATGGACCAGATCTTCAACAATGCCAAACTGGAAACAGCCGAACAGAAACCGGCAAAGCCGCTGGAAGCTCTTGACAAGGCTAAACTCCCAATTCCAGCGGTTCTCAAGGCTACAGCCTCAGCCATCAAAACTCCAGGTACCACAGTGAAGCCTCAAGCGACCAAGTTGGAAGTACCCCAGAAGAAAGAGCTCGCTGCTGTCAAGAAGATCCTGCCTACCGATTATTCCGGCTTGGGATCAGCACGGAAAGTGAGCAGCACGGCTGCGAAACCTAATGCTTTCGGATCGCCTGCCAAAAGACCCAGAGACGATGATGTCGAATTCCGCGCTCCCAAGAAAGTTGCTGTCGAAGGTGCCTCTGGAGTCCCAGTCACTACTAAGATACCCTCGACTACTACTCCGACTGCCCAGATCTCTCAGACTTCTACGACTCCCGCGACAGTCCGTGCTCGACCTTCTTCGTCCTTACTACTAGGCAAAGCGCGGGCACCTGCTAAGTCGCAGACCAAGAAACCTGAACCTCCGTCATCCACAAGCTCTACGATCAGTGGACTGCTCGCAGAGATTGCCAAGCCTGCTGCAACGCCAAAACAAAAAGAAATCACCAGAACTCCTGAGACCCCCGAGGAGAAGGCGCGTCGGCTACACAAAGAGAAGAGAAGACACCTACGTGTTATGTGGAAGCCGGATCACGAGCTGACCGAGATTCGAATCTTCGAGCATGACCAAGCAGAGGATGAGGGCCGAGCTACTAGTATGGTGAAAGACGCCCGCGATAATCGGTCAGAGGGACAGATGCTGAAGATGCACCGAGGCGCCCAGGAAGATGACGAGGAGGAAGATGGCGGAAAGCCCAAGGAAGTCAATATACGCCCCTGGGTCGCAGCTTCCAAGACTGATTTCTCCTCGGTCGATCAGCAGCAGCGAGGCAAGGTCTTTGTCACCCGCGGAGGCCTCCGAGAGGTGCAGTCGGAGCAGAAGAAGATCATGGACGAGTACGAAAACCGCGAGCTGATGGCCATCTACACCACGCCTTCCGAGATTCCGGACACGCCTCGATCGCCCCCCAACAAGGCGACCGAGAGGTCCGTTGCCCCAAGAATTGGACAACTGCCATCCACCGACGCCAAATTCGTGGAGACTCATCGTCGCTGGGCTGAAGTCGGACAATTTGGTACGACTATCACGTCACGCATGGCGCTCCAACGCCTTGGAATCCAGGCACCCAGTGCAGACGGCCCTCACATGAAAGGCCATGGCCCCATGGCCCCGCAGTCGTCTCACCTTCCGTCTCACGTTGCCAACATGAGCAGCATGAGCAACTCGATGTCGCGGCAACCCAGCCATGCTCCCCGCGTGAAGACCCAAGCCGAGAATGATGCGGAAGTCTTGGCCCTACTCACATCCGCCAGGGTGAAGAACTGGGACGATCCTGATCCATACGATCCTGCCAATCCCAAGACGAGGCGACGCCATGACTATGGCGACCCCAAGGTGCAGGCAGCTGCCGATGCTATCGAAGCCGTCGCTGCCCAGCTCGCCGGCAAACCGTTCCCTGCCACCGAGCCTCCCACCTGGATGCAGTCAGATCCGGACCGCGTCAAGGAATGGCACACCGGACGAAACAACGACATCGCTGCGAAGGCCAAGAAGGAAGCTATCGAGCGGGCAGCGCGATTGTCGGAAGCACAAGCGCGCAAATCGCTGGAGAGTGCTCAGGCCAGTCAAGCTCCGGCCCAGCCCGGCATCTACGCCCCGTATCAGATGCAGCACCTGCACCAAGCTTTGCCTCAACATCAGCCGTACCAAGCTGCCCCGCAGGTCCCGGACCAGTATGCTGCCATTCTGCAACAGGTTCAGGCGCTTCAGGGCGCCCAGCCAGTCCAGAATGCCGCCCCGGTCGCGCCTCAGTTGGCACCTCCGCAGCCGGCTAACAGCCTGCAAACCCTCCTGGCTGCTCTGGGGCAGGTAGGCCAGGCGCCTCAGGCATCTCAGGCGCCGGCTCCGACGCCAGATTACGGAAACTGGCAGCAGTGGGCGCCGTACCAGGCGAGCCAGGCACAGCAACCTCATGGTGCACCGGCCCAGTCGCACGGTGCCCAGTCGTTCGGGATCCAGTATGACGGCACTTCCCACGATGGCCAAGCCTATGGATCCCATTTCCAGGGCTACCAAGCTCACCAGGCCCAGCCGCAAGGTGCTCAACACTCCCGCGATAATGACCGAGGCAACCGTAAGGACGTCCACCGTGGCAACAAAGAGCCTCTCAAGGGCATTAACCGCTCCCTGATCGGCACCAAACCCTGCTCGTTCTGGGCCAAGGGCCAGTGTGCCAAAGGCGACAGCTGCACCTTTCGACACGACCCGAACGATTTGAAATGATCTGCTCCGATCAATCGCGGACCTTCAATTGACCTGCCGCGGACAGCCCTTGGCATTCCAATTGTACCAAAATTCGAAGATATCGATCTCAAAGATGTCTCGCTTAAGCTTGATAGCTGCGACGGAAGCAGGCTACGGGCTTCACATTTCCTCCTTTTCGACTTGACTGTCATGTTTGCGTATGTTTCTCGAGGACACCGGCATTGCCACGGCGTTACTCGAACATCTTTGAGATCTTCATCCTGTCTCGAATGACAGTTTCAAAGATTTCAGAGGTTCCACTAGAAGATTCATCCGGTTTGATCATTCTTGCGCGATGCTCTCACTGCGTTGTGTTGCGGCTGTACAAAACAGGCGTTTGAGGATTGCATTGCATTGTATGGCTTCGCATTGAGAAGAAAACGGCAAATATTCCCAGGATTGGCCTGATACTTGGTACTGCTGGTATTGCCGGCACTGGCACTTTTCACGAGGCGTTCGGATGGAACGTCCATTCATTGCATTGCCTTGCACGACTAGGCGATTCTCGACTTTTTTCTCGAGGTCCCTCACTGCATGGACTGAAAGCAAAATGGACGGATGAATGGCTTCTGGCATTCGCGAAGAGATGGATGATACACGTATCATCGTTGTAGAGTAGACGTGTGCACATAGGGCCAAAGTTGCCAAACAAAATCATAAAAGGGGACCAGTGATCCCTATTCGCTGTATGTTTAAGCTGTTTTGATCGTGACCGTGTTCAACCCGTGCATTTTGAAATTTACAGTCCGACAAATGCCACCTTGAGTCTTCAGAACCCTACCACTATCGGGATGGATGAACATATCGTATTACTCCTAGAACACCTGACATCCTTGCCTTGCGCAGCGCCTTTCCGCTCCTTCATTACCGCTCTGCGCTGTTTGAGCTGTCCCAATGGTCACTCATTCGGGCTAGCGAGGCCCAACCTTTGCTCAATGATAGTCACGATATCCGTCCACTACAACGGTCAAAGTCAGCAAGTGGCCCATAAGAAGGGGAGTAAGGGGCAGTAGTGTGAAGGAAAGCAGGTCATGGCTCTGGTTCCGAAGCCGGAGCTGCGGCTGGTAGATGCCCGGATCTGACCGAGTCCCTCTGAAGCAAAACGCAGAGGAAATTGCGTGTATAGGAAGGAGTGAGCTCACCTCCATCATCGCGCCATCGCCAATATCTCTGTACATCCATACGTCAGTGTCCATACGAAAAGAAGAAGAAAAATCGGAAAGGGGTCGATAGAGCGACTTACCCACACGCGAGCGTTTTCTTCTGCGGATGAAGCACCTCGAACCAGCCGTCACCCGCGAGATCTCCTGCGCCTCCGTCACGGAGCTCCTTGTCCACACCCCATTCCTCCTCTAGTACGCGGAGCTGTTTGGCGGTTATGGGGTGGCGCCACATGCTGTGATGTTTGTTCTTAGTGATGAGAGGACAAATAGGAAAGAATGGGAGAAAGGGGTTATGGGCGTTATGGGCGTCATTGAGAGCTCCTTACGCGGTGTTCATGGCAGGCGCCACGATGATGCGCTTCTTCTTCGTGCGCCTCGGGGTCGTCCCCGACACCACGGCAGCAGCACCACCATCCCCAGTAGCATCTCCTCCCTGGGCCCCGTCATCACGAAGCACATCGCTATCCAGCTCCCCCCAAGCATCCCAGGCGCGCACAACACTCGTGAGGATGCCGTCGGCGAACCCGCCGACGATCTTGGCCATGGTGTTGGCGCTCAGCGGCGCGACGACCAGCAGGTCGGCCCAGCGGCGCAGCTCAATGTGCAGGATGCCCGCGCCGCGCCGCCACGGCTCGCGCCACTCGTCGGCGTCGCCGTAGACGCCGTCGACGCCTTGTAGGGTCGAAAGCGACGACACGGACGGCTGCTCGGCCGACTGGCCGGCCAGGAACAGCGTCGCGCTGGGGGTGAGCAGCACGCGGATCGAGAGGTCTGGCTGGTGGCGCGCTAGGGCGCGGATGATTAGGGGCAGCTTGATGGTGGCGACGCTGCCGGAGGCGGCGAGGAGGAGGTGCTTCTTTTTGTCGCGGTGCGAGGCGGTTAGGGCGGCTAGGGAGGTGAGGTGCCGCTCGTGGTGCGCATCGTGGAGGGGAGAGATGGCTTGGATCATGGTGGTTTATAGGGGGTTCCCTTGTGTCTGCTAGGTGTATATGGTAAGATAGTCAGGGGTCAGATCAGGTTGTCGATCTTCGTATGTCCGGACGGGTTCGGTCTCATATCTCTTGGCAACTGAGCTTGCCTTCTCGAAGTATAGAGGCCCGACCATATCCTGCATAGATATACAGTAGCGAAGAGACGAGACCGGAGCTTGCTCTTGCTCGAAGTTGCTCGTCTTTGTTAGTAAGAGTAACGAGGTAAAGCTACTCGGCTCCCTTCGTCGGCCGGTCCGGGCCTATACCGGTATGCTGTGGGACGATCGGGCTTGGCCGGGGATGTGGTCTGGCGTCATCCCACTCACTGTCCGACGCATATGGACGTATCAATCACGGGTTCCCTCATTGGTGCAGACATGAGGATAATAATGAATCCATTGACTGTTTACAACAACCTGGGGTGAGTCGAAAGGGGGCGTGCATCCAGACGGCGGTCGTGTGATGTCAACTCGAATTCTTGTCCGTCATCGCTGGACCCCTCCAAGCCGTGAGAATGCGCTCTAACGCTGATTGGCCAAGGATAGCCGTGGCGCAAGCTCCCCCTGTGAGGCTCAGCTGTCAAGAGAATGGGACGCAACTGTGGCGTACTTTTTGCATCATCAGATCCATCTTCAATGATTAAAAATCGCTGAGCTCTGATAAGCTTCTGAAGCTGGCCATTCCATTGCGACCAAACACCCATAATCAACTGCCTCGCTTGACTCCAGACTACTTCCGAGAAGCCAATACAACAGCCAAATCAACATGTTCTCCAGACCATTATACTCAGCTGTGAGTACCGTTCAAATCCCCAAAGGAACAACGGCCCGCATAGCGCATGTAGACTGACACTGCAACCCCCAGGCCTTCCGGCAAGCAGCCCGGCCGATGGCCCGCCAAGTCATAAACAACCGCCCGACCCCCTTCCTCTCAGCCTTCCAGCAACGACTGCTGTCCGACCAAACAAAGAAGGCGATCGAAAGTGCCGTCGCCTCGGCACCCGTTGTCCTGTTCATGAAGGGTACACCCGAGACGCCGCAGTGCGGGTTCTCGAGGGCGAGCATTCAGATCCTGGGCCTACAGGGCGTGGACCCGGCCAAGTTCTCTGCCTTTAATGTGTTGGAGGACGAGGATCTTCGATCAGGTACGAAAACAAACGAGCCACCTATCATCGTGCAAGTTGCAGCAGCAGGACGACTACCATGGCAGTAGCAATGGCTAGGACACATGCTAATGGAGTGCTTACCCAGGTATCAAGGAGTTCTCCGACTGGCCCACCATCCCCCAGCTCTACCTCGACAAGGAATTCGTTGGCGGATGCGACATCCTCGTCTCCATGCACCAGGACGGCTCGCTTGCCAAGATGCTCGAAGAGAAGAAGGTGTTGGCTCCGATAGACGGATCAGGATCGGAGTCCGCTTCGCAGTAGACGGGCTCCGGGGAGTGGTGTATTAGATGGCTGTACGATTCGACTATCCGATATGGAGATGTGTACATTACGAGCGCCTAATGAACGAGACTTTTCGATATAGCTCTGCTGTTGTCATGTTGTGCCGGTGGCAGCATGACTTTAAATACCGCATGAGAAGCGCCGTGTCATTGCGCATGTTGACTATGGTCAACATGCCATGTGGACTGTACACGCCTCCCACGATCTCGAGTACGGCCAGTCTTTGACTTGGTGACCCTCCGTGTCGGAAGAGGCGGGGTCGCATGCTACATGGAGCAACAGACGAGTGGCGACATGATTGCTTCTGCGCTAGTTTTTGCGGAATTGACTGAGAAGGAACTCGAGGCAAAGGAAGCAAGTCTTGGCTGTGAGTTGGAGGGATCCTGCTTGGCCACCAATTACACGACTGTACAACCTCAACGTGTGTGACATTTCTAGGCTCACCACGCAGGCTGCGGCTCTTCAGCCTACGTCTTAACGAAAACCGGAATCCTAACCACGGCAGATAAAGACGTTGGTTTTCACCTCCGAGAGTCACCTCAAGGTTCCATCGTATCAACAGTACTAGCAAAAGCTGCTACAAACTGTGCGTCAGCTCGTCGCCACTTGGTCAGATAAGAGTATCAATGTAACCCCTGAACCCCCTGAACCCCTAAAGCGTTCGTTTGCCATAGTATCTACACAATCACTGCGGATAAGCCGCCCCGTCCCCACGCAAATCGCTACCCGCAGACCACACACCCACATTCTCAACCGGATCAACACTCCACCGTATGATCTGCCCGCGGCCAAACTTGCGCCTCGCCGCCCCATTCAGGACCTTCACCTCGTGCCCCAGCTTCCGCAGCCCCTCGACCGTCTCGGCCGGCATGCCCTCCTCGGCATAGACGGTCCAGTCGGTCGGCAGGCCCTCCTCGGGCTGGCCAGACCCGATGCACACGCGCGGCGCGTCGAGCGCCTGCTGCGGGTCGAGCCCGCCGACGACCTGGCCCAGCAGCACCTGCACGTGGCCCTGGGGCTGCATGAAGCCGCCCATGACGCCGAACACCGAGTGCAGCGACCCGTCGTGCATGTTGGTGACGGCCGCCGGGATGATGGTGTGGTAGGGCCGCTTGCGCGGCGCCAGCGTGTTCGGGTGTCCCGCGTCCAGGCTGAAGTTGGCCGCGCGGTTCTGCAGCGTGAAGCCGCACCCGCGGGGCACGATGCTCGTCCCGAACCCGCCGTAGTTGCTGTTGATGAACGACGCGGCGTTGCCCGCGCTGTCGGACACGGCGAAGTACACCGTGTCGCTGCTCTGCAGCGCCGGCGACGCCGGCGTGCCGTGCGGGAGGCTGTTGCTCGCCTTTGCGGGGTCGTAGAACCCCGCGCGCTCGGCGAGGTACACGTGCGAGATCAGGGCCGCCGACGGCACGGCCGAGACGCTGGGGTCCGTGACGTGCCAGCTGGCGTCGGCGAAGGCGATGCGCAGCGCCTCGATCACGGCGTGCAGGTACGGCGCCGTATTGAAGTCGGCCGCGCCCCACGTCGGGATCCGGCCCTGCTTCTCGAGCTCCTGCAGGATCCCCAGCGCCATCAGCGCCACGATGCCCTGCCCGTTGGGCGGGTGCTCCCACAGCTCGAGGCCGACGTCGTCCTCATCGATGGCGTCTGCCGCGCTGCTGACTTGGAGCGCCTGGCCTACGTTCTGGCCCCGGAACTTGAGGCTGATGGCTTCGACGTGCTCGCTGCCCGTTTCGAGGTGGTGCGTTAGGTCAGCGAGCTCGAGGTGGCCGCCTAGGTCTTGTACTACCTTGACGATCTCGGTCGCGATCCGGCCGGTGTAGAACCCCTGTTTGCCGTCTGCGGCGAGCGCGCGGAAGGTTGCTGCTAGCGTGGGGTTCTTCATGATCTCACCGGCCTTGGGCGCACGCACGCCGTCCGGAGCGCTGGGGTCGTTCTTTAGCATCTCGCTGCCGTTGGGCGAGGCGCTGCGGATGAGGTCTTCGGAGTGGTTCCACTGGGCTTGGTATCAGTCTGCCTTCTTCTCTCTGAAGGTGGTATATCCGCTTACAAGATACGCAGCGCACTCGGAGACAGGAAACCCCTTCTCGCCGAGCTCAATCGCCGGTGCCAGGATCTGCTCCATGGACAGCTTGCCGCTGCCGAAGCGCTCAATCGTGTCGCACCAGCCGGCCGCGGCGCCGGGCACCGATGCGGCATGCACACTATCCATGGGAATGGAGCCGGACTGTCCGGCCTTCAGGCCTAGTGACCCGCGGATAGTGTCGAGCGTGCACTTGGCGCCCGACCGGCCTGACCCGTTCATGGCAGACATCTTCTTCGTCTTGGCGTCGTAGAAGAGGCAGAACATGTCGCCGCCTATGCCGGTCGAGCAGGGCTCTGTCACGTTGAGGCCCGCGGCTGCGATGAGGACCCGGTTAGTGTATCTGCTTGTCAACCCACTCCAGTTTTGACAATGTGTCACTATCAGGACGTACCAACTGCTACGGCTGCATCCTATCATCCTCATGTCAGTATGGTACCTAGGAAGCTGTCGAGGATGAGAGACACTCACAGCGCAGTTGCCGCCCGCGTCCAAGACTTGGATGCCGCATTTCGCGGCCAGCGGCTGGGTGCACGCTACAATGCCCTTGGTGCTGTGCACGACGCTCCGCCGGCTAGGGAACTTTGCGAATTCCTGTGACGGCGGCGGGTAGACAGATGACGTGGTGAGAGGCATCTTTGCCGAGGGAGTCCGGCGATATCTTGGTGTTTTCGGTTATCACAGCTAGGCAGTAGTAGACTTTGGAGGCGGGGTATTTACTATTCGATGCATGTGACGTGTTCGGGCCTTTTGATAATAACAAACAACAGAAAAGCAAGCGAAACTAGCGGATGGCAACAGGGAGGAATGTACAGAGCTTGCAGCTCGTGACTTGGTAGAAATACATACAAACAAGGTGATGAAGGTTGGCCGGTGTAACGGTAGGTAGTGAATAACGTCAGTACCTTGCAGCGACTATTATCATTTGTCGACACCGTTGGAGCTGGAGCAATGCACCCCCCCCCCCCCCCTTCCCCACCGATACCCGACATAGCACCAGCAAGTGCCGGACACTAGTCTCCCCTATATCGGACCCCGAGTGTTTATTATGTTTAGTCAGATCATGGGTACATCTCGGCATCAGCGTGAGGACCAGCTGTATCTGATTTTGTCGGACGCTTTGTCGGTACCCAGCACGGTATCTGCATCCGTTCCATGCGAATCCACATACCACTCTTGCGACGAAGGGACAAATTAATAACAACTCCAACGCACCCCGCCCTGCAGAACGTCAACACAACCGACATGCTCTACAACGCCGGCGACGCATCCGGCGGCCGCCCTCGACACGCAGATATACACCGTTACCGCTGGCGGCGTGTTAGATGTCATAACAAGCTCAGAAAAGGGGGCAGGTGGCTTAAGGGCTGTATGCGCTAAGGCGCTTAGCTTCAGGGCATTCACAACACCCACAAGGCACTGTAATCCTGGCTTCTGATTGCAGGTGGTCATTCGGGACCTGGTCATTCGCCATTGTTCTGATGTCTGGTCACCCTGAGGTGCACACTGTTCCATAAGGTATAATAGGGGCTTCTCCTCCGGAGATCTTCTTATTCCTCTTCCAATACAGACCGTTCCTAAATTTCACACGGTAGCACTAGGAATAGTCTCCGCCCCTAGCCCTGATAATCATCTCGATACCGGAATTCCACCATGCGCTTCACCATCATCGGAGCTGCTGTGCTCGCAGCCGTCCATACCGTAGTTGGTGGTTGCCACCCCCAAAACAATCGACAACATCCCAGCCCCGGGACCCCCGCGTACCGGCGAATTAAAGCACAAGCTGCACATGTGTATCGACCACATGAGAGACGGTACCGGAGTGGATCAAGGGTGGAAGATTCGTAAGGAATGCGCCATGTATGCCTTTACGTTGGAGGGCGAATACTGGAAGAATTGTAAGCACTGCTGGAAGGCGTGCCAGCAGTGCCTTCATAAGGCCGTCGACGCCGGCTATGCAAAGGTCCACTGCACGAAGCACAAAGTTTTTGCTAAATGCACTTTCGACTACGAACCATTGGGCCGCGGCCCCTCCTGGGACCTGGCCGCGGCGAACAACTCGATCACCAACGCCAACGGATCAACTACTCGCCGAGCTTCCTAGTCACCGACCACTACTGCCATTCAAGCTTCTCGTCGCCGACTACACCCTATTCGAGCCACCTATTATCGAGCGATTTAGGGCTTGCATGGAGAATTTCGAGGGCGTGTTGGCGCTGTAGAGGGTCAGAGGGCGTGGCCCCCTATCTCAGGGGGCGCCGGCGTGGCAACGGATGCTGGTATACGATGTTGGTGGTGTGGATTAGACCACCAGATGTTGGGTGGAAGATATGGCAATCACCAGATGTGAGGTGGAGTCACTCAAGTTTGCGTTCGGTGACACCCTCTGTCTGGGAAGATGACGTATCCCGTGATTGGATTGAGAAATCGGAGTCATGTACTCCTTCATGTAATTATGTGCACATCAAACAGCTTTATGGAAACAGAGAGGATGTTTGTGACATCCGATAGTGCATCCTTGGCCTTTGTCGAGATGTCTAATCTTACCGGATCCCCGTGATACTGGGTCAACGACATCGGGGATCACTCACTGCGGACAGCCCGAACCGGTATTCCAGCAAGGAGAGCCGGAACTTGTAGTGTAGCCAAATCCTCGGGCCAAAGGCGAGGATAAAGAAGTAGAGAGTGCATGTATTTTTTGTCGCATAGATAAGCGCTGAGAGTTCATTGCCTTGCGGCGTATGCGGCAAGGACCCAAATCTCAGGGCCTCGGGAGGATTTTCCAGATGCAAGTCTCTTACTGGGCTGCATTTGGAAAGGGAGAAGCTCTTAGTGCCGCGACGCTCATGGTTGCGATAGATCGATCCATAAATTTGGGGGCTGCATCGACCCAACGTAACCTGGCTTGTTGCAGCACAGAACTACCGTATGTGACGGAATCAACCCGTCAAGTCGAAACAGTCAATTGATGTACTATCCAAGTCATCAGGTTACGTAATGGCGAAAGTGTCACTTGCTACAAAGTATCAGGGACCTGAGCTACGCCAGTCCCTATCCCATGTATCAGATGTCATGCTGCAGAATAATTGATGTGGAGAGACTTGCGCGCAACACAGGCAACGGAGGTAGCCCAACTGGCTGATAATGTGGTTCATGCATGTTTGTGATGATTCTACCCGTCGAGTTCTCGGGGTAGTGTCGACTAGACGAGAGTGATGGCGATGCTAGCCTGAAGGTGCTATCACGCTTGGACGAAGGGGCCACCCAGCGACCAAGCTCGTCACCATGAGAGAAGGCACATCTGCGAGGCGTAGACGCAACGGGCAGCATTGTTCACAACAGCCCTGGCGCTTGTGAGGAGGAAAGACGGGATAATTCGCGCGTGGTGGGAGTCTGAGTTGGCGCGACGCGATCTAAAGTGTGACTGGCTGGGGACCTTTAAAGGGGGGCAACCTTATGATGACTAATAGGGTCAGAGGATACCTTCAAGCTTCAACGCCGCGTTGACAGACGTGGACGGTTGTGGCGCACTTACCTATGTAGTTCTGATTTACCGGTACCTAGATGTACCGAGAGTATAGTAGGTAGTGACTACCTACCTACATGTTGGCAGGCGGGCCTGGTCTGCAAGAGAAGTGTCCATGGGAGTCGGGACGCCTGATCAGTAACAGATGAGGTCGTCCAGGTGGCCACATGAAGTGATTTGGCCAGACCGCGTCCGACTGGGACTGGGCTGGGGACTGCCTTGTAAGTTGTCGTTCATGTAAATCATGTTATACTGAGAGGTTGCGAACTTCGCTCATGCTGCTTGCTGCCTGCTGGCCATCAGTCCCAAATCTCGAAGGCGCAAGCCCCAGGGTCGATGTCTCCCGTAAGTCACCACCCGGATGTCCACTTTCACTTGCACTTTCCGCCAAACAAGCCACGACCTTGGATGAGCCAGTTTACTCTGCGAGGCTTAACTAAAGCTTGCTGTTGATGGGAAGGTGCAATGGACATGTTACGCTGGACGCCCTTCACACCATGTGACCGACCGTATTAGAGCGCGGCACCTCTGGCGAAATGATTCCCGCTCTCCATCATCTTTTACTTACCGATCCCGCACGCTTTGCTACACGCAGTCATCGTATGAGCTGGAGCTATTCTGTTTGTTTCTTTGCCTTACATACTCTCGATGCCGTATATGGTTATCGACCCTGTCGCGTCGGATATCACCTCGGGGCCATCCCATTATCGTGTCGGGCTCTACTGCAACCCCCATCAGTTATCTCGCAACCAGGAGACTCCCCCGTTGCCTCGGAAGACGCCCAGATCCAGTTCGGCATATCACGCACCGGCAGGCAGGCAACATGAGTCGCTGTCAGGCTTCATCCAGCAGATCCTCGGCACCGTTTGAACCTATCAATGATGTTGCACTGGGATCTCTGATTATCATTCAGACTGGCGATGAAGACGATCAGATAGAGTCGTTTGTAAGTTCGAGGAGTGTAACATCTGCCACCGAAAGCCAGCCGACTAAACCTATACAGCTCAAGCCAGCCATCGGCAAGGCTTTGCTTTTCCTCTTCACGGATCATGTTCAAGATGCATTCAAGGCCGCTATGAAGGAGCTGGGTACGAAATACGATATCTTGACCTGGTGTGAACAGCAAGATGACAGCAGCTCCGTGGATGGCGCCGTGGATCGGTTCTTCATGCGCGAAATGATCGAGAACGACCTGTACATCGGGTATGGCGGCACGGCCGACTCGGAACATCTGGCCGAGACCCTTCTCACCGTGGAATATGAGCAACGGGGTTACACATCCGTTCCTGGTTATGTGTGCTTGAACAAGAAGGCTAGTCCTCTCTTTTCCTTTACTACAGCTTTGAATCTCTCCCTGACGAGCCAACAGATCGTCGGGCAGCTTGCAGAATTTGCCCAGGTCCATCGCTTGAGCCAAGACATAAAGGCGATGTACCAACTGCAGGTACCCATAGTCACAGCAATTATCCATGGCTGGGCCAAGCTGATGGCGGCCGACTCGCTGATCTACGCTCCCATTAATGCCAGCTTGCGAGTACATGGGCACCCCCATATGGAGCCGCAACTGAAGTCGTCAATGATTCGTGCCGCCTACGAATTCGGAAACGATATGATCCGACGAAGTAAGCCACTCTTTGGGCTATTATTTACCCCCTATAGATACTCTCAAAGGCGATTATTGTCCATTAAAGCCTTTGAGGCTCTATGCGGACTTTCACTTCCAAATGACTTCCACTTCCCCTCATAGAGCAATTATTGACGCAAACCGTTGCAGTCTTCGGCGGCAATATCGAGTTCCATCGCCTAGGGAGATACAACCAGGATTGTAACCCTGTAGGTCCACCCCATTCTATCGTATACTGCTCAGTGCTAACTTCTCTCTAGGCGGGATTCGTCGTGATCTACGCCCAGAAATCCCCTAACGAAACCGAGACCGCCCCGGGCCCCTCCAGAAACCCCGAGACCAGCATCAAGAGACTTCCCGACGCATTGATGAAAATGGTCATGGTCAACGGCAGTAAGTCAACCTGACTCATTGAAGATACAACCTCCGTGACTGTGTCAGAAGAAGCAGGCTGCTTCACTTCCCTGGAGCTTCAAGCTAATAGTTGGTAGAATGGGTCAATAGGCAGCTCGAGATTGAACGAGAATACCCATTAAGGGATATACGCGAAGAGCTCTACAAACTGCAAACGAAGCCTGCAGAGGAGAATGGGGTTGACAATGAGGAGAATGGGATTGACAATGAGGAGAATGGGATTAACAATCAGGAGAATGGGATTAACAATAAGGAGAATCGGATTGACAATGAGGAGAAACGGATTGACAATGAGGAGAATGGGATTGACAATGAGGAGAATGGGATTGACAATGAGGAGAATGGGATTAACAATCAGGAGAATGGGATTAACAATAAGGAGAATCGGATTGACAATGAGGAGAAACGGATTGACAATGAGGAGAATGGGATTGACAATGAGGAGAATGGGATTGACAATGAGGAGAATGGGATTGACAATGAGGAGAATGGGATTAACAATAAGGAGAATCGGATTGACAATGAGGAGAAACGGATTGACAATGAGGAGAATGGGATTGACAATGAGGAGAATGGGATTGACAATGAGGAGAAACGGATTGACAATGAGGAGAATGGGATTAACAATCAGGAGAATGGGATTAACAATAAGGAGAATCGGACTGACAATGAGGAGAAACGGATTGACAATGAGGAGAATGGGATGGACAATGAGGGGAATGGGAAATAGGCGTTGGATGGCGAGCGACACAAGGTGACTGTCACGGCACTAGATGACAACCCCACAGCCCCACGGGTCAACCCCTATATATACCTGTTCGTGTCACCTAGCTAGCTTCATAGTTTCCTTTCTTCTTCACGTACATCACCAAATTCATTTCTGGAGTCTCCAGCAGTCGGACTATGACAATGACACACCGCGGCAATGCCGCGGTGTCCTGCCAGTGGGCCTACCTAAAGTTCCATGCCGAGGCTGAAGTCCGTAATGTTAACGTCAAGTGGTGCCCCGGGCACTGCGCCGTTGAGGGCAATGAACTGGCAGACAAGCTGGCTAAGGCCGGCTCTAAGCTCTCCAATGTCGACTCCGACTGTACGCCGACGGCGTACGACATCAAAGCAGAGGCGAGACTCAAGCTCGAAGTCTCGCACGACATGTGGTGGATCAAGGCCCAGACCAAGCTGTCGGCCCGCTACAAGTACTAGGACCTGAAGTACAAACTGCGCTGTCACGAGGAGCTGCAGGTACTCAATAGGCCGTCATTATACCGCTTCCTCGCTGTCTGCTCAGGGCATGGCGACTTCTCTTGGTATCATGTCAAGTTCAAACATCAGGACGCCATCCTTGACTGCTCGTGCGGCCGGAGCAAGACTCCGACTCACTTCATCCACTGTCGGAAGACTCTGGCACGGTACATGGTCTGGCCAAGGGCCCCGGCATCCCGGCCGGAGCTCGGAGCCAGGCTCGAGTATCTAGACGAACTCATGACTTCCCCACAGGAGTACATGGACCTACTCGTGGCTACCGACTTCTACGGCAGCATCTGCCCTCCTCGCTGAGGGCATACTCACCCTTTCCTTCTGTTATAATGTCTGGGGGTTTTATCTTTTTATTTTTCCTTTTTAATGTCTCACAAGGCGCGTAAGAATCACTACGGTATGTCGCAGCACCTACTATAAGCTCTAAGAGCACTGAACCTGGCGATGCGCCCTAAAAACTGAACATTTGGGACCCCAGCCGATACTTCCCCTCACCCGGAGGAGGGGGGACACGGTGTGATCCGCCGCTTAAGTGTGGTGGCTGTTTACGGACTTGACCTGCTAAATGGGCAGTGTATGTACATAGGAGACCTAGCCTAGCACGCCTGAGCGGCCTCTTGGAGCCCCTGGTTGACGCCGCTATGCGGCAGTCCCCCCGGCGTTAAATGCTACAACAACAACAATGACAATGACACATACTGCTAATTAGGTTCAACACCTTTTACCGATGGACATTGTGGTCTTGGCGGTCTTTATAGCTATTCGTTGGACTCAATTATAAAAACGTCGTTGACTCACATTGCCTTGCTACAAGCACCCTGTTTCTTGAGTATCTGGGTTGCAGTGCTATTAAAGTGCTAGAGAAGTGTTTGGAAAGTGCATCGAACGAAGCCAGAATGAAAAGGTTCGTGTATCCCTAAATGGGAAGCGCCGAAATGCGGTGTATTCCACAACTGACTCCATCTCTAGAACTGGTATAGTATACGTGTTAATTCAAGGCCTAAACTATAGAGACGACCATAGATACCCGAGGAGAGATAGGAACGAGCGTGTTGGTGAACGAACAAAGAGACAACAAAACGACCCCAGAAATAATCCGCAACCTGTCTATCTGCATTCTTCACTACCCTCTTCTCTTTAGAATCTTATGTTTGCCCGAAGCCCGTTCATCGGGCTCCGCGCTGTCGTGCCTTCTCTTGTTGGCACTTTCCAATCGCTTCGCTGGCGTCTGTAGTTGGGGCACCCCTGGGTTCCTGGCAGTCGCTACGCCATGCTTGTAAGAAGAGCCCATACGGTCTTGGATTGTAGCTCGGCTGTCCGAGGTGTCGTACATGTCGGTGTCTTCTCCAGGCCCAGCTTTAAACGCGGGGACCGGCGGCACGACCCGCCGGGATCGCTGGCCCGCGGAACGAGGAGGGTCTCGTATGATTGCGTTCGCGGGTGGGCGACGCGTGTTGAATCCAGATAGGCTATTCTTGTACTTGTTCTCTCCGAGCTTGTGCCAAATCTTGAGATCAGATTGGATCTCGTTGTACCACTTCACGTTGCGTGGTCTTCCACATGCACTCATGGCGTACAAGGCCCATATACCGAAGGCGACGGTGAGCTTGTCCTCGCCTGAAGCATCCCATTCGATAGGCATAACCTGCATGTGGATCTTTGGCTTCTCGTATCCCATTGGGTCTCGCACTTTGGATACTCGAGCCGGGACCAAATGCCGGTCTGTGATGATAAAGCCATACTCTGTATCGGTAACAACACAGTAGGTTGAAAGCTGTTTGCATGGATACATGTGTGTGTCTGTTTGGTCTAGGTTGAGGAAGGGCGAATGCATGAGATAGTCGAAGTCATCTGAGATCGCAGTGCTTGCTTGACTGAAAAGCTCTCTTTGAGCCTCTGGATGCTTGTTGAGAAGTGAAGTTGGCTGCGCAGCCCTGGGAAGCTTTTCCCTGGTTGCCTGAGCCTGCTTGTCGGCAGGAAGGATGTTGAGTTCGTTCGGATTGAATGCGGAGCTAGTCTTTATGTCGGCTGCCACAATAGAGTAAGATCCTGTCTCTGCATTGTTTTCGTCCCGCTCACTGCAGATTACATTGATGTCAGGCCTGTAGTGAACTCCCTTCGTCATGCCACGGAACCAGACTTGGTGGAAATTGTTCGGGATGTTCTCTTCGAAGGTAAATGATGGCACGGGTGCTTCGAATCCTTGCAATCTCTTGATGTCCCGAGCTGTCTTTTTCAGAACTTTCCCGAAGTCCTTGAACCAGGGTATGATGAGACTCTTGACGCCAGGCTCGCCTCGTGGTTCACGTGATCTTGGAGAAAAGTCGTCAAAGGTGCCTTTGAAGTTGCAGTCGATCAGAGGCCCGAACGCTGCATTGACGTTCTCCCAGGTAAATTCGTCCCAGTATGTGATCTTGTCGATCTCCAGATACGTCACTTTCTGGGTCTTCGTAGTTGGAGCCATTGCATCAACGAACCTCCTGTCTAGGGTTGGCATAGGCTCCGCTAACGCGGATCTGATGGTCGGCATAGTTTCGACTTTAAATGGTGACTCCCGTTTCTTGCTTTTGCCGTTATGGGGGGTTCAAGAAGAGCTTGCTGTTCAACCTGACGCAGGCTGGGCTTTTATGTTCGATATCAATGCCTGAGCCGCTTTGTGCGCTCATTCGGTACCTGCCGTTGCGTATATGCCTCACTAGATAGCATCACAAAGGCTGAATCAAGCGTCGATCTTGACTGCTGAAGAATGACTTCTTTCTGATGAATCATTGGAGCTCGGAATCCTTTGGCATCTGTAAGTACTCATCTGGATGGATAGGATGACGCGATACCTAAACCAGCCCATATACCCTTGAATGACGTTCCCTACCTACTTGGAATAAAGACCTGGCACCCACGGTATAACCCATCATTAACAAAGAAATACTGATCCAGTAAGCTCAACACCTGTAAAAATGAAGTATTCAAAGCGGAGGTATGGTTGCGGCCACAAGCTAAAACGTTGCGGGATCAGCGAAAGCCCTCTTCGAGGCCTGGACTTGTCTGCAGCTTGACTATCTTTCCTGCAGACCGGAACTACCCTGAGACTGTCATTCCCTTGACAGGCAATCCTCGACAGGTCGCCTTTCTCAAAAGGCTGCACAGCACATCTACGTCAAAACGTTGTTCATGGGACATGATGAAACTACCAAAATGTGCCGGGCCGCAGATTGGACCGTTTGTTTCAGAGAACACATCTGCGTCCATGGACTTCATAGAAGCTTTAGGCGAAGGTGGACATTCTTACGTATGGAAGGTCAAGATAAATGGTTCACTCTATGCATTGAAAATGGTGAGCACATTTCACAGCAATGTTGAGTCCAAACTGATCACGGCCACTACTAGTTCAAGTACTTTGACCCCAGCGACCTCATTGACCTTCTCGAAACAACACCTGAGGAAGTCCCATGCGACTCGGAAGACATCTTAAACTACTTCGACCCCTTCAACAACGAGTGTCGAGCCTACGGCAGATTGAAGGAGCTTGGTCGGGAAGACCTCGCCGTCCAGTGCTACGGTTACATGATCCTTGACAAATCCGACGAGAAAGTACTAGCCAAGAAGGGGATCACCAGATGGTACGGAGAGGACTGCTGGTATCCCGACAACCCAGGCCACGACCCATCGCAGCCTGTGCCAGAGCGTGGCCCCATCCGCGCTCTTGTCAAAGAGTACGTTGAAAGAACGACATCTTTCGAGCCCAAAGACGTCCCACGCATGCACCGAGAGCTGCGAGCGCTGCACCGCGGGGGGATACTACACCGGGACATCAAGAAGGACAACTACATAAACAGCAAGTTCCTCGATCTGAGCAACTCCTGGACGATGCCGCACGTCATGCTGGACCTGCGCTCGCGCTTCAGACCCAAGCGCGAGATATACCACAGAACGTTCACGGAGTGGGCCGAGTTCGACCACATGATCAGCGGCTACGACTACCGCGAGCGGAACGACGTGTGGTGCCGCGCGCTTCCCAACATCGGATACCGGAGGAAGCTCAGAAGGCCAAACGAGAGGTACAGAGGTGGGATTGAGAGGGCGTGGTCCAAGGCCCAGCCTGCGCACTATAAAGAGTCGGCCAAGTTTGTCCAGCGTGAGACCGCGTTTCGGTGGCTGTAGGCATCGCGCGTCTGTACACAGGAAGGGATATGTATAAAAGAATCATACATGGGAACATGGCACCCAGAAGGTGCCCTGAGCCCACAGAATGCGAGCAAGTCCAGTGAGACGTGGCTTCGCAACCGCAGAGCTTATTTAACCTTCAGCCCCTAGATTGGTTTTCTTGAACTGAGTCTGGCTTCCGACATACATGGCGGCCGTCCCAATGACGCACCAAGTCGATATGAGACGCTCGTGAGAGTCATCAACGGAATAAACATGGGCAGGGTGGTATGGTGAGCTTTATGAGTCTATTGCCTCTTCTTCTCGCTGCTTGATTGAAACTTGAGACTCCATAGTACGCGCTATCCATAATTATATTATTAACTTTATCGCTTTGCAAGGTTGTCGTTGATACCCTTTCCAGCTGTCTTGGAACGGGTATCGTAACCACATCGACATGAGGGAGAAGCTTGCGACTAGTAGGGTAGCATGCGACTAAAGAGCAGATTGAAACACAGCATCGACCTCGACTTCCAGCTTCAGGTTTGGCGGCTCAAGTCGCAGCCGCTCGATGCTTCTGCTGGAGCTCCAGCCGCCTTCGGTCACACTAACGATCCGGAGCTTGGCCGCCTGGAACTGGAGGGGTTCGATATCGAGGAAGACCTGGGCGTAGTCCACGGCGCCGATTAATGCGCCCCTGGCCGCGTTCTTGCGTGTCTTCGACTCGAGACTATTCAAGGTCGCGTCCGTCAGGTACCACTTGATATCCTTCATGGCCACGTTGTCCATCGACGAGAACTGGGTGACGAGCTCGTTCAGCACGGTGAAGTCGCGGAACTGGGTGTCGAACGCAGCCTTGGCAACGTATACGGGAGGCAACTCAGCGCCATCCTCGACTTTTACGATACTTCGCTGCTGCCAGGTGTCAATAGGTAGTCTCGAGACTGTGAGACAAGTCAGTCATTTAGTTCTTGGAGTTTTGCCGATAGTTAGATACTCACTGGAGTATCTCGATATGGCAGAGGAATAAGGGAGAAATTCGCCAGTAACTTCGTCTCTGGAAATGTAGGGTATAACAAGGGTCCTAATGGCGTTCGCTGCGGTGGTGACCAGGGATGAAGCTTCAGCTGTAGTAGCAACCTCGTGTGACTCGAATTCGAGGTAGAGCATGGCACAATCGGCGCGATGTATCGAGTTGCCAAATCCCTGCAACTTGATCTCAAATGTGGGAGAACCCACGGAAGCCATGACTACTTATGTGGAGTGGAGTGGTCGCAATATCGATTATTTTTGGATGATTATAGAGATCAGTGGCGCAGAGTAATCGAAGCTTGACGAGCGATATGGTGTTGCGAACGCTGAGGGTTCAATGTTGACTCTGCCACTTGTAAACCTTACAATCATCATCGAGCCTACAGGTAACAGCAACTGCAGCCCATCCACTGCAGGCTAAAGGGCCCCGGACAGGCGGACTGGCGGGCTTCCTACAGATCGCAATGTCCTTGGCAACGAGACACGTCGCCAGGCTGCGTGGCTCCTGCATTCATCCAAACTGCCTCTTCTGTGACGCAGCTGCCTGACTGCGGATGCGTGACAAGTAGACATATGGCATCGAGGTGGATCCTTCTGTTTTTTTGCCATCAAGCGAAGTGTATGGCGAGTGGAAGGTCCTGCTCCTCTTCGGTTTCGAGCTTCTCACTTCTAGTTGGTTGGCGTCACCGACTCAGATTCACTGCCCGCCTTGTCCAACCGAGCCGAACAAGTGTGAGGCACCTGCGGGAGCCTACTGATCCAATCCAGAGATTGCCCACAGAACAAATACCGCATCTTGGCATGCGACAATATAAATTCTGCTACATTGACGATAGACCGAATGGGTTGAATTATAGCATGCATGCTGGTTCTATTATATTGATGACAATCCTTCCCAGCACCTGAGTTTCTCTCTACATACGGACGGCTCCCCAAAGGGCCAACTGGCGTCATACTCCTCTAAGAACTTGTTACCAGGATAAGAGCTTATAAATAATCAGCCATGATGCAAAGCCTTCCACCTTGACGTCTGCTGTTCACTGTGTGAAGAAAAGGGGGGGTTTATGCGGGAGCGAGAAAGAGAAAAATGGTGGAAAAAGAAAGAAAAAGAGTGAGTAGTGCAAGGTAAAATAAAATAAAATTAATCCCACTGCCATCTGTATCATCTGATCAAACACCCCAGTCAAGGCGGGCGTTATCAATACACTCGGGGCGATTTGATAAATTCTACCTTGTACGGGATCGAACCTTCCACGAGTACGGATGTAGAGAGGACAGGCGGTAACAAGTTACCATCCTACCAATACACCATTGCGCCATGGAACAATTCGAGGTCTGTTTGAACAGACAATGTCAGCCCACTGCTTACACCACTACATACGTCCCATACATCTTGCCTGGTCGCATGCGGCATTAGCAAACAGCTGATAATTACCACCATGAGCTAAATCATGATTTTTGCAATTAAGGGTCATCTCATCGTCGAAGATGAGGTGATTGTTTGATACACTGTCGATATGCGCATGACCTACCTTTCCAACATGTAATTCTTGATCTTCTCTCACCGTCCGTCACCACCATTCAACACCATCTCTACCATTACCCCTTGTAGTATTAAATACAACGGAGACATGAAAACAGGGAGCTCGTGGAGCTGTTGTTCGTTTTGCAGTACTAGTGTCAATAAAAGCAGAAGCTTGGCGCCTGACGAGTGGTTACTCTAATGGATATCCCAAGAATTGGTTGCTCTATCAATCACTCAAAGACGTGCTTATCTGTTCCTGAAGGATACCACGTGCACGCCACACCTCTTCGCCTTTCCGTTCCCGCCCCATCAATCCATTTCTCCTTCAGGCATCTACACCTCCACCTCCATCACAACCACAACCACATTCCACCATTGACAACCACCACAATCACAATCACAATCAGAACCACACGAACCACAACCATGGCTACCGCACCACAAGAACAGGCCATCAAGGCTCCCAAGCGACGAACCAAGCACACGCGTGAGGCTCTGCCCAAGGTCGGCTTCGTCTACAAGGAGGGCGTCAAAATGTTCCAAAGGGAGCAGGATTCGGCGGCGTTCAAGCAGGCCCTGCAGCAGGTATCGTCCAACCTCCACAAGATAGAGGTCGACGAGGCCCTCGCTGAGCTCTTCACCAAGGCGAAGGAACTGAAGAAGCAGGGCTCGATTCAGCTGGCTCCGACTTTCGAGGCGGCAGGCAAGGCGATCCCGTGGTCCTCCTCGCTTGACGAGCACATCGTCGTCGAAGCGATGTCCTTCCTGCGAGGTGCCCGCGAGCTTCACATCAAGTTCACCACCTACCGAGCCTTTCCGCAGAACCACATCACCGAGGGCAAGCTCGCCAAGGCCATCGACACGTTCACCGACATCTACCCGGCCAAGGAGCCCGACGAGAGCTTCAAGAGAAGTATGCACCAGACTGGCCCTGTACTTACTTACTTACATAGTTACTGACTTGATTTGCAGTGGACCCAAAGATGATCGACGGGATGATGGACAAGATGCGTAAGGGGCAGAAGGCCAATTGGGACGAGATGCCGGATGACGCGGGCGACTCGGACGTGGACATGGTCGGCAACAAGAGTACCGACAAGGGCACCAAGGACTTGGCCGCCTTGCTCAAGGCGGTTTCGATGAAGTAAGTAGACCAGAATGTAGGACAAAGGGAGCGGTATAAGCACCGGCCATACATGTAGTGATGATTCCGGAGCAGATCCGATGGAATAAACACACGATTGCTGATTATGCCAAGTCATTTGCAACCTTCAGTGTTGTTGTTGGTTCGTATGTCGTGGCAGTCGTGACTGTCGTGACCCGTAGTTGAGCGTTGGGCACGCGACAGCTGACCCAAGCTTTCCCCGCAAAGTGAGCAGAGCTGACGTGACAGCCAATCAGCTGGAGGTTTACGGCTATCCACTGTCAGACTATTGGCTGATCGGCTGAGATGGTCCCACTCACCCAGACCCTATCGATCTCGAATGAATCTAGACCCGGACTCGTATGTTCGCCTCCCTCTTTACTTCTCTACCCCAGACCTATGCAGATGCAAAGTTGCATAGTACCAGGTCGTTCGACCAGCAGCAGTGCCACGCCACACCACACACCACACACCACACACCACACACCACATACCACACACCACCACGACTGCTGACCACTCCAACCTAACAATAAGACACCCGTCCAGTTGTCCAACCGAGTGGTGACGCCTCTCCTTCCCCTCATTTACTATTTCCTCACCACCATCTTTGTGCCTCGTCCCCATCCAACCGCCAGTGTGTAGAGCTTCGAAAGCTCCATATATCTGACTCAACCTACGAGCCGAATAGCACGACCAAGCACCCCTTCCAAATCATCCATCGACTGCAAGCCATCAGCTACTGGCCATATGACGACTTGAACCCTCTACCACTAGGATCCTTCGTATCCGACCATCCATCAGACCAGACCAGACCAGACCAGACCAGACCAGACCCGACCACATCTGCTTGTCGACCTGCCGCGCCCCCGATATCTCCACCCGAGGAATATTGATATTTGCCACCGACTGCTATTGTCAATATGGTTCTCACCCACACGACCAACCACACATACTCCCACCCCTTCCCTACCGTCACCCTCGCCTTCTTCCTCCGATACTACTCGCCCCAGCTCAATCCCTTCTCGAGCCATGTGCTGTCGACCGATACCATCTCGTCGCATGTCGACCCGGACACCGGCCGCCTGCACACGACGCGCATCCACCTCAAGAGGTCTCGCATGCCCGCTGCCGTCGTGAAACTGCTCCCCACCAGCGTCACCGGCGGAGGGGGCGACAAGTCAAGCTACGTCCTCGAGAACAGCGTAGTGGACATCAGAGAAGGATGGATGAAGACCGAGAGCCAGAACCTCAACTTCACCGGTATACTGAGCATTGTCGAACAGCAGCATTACTCCGTTTCCCCACCGGATGCGACGGCGTCGAGTGCTGAACGCGACTCTGTGCTCGGAACCAGTCCACTCGCCTCTACCGTTGCGCGACCAATCTCTCCAAACACCTTCGTCACCACCACCTTCTCATACCGTTCTTCACTCGGCAACAAGAAACAGGACCACGCAGCCTTGGCGTCTACAGATGCAAGCGATGAGCCCGGGCCTCGACGCATTGGAGGCTGGATCTCGGGCTGGGGTGCCAACCGCATTCAACGGAGCATCGAGTCCATCGCCTCGAACAAGACAGATGACGCCGTAAACAAGTCACGCGATGGCATGCGCATGGTGTTGGAGCGACTGCGAAGCAACGGGGTCGTCGCAGTGCTCATGGAGCTAAGGCGGCGGGAAGGGAAAAGCGTGTTCGACCAGTCATGACTTGCGTACGTCGCCCTTTTACGACGCATGTAGTGTAACATACTATTTCACGATTGATATTCGGATCAGCATGGAGTTGGTAAGGGTTTTTTATGGAAGCAAAAACGCAATCGATGCTGGCCACAACGGTATGGATCACCACGCACTCCTTGGATAAGGATATTGAAGCCTAGGGACTTCAAGGCCATGGCTCCGGGTAGGGGCAACGGAACTCACCCGGCGGTGTCAGTTATTACTCCTCTCTTGTACGAAATTACCGCCATGTTATATGGGCTCCATAGGTTCTGCTAGGGCGGACTACTGTAAAATTCCATTACAATTTGAGACTTCATCGTGTAATGCCATTGCATGTCTACTTCCGCTGCCCCATGCGACGTTCGATACTGCTCTCGTCGATGCTTGTCTCCTTCGTCTTGCCTGCTGATTTTGCCGCCAGTTGGCGCGTACATAAGATGACATGATGGGCTCAAGGAGGGTCATACAAACCTACTACCGGATGGGGGCTTCACCGGAACTTGACAGTTTCTCACGTCACGTATCACCAGACACAGCCAGCAATATTGGGCTCTCCTTCTCGAGCATACATGGTATTATATATTTTCTTATCCAAGGAACATACCAGTTACATCACACTACATTACAAGCAACGCGGCCAAAGCAACGGCGCCCACAGCCCAGTAACCACCACCAACACCTCGCACCGCCGCCGCCGTGGCCCGCGAAGTGGCGGCCGTGCTCCCGTTGCCGCTCCCGCTGTCCTTCTCGTCACTAAACGTCGCGGGCCCCGTCCCGTTGCCCAGCGTGCCGACCTGCGCCTGCGGCACCGAGGGCTCGGTGCTGAACGCCTTTGTCGAGCTCAGGCTGTCGACGCGGCCGAGTAGATACTCGAGGTGGCGGAATGCGGCGCTGGGGGCTGTTGGGGATTTGGAGTCAGTATATAACTTCTCCTTTCAGATGTTTATTGACGGGAAACAGGGGGTCTTGATGTGTGTCTTGGGAGCAAGGGGTTTTGACACAGGCTAGAAAGGGAAATTCGCCACCAAGACGGGACATGGCCATATGGAGCAGGCATTAGGGGGACTTTAGAATGTACGTACCATATTGGGGAATCATATGACCCGCCAAGTCGACGCCGACGTAAGTGAGGCCCCTCTCGGTATGCGTGGTCCCGAGCACACCAGCAGCGGCGAGCGTGGCCAGCTTGGTGGCGTCGGTCTCGGCGTAGATGTCGGTGGGCGTGGAGTCGAAGTGGAAGGGCACGTAGAAGGGGTCCCGGGGCGGCTGCTGGAAGCCCAGCGCGCCGCCCCACGTCATGTTCTGGATGCTGAGCAGCGTGCCGTTGGGCAGCAGGATCATGTCCAGGGACCCGTGGCCGATGATGACCTTCTGCGTCGCCTCGATGACCTGCGGCAGCACGCGCCAGATCGGCGGGTCCGACGTGTCGGTGCCGTCGACGAAGACGTTGCCTGACGAGCACTCCTCCCAGGCGTACGACTCGTTGGCGTGGATGGCGCGCTTGACGTCTGTCCGGTCGAAGTAGACGGGGCCGGAGCCCGCGGGCGTGTAGAAGATGGACCCGGGGAAGCCGAGGACGTCCCAGAGGAGCGGGCAGGTCGTTGCGACTTGGTACACGTCGAAGCACGGGTTGATCGATAGGGCCTCGTCGAGGACCATCTCCCATAGTCCCGTGCACTCTTCGCTTACGCCGCCGCTGTAGTTGGCGGGCTGCGGGCCCGGCGGCGGGTACGTGAGGTACTTGTCCTGGTACTCGGCGAAACCGCAGGACTCGTGCAGGCCATGAATCTTCTCGCTGAAGCTGTCGTTGAACGGCATGAGGTTATGATGGTAGTCTACAAACGGCACGACGGTGGTGGCGTCCTGCACGACGTCGTCGCCGATCACGGGGTCGTAGATCAGGATGCCATTAACGTCATAGTAAGTTGTGTCGTTGGCATCGAGCATAGCACCGGAAATATACGGCACGTACATGCCTGCGTACGACTCGCCGGCGATGTAGACCTTGTAGCCCTGCATCGAGAAGGTCTCGATGAAGTTCTTCCAGAAGCCCAGAAACTGCGCCGCCACGTCCTCCTCGCTCGTTGCTGTTACCTCGCCGCGAGAGAAGCCCGTGCCAATGGGCTGCTCGACCCAGACGACGTTGACGAGCCGGTTCCAGGACCATGGGTTAGGCACCGGCTTGTAGGTGCCGTATTGCCAGATGAAGGGGCCGTTCTCTTGGAGAAGGCCCTCGAAGGAGGAACAGCCGGGCTGTGTATTGGTATCGGGTCAGACCACATGCGCCTTAGACTCACATCTGCCTCTAGGGGTGTTGGATGAACTTACACCGCCATTGAGCCACAGCAAGATCTCCTTCTCGGTCGAGTTGCCGCTGTTGGGAAAGAACCAAAAGAACAGCTCATTCGTGTCATTGGGGTCATCGCTGATGGGCAGGTATCCCGAGTAAGACTCCCCAACGTCGAAGTCGACGTCCGGTATGCCTGTGCCATTGACGGCGAAGTCTGTGGCCACAATTAGCTACACAGAGCTCTCTGAGGTTGCACCAGTCCCTCTCACGTACCTGTGGTGTTGTCATTGGCGAACTTGGGCGCCGGCACCTGTCGCGTGGCGAGGAAATGCGCCAGGTAGCTATCGGCATCGGGAGTATGCTTGGGGCTCTTCTTCCCGACGTGCTGGTAGCTTCGCGCGTCCGCCACCGCCGCCACGGACACGAGTCCGGCGGTGATCGTGGTCCAGCGCATCTTGTTCTACAGCAGCGTTGCACTTGAAGCTCAACCTCAAGCTCAACTTTAGTCTAGCTATCAGGACTCAACTTGAAGGTGGGAAGGTGTCGTCCAAGCCAAGCTACGGTAAGCTTTCCGAGAGGAGATGGCAGAAAGAACGGATATGCACGCCGAGAAGTCTGGGCAGAATAGCCACGAGGTTCCTGACCAGAGGCTCGGGATGGGCACCACCTGCTGCTGCAGCGGCAGCCATCATGATAAATAACATGCAGGCAGTCCTGATCGGCACTCGATGCTACGTTATGTCGACCCGCCTGATATAGCTAGCTCTCACGGGGATAGATAAGCTCAATGCGGAGCTGGCGAGCGGAACAGGGGTAAATAGGCAGCTTGCCCAGCTTTCGAGGTGACATGATACATGTTTGCGTCTCTCACCTGGTTTTCCCAACCGGTTTTCTGTGTGGGTGGCCCGATAGACACTCGCTGTGCCGCCCAGCCGCTGGGGGACGGTGACGAACAAGATTGACCAACGGGCGCTCACGTTGGCGTCGATATCGCTGCTGCGGGGAACGGCGCCGCCGTTGCACTTGCACGGGTGTCTTTGCCTATTCAGGAAGCTCACCTTGACCTTGATTCAGGCCCCCTCCGACCTGCGACCTCGTGGAAGCTCGCCGATAGGACTCGTCATCCACTCTCGGAATTGGCCGCTCAGGGTGGACGAGCGAGTCGGTCTGTTGGTGGACGGTTCGGGCGAGCTTGTCGTGACGATCAGGTGGCTGGGAGACCAACGCGAGCTCCTCGGAGAGCTATGAAAACGTCCGAGCAATGGCCTGTTGATCGAAATGCTCACAGACAAATGTTGGCATTTTCTCACGACGGGTCAAACCTGCTTCTTGCGCTGGCCAGATTCCTGACGGGGCCGTCTGCAACTCTGCGTCGCTATAATCCGGTGTTGCGTGAGAGGTTTTCATATGATCTCCAGAGCGTAGGCCAGTTGGCCCTGGGCAAGCAAGCCCTTTGAAGGCGTCCGACCATTAACTTGACCGCCCAAGAACAGTTTTCAGAGTCTGAAATCATCAGACATGGGAACATTCAAGAGAATCCCATAGGCAGTCCACGAGCAGGGGTATACGGCTTCTTCTCAAGAGTCGCGTGTTTCACGCATGGGCAACGACGAACTATCCGAACGTTGAATTCCGTTCCTTCGATTGGCATCGCAAAGTCAATCATTGGCCGAGGAATGAAATCCTCCATTGTACTACCGAGGACGATATCCTCTGCTCAATAGACGGTCTGCTCAACACACGCCGGAAAGCCGATCACTATGTAACCACTGCGGCGAGTTCTCCTTGCCCTTACCCAACGCCCAGCTATCATAGTTGTCACCCATGACGAGCTTCTCCAGCTGTGTCTCGACCTCGTGAAGGCGGTGATGAGCACATGCAGTGGCGTTCCCATTCGGGCTCATACTTTCAGGCCAACATTTGGGCGAGTAATGCCAGGTCGCCTCGAGGTAGAGAAAGAAGCGACTCAGGCCGCGCAGGACTCGTAACGGGGTAAGTATTGGCGTGGGCTGAGGCTGGAACGTCTCCCATGTGCCGTTTATGATTTTTGTAGTCCTGGTCGATGAAGTAGCTGGTCGCGGTGGACATGTGAACTATGAGCGTGAGGTTGGCCACGTTGGCGTTGGCTGCGAGATGGTCGATGGCGAATAGCCAGTCACGGTAGATAGGGTCTTCCGACGCTGGACACCATAGCAGCTCAACAGGTGGGAAGACAAGCTCAAGAAACATGAGGTGATACAGCGTGCTGGGCCACATAAGTCTCGTGATGAACCTCGATGCGTCGAATCCCCTGTAGGCTGAGCTGGCACTGAGGCGGTTACCCCGATCTGAACTGTATATGAACCGGTCGCGAGTGGGACGATATCGGGTTACGCGGTGTGCATCCGCATCAGGACTGCATATCAAGCGATTCTGAGAGTAAAACACAGCCTGAGCATCGTCGTACATGCTACGACACACAAGCATCAGGCTTGCGGGGGTCAGCCAGCAGTGACATTGGCGCGAGTACGAGCTGGAAACGGTGCCGCAAAACGATCCAAATTTCCCAGGCACGACCAGGCGGCTCGCAGAACCTGAATCGACAGCCATCATGAGACTCGTCGTGGTCCTCGTCACGGCCGCAGTATATTCCGATGAATTGTGTGTAGTAGCCCATTCGGGGGTTCCATTGGACCTCCTTAAAGGGCGTAACAAGATCTGTGTACTCCAAGATCGATCGCAGAAGCTCTTCAGGGAGATCGCAGAAGCGGAAAACTCCTTGTCGAGAGGCCGGTTCGGTACTATTGCTGCCCATCGCATGACAGGCTGCCTCCCGGGCCAGCGCGCAGAGGTGGCTCTTTCGTCTTTTCCCAAGAAATCGAATTTCGCAGTCTGCCAAAGCTCCTGGGAAGTCATAGAGCGGCCGAGGACAGCGTTGAGTGTTCTGTCGTTGGTAACGGAAGTCTCGCAGGTGAGATGCAGCTTCAGCGTATCTGATCTCCCATGAGAAAAGACGTGGGCAGCCGCGTTTTCCCAGGCAGCCAGTATATGCCCCGTAATGTGACAGTTCAGATAGACATACAAGTCTGTTATGTGGTAACAATGTCGGGGAGCGAGTCGGCGGAGGAAATCCAGTCCGTACGCCGCAGTCTGTCGCGGCACCACCAGCGCATTCTGGGAGAGGAGGATGGCAATGACTTCATCGTGTACCGCCCGAGATACCCGCAGGACGCTGCGAATGAAGCGGTAGAATTCTTCTGGATAGTCGGCAGACGGGAAAAGGTCCAGGCGAGGCATCACGCCACCACGAAGTTCTACGCGCCCGGGCACCAAGTTGATCCTTCTGCCAACGATCAGTCCTGCCAACTCGTAGATTCGGCGCCGCACTCCAGTCGGGAGGTCCAGGAATGATCTGGTGTGCTTGCATGGCGATCCGACATGCTCGCAACTCCGTTTCTGCCGCATCGTGCAGCAAATGGATTGGTCGCTTCGTGACGACGTTGGGACAGGAATGTCAATCGGGTTTGGAAGGGGAATGGGGAAGATTCTGCCCGCCCAATCCAATCCAATGTTCGGACATCGGGTTGGCTGCTCAGGCCTCAAGGCCTGAGCCTCCCAACAAGCAACGTGGATGGGCACATGAGAGCGGTCTGCGTATGCGTCCGAGAGGCGTGGGTTATTCTCATGAGGGAGCCTGCGGCGTAGGTAGTCCAGTCAATCAATGTCAGGCCCGCCCCAACAGCGCACTGCATGACAGGGGTGATCAACCAACAACATTGAAGGCAAGGAAAGAAGAAGCTTTGGGCAAGTCAATTGCAGTCCTGTACCGAAGTGATAGGGAAAGACGCTGCCCAGTGCTCCTTCTGAAGTAAACCGACGATCAAGGTCGTCGCTCTTGCTGTTAACAAAGAAGAAAAGGTGGGATTTTGGCCTGGGATGCCTGTTGTCAGGAGATGGTCAGCAAGTCTTCTTCCTGATGCTCATGCAAGACAGACTTCGCGATACCCACCTTAGCAGGTCGAGAGATGGCAATAGCATCAATCAAACACGCTCCTGTAGAAAGCACACCAGGCTTGATAAAGATTACTCTGGGAGGAAAACCGTTGCTCGACCAGACAGGGGCCGAGGAACTCGCTCGGATAGCCTTTGTGAACTGCCATTCGCTACCCAGTCTTACAATACCAAGGCAACATGTCTCACTCTTATACGGTGTTTCGATGGGGACTTCCAGCTACTCGAGAAGGTCAAAAAGAGGTAGCAGACTTGGTAGGTGGAGATGTAAAGTATGTACTGAATAGGTCGTCAACACTCAATCACGAGACTGAGTTGCCGTCCCTGACTTCTCCTATCCGCTGGGTATAGTGTCTATGTCTTTTTTGGTACATGGCTGTTGTACAACATCGAATATCGTTACATGAGCAGACTTATCTCTTCGACTTTTTCGCTTCCTTGGCTGCGATGGCAGCAGCAGCTTCCTCTTCTGCCAACAGAGCCTCGATGGCTCTCCCAACCAGCCATTCTTTCGTGCTCTCCATGACCTTGACCAAGTTCTCGCCGCCCGCAAGAACGTCGGCTATGTTGTGCACATCCAGACCGCTTCTGTGGTCTGTACACCGATCCTGACTGTAGTTGTATGTCCTGATCTTGTCACCTCTGGTGATCTTGTCCTTGCTTAAGACGCTGTTCCTCAGCGCCCAGGCCTCCTCTTCTCTCGCTTCCCTCTTCTTCTGGGCTAGCCGCGACCTGAGCAGTGTCCAGGCAGAGTCGCGGTTCTGATGTTGAGACCTCGAGTCCTGCATTGATACGGAGATTCCGGTCGGCTCGTGGGTGAGCCTGATGGCGCTTTCTGTCTTGTTGACATGCTGGCCACCGGCACCTCCAGCGCGCATCTTCTCTACCTTGACCTCCTTGGGGTCGACGTAGAAAAGACTGTCGGGGTCGTTGAAGTTCTGGGCCGTCATGTCGCTATCATTCTCGGGGAACGAGGGCAGGACCCATACGGCGACAGCGCTGGTATGCACTCGGCCTGACTTTTCGGTCGACGGTATGCGCTGGACGCGGTGCATGCCCGCCTCGCCGCGGAACGTGTCGTAGGCGCCGGCGTCTAGAACTTCCAGCACAGCTTCCTGCAACGGGGACTCGCTCGAGGCGCCCATGGCCTCGTCGCCGTCAACAACCTCATATTTTAGGACATTCGCGCGCAGGCCCATGCGGGAGCAGTACTGGCGGTACATACGGAAGACGGCGTCGGCGAAGTAGCGGCCCTCCATACCGCCGGGACCCGGGCGGATCTCGAGGAGGCATGGCATGTCGGCGAAGGGATCGCGGGGGGTGAGCGATGTAGAGAGGGCGTTTGCTAGTGTGTCGAGGTTCGCGTGCGTTGAGGAAAGCTCGTCTTGGGCCAGCTGGCGCAGCTCTTCATCTTTCGACTGCAGGAGCGTTGTGAGCTCGGCGATGGACGACTGAGCTGATTCCCATTCTTTTAGGGCTGCTGCGACGCGTGACAGCTCGCCCACCCGCTTGGCTGTCTTGGTGTCGAATTCAGTCTCGAGCGCAGTCGATAGCCGGTCGTGCTCGGTCGCAATGTTGCGCGCGCGTTGCAGCAGCACCAGGGGAAGGTTGCTGCTAGGCGCATCTCGAGAGTGTCAGCTGGGGGTGCTGAGAGTGGACAATTGCTGGGGAGAAGTTACCAGTGCTAGCTGATCGGAGGACCTGCCGGCTCAATGGCCGTGCCAGTGCCTTGATACGACCTCGGCACACCCATGGTGTTCTGAACATAGTCGACCTCAAACCGAAGATGGACGTCTGTCTGTCTCATGGAGGAGAATTCTTTCATCAGCTGCCAATTGGGCTGGCCGCATGGCTTGGCGGGAGCACCCGCATGTTTTACTAGGTAGACAGCTGCCCAGGCTGCACAGACCACCAGTGCCGCTGCAGCATGCCCCTGAGCAGCCCCTGAGCAGCCCCTGAATCCTATCACTCGACATCTATCGACACACTTCCAGAACTGCCTATATCTATCTACTCTTGGTGAGGTTGCATAACCCTCGACCATCCATGTTCCAAATGTTTGACAAATCAGTATAATCTTCGAGGTCGGGGATCTTTGGGACACTAGTCGAGGAGAACACCCACCAGGTAGAACAAGTCAAGCTGATCGTGAGTAGAACCGGAAACCAACGTTCTATCGACACAATCCAATTTCAACGGAATAGAGTGCAACATTGAGTTAAGAAAAGCAGACAATACAGCACCTGTGGTAGTTGAAATGCTGACCAGAGCAGTTGTAGTAAGAGCAACTCTAAGTTTCGAAAGAAATCCTTCGTCATATGTCTTTTAATCAACTTTTTGGACTCCTTTGGGTCGTTTCATCCCATATACCGCGTTATGGGGACTTCGTGTCCCAAGAAGGGGCATATCTCATCCCAACTCGCGCCTTCCCCCAGCCTCACAATGAGCAGCTTTTGGAGGGCCCTTCTTCTGAACCAAGGCATTGCTAGCAACTGGTATCAGTATCACGACTAACAACGCGAAGATGAACAGAGTGGGCCATACTGGCCATGATTCATCTGAAGGCTGTCGCATCAGTATCTGATTCCCTGTCTTTCCATATACGCCGCGGTGCCAGAGGACCGAAACGACTCCCATGAGTCCCAGATAAGCTATACGATCATGGCTCTCTACGCAGTTAAAGAAGGCGAGAGGAGGCGAATGGAGATGATGTACTAGACGCTAGGCATTTAGATATCCTTGTAGCCCATGGCGCCTTCCGCCGCGCTCGGTCTTGCAAGTCCGCCGGCTCGACGTGGATCACGTCGAGCTACATCGCCGACTGATGGGCACCTCCGAGTCGCCCACCATCTTTTTCCCCTTCGTAGGCATCTTCGGCGGCCTCGCGGAGTTCATTGCCAGCCTGGACGCTTCAACTTTCAAGGCGCTGGATACCATCATCGACACCATGTGGGGTGCCTTCTGGATCAGTATCGGGATCCTGTATGGTTTCGTAATTTGTCCTCCACATCCGCAGCCAAGCGGTGCGCCTGACTTTGTTGTTATATCTGCTGACGACGGGCAGGCCGCGGGCGCACTCAGTCCACACGCACTTGCCAGAGCTGGCAAGCTGTTTCGTTGTGCTGTGTCGTCACGTGGCACTGCGCGCTGGCGGCCACAGCCCGCGAACTCGTCCTCTGCGCGTGCATGATCTCGCTGGCCATCGACAGCACCATCGCCTGCTGCCAGTTCGCTTACAACAGCGGCACAGGGTCGGCCTCCGGGGACGGGCTACACGGTGGCGTCACTCGCGGCATCAAGGCGGCCAGCTACTTCTGGATGTTCTCCGCCTTGTGCGCGTGGTGCAGGTCACGGTGTACCTCGTTGAAGAAGCGTATGGCACCGGTCATGCCATTATAAAGTTCTTCACGATACTGGTTTCAGGAATCGGCGAGTCGGGTGTCAAGAGGGTGTTGCCAAGCCCATGCCAGTATAGTTATGGACGTGGTCTGTATGTTGGAAGAAGAAGCTCCTACAGATTGTGTCAAACGCTCGGTTGCGTGGACTCTCTTGGATAGGGGGACTGAGGATATCACCTGCATGCCTGAACTCTTTGGCATCAGGCAGTCACCCTATTGCGAACATACACCAAGTATGCCTAATCATATTAGGCTTATTATTAGTGTTGTTTTTCTGAAGAAATAGTTGCAATGTTCATGTATTTTGTTGCTATCTTACCGAGCCCTGGCGTCCACGTCTTTGACCATGATCTGTTCGTGAGGATCGTGACATTGGGCCAGCTTCTGCTTCACTTTCTCCAATGTTCTTACTGGCAGTATTCTGAGCCACCAAGGCTCAGTCAACTCGAGTCTTTTAAGGCGCATACTCATAGGCCTAGCTATGCTGTCAGCGATCGAAGATGTCGAAGCAACAGAACGTGGTGACATACCTCTGGCTTTCCTGATAGCCTAATATCCTAATATCCTCCTCTACTGCTTAGGCATCTTGAGGTAAACCTGGTTTCTCAACAGGATAGAGGAAACTCAAGCCCAGACCCCCTTCACCTACATGGCGCCCTCGGGGTCATTGACTTCAATTGAGTTCCTACTGTAGTATATGAGCATCGTCGTTTCATGGATCTCCCCGGCATATCTCCCCGGCATGGACTATCGCGATTGTAGCATATTATGCGAGACCGGTGGGACACCATCAATGTGACCAGAGCTAGCTGGCGATGGCGCATCTGGTGTGACCATCGTCTCGATAGTAGCGCTGTGGAATGCCAGCTAGGTTCACGATAGAACAAGGCACACTCGCAAGAGACTCGGGGCCGTCCTGGATTTGTTGTTCTCGATCCCGAACTTGCCAGATGTGGATTGGCAGACTGGGCGGTTTTGCCCAGTCGGGTTGGCATCCGTGTAGATGACGCCCCCCTTTTTCTGTCTTGGCCCAGACCCCTGACTCCCTGAGCTAATGTAGGGCGGCCGGGATCCATGTCCGTTCCCACCACGTTTTATTATTAGCTCGTCTGAAGCTCGGGTCGTGCGGGTGTACCTGCAGCACTGGCTTCGTATCAAATCCTATTTACCGCAGTCGGCGCGGGTATCCCAGCTTCCATTTACGCCCTTCAGAGAAACACGAGAGAGGCTTGAGGCCTCTTGCGAAGTGTGCGTGAACCAAGCTTCAGATCAGCATAGATCGTATCTATCTGCCCGCAAGAAATGCTAGAGGATTAAGTGCTTCCAATGCTTCCATGCGTTTGACATGTTTGAGCATCCTGACTACGAATACGAAACCTTGCTTCTTCCTCATCCCGATCGTGAGATCGACCACCATCTCCCCGGTCATATCAAACGAATGCCACAGCGAGGGACCTTCCCCACGGGCCCCAGCAGCCTAATTAAGCAACCCCATTTACCCATTCCATGGCCTCATGCAGCTCCTCCAGGATCCCGGCCGATATTGCTGTTGGTCGAACAGCCGGCATGGTCCAAGCAAACAGCCGGCATGGCATGGTCCAAGCAAGTGCAGGACAAGGCTGTTCTAGATCAATGGGTTGCGGCGCTGCTACCAAGCAGTTATCTTTCCTCTGATCTCTTCCGTCCCATCTGCAGTTATTATCATTATTATTCCCAATCGCCGGTCGAACAAACGAAGCAAACATACACGCTCATTCTTTACAATACCCAAACTCTGATTCCACAGCCAGCCAGCCAGCCAGCCAGCCAGCAAGCAAGCAAGCCAGTCTCTCTTCCCTTCATAATCCCCCAATAAGATACCCCAAAAGTCGCCATTATGCACTTCCAGACCGCCCTCGTCGCCCTCTTCGCCGCCGTCGCCGCCGCCGAGACGATCGACCAGCTCGTGGCCCAGATCCCCAGCTGCGCGACGCCGTGTCTGGCCTCGGCCGCAAAGAGCGTCGGCTGCGGCGTATCCGACGCCAACTGCCAGTGCGAGCACATCACCGACCTGACCAAGAGCGCGCTCATGTGCGTGTCGGGCGCTTGCAACCAGGATGATCTGAAGAGTACGTCCCAGTTGCCGTTTTCCCCAAGCGGCACTTGCGTGGAGTAAATGTGAAGGATGGAAAGCTTTGTTGGGCGGAGCATGGAGCATAACCGCTAACATAACTCTACTTGACAGCTACTTCCGAGACCAGCACCCAGATCTGCCTCGCTGTCGCCCAGCAGGCTGGTGACAGTGCTTCTTCCTCGGCCCTCGCCAGCGCCAGTGGTGCCGCTACCTCTGCCGCCAGCTCCCTAAGCAGTACGGCCAGTTCTGCTACCGCTTCCGCGACCCCGGCAGCCGCTGCCCACGCCGGTGCTGGCATGGGTCTTGTTGGTGCTGCTGCCTTTGTTGCCTTTGCTCTGTAGAGGGGACACGTATTGTAACGTTTGTGAGGAACGGCAAAGGAGGAGGGGAGGACTTCCGGACAGCGAGCTATGAAGGCTTAGCGATGTACACAAGTCCTAGGTTGTACACTGAGCCATAGTCAGGCTCTATTCTATAGACATAGACGGGCCGTCCATAAATCAGAAATCTAATACTGATCAAATCTATCGTGGGTATATGCGTCTACAACCATTGCGAAGCCCACATCTAAGCGCACCTCTTTAAATATACACCACATCTTCACATTAGCCCAATCCAAATCTTCCCAGAGCGCCGTCCTCGCCGCCGTCAAACCGGCTGTGTAGTCCATCAAGGCTAGCAAAATGCCGCACGAACTCCTCCCCCTTCCTCCGCTCTTCCTCCGTGCGTCTCCAATCCCACTCCGACGGGTTAGCCTCCGGCAGCTCGCCGCCAGTAACCAGCCCAGCCGGCTGCGCCGCGCCATCCTCAACCGCGACCCAGCCGCCCGGCCGCTCGGGCAGCAGTCCGCTCTCCCCAATGACGACCACGGGATGGACCGTCAAGCGCCCGATCTTGAAGACGTACTTGCTAACAGCCGTAGCAAAGATCTTCCGCTCCCACTCCTGCGGCTCGCCGTCCGTCTTCCGCGTGGCGCCGAAGCTGCCCGCGTCCCAGGACCGCGGCCGCACGGCGCCCTTCTCCACGAAGTGGGTTACGATGTACATCCACTTGCGGTCCCAGCCCAGCACGCGCGACCAGGTCTCGTAGGCCTGATACGGCGCTATCTCGCGGCGGAAGCTGCAGTGCACGGCGCCGAGCATGACGCCGAACTTGCCGCGCGCGGGCTCGGAGGTGCTCGACGACGGGTCCACGACGAGCTTTGTGGTGGCGTTGTGCGCGAGGGCGCGGCAGCCCCGCGCGAACAGGTGGCTGACTAGGTGCGAGCGGCTGACGTCGAGGTCGGCGAAGTACGTCGAGTTGGACTTATGCAGGTTGTAGTCGACCTCGAGCAGGCTGACGTGCGTGCTGGTGATGACGGGGTGGAAGAGCTTGTCGGGGGTGTGCGTGTGGAAGCGGCGGAAGAGGAAGTGCGAGACCATGGCGGACCATACGCGCACCTGTGAGGGCCCCGTTAGCAAGGTCGAAGACGCACATGTAGGTGCTGAGGGACAGATCGACGTACCGTCCATGCCATCGGCAGGCTCTTCCAGTTGAAGAGCACGACCACCAGCGCGATTATCCGGCTCGTCCGGCCTGGTCCGGTAAAGAAGGACTCGATCGCCCCTGTCGCGTTTCCCTTGTAGGCGCCATAGGCTATGGCGGGTAGGAGAGCCGGGCCAGCGAGCCGCAGGACTCGGTTCACGGTGCCGGCGGAAGATGCCATGGCTGGCTACCTATGCGGTGGGCGGCTTCGAGGGATTCGACTGCGGCGATCGAGACGGCTTGCGACTAGACACGACGGCGGTAATTCGGGACCAGAGTGCGCCAGCGACCAGCACCAAAAGGACAATTCCCCACAGCGGTATGGCCCGCAAGTGACACAGAGCGGTGCTGGTACACTTCGCGAGTAGGTTGTTGTTCGGCGCAAGCGACATTCGAGATGTTGAGGGCGGCGGGAAGAGCTCTCTAATGCAGGGGCAATAAAACAACCGTTTGACGCGCGGTCTAGGATCCGGCAACTCTAATAACAGAACTGGAGCCGAAAGAAGGAAAGAACCATACAAGAAAAAGAGGTGTCCAACGGTCGAGAGTCGAGACTCGAAGGATGGCCGGGGTTTATCGACTACAGCTGGAGTGGGTCCCGGTCGAGCCGAGGCTCCCGTCGTCAAAGTCCCGGCCCAGCATTGTGAACCGGACTGCTCAACCCACATCCCAACGATGAATATAAAGACGGCTTCATCATGTTTGAAATGTTAGATTGGCAGAATAAGTAAGAAATAGCGAATCGCATCTCTGTGTTGTGGTGAGTTGAGAATCAGGTTTATGCGACATGTACACAGTCTACGACGGCCCCCAACTCATCATGTCATGAGCTCGAGTCATGAGTCTGACCAAATCCTAGGGTATAATTGTTGAATACACGGATGTTGATTGATTCTATTGATTGTTCTGCTCTGCTTCTTCAGTGTGCAGAGATTGATCATCTGTCTTCTTGGTGGGTCAGATGCCCTGTGCGTCTCTGCCCCACTGGAGATCTTCCGGTGTCTATCTCCGGCTCCCATTCAATACATTCGTGCTAGTATCTAACAATAATCGTATACCGAGGCCAGTCACCCACAACGGGACCTCTTGACAACAACTCGAAATCCTCGTACTGCAGCTACTCAGCCAAGCCGCCGTGGCCCTCGAAAGCATGGTACCGTCAGGGCAACCGACTGAAAAGCTGACAATTCTCCGTGAAATCTTGAACACTCGACAGCTCCGCATCGCATTCTTCTGCCTACCTGTCTCCCTCAACTCGCATCATCGAGCTTCTCTTCTTCTGGCACTGCCTCAGAAGGCCGAGCGTAGTATCAGCGCCCTACCAGGAACACCAGCCTCCACGTTCTAACAAAACTCGGCTTGAACATCAACCGCTTGGCCTGTGCAAGAGTTTCTTTGTGACCCGGTTTCGACGTTATCTTGGTAGTACGTGGCGAGCGTCTTGGTCCTTGCCGCTACTCAATGACATCAATTGGCGGCGTTCTCATGTTGCGGCCTATGATCCAGATTTCTCGCCCGCGCCAGCAATTTGCGACTGCCATCAATTGCCAGCATATCCAAGTCAGACGCTCAGCAATCAATCGACTTCCACTAGCATATCTGCCGCGTCAAAGTTGACTACAAAGCTACTGCTGTCGTCGTCGTCATCGTTATCCACAAAGCCCCGTGGATTTGACGAGTCGTAGAATAACGTGGAACGAGGACTACGCTCGTGGTACAGGTACGGCGGCGAGTATCCCGATCTCCCAACTGTGAAGAAACGGAGGCGCGGCTGAGCCGTAGCCTCCGGAGGTGGAGAAGATTCGAGTTGCTCGCCAGAAGCAAGATATCGTGCACGGAAATCTTCTCCGATATCGCGAAGTCCATGACGCCAATTCCCCATTGTTACTACTTTCCGGAGAACGATGTCAAGATGAACCGCAGCGTTCCGGACACGGGCAAGTCCGACGAGGTCATCCAACAGGACGTCTGATCGAAATTGGTGCCAGTATGCCATATCAGGGACGAAACACTCCATGAGACGTAGCCTGGTGAGCATCGGCGGCATGGGGTCGGATAGCTTCCATACGAAGACACGGTCACTGATATACGGTCCGACGTGGAATTCTGATAAGCTCTGGAATCCGGACAAGTCGATGCTTAGTTGCCGTTGTGTGCTGGAACGGCGATTCCGTTGGATGTGAAGCATTTTGAGTGTCTCGGATTGCTGGGCGATGGCCTGTTGAAAGATGTCCATTTGCTCAGTGGCAACGGAGCCAGGACCACTCTCTCGGTGAGGTACTGCCTCGCGGAGAATGAAAGTTTCCAAAGCCTTTGGCAGTGCTAGAATAGCCAGCAGTGCCTCAGCTGGGATGCCACCCCTGGTAATTATGAGGGATTTCAAATTTGTTCGGCGGGCGAAAGGGAGTATTTCAGCGGCCCAGTTGGACTTGGACTCCCCGGGGACCGAAGATTTTATGTAGACGCACGATATCTCCAAGGAATGAAGGCTCGGCATCAGGAATACCGGGCATGACGGTGTTATTGGCCAGAATCTTTCGGTCCTGCCCCCGTCATCACCGCCCGTCCAATGTAGCGTCACTAAGAGGTCACAGTCAGACATCTCATCCACCAGGTCGAGTACGTGAAGGTTGATCGATGTTGCTCACAATGCCTTAAGTTCTTCAGAGGTCGTTCCCCCAGAGTCCCCGAGTTACTGAGCAGTGAGGCACGCTCGAAACCGCGCAGGTAGCTCTCCATCACATTGATCCAATCTTCCACCCGATCCTCTTGGTATCTGTAGTGGGCATTGCAGAAAGGGCTCTCGGAAACGAAAGATGTCAGGCCGGGAAGAGAGCAGAGATCCAATGGCGCGCTCTCGCCAAACTCATAAAGCCTGGTGGACCAAGGCAACTGCAGGTCGCGAATGTAGGTTTTGCGGACGGGATCTGCCTCTAGACAGGCCGTGAGAGGCTTTAGTTGTGACCGCTTGAGAAGGGTGATGGATGAATAGAGGCACGCCTCAGCCATGGGCTTGAGCGCCTTGCAAGTACGTATGACTGCGTGAACTGAGTCGGTGTCCTGGCCGCCATCGTGGACGTGGTCCAAGATCTGGAAAAGAAGCTCGTTGGGAAAGGCCAAAAGGCCAGTGCGTGCAGCCATGTCGTCTGGTTTCTGCGTATTTCCAGGTGTTGATATTGATAGATGGGCTGGGCTGATTGATGGTGCTGATGGAGGAACGAGGCAGCGAGGTTGGACGGCCTGCCGCCTCCCCTCATATGTACTCATCGAGGAACGGGCCACAAGCACTCACAGCGTTCTGACACGCAGCCTCTGCTCAAAAGAAGCAACCCCGATGGATGATGGATACGCATCCATCGCTGATTCCTTCCGTAACGGCGTAACCACACTGGTGCTTCCTTCCGAGTCAAGCAAGGCATCATCGAAGGCCCATGCTCGAGACATGCAACAGCTGGCCTTTGTGCTGGACCTTCTGGCACTTCGATCCAGCATGGACATTGATTTCCCGCGCGGCATCGCTTGCGCCCTGAACGCCTCGAAGCCCCGGATCATCATGACGCCCAACCAAGCTGTAGCGCACCAAACGCGTGGCGTTGATTTCGCGAAAAGGACCACAGCTTCTCGTATCGCGCGTTCACAGGAGACGGTAGAATGGGAGCAAGCCCGCAAGAAGGACACTTGGTAGACCAGTGATTATCGCCAGAAATCTACAGATATACGCCGAGACAATCACAGCGAAATTTGCTGAGAGAAGATGGCCACGGCTTTCGGAAGCGGCCGCACTAAGTATTCCCTGCGCTCCCAGCGGGTCTAGTGACCCACCTCGCATGCTGCGACTCATGAGCAGCATCAAGAATGTCCGGGCAGGGGTTGTGATGGAGGCTCGATCCACAGACCTGCCTGTCGTAGAATGCGGGCCTGGCCATTAATCAAGTGGACGAACGGTGGTGAAGAGACACCTGCCAGTCTGACAGCGTAAGGCACTTGCGTATCAGTTCCCCGACCAGACGCTTGATGTGATACCCCAGCAAGTTCTGGCCGGTGTTAGGGATTGTGTGTGCCCGTCTCAGGCTGACATGATGGCCGCCTTGCTTGGGAAACTAGGCGATATCATGTTGAAGACTTGGGACTCGAAGCCACACCAGGATGAGGGTATCGAAGCCAGGGCGAATAGATGGGCCATCTATCACTATTCCGCTAATGTCAGCGCTACACCGAGTATCGTGGCGTATGGTAGATAAGCTACAAGTACTGATGGCTACTTCGCACTGAAATCAACAGATCGCAACCGTGTGTCCTAGAGGTGTTGTATAAAGCAACTAGTCCTCGACCGAGATGAAAACCAGAACTGTCTGCGTACCCAGTTCAAACAAGATCATCAAGTCTGCATCCTCTGCTCGGCAGTCCCCCGTCAAGCAATACACCGGGGCCTTACAGTATTCCGGCCCATAAAGTCGGGCCGGGGTACGCTTGACGCAGCTCGGGTCATATCTATTTCAGCTTATGCCTCGTGATGACACTTGCTGGGAGCGTTCTAGAAGGCCAAGCCTATCAATAGGGAGGTTTAGAGAGAAATGATTACTGTAAAAACATATTGTATGCATGTTCGAAGCCCGTGGCCGCACACAGTGCCTACCTCCAACATGCTCAGCTGGGGAGGCTTCAATGGGAAGCGAGGTTCTCTGACATGGGATTTGGTAAGCCTTACACAAATCACTGCGAGAGCACTGTGTTGACCACACCGGAGAGGGGTGAGCAGAGTGTTAAAAGGGGTGCCTTAAGTTTCCGGTTGCGCGCGACCTTCTAAGATCCGCTATTCGTGTGACAGGTCCGAACGAAGGGTATGTAATACTGGTCCTGGATAAGCCTCCATTATCGAAGACTATACTCGTGCCCTGGAAATCGGTATTCGGTTCGGGAATACAAGTAAAGCTGGCGCAAGGGAAGCACCAGAAACGAAATCGATCATCTTCAGTCCTTCTGGTGTAATTGAGCCCATATTATGTCTCGTGACAGACCAGTTTGGCCATCACCGCGAGCGCTATGTGAAAATGCCAGCCCTCTTAGTGAAAGCACAAGTAGTAGCTACCGAGTCAGGGTTGTGAGTTTGTGACTGAAACACCAATGAGCAAGCTCTATCGCGCACATGAGCGATACTAAATGGTTATTCAGGGAAAAGATAGTGCGAGATCGGCTTATGTCAGTAGCCTCTCCTCCATTTGGAATTAAAGAGGAATTCTCCCGGGTCTTCCCTCACGCCTCGAACGTTATGTAGTGTCCTATCTGGAATGAGCACACTGGCATAATCACCGAAAGCGGCGTTTTGAGCTGAGACTGCTTATCCCAGTGTGCTTATTCGAGAATAGCCAAGAGATATCTCGGATTCAGATCAAGATGCTCATATTGTTCTGCTAAGCTATGTAGAAACCTCTCGTGTTTCGCATTCGCGAAGTAAAGCCTGTATACCCTCGCTGACTTGCAGACCAGACCACCTTGTGTCAGGATCTGGATCTAGCATTGCTTTCGCCAGATTCACCACTCTCTCGATCACCTCTGCACTGTATCCTTCGCAACGTAGCGTCTCCTGCATATTCTCGGGTACACTGCCTCTCTGCAGTCCCTCAAGCATGTGCACTCGCTCCATGGTAGTGCCACAACGACACAACATCTCCACGAACACCACTCCAAGGGCGAATATGTCGATTTTCTCGTCCTTGTGATCTCTCTGGGTTGGTGGTTGATAGTGCGTAGTGCCAACTGGTCTCTGTGATCCCGAGTCAGACGACGCCGGTACTCCAGTATGCGCAAGTTCGGCCACCAAACCAAAATCTCCTATTCGAGGGTTCAGCCATCGGGGTGGCAGCTTGCCCACTTCCGTCGATGATGAACAAGATCGGCAGGAGACATCACAATAACCACCTTCGGATGTATGTTCTTCTGGTGATGACAGGAAGATGTTACCTGGCTTGATGTCGCGATGAATCAACCCCTTGGAATGTATGTACTGCAATCCCGAATGGATCTCAAGAAGAAGACGGAGTGAAGGAAGAAGATGAAAACAATGTCTCAGCCCAGCACGGTGACTAGACGAGGAGAGAAACTGAGCCAAACTCATCGGGTAGATGGACATTTGAATGTATAGTGCATGAACATTCGTGTCGGCTAGTGCCCGGCTTTGACTGGCATGGTCTGTGTGGGACATACCATCCGTGAAGATGTTGCTCTCAGACGACGAGGTCGTCTCTTCGGCGTCAAACTCGGAGGCGTCTTGTCCAGACCAGCCCTGGCCGCTGATAGCCAGCTCCTTGGCATTATCATGGCCAAGGGAGGACTGTTGTGTATCCTCTCCAAACACTATCCCTCCGATAGACGAGTCACCCTTAGCGTTATGGTTAAAGGGACGGTTGTCTAGCAATAATCTTTGGCGAGTTGGCTGATCTATGATATTAACTAGTGATTTTGATCAGCATAAGATAGGAAGAAATAGGAAAAGCAGAACAGAACGGGTTCGGGTGTGGTACAGGTCAGTGATATCCACTGAGCTCTCAGAGGCCTCCCGCGGCAAGCAATGTCGTATTTACAGTGATTGGAATAAGCACCGTGGAATAAACATCAAAAGTGTCTTATTGAACCAGACCTGCTTATTCCAGGGTGCATATTCCAATATCTCAATTCCGCTGCGGCGCGCAGGGAGACTTGTAAGGGGCTGTGTATGCCACTAGGCAATGCAATGGGATAGAAATGCTGAAGAGCAGCAGCTTACCTGACTCATCCATGGTTCCGGCTGTTTGCTGTGGCTCCTCAAACCAAGTATGATGATAGCGCACGACGTTGGGGTGGTCAAGCCGGGCCATGGCCTTCACCTCGCGCAGTATAGGCTGGAGGTCGTCATGTCGTCCATCGCAGAAGCTCCTTCCTAGCTTTGGGGAAAGCAGGATCTTCTTGACTGCATAGGTCTTCTCGTCCAGAAGGCTATCGCACCGATACACCTTTCCAAACCCACCCTTGCCGAGTAGAGAGACCTCTCTGAAGGAAGATTGATAATGACTTCGTATACGGACCGGTGGTGACGGAATAGCCAATTGTAGGTCGTTTGCAGGATGGGGTAGTAGCGAGAGCTGTGAGGACCGAATAGCCAAATCTCCTACTGGCTCCGGGCTATTATCGGCCGTTGCCAGTCTATGCAGACCTTCGAGATATTGCTGCCGAACAGCCTGTGAGCTGGACCCAGCAAGCGGGAATACCAGGCCATTGGATGAGAGTACCTGGCTTGCCTGGGCGGAGAGTTGTTGGGACACACGCTGGACTTCTGGCGACTCCTCGGTGTAACTCCCCACAGTACCAGGATCGCTGTTGAGGAATTCAAGGGCACGGGTTCGATAATAGTTCTCAAGTACGCCAGCAAGCATCATGTCACCATGGCCCGCTATGCTGGATTCATCCTGAGATTCCGAAATCGACCCATGCTGGGAGGACCTGCTAATGCTTTGAACATCTTCGTCCTCTGAGGTATGTGAGGGCGCGTCGGTAGAACCCATCTATCAACAAGTTAGTACATGTACATGGTAGCAGAACGGCAGAACAGGCTCGGGAGAAGCATCATGACTCGTGCGTGAGCTGTGGCACCAATTTACCATATCTGCCATAAGCACCCTGGAATAAGCAGGTGAATGATAAAAGGCCATTCCTGATGCTTGTTCCATGGTGCTTATTCCCTGGGGCTCAGGGTGGGATGAACACTTACCGTTTTTGCCTTATCACTTCTCCTAATGTGAGGTGTCGCTAAACGCTAGCACGCCTTTTCATGCCTGTTCAACATCATTCTATGGACTCAAGCTTCTGTATGATGGACGCGGTCATCAAAATGCGACAGCGAGCACATTCCAACGCAGGGTATGGAGTCGTTTGCTCTGTTGCACGGTGTTGCTGATTGCTGGTCACTGCTTGCCTGGGGCATTTGCATCTGAGTGGCATTTGGACTTCTCCAGGCTTGATGCATATGTGGCCTGTGCAGTAGCCCCTGCGTTGTCTCAGCCCTTATTGAATCGGACGGAGGTATGCTTATAAAGGAGCTCCCCCTTTCTACGGTTACCCCTGTTTCAAGCAATGGCATCCACGCCCGTGGTGTGCCTGAGCATATGCTATTGGTGTTCTTACCCGTTCCGCCACTGCAGTCTCACTTGGCATGCAAATGCATAAGGAAGTTCTACAGCCAAATTTGCGATTCATACGAGATGACCGCTGCGGACTCTTGCCTGTTCAGATTGCCTGAATATGCAGCGACTATCGAGTGAACGGTCAGAATCTTCTAGCAGATTCCAGAGTCCTAATCGATGCACTTGGTGAAGTAGGATTGGGCTGTTGGTCCCTTCTGCGGGCAATGCGAGCAGCGCAATAAACCGCTCGGCATATACCTCAACGCCCCAGCCAATCGCCCACTTATGTGCGAGGTCTTAGGGCGCGTATTCAGGAAATCAAAATAGAACGGTTGCTTGACTTTTCGTCTGACGTGGTCCGTGAGTTTACTGGGCCGGCCCGGATGTTTTTGATTGTGGATACGTATGAAACGATATTTATCGGGATGCTCTGCTATCGAATAACAAATATAAGAGAATTGTCCAAATCATCAATGACGATAATTTCAGACAAGCCCTCAGAGACATCGAGGCAGTCCAGACACAGGGATTGAAGCACCAAAGCGAGTAAGAGACGGGAGATTATGACGGGTCTTCTGTCGAGGCTCTACTATCTAAGTGAGGCTACTCCGGCCGTATGGGTCCATGAATACTAAGGCCTTGCTGGGCAACACGGCACGAAATGCGGAAGGCCCGATGAGTACCATGACCTCCAGATGGCACACAAGAATAGTTTTCGGGCAACTATCAGCTCCGCTTCACGGGACCGATACAAACATCAGGGAGCGAGGTGGTAACCAGGCTAATACTCTGGGATACGGAGTGATTGAGATATGTTCCCAGGGATGGCGATGGTCGAGACTCCACGGGCATGGTCTGATTTCGTTCCTCTGAAATGCCAAGTTGGGGACCTACTTGATGAGTGGGAGCATGCTAACCGGATGAGCAAGTGCTAGGAAGCACTTGACTTCAAATTGGTCAGATACTGTAGAGACACCTGATTGCCAGCGTGCCCATACTGCTTGGACCAAATAGTCAGCCCAGATGGAAAGCAGAGGTAGTGGTGTCCAAGTAAAATGCCAAACAACGGCAGGGCGTAGCTGTGGCCCACGAAATGCGATCATGTACATTCACCGTCTGAAATTCATTTCACTCCTCTAAAAGCAATGACAAGCGGGCAAAATGATGGCGTGAAGAATGGTAAGATCTGGTTGTAGTTTTAAAGTGGCAGTTAGCAGGCTTGTGCTTGACCGGCGATGTGCAACAGGACCCTCGAGTACGGATAGGAGCGCCTTACACGCCGTATGAAGTACGGACTAGTCTTAAGTGGGTGCTAATACGCAGATAGAGTACACTTGCAAAGGTAGACGCCGTAAATAGAAGGGTTACTTGTTGACGAGAGTCGAGTGCGTGGAATTCTCACGCATGAAACATGACGACGGAAAGTTCGTCTTGATTTGCGAGCAAGATGGCTATCTCTGATACATGTTTGGGGCGGGTGTGTTCTTCAAGTTCAGGTTCTTAATGGAGTTTCCTTGCGTTTACCAACTGAACCACGGACCAGCTAACATAATGCCCAGCAGTGCTCACCGGGTCTTGCTCTTCACCATCCCCAATGTGCTGAATCGAGTCAGGCAGCTGAGCAGTAGTACTTCTTGTGAGACTTCCAGTCCACCTTTTGGCATTCAACGGAACAGTACTGCACCTTCTTGCAGCGACCGCACTTCTTGGCTGGAGTATCCTTCCCGCACACCTCACAGCCAGAGACCAGAGCTGGAAGACTTGTCATCTCGTCGACCGCATCTTCCCGAGGAGGCGCATTTGCCGCGGTTCCTGGCCCATATGAGCATTCTCACCGTCGGCGCGCAAGGTGCCAGTTAATTACTCAACATAGCTACAAGCAGAGCTTGTGAGCCACTCTCGTTGTTCACGTCGCCGATGTAGGCGATATGGCCTCGTCCATGATTATGACAAACGGCCGGAGTCTGTGTCGTGTCGACTGGTTCAGGGGCAAAGACCAGAGACAGAGTACGCGAGTCATCGGTTGGAGCGTAGACCTTGGCGGCAGCGGGCACATTGATCAGGTGTGCAGCTTTCATGCTGTATGACTGCACGAGCTTCTGGAAAGCCTCTCTACCAAAGACAGGTGCGAAAGCGGGATTCAGCACAAAGTCAGTGCGCTGGGTGATGTCAGCGTGACCGGTCTGATGCTGAGATATGTCTGACGACTGAATATTGTTGCCAGATACGACGGACCTCCTTGGGGGTTTACGTACGTGATAATCTCCATACGTCCAAGGCAGGCTCATTTCTTGACACAAGTGCTCAAAGTCGTCGGGTCGAACGAAGCTGGTGAACAGACATGCGAGGATCAGGGTACCGCCCGTCCTGACATAGTGGTCAAGGTGGATTTGGATGTTCTTGTGCTTCTTCTGGGGAAGACCGCCATCGAAGTCAATGACAGCTTTTGCGACGGCAAGGTGTTGTGTTGTCAGGGACTTGGTCTGGATAATGGTGAAGTCCTCCTCGATCTTGGTGTAAAGAGCCTTGTAAAGGTCGAAGAGGCCTTGCCATCCGTCGCCGGATTGGAGCAGGAGGACCAGGGGCTTCGTGGCTGCCATGATCCGGGCTACCTATGGGCTGACTCGACTGCTCGGCGTGGTGTGTCACGATGACTGGTCCAGTAGGTAGGTAGGCACCGGTATGTGACAGCGGCAAGCATTGAAGTCTGAAGCTGCTGTCGAAGAAAAGACAGATGCTGTTCCAGCGGTGGTGAATCTAGGTAGTAGCACCTAACTGACCGTGCTGGTGGCCCCGTTTGCACCTGCCAGCTCCCGTCATCTGGCGTGAAGGATGCCATGGGCACCAAACGGAAGGACCAACGGGGCCAGCAACGTAAGTGAGGTAGGCAGCTGCAATATATCCTGCACTGTGCCTGCTGCAAGTGACACTCGGATGAGAGAACATCGTTGCATTCAATCCAGAGGGTACCTAAGCTATGTTGGCTACCGCTGTTGGTTGGCTGTGTGAATCGGGCGCTGTTGGCGTTGGTAGAATAGCGGGGGAGCACATGTTGTAGTCAAGGAATGAAGAGTCAAAGAATGAAGACCAGTTGGGCAGATGCGACGCACGCATCAAAGAGAATGAAAATGTTATTGCCCCTGATGTTCAATATTGCTTACCTTAGTACCTAGGTAGGTATCTAGGTACGGTAGCTGCACTATTTGAGGCTGAGCCCCCGCCTAGATAGTAGAAGCTGCAGGTGTTCCCTCCGTTCGAATGTTTCTGCCTGTATTACCTACCGTACCTAACCTCTACTAGCACCTGCATCTGCCGACTGCTACCACCACCAGACTGTCCCGTCGAGCCCGCCTCCGAGCCCGCCACCCCTCCTCCCATTTCACCTGCACCACCGCGATATGTCCACCACTACACCCTCGTCGCTGTGGGACTACACCGCCGATGCAAAGGCGCTCTTTGCACTATCCGACAACGACCTTATCGAGCTCATTAACAAGGACTTTAAGCATGAGCTGAAGCGTCTCACGCGGGCCTATGCGATCCGGAGCGGGGAGCCGACCGTGACCGACAAGCCGTCCCCATCGCATATCCTGTTCGACGCCGACTACGACGAGGTGAACCGCACGCTCATCGGCATCCTGGCCCTCAAATGGATCCACAACGGCAAATATGACACCTTCATCGCCAACCAGGACAAGACGAAGCCGCTGTCGCGCAAGTCCTTCGAGTGGATGCAGAACTTCTTTAAGGACGCATTCAGTTGCCAGAGTGATCTCTACGCCCTCATCACCTCCCTGATTATCAACGACCTGGGCAAGGACCCCGAGCTCGCCGTGGATTATCAGCTTAAAACTAAGGAGGACATCTCATCCTCCAACCACGACCTGATTCTGTTCAAGGTCGTCAGTGTCGGCCTCGTCAAGTGCCTAAAAGGCCCGGCCCATCTGCCGCAGAAGAACGTCGACGACATCGTGCGCGGCATCAGGCTCGGCGCTGACTTCAACTTCGCCCAGCTCGTTCAGGCCGAGAACGTTCCAGCTTGTCTCTCAGGCCTCCGCGACATGCGCGGTCATGAGCACGCCTTTGACCTCCGATTTATGGAGCAGCTGCTGGATGTTGCAGGCGCAGGCGGTCATATGGACTGGACCTGTGTCTCGAGGCTGACCGAGCCCCTCTTTTCCGCCTGGCGTAACGTCTACGACGCCACAGCGTGCATCGTCAAGGGCGACCTGAATCTCCGCGCAGGCTACGACATGATCTTGTCTTGGCAGGGCGAACTCCTTCGCAAAAGCGGGTTTCGGCAACTCCACATCAGCAATGAGGAGGAGCGCGCCTTTTCGCGCATCCTGTGCTTGGGCAACGTCGACAACCTCGAGAAGGCGCAGCTTTACGACCAAGTGTGGTCCTCACTAGACACCAAGGTCAAGCAGTCGCTCATCCACTCCTTGAATATAGATGGCTCGGTCGACAAGCCCGCCGTGCAACCGACCTATATGCCGGCGTTCCTCACCGAAGTCGTCATGGTTGGAGGCTCGGCTGCCTTGACAAGTGCACTGCGTTATCTCTCGCGCGTCTTGTCGGGCCCTGAGAGGCTGGAAGGGTCTGTGAGTGTCATCGAGCGAGACGTACGAGGTACGTTCCAGAGGGTTGTGCAGGGCCCCGATTTCGAACAAGATCCGACCATCTTAGAGAAGGAGCCAATACCCAGCAGTGTTCCTGCAAAGGTCGAGGCATCGAGTGATAGCTGACAGGCCTTCTTGCCCGCGTGGCATTCATTTGACTTTCATTCCTTCCGGGTAGGTTCCAGGTGTTGGTACTTCTTTCTGTCTTTGCTAGCGGGTGGAGCTCGTGGGTGATGGCGTTTGGGTTTCCTTTTTCTTGGAGTCCTGGACTTGGCTGTACGGGCTGTTGCTACTTTCATAGACATCGAACGAATCACCACCATGGCGCTGTGGCGTTATAATCATTACTATTCGGACAATTGCTCACCTTCTTGGATGAGTGTTGGTGTTATGCCGTGATATCACAACTCGAAAAGAAATGGGAAGGTATCAAATGTCTCTCATCGCTGCTTGACACCACATCGCTCATCAAACCACTACTCTCCATAACCCCAGCCACCGCATCCACAAAATCCCCAAGGGTCGCCCGCCAGCCCGCCAGCACGGCGAGCGCGACGAGAACGCCCTTCAAGGACCGACCATCGGGCAGCAAACCCACAACCAGTGTCCGCGCCGCCCACCTCGCGACGGCGGCCCAGTCGACAACGTCGCGTCCCTCGAGAAGTCCTGGTTTGCTGCAGACAGCGAGCCCGTCCGTTAGCTTACGAAGTCCAATTCCCTGGTTTCCGCTGCTGATAGTGTATAGCGCGAACTCGTCCTCTTGCTTGATTGCGATTTGCGGCCTTTCCAGCTGTAGTTACCCCTTTCTTGCACCCACATTCCCTCTGCCCTAACTGTAAGCCAATGGTCGATATCTAACGCAACTCAACTAAATTCAAATATCAACACGTCTAAAATGAGTCGTTCCGTATGTAATATTCCCTTGGCAAGACAAGAAGCCGCGTTTCGGGTATTCGAATAGTAACAAGGCCAAGGCCAATCAAAGACTCGAGACCACTCAGTATAGCTGAGCCGTACAACTCGAGGTTTACTGCTTACAACGGATCAGTCTCTCAGCAGCAAATACTAACCATTCCCACCAGGAGAGGCCGTCCCCATCCACAAGGCCAAACACGATTCCTACAAGGCCTGGTACACGCATACGTTATCTACTGCAGCGATGTAACGCTCTGCCTGTCTGACCACTGGCAGTGGACGATATCTACCGGTTCCCCACTCGAGATCCCTTCTCCTCACGCGGATATCCCGCGTAGTATCCAAGCGTGTAAGCGAGTACGCATAAATTTAGCACGAGACTTCATACCCTACCTGTAACACTGTCTTCTTTCTCTACAATATCTTTAGCTGAGAGCTGCTATAGCAATGGCAAGCACAACATCACCAAACGAGTCCTTGAACCTCGCCATCGTCGGCGGCGGCATCACGGGCCTAACCCTCGCCATCAGTCTCCTGAAGCACAACATAAACGTCACGATCTACGAGTCGGCGGCCAGCTTCGGGGAGATCGGAGCCGGCGTGGGATTCGGGCCCAACGCCGTCAGAGGAATGGGCCTGATATCCCCAGAGATGGAGGCGGCTTACGAGCGCTGCCGGACCCGCCAGTGGGAAAGCAAGGAGCACATCTGGTTCACCGTGCGACTCGGTGACCACAAGAAAGTCGGAGATAACGGACTCGTCAAACGGGAGGACTACGAGAAGCTGAAGAACGGAGCCCCTATGTTCGAAGTGTACTACACCGGTGACGGTCCCAGGGGCGGCGTGCATCGCGCGCACTTCTTGAATCAGCTGGTCAAGCTGATACCGGAGTCGGTCCCCAGGTTTTGCAAGAGGCTTCTCGATGTCACCCAGCCGGACGGCTCGGAAGACGTAGTCTTGCATTTTGCGGACGGCACGAGTGCGCAACATACTGCTGTTCTTGGCTGCGATGGCATCAAATCGCGCACACGGGAGCTGTTATTGGGAAAAGAGAAGCGGGCCGTTTTCACCGGTAAGTACGTGTACAGGGGCTTGATCCCAATGGCGAAAGCGGTCGAGATGCTCGGCGAGGAGCAGGCGATGAATAGCCAGATGTACCTGGGCTACCACGGTCACATGATCACGTTCCCGATAGAGAAGGGGAAGACGCTGAATGGTATGTGCGCTCTCAACCTCTACCCTTATCAACTTTTTAACCTTCGCTGACTCCGCGTGAAAGTCGTGGCATTCAATTCATGCGAGACGTGGACGGACTCTCGATGGGTCGTGCCGACAACAAAGGAGGAAATGGTGGCCAACTACCGCACCTGGGGTCCGAGCTGCAGCGCCATCGTCGCCGCAATGGAGAAGCCAGACGTATGGGCGCTGTTCAACCACCCGCCAGCGCCGACGTACCACGGTTCGCAGCCGCTCATCTGCCTCGTCGGCGACGCTGCGCACGCCAGCACTCCGCATCAGGGGGCGGGGGCCGGCATCTGCATCGAGGACTGCTATATCCTCGGGAACCTCATCGCAGAGGCTAGGTCCGTGGGGGGTCTACACAGGGCTTTTAGGGCATATGAAGAGATTAGGAGGCCGCGGACGCTGAAGCTTGTCGAGACTAGCAGACAGGCGGGATTGCTCTATGACTTCGAGTCGCAGGGGGATGACCTCGAGGCTGTTGAGCGGGACATGAAGTCGCGCATGAGTTGGATTTGGGATATTAACCTGGTCGCTGAACTTGAGAAGGCGAAGGCGATTTTCCGACCGTTGAATTGACAGCGCTGGTGTTTAGCTAGGTCCAGGTATGGCTTGACATATGACCTAAAATAGGTTCGGGGGTTGTGATGGACGCATGTCGGGACTTTCTTAGACGTGAGGGAATCCAAGATCTCGGCGAGGGTTGACTAGGGGGGGGGGGGGGGGGGTTATTTAGTCAGTATGATAGTCGTAGACTTCAAGTCGTCAAGATCGCGCATGGCACATGTGTACCTGTAAACAATCCTGACAGCCAGCATATTGGGAAGCCATCGGACCGCAGAGCCTAGATCCATAACATGAAGCAGAAACTCCGCCAACCTTCGCTGTCTGAAGAATCTATATCGGAACCAAGCTGATACGTCTGTCGCTTATGCGTCTGCACTTCCACAAATCTAGAGACTGACATGTACACCATCTTGTGGCTTAACCTCCATCCGTCTCCTCCCATATTCAAGCTGTTCCGGATCCGCAACCGGTTCCAAGCCGAGTAACTCCTGGGCCCGTATGTAGAAAAGCAGGGGAAGCAGGAAGCTCTTCCAAAGTGGACTTTCCTACTCGCAAGATTACTTATCACCATCCAGACCAGCGTGTCTCCGATTACCGGCCCGCGCATTGGGTGGGTTGCCGGTCGAGCGGACGCCCGAGGTGCGGAACTTGCCCGTGGTCACCACGGTGAACCCATATATGGCGGCGCTCATCAGTACAAGGCGCGGTAAAGTGTGGTGTTCAAGAGGGCCTGCCCGGCTACTGCGGCGAACTCACCGGCGAACTGAGGAGAAGCCCACACCAGGTTGTCCTCGCGTCGGAGCTCATAATAGTCGCCATTCTGGCCCGTTAGGGCGGCAGGAAAGCTCACGCGGCTGGCATTGCGTTACGATGTTGGTGTCGAAAAGGGGTGTAGCTCCAGCCGAGGACTGGTGTCGAGACAGACACTGCACACGACGATATACGCATGGGTAATGATGTAGGTCCAGATTAGAATTGTGCAGTTGCCCGTCTGACAGGTGCCACGATGGCAGAATCGCTACCCAAGGGTTGGTCAACCTATACGTTATGGTGCCCTGCATGTCCGAAGACAGGTCGAGCTCCCCGGCTCTTGTAAACTCATAAGAGGTTGGCTAGGCATCGCTGAAGCAGTCCTCACCTCAAGGTCGGGAACACAGCGAGCCTCGCGTTCAGAATGTGTTGAACGCAGGCCACGGTCTTGATAGCCAGCTGAAACAGCAGTCGATGGCCAAGAACACGATCATAGACCATGCGGACAACCCGCCCGAAGCGTGTTCGGGACGACGAAAAGGAGCTTCACGGATCAGATGATCCCGCAACCGGCTTGTATGAAATCCTGGTGGCAAGTGGATGGCCGAGGCTAGCGGAACCAGCACCATTTTACCTGGTTAAGGATCTGACAGCATTCGTGGGGTGTGAGCTCATAAACTGACCGTGACTTGTATATGTGAGCCCCTGAATTCGGTGACCAAGGCGACACGGGCGAAACACGGTAGTGGGAACCCGCCATCTCGAAGTGCATATGTATTTCATATGTTGTCAATGGTCACATAGCATGAGATCAAAAACTGTTTCAGTCCAGCCGGGTCGCAACACACGGATTATGAGTCCCAGCAGGATACGATCACAGAGGCGTCGCTCGGTTGAGATTTGCAGTCTATGGGTTTCCGGCGTATTCTAGTGCGCTGCCCCAAGGAAGCAAGAACCACATATCATGGGCAATGCTGTAAGAAGAGCACATACGCCTGCGCTGAAGCAACTGCCCCTTGCCATCCCAACAGAGTCGGAACCCTGGCACCGCGACAATGGAGGATAGTCGGGTAAACGGGGAGACTTTGTATGCCCAAAACGACGTGCCGGCTCTGCAAAGTGAAGATGCATCACCATTCAGACACCTTGAGGCCGTCAGCTTTCCGGTAGCCATTGGCATGGCATGTTACTAGAGCTGTTTTCACAGACGAACAAGCCGGTGCTTTATCTTTTCTGGTCGCCGCCTTGACTGGAATCAAGAACATGAATCTTCGTATCCCACCCGCGAGAATCGAGAGGCGGCCGGGAATGAGTTTCTTTGCTCTGTTTCTTGTCTATCCTAGTCCTTGTCTAGCCGTACTGCTGGATTCTTCTCTATGAAGTTCAGGTCGACCTGGTGGCCGAGCAACTCGCGGATATTGGAGATGCCGTATTTGATCATCGTGGGCCTCTCCAAGCCCAGGCCGAATCCGTATACCCTCAGATTCCTTGGCAGACCCATGGCTTCGAGCATCTCTGGCCGGAACATGCCACTGTTGCCGATCTCAATGATCTTGCCAAGGCCCTCGTGGTAGCTGAAGATTTCCATACTCGGTTCGGTGTAGGGGTTGTAGCTGCATTGGTCAGTTGTTGGGCTCTCTGTCGGCTTCTGCTAGTATCAGTAGCACGGGAATGTTGCTTACGCTGGCTTGAACTTGAGACTGGAGTGCACATCTGGGTTAGTCTCGCCTCAATGATCACAATTAGGAGGAGCTGGTCTCAAGTGGACTCACTTCTTCAGACCCATCTTGGCAAAAAAGATTTCCATGAAATCCATAAGGCCACCCAACGTCAGGCCGAACTCGGCGATTACACCTGGTATGGTGAGCACTCCGCCAAGTCTCCGTCTAATGGAGGATACCAGTGGTGCCAACGTCTCAGGAATGCTTACCTTCTACTTGATGAAACTCGCACAGATGCGTTGCGTCTACGGATTCGTTTCTATGATGGTATGAGTATATGAATTTTCCGGTACGTTTGATGGTGATTTCCTGGGCGTGTTCTTACCTGAAAACCCGATCGATGGAGAAGTATCTGGCGGGCGGTGAGCTACCACCACGGTACTCGGATGCCAACTTGAACAGCATGGCAGCCGAGACAGCAGTCGTGTGTGTTCGCAGTACAAGTCTGCATCAGATTAGTCCGGGTTGAACTGTACTCTGGCAACGGAGCCACATACCGTAGTGATTCGTCTTCCGACCAGGGGTACCTGTAGCCAATGGAGCCGTACTTTCCATTCTCATGTACAGTCTTCACATTCTCGAGATATTCGTCGTAATCCCGGCCGTCATCCGGTGACACTGGGCCTGGTCTGCCAGCTTTCTTCGGATCGGAAACGTAAAAGGTATCTTGGAGGTCGCGCGCAGGGTGTTGCTGAGGCACGAAGAGGGCATCGAAGTTCCAGAAGCCGGACTCGACAAACTGACTCGTGGGCATCTCTGTGAAACCCATCTCGAAGAAGATTTGTCTACCGAAGAAAGAACAGTCAGCTCTTGGAGGCAATGGCAAGCGAAGTATCAATGCAAGTATTGACCGCACTGTCTAACTTACCGGAATTCCTGTCGCACTTTGTTCAGCGGGTGAAGAGCGCCAGCGTGCTGGTCAGCGCCCAATGCGTTGAAGTTGTACGGCTCTAAGGCGCACTGGATCAGCTTCTGTCTCACGTGGATAGACAGCGAGCGCAGGTCACTCACTGAAGGTTGCCGTCTTCCACGAGCCGGACGCCAACATCTCGGCAGTTAAGTCCGTCTCTTCCATAACGATTTCTAGCGCGAACTTCGGCCCCTTGCTTATCTTGAAGGAGAAGGTCTTCTGTAGCTTGAGCAGTTTGCGCTTTTTTAGGTCTGCTATAACCTTGGGCTCGTGGGTTCGCTTCTCTTGTATTGTGCGGAGCTGATCTCGGGTAACATCGTCGACCGAATCGACCTGGCAAGGGCATATCAGCTTGGCCATGTTGCGCAGTCTACGCAGAGGCACCTACCAGTGATACAATCTTGTCCCCATCCTTCTTGATCCACTTTGCCTTGAAAGCCTTGCCCTGGCCCAGCTTCGCGACGTTCTTGTCGCCAATTTCCTTCTCGAGGTCTTGTATCGAGAGGCCACCCATCGCCTTGTGCACTGCGTCGAAGACCCGGGCTTCGTGGCTGCCATGGCTGACAATGGTCTCTGCTTCGGGCTCTAGAGCTGCCTCCTCGCGCTCGACTTGCTGGTAGGTGACCATGGAGCGAGAGGACAGGCGATCCAGAGCGGCTTTGATTGACTCGAACGGAACTTGAGCAAAGGTCTCGGAGGACAGGATCGGGTCGGCCTTGGACAGCGCCTGGAGGATCTCCAGTGGGAGACCTCCAGTTGAACTGCTGCCCGCTGAAGCCATGTTTATGGGAGAGTTGTGGCTGCAGCTGCGAATCTGGCGTGTTGTGTTCAATCTGACCCGTTGAGTTGCAGGAGATGGTCCTGAACAGTCATTTTGCAGGTCCAGTTCCGATCGAGTCACCTTTTCGGGCGACGATGGAGGGGCAGCCAGCCAGCTCCGGGGTGGAAAATATTGTGGGACCCTAGCCTCTAATTTAGCGGGTCCCACCGTGACGGCTCGCTTAGTAATCATAATTATCTGGCTCATAGCCTCATTCGCTCCCCCCCTTTTCTATAAAGAATCACAGCAGGTTTGACTTATGCCGGTTGACGAATGACCAGGCGTCACAATTCGGCGCAGGCATTCGTTATATATTCATTAAGACTATTGCAGGTATCTACACAGTCTTGTCGCTTGACTTGGCCGTCGGACAATCACTGCACACTGCTACCACAGTGACGACCACCCAGCCAGCTCGAGTTGACGGGGGACAGGAAATGGTGCACGACTCGCTTCACTCTCCTCGAAGGCTATGCATGCTTTCTTGTTACTATGAGGTAGATTGTCCTCCATGAGCATGTATGACATTTCCCTGGGCTAGGACGCCCTGTATCTCCTCTTGCTCCTCTTGCTCCTCTTGCTCCTCTTGCTCCTCTTCGCCTTCAGGGATGGCCTCTTGGTGCACAGGCACTGACCCTTCCAATTCCACGGGCGGTGCAGTCGAGCCCAGCTCCGCTCTCCACGCACCGCCCCTGAAGTCTTTGTATACGTTCTGACCCTGATCCATCTCTGGCAAAGCTGGAATCGTGTCCTTTCTCCAGCGACGAATCCAGCTCATACGACTAAATCTATATCTTCTCTTGGCAGATTGCATGTCAGACTGGCTGCTGTCTCGTGGGGCCGCCTTCTTCCATCGTCGTGCTAGAGTGAGGTATCCCATGCCACCGAGGAGAAAGACGAAGAGTACTGCTCCGATGCTGGTTCCTGCTATCGCGCCCCGGGAGAGATGGCCACTGCTCTCTGCGGCTTCTTCAGAGGTACCCGTCTCTACTGGCAACCGCGAAGAGGATGCCGGCAGCGAGTTCGAGTTCGAGGCGTTGGCAGGCAGCGAATCCGAGGCGGTGGCCGTCGCTGGATAGGCTGGCAGACCCATGCCGACTCTCAAGGATGCCGCCAGCGACGCTGGGAAGGAGGATAGGTCATCTTCATGCCAGTATATTATAATGGAAGTCCCCACAGCCATCACTTTCGAGCTAAGTACTGTTGTTGAGTCGGTGGTTGTTGAGTTGGTGAAATCAGTGTCATCGCCAATGGAAGCGAAGCTCACCGTCAGCGGCGGATCGAAGGACGATATGCAAGACGCAACCTCGGCAACATAGGACACACCGAAAGCTATGATGGTCTGGTTTTCATAGTTCCAAGTGAAGCCACTGGGAGAAAGAGTCGCATCAGCTTTTATTCGGGCGAGTCGCAGGGTTTACCATACGTGCTACAACAGTCTCCCTGGTAGTAGGTGTCGGTGCTGCCATTGCCTTGGTCTGACACCCACTTGATAACTTGCTTGAGCTCCTGATCCGGCCCTCCTGTTAATGGGAGGGGAGGGGCATTCTCGCAATGGATTTAGGACTCGTTTCTCACATCTCAAGCTTCAGAAAAGAGCGCCTTTGTTGCGAGTTATTAGACGCAACTTCGTCACCAGTCTGCCTTTTTGACATGGTACAAAGATACATGCTGCTGCCACCATATTGGCCACCGGTGATGGGTTCCGAACCTAACGCAGTACGTAGCTCTTGTCACCTCTCGTGTCGCACTCGGCGCATCATACAATATGGTACAAGTACCCCTGAACTATCAGTAATCTTGAGTGCTTTTAGATGTTGGGCAACTTCGTGGCACCGCTGGCCAGGTTCATCGCCAGAGAAACCAACCCAGGCGCCCCCACTGGCACGGCCTACAGATGGAGATTTCTAGAAGCTGGTAGTCCCGACGAAGATGCAGAGCAACGAGTTCAGCCGCCCGCATAAGATCAGATCATGCTCTGGGGCTGTGTGTGCTCAGCTCTGTATAAAGGTGATCCTAGTCGTTTCGCTAAAGCAGCGCCACGTCCGCATCACAATCCTGTCTGCCTGTAGGTTGATGGCCTTGACCTAGATGCTGTCAACACCCTCGTTTCCTCGCAGTCGACCGCTGGTGCCAGTTTGCTACCCATAAGCGAGAGCGAAAGGCACTAAGTAGTTAAGTTATCCCTATCGCGTCTATTGTCCACCGGCTTCTCACCGTCCAGCGCTTAATAGACGCCAGCTCGCTCTAAGCTAGAGACCTCATTACGGCTGAACGATAATCCGCCTTCATGGCAGGCTGAGATTTAGGAGTCTTTATCATGGGAATCCGCGGGCCCTCCAATATTACCAACTCGGCTCCGACATTGATGCAAGAGTGCGGCACGGCACGACTAGCCAGGCTGGTGCTTATGGTTGCTAGGCAGTGCACGGATAAGAACAGTATCCATACGGGAGCTGCCTGCTGTAGTCCTAGCTGGACTTTGTGAGCTATTAGAGGCCCTCACTCTTTAATTCAACGCACCCCCTGTTTGTTCGTCTTTCATCAATTCTCGTGTGAAGTATCTTCGTGACTTAGTTATCCACTCGCCTACTCGAACCAGTTCAACCTCGTTCCGGACGGTCTCCATAAACGCTGCAGAGATTTCCCAGGGAAGGCATTGGGCGAAAGGTCGTACACAGGTGACTGCTTTTCAAGAGCACCGTCCACTCGTACGGAGTCTCGCAGTCCCAATTGTTGAAGTGCCCTGACTGAGTGCATAGTACACTACTAGTCCCGCTTGACTAGACCAACACACGCGGGCAGCTACATCTCGTTCTGGTCATCACCATCACAATGGCCAACGCCGTCTCTCACTTCTTCTCGAGCCTCATGCCCAGCTACAGGACGGCCTCAACACCGGCTCCGACGCATCTCAGCTCAGAAACCCGCACTGTTGGCTCCGCCTCACCAGCACCAACGGCTACGACTCCTGCCCGTGCTGAAGCTACCGCGGCATCCGCGCCCACCGGTTCGAGCGCGGCCAGTAGTAGCAGCACATCAGGCCCTGATGCCACCAGTCCCGAGGAGCTGCGAAACCTGAGGGCCCAGTTCTTGGACAAGCAGTTCGGCCAGCAGGGGAAGAGGAAGGGGGCGAAAGGCAAAGGCCTCGGGGTCCCGAAAAGTGACCCCACGCTCAAGTTCCAGTCGTAGGGCTGTTGGGTCAAGGAACCGAGGCTCTGGTGGTGGACTAGGGTTCATAGTCAATGGATCAAGTTCACGATTGTTTTACTTGCGCCTGCGTTGCAGTGATCATTTCCGGCAATCATTATGGTCAGGGACCGAGGTCTCAGCATCCCGACTGCGCGAGACAAAGGAGAGATCACGCGCCGGCTCAAAAACTCGATTGTTGACTTGGGTCAAAGGCTTGTTCACTGGCCTCGACGGCATCTCCTGACCAAACTTGTACAATGACCACGCGATTCAAAGTTGAAGCACCCAGAACCGTGTCGAGCACATGACCGTCCATCCCCTGATCGAGTGTCGGGACAAAGAGCTTGCGAGCACTGCCATCCTAGTAGACATAAAGTCAATGAAAGGGTAAGGAAGTCCCTTCAAGAGAACCAAGTTTAGCACAATGAAATCCACATGTGTCAAAGAGGCAGGGGCAAATTCCAAAGAGTGGCAAACCACACCAACCTCAAACGTATAAAGCCACCCGCCGCACTTCAACCCATCAAGAGATTTTTCCCTACCACCACCACACAGTAAAAAACCCACACTCATCCACCACCTGGACAGCCTCACAAGCAACTGATACCCAGTCTTACCATCTCATCTTCAACCAACCAACCCATAACCACCCCCTCACACTCACTCACACAATGGCCATCATCAACAATGAGAAACAGAGCATCCGGAAGCCCCAGCCTCACAACGGGGGCCTCTTCGACTTCAGCCCCGCGGGCCTCAGCAACGGCCTGGGCAGCGGCGGCAGCAACTCCGGCGGCAGCGGCTGCTCGGTCATGTAAAACAACCTGCCAAGGCGAGAAGCTCTAGCCACGCCGGCGCCCATCTCGAGTAGCCTCAGCCGTCAGATACAAGCACACGAGTCAGCGTCAGAAAAGTCTCCTAGAACCTCGTGGAGGACCAAGTTCAGTCAGGGGTCGGAAATCATGCAGGGTGGCGTTTGGAATAGCAACCTCTTCGACGTTGTGTTCACTTAGCATTTCCTTACACTGGGTCATTAATACGAGTCTTCTTGTCTGAAATGAACGTGTCTTATGCTGCATACAGTGATTCCGTCGCTGCACGAGTATCCTCATTGACAAGAACTAAGGCACAGAACAATAGCAAGCAAGTTACACAAGATATGAAAAATATTGGTCCAACTGGGACCAAACTCTGTGCGATTTGAAAACGCACGACACTCAGCCAACATATGAAGTCATGGCTTCAGTTTGGACGCTCTCGCAAAAGTTGGATCCATTCAGCTTAACGCGGGCTCCTCTGGGGTCGAAGCACCAGACTGTACGACATCAAGCAAAAGCCTCCATTGAGCCTTTGTTAAAGATGTGATTATATCATTAGTGTTGCGGCTCAGGAGGTATAGTCCTTACACTCGGTCCATCGTGCCTAGCTTCAATGATCGCCAGCTAATCTGCACTCGAACTACCATGAGCGGCAGAACTGGATCGATCGATAGCCCATACTTGTATGTTTTATCACCTCGGACGTGCTGTATAGGTTCTAGGTCGGTCGTGGGTAGCTGCCGTTGCCATCCATTCTCTCTCTCCCTCGATCTCACCGACTAGCCCCGATAGCTCATGGTAGTCATATTGACCACTGGAACAGGGAGCCGAGGTCGACGGCGTGAAGCTCTCACGAGTGGTCTATAAGAGTATGCGCCGGGACGTTGCGATGCGCGGGCCTCAAGACGTCCCCTTCGCCATTCTCCGGGCCATCGCGTGGTCATTGTATTCTGCTGTGTTCCCATATCCCTTCTCACACGGGCAAAGGCTGTGGGTTATTTCCGACCGACTTGTACAGCTCCCGCAGCTCGAATGCCTCGTGTCCGCCCTCGGGGACCTCGCCCACGATTCTGGCAGGCTGGCCGGCCACGATACTGAAGCTGGGGATGACCATGTTCGCGGGTATGACTGATCCGTCGAGGACTCGGACGTAATCCTTGATGATGGCGAATTCGCCGACGACGACTTTCTGGCCGATGTGGACGTGGCTTCCGACGGTGGCGGCCTGGACGACGGTGCCTTCGCCGATGAAAACATGATCGCCTAGTCGGAGGGGGAGATAGGTGAAAGATCTGACCAGATTCCAAGTCAGCAAGATAACGACCATAAGAGCTCGGGAGTCGGTCGGGTCGTGGTATAGCGTACCCCTTATAAATGCGGCCGGGCGGTCGCAAACAGCACCCCTTGCTAAGGAAGCAGTACCGCCCAATTGCCACAGCTGTATTGCTGCCAGGAGCAGCGCCCGAGCTCGAAGGCACTTGCGCAGTGCGAGCGAGGTCACCTCGGATCATTGCTTCAGCTTGGATTACCGTCTTGCCTCCGAGCATGATGTGCTGGGTGCCGATCAAGATGGCCTTGCGCGCGACCTTGTTTCCAGTGTCCTGCAGGGGACGCGTCAGTTGTCGGCAGAGGACTAGAGCCGTAGATCATGGTAGCAACCGACCGTCTCGATATACTCGCCCTTAACTTGCTTTCTCGACATCTTAACCCTATCAGCAGCAAACTGGGACGCTGGAGCTGGAAGGCTCGAGGGAGGGAGGCTCGAGGGAGGGAGGCTCGTAGGAGTGATTGCGACGATGCACATACCTAGGTAGCCTACTGTACTGTGCTACCTAGGTAGGTTTAGGGTGCGTGGGGCTCTTGCATGACGCGAGGTGAGCTGCGCGACGTCACCAGTTGTACAGTGGGTACAGAGCCGTATAAGTTGGTATAAAGACTGTGCAACTCCATCAATTTATCGTTCCATCAGCTCCGACTCTGCGATACTTCCACGTCAAAAGCTTCATAGTACCGCAATTAGTCAATCAATCAGCATGTCAATATAGCGTCGAGTTCACACTAACGTACAGCTCACGATCTGGTCACCAGTATGACTTCGTCCATGACTTTCTATACGACGACGAGACGTCGACATCCGGTGTCCTATTGTGCTCCTAGCCGATGGCTTAGCCTTTTTGGTCCAAACGCCTCGATGCCACAGCTCAAGTGACCTCATCCAATGCCAGGAATTCTAATCAATGGGGAGTACGCGATGGGACTCTTAATCTGGAAATGGAATGCTCTCAATGCGAATAGGTACATCCGGTCCTTTCGGGGGTATAGCAAATCCTCGAGGCTCGCTATAGCCGTCAACCCCGCATTCTCTGCTCGGCATCGACGTCGAGGAGCTTGCGTCTGCTCTTCTACTCATATGGCCAAGCGCACTTGCGCACTCTCAATTCCCCGCAGTGACTTGCGTGAAGTGTGTGGAGTATGTGAGCTAATGTGATAGCCTTCATCTCGTGTCGAGAGGGCTCTCTACTACCTATAGAGAAGTTGGTATATTGTTGTCGACCTTTGACGCTTCCTGGTTCCTTGAGATCGTCGAGCCTCTTCGACAGAGACACCTCACGGTCACACAAATACCTTGTGACGAAGTCCTGATCTCGATGACATCAGCACTGATTCTAATCACAGCATATGGGCGTTCCAAGCAATTGTCAGCTACTCAACTACTGCCAATCGTATGCTGGGTCTTCCCAAGCTTGCCAGAGTACGCAGCCACCTACCAACTTCATACGAGAGCATGAATCAGGAACATCGAGACTATGAGTTCATTATCGTGGGCGCCGGTGCCTCAGGATGCTCTGTAGCCAGTGCCCTCGCAAGAAGCAAGAGAAGGCCCTCGGTCCTTCTCCTCGAAGCCGGAGACTCCAATGAGGACCCGTCGGTACGAGTCCACGGTAATATGTACACGCAAAACACCAACAGCACACAGAACTGGGGCTATAAGAGCACGCCTCTACCCCAAGCCAACAACCGGCAGATTAGCCTCGATCGTGGCAAAGGCCTGGGAGGCTCAACAGCTATCAACTTTACTTTCTGGACCAGGGGACCTCGCGACGAATGGGACGAGCTCGCCCGGCTGACTGATGATGATGCGTGGAAGTGGGAAAACACGGAGCGTCGGTTCGGGCAGATCGAGGGCTACCGCCACCTCATTGAACCTGGGACAGGCGCCGAGCGCTACTGTACTCACGGGCCGGATGCGTATGGCACGTCTGGTCCTCTCCGTCTGTGTAGCCAGAGTACCAAGTGGTCAGGGGATCTTGCCGAGACAACGGATGTGTGGGAAAGTTGCGGGTATCCGATGAACACGGATTCATCCACTGGTAACCCCATCGGTCTTCAGGTGTGCCCCCTCACTGGCCATCTGGGTACTCGGTCGACGGCTGCAGATCTCCTACGGGATGCCCCGGGCAACTTGTACGTACGGACCGATTCCATCGTCCACCAAGTGATGTTCGAGGACAGCAGAGCTTCGGCTGTCAAATTGGCCAACGGAACGACAATCACAGCGACGAAGGAAATCATACTGTGTATCGGTGCGCTTGATACCCCTAAGATTCTCATGCAGTCGGGTATCGGCCCAGCGGAACAGTTGAGCAAGTTTAGAATTTCAGTCGTCCATTACAACGAACACATCGGCCGGAACCTAAGAGATCACTACTACGTTTTGATGTTATTTGCCGCCCGCGAGGACGCCTCCGAGGCTTTACACAATGCTCCCGCGACAGGAGGAGCTGCGATGGGGTTCTTCAAGGACGAAGGGGCGCTGTCGAGTTCGGAATTCCAGACCCTGACAGACAAAGAAAGGGGTCGCCTGGGTCTTCCAACTGGCCCGACCTGGGAGATAGCGCACGACGGGGCTCGTGTGCGCCCTGGCCTCGAGCATATGGGTCCAACGTCCCAGATCACCCTCTTCATCTTGAACAGCCAGGGCCTGGGTGACGTTAAGCTTCGATCGGCCAATCCCAGCGAGCCACCGCTGGTTCAGCCTGGGTTCCTCGAACATCCATGGGACAAGCGTATCGCTGTCGACTCTACGCGAGAGTGCCTTCGAGTTATGGAGCATCCGGCGTCATCGAAGCGTAGGGATCGGAGCATAGCGCATATATGTCCCAAAAGCAGCAGCGAGGAAGACATTCTGGAGTTTTGGAGAGACAACCTTACCAGCACCTGGCATATGATGGGGACATGTAAAATGGGCCGGGTTGAAGGGCAAGACGGAGCTTGCGCGGACACTGCCTTCAAGGTTTTTGGTGTTCAGGGGCTGAGAGTTGCCGACCTTAGCGTGCTGCCCTTACTTCCAAGGCAAGTGTCCCCTAAGTGACAGAAATGCTGACAATTTGCTAACCTGGTCTTTCACAGTGTACATACCCAGACATACGCCTACCAGATAGGAATGATCGCGGCTGAGAAGATCATCTCGGACTACGGATTGAGTACTTGATGAAGCACTTTAGAGCAAATGAGAACGGCGAAATAGAAGACCCGATTTGAGGTGCTACCAGACACGTAGCTGATAGGACCGGTGATACTCCTCAACCTTGGAGGTATGAGCTCATCATCATATGTAAGACGCGCCTATGGACAAGCATTCCTTGGCTACTACCTGGGCGCTGAAGGGCAGTCATCTGCATACGGCTTGAGCTCCTTCAAGGTCTTGAATATACCGCACAGTCAGTTTGATTGGTCTCCCTTTCCTCCCTTCCTTCTTGAGCCCGCTTTTGATGTCTCGCCCACAGCTTGCAGACAGTTGCCATTCCGAAACCTCGCCCGAGACACCTGGTATCACCACTGCAGGCAACATGCCCCCGCCCATAGCAGCAATTCGAGACAAAGGCGGATAGCTGCAGGGGTATGTAGATGCTTGCCCGAATAGGAAATAAGCTTAAGTGAGTTACTAGTGGACAGCTGGGCCCAAGCTCCGCACGCGTTCCTGACCCTTGGGATGACTGACCGCGATCCATGACATCAGACTGATTGCTTTGCCCATTTCAGCTCGCAGCCAGTTCATAAGGTATGGTCGGTCTTCCTGTTTCCCGTAGCATTTCAAGTTGAAGGACATTTTCGTCTATCTATCCGTCACCGTGTTTACCACGTTGTTCTTCACCTTGGAAATCAATCCGACTTGGCAACACTGTCCGCCTTCAGCTGGACATCACCAATCGCCGCCGAGCAGTGTAAGCTGTTGCTTGCCGATCACTCTGTCTCTTCGATGTAATTGGAGACTGACTTTGGGTCGCATACAGATCGCGTCGCATTCGCACCCAATCCCGCCATCACTGCTGTCTGAAACCAGCGCGAACATGCCGACTACTCGATCAGGCGACAAGGGCGCAGCTGGCGCAGGTGGTGAGAGTGCCGGTTCGAAGCACCAGATTACCAACAAGACCTCCCCAGCTTCCAAGCGCACTAAGAAGGACGGCGACAAGCAGCAGAAGACCATCGAGGAAACGCTACCAAGGTAAGAGAACAGGAATCCTTGCCTATTGACTTACTATGCTAATTGGCACGCAGTCCTACCGAAGCGTATGGCAGTGGCCACCAACCCGCAAAGCCCATGCAAGAGGCCAAGACCGACGAAGATCAGAAGGAACCGCAGCCTGAAGATCAGCCCGCCAACGACGGCGATGCTGAGCAGCCAGGTGCGCGTGACGGTGCCGTACCTTCCAGCATCCTCGAAAAGGGCCTGATCTACTTCTTCTTCCGTGGCCGCGTCGGCATTGACGAACCCAGCAGTGTCAACGAGATCGCTCGCAGCTACATGGTCCTGCGCCCCCTCGAGAAGGACGCCAAGCTCGGCGAAGGCACAATCAATGATGCTGGCAACAGTCGCCTGATTGCCATTCCTAAAAAGGTTCTGCCTCTCAGTGGCAGGGACCGATGGATTGCCTTTGTGGAGAAATCCGATGCTTCGTTCAAGACCCTGAAGGACGATTTCCTCTCTGCCAACGACTACACCACCAAGACTGCGGGAGTTCGGCATAGCCCTGGAGCCACCCCAGTTGCGGAGGGCATCTATGCTATCACGACAACTGGTCGCGAAAGTCACCTGGCGTACATGATCACCCTCCCTTCTGATCTGGGAGAGGTTCAGACAGAGATTGGCTTGCGGGAGAAGGGCAGTTTCATCCTCAGCACCAGAAACCCGTCTTACGAGGCGCCTGGCGGGACTGCTCTCCCAGAGGGCCCGGACTATCCCGAAGAGTGAGTTGCGATTCTTTTGACGTGGTGTCGACATGGGTCCGATGAGTATACTGGCTAATACCCAAATGACAGAGTCCTCGATGAGTTCCGAGCACTTCGCTGGATGCCGTCACAGCCCAAGCACCTCGATTATGTCAGCACTCAATTCCTTCTGGTTGGCGAATCCAGTGGTATTGAGAAGGCGACCGAACCTCAAAAAGAGGACAAGAAAGAGGGTAAAGAGGAACCCGTGGAAGAGATGCAGAAGCTCGAAGATGAAGATACCCACAGAATGGAGGCCCTGAAGGGCGATGATTCAACGACCATCTTCGCTGATCTGGATGCTCACGCGAAGGATTATCCCAAGCTCCCGACCACTTTTTGAGCATCTGCAAAAGGCCGTAGTAGCACATGGGGTTTCAGGAAAGGAAAAGACAAATGTCAGGTACAGGCGTTGTGAGGCGTCATGCATTGGTGCTTCCCTGGTCGCTGGGGTATCTGCTACAGTTAGTGGCAGCTATCACTAGGTACATTCGAGCAACGTGTCATACTGGGCATATGAATACCTTATTACTGACAGAGATGGTGCCAGTTATACACTGGTAGATAATTCATCAGCACAGGCTGCACTGTGATTATTCTACTCATCCGTCGTGTTGATGATCATGGATCTAGAGAAATGGGAGGCCACCAGTGGTCAAACTTGTTCGTTTCTTTGCGAACACTTACTAAGATGAAAGCCAATATCAATATAGCTACTGCCAGCCTCGAAAGCTACTCGGGACATTCGAATGTCGAGTGTTGAGTGCTCAGATGATGGACAAGAAGACGGCCACGACGGCGTCTTTGACTCCGCGTGTCAAAATCCTTTCGCTCCATCCTTCGTTGGAACTTCGTCGAATACGAGCGGGACGACCCCAATATCCGTGCCGTACACAGGACGGGAAGGATTCCAAGTACGACTTTGATTGCGACCTTGTCAGCAGAAAGTTCCGGCAGATAGGATGCCAAGCCCACCTGATTGGCAGTATGTACGGTCTTTGTCGTGCAGCGTCCGTTGCCGACATAGTTGTCTAGCAAAATGCTTAAAATAACTTCTACAGCACGAGGGCCAAGGATGGGAGGTGAGATCAAAGGGGCAGCTGATCAAAGGATGGGAGCTGATCATATGAGACTGATCTGACTGACGTAGCAAGGACCAGGGTTGTATCAACGACTCAGTCAGCCCGGTCCTGACTTATAAGCCGTAGGCATTGTCATATTATGCCCGTACCTTTCTAGACGGCGACTAACTTCAGTACTCCCTCAGCCAGCTCTTGACGGTTTCCTTCGTTACAGTACGGACGCAACTTGGCCAGCCACCACAACGTCTCACAGCGTCCGAGATGCGTTCGGCCGTGACACTCGCCGTGGTATGGGCGCGCGCAGCCCAGCTCACTGATGCCGCGTCTGTCTTGGCCCATTTCATGGTGTCCAACTCCTACGCCTACACGGCGGCACGGTGGAAGACGGACATCATAGCCGCGCAGCAGGTCGGCATTGATGGCTTCGCCCTGAACTGGAACCCGCCCGATTGCGAGTCGGGCACGGACTGGCTCCCCAGCCGCATCGACGACGCCTTCGCGGCGGCGAAGCCACTGGGCTTCAAGCTCGTGCACTCCTTCGACATGAGCTGGAGCAAGTGCAAAATATACTGGAACGAGACGTACATGGCGGGCGTCATCTCCAAGCATGCCGACAGCGCCGCTGCATACCGGTGGGATAATGCTTTGCTGGTGACCACGTACGGGGGCGACGCGGTCAACGAGTACGGCAACGGGTTCTTCGAGAATCTGAAGAGCGCCATGGGGTCTACATCTATCAAGCTGGCGCCAGCCTTGACCACGTACTCGTCAAATGCGCAGCGTGGTGATGCTGATGCTAAGAGCAGTGCCTCAAGCCTGCTAAGCGAGTACAGCTCGATCGATGGCTTTTTGAACTGGCAGGCATGGCCTCTCAATGTCAAGAAGAAGACTACGGCCGAAGTGGACAAGGACTTCCAGTCCGCACTGCGCAAGGCCGGCAAGAGCGGGCCTTATATCATGGGTAAGTAACCCTCTCGCACACAGCAAAACCTGGAGCTGACAGTATCACAGCCGTCTCGCCCTGGAGTTCAAGGACCTCAACGACGGCAAAACCGCGGACTCTTGGGTCGCCTACAGCGACTACCTCTTCCCGCAGCGCTTCGAGCTGCTCACCGGCCCAGACGCCGTAATCAACCCCGATATCATCGAGCTCATCACCTGGAACGACTGGGCCGAGTCGCACTACATCCGCGACCTGCCCTCGACGAGCGACAACTCGGCCTCGGCCTACGTCCAGCTCACCGACCTGGAACGCAGCTACGTCGACGGCATGAGCCACGCGCCCTGGCGCACGCTCGCGCACTATTATACTAGCTGGTGGAAGAACGGCGGCGCCGCTCCGTCGCCCACGATGGACCAGGTCGTCTTCTGGCACCGCGTGCACCCCGCGGCGGCGTGCAGCGGCGTCCGCAACAGCGACTTGCCCGCCGATGCCGTGTTTGCATGGGCGCTCGTCACGAATAAGGCGAATATCTCGGTCACGGTCGGCAGTAATCAGCGGACTTTTGAGGCTGATCCGGACGGCCCGGCTGTGGGCATGGCGCCGTTCCTGGCGGACTTGGGAGCGGGCGTCACCCCGGAGGTGGTGATCATGCGGGATGGCAGGACTGTGGCTACGGGGAAGAGTTCGCATGCTATTACGGCGAGTTGTCAGTCGCCGAATTTTAACGCGGTTGTTGATCTGGTTGGGGGTGGCGTGAACACGGAATCGTGATGGGTGCAGTTTGGAGCAGTGTCCTGGCTAGTCGTGGTTTGGGGTTTGTGCCCCTTCAGTTGTCATTTGACATTATACTGTTCGGATGGTTACTTGGCGTTTCTACTTCACTTCGTGTATTGTTGACACCTTTATGTAAAGGTTCGTTTCAATCTTCAAATATCGTTCATTGCGACCTGGACATCTCTGCTGTCCGTGGTTCAAGACCACTTCGGAAATCAATCGAGCCTCACCACGCATGATCCGCTTCGTCTGCCCCTATACAAGTGTATTGAAACACGTGCAGCAAGCATCGTTCCCATAGAGAAGATGTAGGATCTGTTCCCGAATTATATTGGAAGCGGTGTTGGCAGAACTCCGTCTATCCGTTTGATCCCCGAGTAGGAAGAATGTTTGACGTTGAATCGGTGATCTTCCAGCTACCCAGTCGACGTAAGATGACGCGAAAGACATCGGATTCGTAAGAGTGTTTTCAGCAATTGATAGTTCAGCGCGTGTTTTCAAGCTGACTGACCACCTGACCGTTAGACTGCTCCATCCATTGCCCATCGTACGATCCCATCATACGACTGCGATCGGGCAATCATATCTCAGCAAAACCTCACCACAAACGGTAAAAGACACGCATATGCCTCTGATAACACTCCAAAGAGGCTGATATGCATGCGCGATGTTCCCCTCGCTTCCTACTGACAAACTTCACACTCGGGCTCGCAACAGCAGTGCTATACATGTTCTACCACCGCATCATCGCCACCACCGCGCTCAACCTCTTGTCTAAGCCCAGCATCACCGTCACGTCTGCCTTCCAAATGTCAGTGCCCAGCAGCAACCCCGTCATCATCGTGGGCTCCGGCCTCGCCGGCCTCGCCGGCCTCGCCGGCGCGCACGAGGCCCTGAAGGCCGGCGTCCGCGTGCACATGCTCGAACGCGCCCCCAAGCCCGGCGGCAACAGCATCAAGGCCTCCTCGGGCATCAATGGCGCCGGCACGCGGTTCCAGCACGCCACCGACGACAGCTTCACCGACGACACGCTGCGCTCCGCCGGGGCTAGGCTGCAGGCGGGACCACCAGGCCTCGCGCGAAAAGAGCTGATCCAGGAGCTGACGGCGCGGTCGAAGGGCGCCGTTGACTGGCTCGTCGACGAGATCGGCGTCGATCTGAGCGTTGTCGCGCAGCTCGGGGGCCACTCGGTCGCGCGCACGCATCGCGGGCGGGGCAATCCGCCGCCGGGCGCGGCGATCGTGACGGCGCTGTTGAAGCAGTTCAATGAAAACGCGGGGTTTACATTGAGTACGTCTGCGGACGTGGAGGCGCTGCTGACGACGGGCGACGCCGGCGGCGGTGCGGTGGGCGGCGTGCGGTATTCAGCTGACGGCCAGACGCATGAGCTGCAGGGACCGGTCGTGTTCGCCGCGGGCGGGTTTGCCGGGGATGCACACGGGCTGTTGGCGAAGCACCGGCCGGATCTGGAGGGCATGCCGTCGACGAACGAGGCGAAGCCGGGGTCTCACGCTTTGCTCGCCCAGGTCGGCGCCGAGTTCGTCGATATGGAGTGTGTGCAGATCCACCCGACTGGATTCGTGGACCCCAAAGACGCGGGCGCGGGCTACAAGTTCCTCGCGGCCGAGGCGCTTCGGGGAGAGGGTGGCATCTTGCTCTCGAGTGCAGGGGAGCGGTTTGTTAATGAGATGGATAGGAGGGATGTTGTGAGCGAGGCCATCATGGCGCTTCCGCGCTCGGGGCTCGACTCGGTGCGGCAGTGGGGTATCACTTTGCTTCTTGACCCAGGGGCTTGCGAGGCGACGGCTTCGCATTTGTCGTTTTATCTGTGGAAGGGGCTGATGGAGAAGAGAAAGGTCAAGGACCTGCCACCCACGGTCATTGCATCGGTGGACAAGTACGCGGAGACTGTAGCGTCAGGCTCGGATGCTGCGTTTGGGAGGAGGACGTTTGGGCACTGGAGATTGCCGGCTGGGGAAGCGAATAGAGAACAGGAGGTGTGCGTGGGAACCGTGACGCCCGTGATTCATTTCACCATGGGAGGTGTCGCTTTCAACACTGCTACGCAGGTGCTCCGCAAGAAAGAGGACGCATTGGCTCCTATTGACGGTCTGTGGGCTGCTGGTGAGATCACGGGCGGCATACATGGTGCCAATAGGCTTGGTGGCTCGTCCTTGCTGGAATGCGCTGTCTTTGGGAGGATTGCTGGCGCTGAGGCTGCGAGGAGTGTATTGTAGACAGGACAACGATAGGAGAGGAGTTCTGGCTCTGGGTCGAGCGCCATAGGAGCCGTGGTGCATAGAGAAAAGCATGTGCTTTGCCCCTTGGCCGATCTTCAGCTATCAAGTTAGGAGTTTGGCTGGGGCGGCACATCTGTAAAACCATAGCGCAGGTTTCCCAAGGGGGGCTCATGGAGAACAGAAATCTCCAGTAGAACAAAAGGGTAAAACTCCCCTTGATTTTGATTTTCAGTGTGAATACAAACCATGAAAGTGTGGCCTATCGATCCTTTAGTCCCTCAAAATTTGAGGCTAGAGATGCCAGAAAAGTTACCACAGGTTCGTACAATATCTACCTACCTTGGGAAGAATAATAACTAACATGAGATGAAGGAATAACTGGCTTGTGGCGGCCAAGCGTTCATAGCGACGTCACGGTCGATACCTAGGTACCTACGCGATCAAGTCTCACAGCATCTCCAGATAGCACACGTCATCAAGGCTTCACCATACACACTCACGTCTTTAATCATGTAAAGTTGCTGGAATACTGAATGCGTAACCTAATGAGACCTGCTTGTACGCCCTTTCCCAACCCGAACGCCCAGCGTCGAGATCCTACCCCCAAAAGCATCCACTGGAGCAGCCAATAAAGCACCCACTTTAAGTCTCACCACAAACCCGGTGGCCTACGGTCCATAAACCGACAGATTCAGACGTTCCCCTAAATGTGAACGAAGCTATGAGATTGGGCTCATGCAGTTGCTGAGCGTGCCGATGCCGCTCAGAGTCCTTGACAATGCCATGACACTCGCAGTCCTAGACCCGATGCCGGGACTGATCCCGCTCGCCTTATCCAGTGTCTCCTTGCAAAGCCGCAAGAACACGGCACCCAGCTCAGGGCGGTGAAGCGGAATCAAGCTGAAGAACAGGCTGGCCGTGATGCGATACAGGGTCTTACGGTGCAGGCGCACCTTGTAGGAGCCCTCCAAGTACTCGAAGAAGACGCCCCGCAGCGTCTCGAGAAGGTCCGCGTCGGGCTGGTCCAGGAGGGGCGTTGCTCCTTCGCCGTCGTAGCCCGAGAGATCGCATTTATTCGCCGACATGAACAGGATGTGGTCGTACCCGCACAGGGACTGCAGAACCTTGGCCAGGTCATAGTGGATGTCGCCCTCGGGCGTGAGCGTGTTCTCCAGCTGGCACCTCACGTCGATAAAGCTGACCAGCTTCTCGTCCTTGGACAGGATGGCGTTGCTGAAGACGGGATCTCCGTGGATGACCTGGGCGTGGACGCCCTTGTCTTCGGCCTCGTAGGTGTCAAGGAACTCGTTGAGACGGCTGAACAACGATGCTGCCACGGGGCCGAGAGCGTCGTATCGCTCGCGGTGCGTATCATAGCGCGATCGCAGCTTCGCGCCGTAGTTGGCGTAGATGTTCACGTGGTGGTCGGCCCGCTCCAAGGAGTGGGCGTCGAACTTTGCCGCAAGTGCGCTTGACACATTCAAGGATGGTTCTGAATTGCTTTGAGCTGAATGTATGGTGTGCAGTGCCTTGAGTAGGGAGACTAGGCGACCCTTCGTTATAGATCGGCCCACGAGAAGGTGTGAGAAGGTCTGGCCTTTGCGGTTCTCCATTGTGATGGTGAAGTTCTTTGTGTCTGGGATGTAATCGACATTGTAGACCGACGGGAAGACATGCGACAGCTCCTGAGGCATGTGGGCGTAGAAGTAGAGTTCGCCCAGGATATTCTCCGACTTGCTGGACTTGACGACCTTGTCGCCAATCATTTGGATGGTGTTGAAATCACGAGCTGGAATCATGCCGGCCTTCTTAGTAGAAGCATCTGACTGTTCCGGGATGACCGCCATATTCGAGTCCTCGAGGAGCCAGCCAATCTCTCGCATGGTGTCGAGGTTCGAGTTGACGGCCAAGTCGTCCACGTAGACATCCGCATATGGCTTTCCGAAGTGAACATCGTGGAACGGGATCTTGTATCTGTCGAGCTGTCTGAGGGTGAGCTGCCCGACGTCCGCTATAACGGCTCCAACGTTGCCGTGATGGGTACGCATTCTCCGGGCGGTTTGCTATGTGACGAGTCAATTCGCTGCTCACTCCGGGTTGGTTTAGTGGGCTTACGATGATGATGTAGTGACCTGCTTTGTGAAGCTGCTGGACCAGCCTGATATTCTTCTCTATGGGAGGGCACGTGGAATAATCGCCTGGGACCGCCGGCACTCCCACCAGTGTCATGTCCAGATCAAAGCAGAATCTGCGCTTGTTGTTGAGCTTGGGCTCCTCGGAGGACTTGAGGCTCATGAGCAGCTCTTGCAACTGCTCAGGCGTCCCAACACAATCGAAGTCCTTCTTCTCGATGCCCAGACCAAGGAAGGTCACGTCGTTATGAATCATAAGCAGAATGAGATGCGAAGTGTAAAACTCGCCAACTTCAGTATCATCCTGAACAATGTAGTCTAGGTTCTGGGCGGCCCAGGTCCTCAACTTCGAGGCGCTTGGGAAGACGTAGGCTCCCGTGTTCGCTTTCCGAGATATGGCCTTCTTCTCTTGGATGTCGACAATTCTCTCAAGCCCAGCCCTACCACTGTCAGCGAAACGATTCACAACATGACAAAATGGCTCTCCTCACTCCTGCTCCGTTTTCAAGTAGCTGAATATAGGATTGTCCCCAGCATCTCGGAAGTAAAAGCAACCACCGCAACCAGACGGCAGTGCCCGGATCCTGCCGAGTATATCTGCCCAGTATATGGTATCACAATCAAGCGAGACCGTTTTCCTGGTAAGGTGTTCTCTTGTCATGCTTTGAGAGACGACATACAGCTGATTTAAGCATTAGTAGGGACAAGGAAGAAAATACATCGTCGGGGGCAACTGACAGTTTCGCTGGCCCCTTTGGTCTGGTGCCGTAGTTTGACGAGTCTGATGTCGAGCTTGGGGAAGGCCTTGCTGACCAGTTGACCAACACGGAAGACTTCATCCACGTCCTCATTGATGGCCATCCACACGGTATCGTCTTTTCTTAACTGAAGGTTGTCAATCAGCCATAAAATGATCGGCCTTCCAACGATATTGATGAGCGGCTTGGGATAACGATAGCCTTGTTTGGCGAACCTTGAGCCGATGCCGCCGATGGGAAGAATAACATTCACAGCCTCGTCTACCATCGGGGTGTCATTCACAGCCCCATCCGTCATTGGGGTGTCATCCTTCTCGTCTGATGGTCCCGAACGAAGACCCATAACGAGGACGTTTCGAGTGTTTGGCTGGATAGGGGTACTTGGAGAGGATCGTTGTAGGAAGACTGGAAGTGCAGTTGTTACCCGGCAGAGGGCTCATGAATAAGTCGCCCCTCAAGGACACGGTGACCCGTTCTTGTAAGGGCAGCGAAGCAGCATCGCGCCATGAGCATCAGTCGCTGGAATCCAGACATGGCTTCCGTTCTGTTTCAGGGGTATTGAGACCTTGGCAATCCCATCCGTCCAGGCCACTCCACACATTTCAGAAAATCAGCAGTGGTGCCTCAATGAACTGCTCTCTCATAAGTCCACGAACAAGATGCTCCGCTGATTGGGCTTAGTATTTCTTGCCTCCTCTTTAAGCTTCGTCGAGCTCATGCATGAAATACGACACCGGGCTAGCGTCTTCGGCTTCAGAATCAACGTGTCCGTCCAATCAATCTACTCCAGGAACTTGCGGTCTGCAGGCGGAAACTCATTGCAGGCTTATCCTTTCCTCCCTGCGTGCCATCCCCGAATCAGCGATGCATTTCATCGACGCCACGTTCTTGTATACGCGTTTGAGACACTCCGAAGTCGCGCTTTCGCATTCCCTTGGTGAGGGGCGATAACGCGACCGGAGGGAACGCGAGGAACAATCAGGGCTCCCAGACATCTCCCATTCTAAAGTCTCCGTTTCATTTAGCAGTCACTCCATCCGCTGAACCCCCCCTTTTCTCTCTTCTCGTGAAGACATCGAATATCCAACAGGTTTTCTTCACAGCAGCAAGATGTGGGAGTTCGGCCATCAGTCGGCCGGGTTCGTGGCCGCTCTTGCCCTCATCGCCATTCAAGTGGGCATAGGTGTTTTGATGAAGGTAGCCCAGAACGGTGGGAAATACAGTTTCTCCGGGCCCGGATCCATCGCGATATCCGAATTCCTCAAGCTTGCCATAGCCCTCAGCCTATATTCCGTTCAACTACGCAGACGAAGAAGATCCCAGCTCGGGTCAAGCGCATACGTTTCAGTCCCGTCTTCGGATTCGGTAACCTCGGATGACGATAAGTCTCCCGAGGATGAACGAAGGTTCGCCGGAACCCTCAGGAGCTTGGCCCAGGAGATCCCGTTTGATGCACGTTGTGGGTTTTGGAACTTGGCCCTCTTCTATGCTCTGATCAACAATACCGTAAGAATCATCGTACTTCTAGAGGTAGTATCTTGGCTTACTCTATCCCCAGATCTTCATTGCATACGAAGTTGCCGATCCGGGTACGATTAGTCTCGTACGGTCCACCGTCACTGGCTTAACGGCTGCTCTGTCAGTTGTCTGTCTGAAAAAGAAGATCTCGGAGGTTCAATGGCTGGCAGTAGCGTTTCAGCTCTGTGGCCTGGCCGTCACGCAGTATTCCACGAACTCTGGTGCCGTCTACAGCCTTCCAGTCTATGCGTTACTCTTCTTCCAAGTAGTCTTGTCGGCTGCCTCGGGGATATTCAACGAGTCTCTGGTGAAGGACAAAGCAGCGTCTCTGCATGCGCAGAATGCCGTGTTGTACTTTGCAGGCTTCCTCGTCAACCTAACGATACACTTCGCGACACGTCTGTTTAGCCCTGAAGAGCCTAATCTCGTGACCGGATACGGCGATATTCGATCAATCCTGGTCATCGCCAGCAATGTCCTTATCGGACTAGCGATCACGGCGGTATACAAATGTGAGATACTTACAATCAAGACTTTGGCTGCCGACAGTGCTGATTTCTTTCCTCTATCATTAGACGCAGATGTCGTCATCAAGTGTCTCGCGACAGGCATCACGACGGCTTTATTGGTGTACTTCTCGTCGCTTCTCTTTGGGCTACCCTTGACACCAGTTGCCATCGTGGGTACCATCATTATCTTCCTCTCGTCCTGGACTTATATGCGCGAACCTGTCAAGGGTGTCCTGGGGCCCACGCAAGGTTCGATGCAGTCGCCGGCCTCGTTGACCCTTCACAAGAGCTTCTATCAGGTGAGTTCCCGAGCGCAAAGAACTGCCCACCAGCTATAGTAACAACAGATTTGACAGAGATATTCCAACTATGCTCCCATTGCCTTCACCATCTTCACGGTCTTGATCTCGGTGCAGGCCAGGCTGTACGTAAACTACCTTGCCGCGGACAAGTCGTCCAAAGAGCCGGAGGAGGATGCCGCGATGATACGTCTCGACTCGCCATTCAACAGAACATTGGGCTTCGTTCGCTGGAATTCCCCTCACTATGAACGTATGCCACTGATAGACAAATACCGGCCCTTCTTCCACACCCTCCACTATAGCGGGCCAGACATCTCGGATAGCGATGACATTGGTCAGGACTTGACTACCGATGCCTTTACCGGGACCCATGAGATCTACCTACAGGTCGCCGAGACGATGCAGATGATCTTGGACGGTGAGGCGTGGCCCGGCTTCCACCAAAACAGCACGAAACACGGAAACTCCACGAGCAAATTGAACACCTCGGACATAGAGGGCCTGCTCTACTACCACTTCGACGCATGGGTGCACCCGTTCGACTTCGCAGGCGAGGACATGACCAACATGTGGTTCAACGACGTGTCGCGATGGGCCAGCCCCAGTTTCGAATGCATGACCGAGATCGAGCAGTCCGGCTGGCAACCTCTGCACGACGGACGGGCACTCCATGTCCAGGCCCTAGCCACCGTGCAGAAGTTGGTAGCCGCCAACGCCCCCTACGTGATCGACCCCCACGAGTTCTGCACCGGGTGGTCCGACTTCTACTACATCCCCCGGACGCTTTTCGAGGACTACATCTACCTGGCGCTCGCGTTCCACGAGCGGCGGACGTTCCACGAGGTCGTCATCCCCACTATCATCCACATCATCGACCAGAGCCGGCGTCGCATCCCTGGGCGCAGCATCATCAGCCGGTTCCCTGCGTGGGGCTCGTGCTGTGCGCCCGAGCAGCCGAGCGTCCGCGACGTCATGTTCAACCGCATGGGACACAGGATGCACTACGATTCTGAGGACCAGCTCCCGATCGAGACATTTTATGCGAAACTCGACAGCGATGGCGCGATGGTCGGCAAGGAGATTCTCGAGCCCCGTTGGGTCAAGGAGAAGGCCGCTCGGGGAGGCAACCGACGCGGTGCAAGTAATGTGACGGTCATCCAGGAGTCGAACGAGCGGGACCAGAAGATTCCAGAGAGCGAGAAACAGGTACCATTTTGGTGATTATGGATCTGCTGTGTCAGTTGGGGAGGACATGGACGTTGGGGGAAGCAATAAGGGGTTAGAATCTGGGAGGAGTTGGGTATTCATAACATTCCATGTTACTGTCAATTATAGAACTCCTTGCTCTCATATAGCGTCGTGTATGTACCAACATGATGATTACCAAAGTAACGAGAGACGGGGACTGGTGTATCGATAGATGGCAGCATGTCCACCAATGTGAGCTGGTTTTACCTTAAGCCAGCCGGAAGCCGATAGCCGATAGCCGATCCACTCTTGACCGACTAGAACCGTCCATAGTGTTGACTGCAGGTGAGGTCCGACGAGAAGGTCTCAAGTAGGTGTTAGACCAGAAGCTTGTAAGACAATTATAGGTGGGGGAGCATGGCTGCCATTTCTCATTGGGGGTGAATTACTCTAGTAACATCAAATCTACTTGCATAAACCCGATCGTGAGCATGTGCGGTAGCAGGTGACATCTCCTATGAGCTTTAGCCAGTGCTTGGTCTCCGCTGTGGTTGCCCATCATGATCTCCTGACAGGCAGCCGAGTCTCCTTTGTGTTTCGTTCTGCTCTCGGGATGATGTGACGCAACACTCAAGATAACTGGCTCAGCCACATCAGAATGGTCTGTCTCTCCCTTGTAATACCCCTATCTCCAGGCAACAACTCCAAAGCCTCGTCCACCAGCGCCAACGCTCTTCCAGCGGATTCGCTCTTTCTCTGCAGGCGCAGAGCGAGGGCCTGTCTGTATCGCAACTTGGCTTTCTGCGTAGCCGAAGGCGACCACTGGAAGTCTTTTGCCCGGTGTCCCTCTTGTATAGAGTCGCTGGCGTCATTCAGCGTGACCTCGGGCATGAAGTCCATGACTATTTATCCTTGTATGTCTTTCATGACGCCGATGAGCTGGACATGAGCAACGTTCAGCTGAATCAAGTAAAGTTCCGCCAGACTTGAAAGGAACGATCGACCACCCTTCACGACAAGCCCTTCCCACGAGCTGCTGACACGCATGCGACCGATGTCCATGGCCTCGTCGGTCCAGACCCCCACAGCAGTTTGGAATTGGCGCTCACGGAAGAGGCGCAAGCCATGTTCTTTGACCGCAGTGGCTTTGTCGATGACGTAGTTAAGTCAGGCCATTCTTCCTAACCCATCTGGTCGCGAACGGCATTGGCAAGCTCGCGAGAGACGTGACCATGTACTTGTACGGCCTTCAGACCACGGAGTCGTCGGAATGGGGACAGTACCGTTTCTTGCATCTTTTCGGTCAAGAAGGCCCCGATCGACTTTTGAGACATCGGTAGAAGCTGAGCGAGTTTGGGGGCCACGGTAATTGACATGACGAGCAGCTTGCTACAGCCCGGTATGTGTATATCGGCATCCGCCACGGCGCGACAGAAGCCATCCAGGTCTCGGCTGAGAATGATGAGGCTACAAGGAGCGAATAAGGGGTGGTCGCTCACGCTCAAGGCTCTGGGCGAATCTCGATTGGCGCAGAGCGAAACAGAGAGAATGTATCCTCTGAAGCGATCGGCAGCGGCTGCGTTCTGAGTGACTATTGGGACGCAAGACGCCATGAGGCCTATTCCGAGTGGCAAGCCACCCACGCACTTGACGTGGACGAAGCCATTCTCCCTGACCATGACATCGTAGGCCTCGCGGTGGATCTGCTGGTTGGTGCAGAGGACGGCTGGCTCAATGGAATGCTTGGCGGTACGGAGCTTCTCAAAGTCGGACGTGCCCTGGACGGCAACACGTGTAGGCGCGTGCTCGAAGTTGCATAACAGCATGCGGTAGACTGCGTTGCGTATCTTGACAGGTAGGTCCAGGAAACGGAACGGTCGCGAGTCGGTAGAAGTCATGGTGCTTGCTGTAGAGCTGCCTCGCCGGTTGGCTTTTCCGTCGATGGAATGAACCAAATTGGTCGGATGAAGAGGAGAAGAAAGAGAGGAGGGAGGAGGAGGAGAAGGTGTAGGAGGAGCGGGCACTTGCATATAGTTACTGAATGACTGGGGCGTGAGCCAAAGGTTTTCACACCACGCAAACAGACACCCGCGGTGGTCGTTGCGGAGGTGACGCAGCGCCGCGAAGCCACGCGAAGCCACGTGATGAAATGCACATGAGGAAAGTACCAAAATTCGTATGCTTCACCCTAGAAGCTACCTATTCACCTGGTAATCTTATACTAGCCTTGTATGTCATCTACCTCATCCATGTGACTCTGATCACCATGTTTGCTGGCGCACTCAGGTACTAAAGCACGCCCCACCCCGCCCCCGGGCGGGTTGACTTCCAAGGGAAGATAGGTCACCACAACAACCGGATATGTACTTGGCTATACGAGAATTTCTGTCATGACTGTTCCTGATGAATCGCAGTTGGGCATGAGATATGGTACATTTGACCCCTGGCATCTACAGAGCTCCTTGGCCGGCCATGCTTTCGGGCGATACAGTCAGTATACGGATCTATCCAACGTACCGACCAAGTGGAGCTCGGGCGCATCCACATGATTCTCTCGGCTCTTTGCACAAACAGAGCCTCTTGGTTCTGGGACACCGAAGTAGGCATTCTACTGTCCAGCAGTCGCTGGCTGGCAGTTGACAAGCGAGGCTCACTGGCTGGGCAATACCCAGGTAGCTGGCGTGCTCGTCCAATCATGGCTATCTCTGTCTCGTTAACCTATCCAAGGATGCTAGCTAGTATTCTGTCTTTCGAGCTCTTGTTATATCCTCCATTGTCGTGGCATGCGACATGAGGGCGGTTGATGTGATATATCTGATCGACTCCTTTTCTTTTGGTATTTACCCACTGACCTGTGCGTCCATGAAGAATGCAACCCTGGAGACGCTCATACTCTCCATGATCTCTCGGAGTCTAAGTGGCCCATTACTCATCCGATCTTTAGTGCTAACATCACTTAGCGTGGGATGCAGACAAGTATGGCACCTGCAGCAGCACTCGCCATGACATGCGTCTTGCGTGTGTATGCTCGCCGTTTCCTCTACTTTTGCCTGAAGTTGATATTAATCGGCTTGAAATACTCCTTTATTAAAAAAGCAACACTCTAAAGAATTGGCATAGTAAGATCGTACGGTATAATATAATCAAAGCCTGTGGAACTAGGGGCATCATTTACATGGTTTACTCGTCCTTACACCACTCGTAAATCTGAGGCCTTCCTAACGTTGTCCTTTTCTTCACACTTGGCAAGAGGCTCAGTATAGAACCTAGAATGAATCACTTAGGAAGACGGGATATTCCAGTAACGATGGCAGCCGATGAAGTAAGCACTTCGCGGCCATTGTGTTTTACTTTCAACATTGTATTATGAATGTAATCCAGCTGTGTTGCCACGGTTCCTGGGTCAAAGATTCTGCCGGGAAAGCTAGCCCTAAATTTCAAATCATCACAGTGAATAATTCTCCCACTGCACTGCAAATGGTTCTGCTTTGCCGTTTCTTCTTTCCCACACCAGAGTCCAGAACTCGCTCTTTGGATCGGCCGAACTCTTTCTTCGCAACGACCACTCGCTCTATGCAGCCGAAATCATGGAGTACAAGCTTAACAACCGTGTTGCCATTCGGCAGTGCCACGACCCTATCAAGTCACTTGGCTTGTTCGCAACCGAGCCCATCGCCAAGGGCTCTCGAGCTCTCCAAGAGCCGGCGCTAATAATGCACAATACCCGAGGCCAAGCCATGACGGAGGCCCAGGACATAATCGAGTCCCTGCCCATGGAGCATAAGAACCTGGTCTTGAAGATGTACGCTGGCCCGTCTGATGTGGCCCCCCTGCTTCCCGTGGGTCATGCACGAGACCATATCCATCCCTCTTCGAAACGAGTTGAGAACATCATACGATATAATGCCTTCGAGGGTTTCAGAACTGGATGCATGGTCTGCGCTGCTGGGGCCTTCATGAATCACTCGTAAGTTAACGAGGTCCTATGGCGTGTCTAACAACTAGTTATCTCAACGAAGTCTAACAAAAACCACTAGATGCAACCCGAACAGTTACCTCTACTGGAATGATCATGCTCAGTGCGTGACGATCCAAGCACTGCGGCCGATTGCGCGAGACGAGGAGCTCACATTCAACTACATCGGCGACCAAAGTATATACCTCACGACGAGCAAGCAGGGTCAGCGATTACAGGTCAACTAGAACTTCACCTGCCGCTGTGACCTCTGCGAGTCTGAGGTTGCCAATGATTCCGATCGGCGTCGACTACGATTGGCCGATCTTCGACAGCAGGTCACCGACTACCACCGTCGTCTGCTGCCGGGGCTGGACGGCCCAGACCGCACGATCCGGTCAGAGGATCATGACGAGGCCATGGGGCTCCTATATGAGATCGCCGAGCTGATAGGAGAGGAGGTGAGTTCATAACCTTTTTACTTCCAGCGGATTCCTCCTCGCTCTCTCCTCACTCCCTCGGTGCAACGTTATCTAGAGTTGGTGCTAACTTTGCATATCCGAATAGGGTCAGCACAACCTAGAGTTGGCACTCACGCGCGTCGAACAGGCGCATCTACAACAGCGTCTGGGAGACTACTACGGCCATCGGGAAAAGCTGCGCGGAGCTTTGGTCATCCGGCAGTTATGCCCGGGGGCTGACCACCCCAGTTGTGATGCTTTAGTGTTGGAAATGCACAATTAGGCTGGGCCGCTCGGCCTATGCCAGCGTCTTGGGAGATCGGCCGGTGCAAAAAGCTGCACGAAGCAATAGCAGGCCGGCAATTATGCCTCGGAGATAACCCTACCTGTGAAACTAGTCAGAGAGATCTATCTAGGTCGATTGACAGCGGAAAACTTAGCAGTCGCATGTGTGCAGAAGTCACAACCTGCTCGTGCTTGGGTTGTGTTTGGAGGACTTGGACATCTGGAAGGACTGCTGGCCAGGGGTCGCCTGCCTTCCGTTATGTCTTTCGATCCGTCAGCTCCCATAGTAGCTCTATCAAGGTTGGGAGATTTGGTACGGAGTCAGTCAGTTTGATACCTGTAGTCCACAACGCTGATAGACGCGATCTTCTTGGCATCTTCTCGAAATACCCCCTCGGTCCCGGGCTTGGGCAACCAATGACATGCCCAAACAGCTCACTTCGTCAATGTTACTGTAAAGAGGCAAGATACCCGCCAAGACTTGCCACGGGTAGGATAACCTTTGGGGTATTGATGTTCTCGTCGTAGGATTGATGAGGGTCTGCGGTGCTGTGTGTGACTATCTTTGGTAGTTATATTCGATCTTCCACCAAAGTGATGTATCTCGAAACAGTGACCAGTCGAACGTGGCACGCCCACCTCTCAAAGCAATCCGGCTTCTCTCTCAGCGACTCCGGCGGAGGGGCGGAGACGATCCTGACCCGACCTTGTCATCATAACATGATAGACCAACCACGCTTCAGTACATATGGTCATCGCACGTGACTACCTCGCAACGGTCGTCGACATGAATAAAAACAGATGATAGCCCCTGAGGATGTCATACACTTGTTGCCACTATGAAATCCTCATGAGTTCGCAGCGTTCTCCATCATACGCCTCGCCCTGCATGATCCCCCTGACATAGTAGTCCCCTTGCAAGGTCCAAGCCTCGCCCTTGGGCCTCAGAACGAGTGGTACGTTTCCACCTTTGACCACTACGACCTCTTCTCCTGCCTCTGCCAAAGCAGCTGCTAACCCTATATAACCCCTCTCTGTCCGGAAGACCCGGCGATCAGCGAGCGAAGACATATGGATTCGAAAATACAATGTTAATTGATCTGTGGTGTTGTGGAACAGAGCAGTATGCATTGCCGTGACCGCCTGTTGGACAAGTGTGTCGGGTGGCTTCCTTTCGGAAAAGGAGCCAAGCCATCTCGCTATCGATGCGTAACTCTCCAGGATATCCAACTGCGCCCGCAGTGTTTCGATTGACTCCGATGTCGATTCGGTCACCAATGTCTGCGCAAACGCGTCCCTGATTGGCTCCCCAGTGATATAGGGCTCCTCCTGCTTGACCTCTGCGACTCGAAGCCAGTTGTCGAGAACATAGGAGCATTTTGGTATACGAACCTCCCGGAAATTTGTCCGGGGTACTTCCTCGACCTTCAATACCGAACCGACAGCCTGGATCCGGTCAACGATATGTCCCTCGACTGCCAGGGACGAGGTGGCGTCGTCAAATCGGATTTGCGCCTTCGACGCTCGGGTAGCTGCGAAGCCTAGGTCGTTGATATCGGAGTAATTTAAGAGTCCCAGACACGCGGTCAGGCGTGTGTTCGTCCAATCGGGCACCCATGACGGTAGGTGTTGGGGACCAATCCCAACGAACCGCCTAGGAACTGACAAGAGATGAAGAGTCCTCGACTCCTTGAGGATCTCTTCGGCTATCGTGCAATAGAGCTGCAACGTCCCAATGTTGTAGTCGGCTTGCAGGGCCTGGATATCGGCAAGCTTGCCTCGTGCCAGGCTGCTCAGACCAAATATCTTGTCCCTGGGGTCCGTGGAGTCGAATATCCGATAGCGGAACAGCACGCTCAGCAGGCCCAGCTTCATACCTTGAGCCCATTCCTCGCGCGCTTTCTGTAGGATAAAGATGTACGCGTTGCGCTCGTGGTCGGCCAAGTGCAGATTGAGGTGATCCTGCGCTGTAATCGCATCCATTAGATCCTTCCAGTCCATCACGGTATTTCCACAGAGTATGGTGGCCTCCGCCGCGAGGGCGAGTTCCTGGATGACCCAGACCCGCGTGAACCAAGTCCGGCGGATGACTCTGTAGAAGGCTTCAAGTCTTGTAAATTGCGACGGGTCTCTGAATTTGCCGAAGAGCCTGCTCGCGCGACCATCCGAGAAGCTGATGGTCTTGAGATCTCCTCTCTCTGCCGCGTACTGGCGGCAGGCCTGTGCTATCTCGCGAGCTGCCTCCAGGCCTTCGTCACTCCCATCATGAGCCTCGCCCAGCCAGATGAGTACACGGCTCGCTTTTGGGTAGATCTCCCTCATCCTGCGAACCTGCCGTCCCCGCTCGTCATTGTCGCGCTGGTTAATGCAGATTGCATCAGCCCAGATACGCCTGGGCTCTGACCCAAGCGGACGGATGTGATGCAGTGCTGCATGGAGGTCGGCCGTCACCTGGAGTCGCCGCCCGTTGCAGAAGATATCGGCCTTGTCCTCCGGGTTGCCCCAGACGTAGGACAGTGCCTCGTAGTCGGGTGACTTGCCCAACGCCACGTGCTCCAATGTGCACTGGATCGCCTGGTCGGAGGCGCCTGGGAAGATCGTCACTACTCGAAACCGATCGCAACCTGGCTCGTCTTCAAACGGCACATAGCAGTACGAGTCCATTGCTCCTGTTGATACGTTACCCCGGACGTCTGGTGAATTGCATGTCCAGCGCCAGTTTTGCTGCGATCTCCCAAGTATCCCTGTAGATGTTGGTCTGTCGTTGCCCGAGCCTGCATAAAGTGCTATAAACCCCTCACCGTGAGATTTCCACGACGTGCGCGCTTCAGACCGGCCGCGGGGCTGACAATGATACCAATATGGCAAAAATACCAAAGCCTACCGGTTTCAGTCAAGGCGGTCTAATGATGGCTTCACCCCGCATTGTCTTTTCACGTCTGAATATGTGATTCCACATCGGACTTTCAGAATCCCGGCAGGCCGCGGACAAAAGCATAGCTCTCTGCTATACGTCCATGCTTGGCAAACAGAAGCCCCTTGACAATTGGATGTACCTGAAAGAATGCCCGTCGTCATTGCGGCTCTGTCGGCTCTGGGACTTGCAACGAACAAGTATGGAGTTCTTGACATCGTTGGGTAGTTCACGAGTGGCGGCATTTGATACGTCTGTTGCTGCCCTCCATGACACCGAGCCAGGGAAGAACAATCTTGAAGTGACATAGATCGTGTGTTAAGTAGGGAGTCCTCGCGGCGGCTTTTAGACGGCTTGATACGTCAGAAGCATGAGGTGTCGGTTAAAGGGGTACAAGACGGCGCCGAGTGCTTTCGCCTGCATCAACAGCGCCCGCAACGTTACGATGGTCTACATCAGCTGGAATGCTGCAACGGGCACAAGACCCGGAAGATCCCTGGAGGAGCTGTCAAAGCTGCTATCACTCTGAGAGCTCAAGTGAAGCTGACTTGGCTTGAGACCGTGGCGAGCCTACCGGGACAAGTCCCATGTCTTGACGTCGAGGCCCTGGGCTGAAACATCACCACTGTAGTGTCGACAATCGTGTTTTCTGAAGCTGGTTGCTGAACTTCTTGGGGTGATGGAAGTAACAACTAGAGAAATCAAAGACGATTAGCTGCAAAGTAGATAGAAATTGAGGAGTACAAGCAGAGATCTCCCAGGCATCTGATTTAATTCGCTATACTGTTCAGTATTATCTCCCAATTATGAATTCTTTGAAGGGTCAAGAATTGAAACTCTACGTTTGGCCACAACCCTCAGGTCTTCGTTGAATGCGACGCCACCTGCAACCACATATCGACCTGCACTTACGAGCTCCAAGTCGAGGTTGCGAATTATCTTCAATAAACGTAAGTAAGTTATGAAAGCAGGGAATGACGGACACGTTGGCTTACCTCCGGAAGCAACTTCCAAATTTCCCTGGAGTACCTCATGTCAGCTTCCATGTCTATCAATCTGCTTCAGAGGTCGTAGCAGTCTCGGGTGCTCGCTTGATGCATATTCACAGTGTGGACAGGCAAAGAGTCATGGATTAATGCCTCTGGGGCTACTCACATGTAAGCCACGTCTTTCCCAAGACAAACGCGAGGCCCCATGCCGAAAATGAACGTAGCAGCATCCATCTCCCCCTCACGGCCAGGATCAAGCCATCTTTCCGGGCGGAATGCTTCAGGGTCAGGCCCATACAGCTCCGGGTCTCGCTGGACCACAAAGGCGTTCGTGGTAATCTCTGCGCCAGCGGGGACAGAGACACCGCCTACCCGCTTCCCTCCTGCGGGTGTGACTCGCGCGAATAAGTTGGGAGCAGGTGGGTTAAGCCTGAGGGATTCCTTGATGCACGCGCCGAAGTAGGGGAGGTGCTTGCGCGATTCTTCGTACCGTATGGGACGGCTGAGCTTGCTGGCTTTCTCTGCTGATTCGATTTCCGAACGAGCTCTCTGCATGCTGGAAGGGTGCGTGAGCAGGAACCTCAAGGTGCTCCCAAGGCCGGTGCCTGTTGAGTCGGCTCCGGCTTGGATCAGGAGGGTTACGTGGGCGCGTCTCTCGACGGGAGTGAGCGGAGAGCCATCTGAGTAGCGAGCATCAAGGCAGCTACGGGTAACCGAAGCGTAATGAGCGATGTAAGTACAGCTAAGGGGTGTTCTTGGACATGACCTACTACTGAAGAAGATCTGGATTCTTCATGGTGAAGTTGCCGTTCGACTGCTCCATCTCCTTCTCCCGCTGCGATACCTGCTGGTCAGCGTGAAAGGCTAAATACCCCATGCCATGCGTGTCCCTGGTGCTTGGTAAGAAGTACGGCGAAAGGGTAGGGCTTTTGAGGATATGGTCGCAGAAGGACTTCCATCGGCCAGCAAGCCCGAAGTAGTTGAGTCCCGCGCGCCACGATCTGAGGAAATCCCGCTCATCGCGCCCATGTCGAACGAAGCCCCAGGGCTCCGTGAAGGCCATCATGGTGAGTACATCAGCAGCAAACTCGCTTTGGATGCATGTTTAGCTCTTTGAAATATGCTAGACTTTGGCAAACACTTACGCGACTTTGTCACAAAGGACGATCTCTTGCTGGTTCTCGGCGGAGTCGGACATTTTCTCGGTGAAGAGTACGATCAGCTCATCAATGCGCGGCTCCCACGTGTTCTTGAGGGACCCAATAGTCCACTACGCGATATCAGCTCCGACGTGAAGAGGGAAACTCCTTTCGTACCTGTGAGCCTCCGAGAGCTTTCCGCAGCTTTCTGTGCCTCTCCCCATCCAGGGTGGTGAACAGACTCGGTGGGCCAAGCGCCCCAGTCCCATAGAACTCAGCTTTGGTGTTGCAGTTGGGGTCCCGATAGATGTCTTTCATGTCTTCAGGCCGAGGAAACAGGAGCATTGTCGGGGCGATGCGGATTGGTCGGTCCGCTGACAGTTCGGCAGCTTCAGTATCTCTCCAGTCGCGAAATGAATTTTGAACGACGACTCACTCCCGTATTTCTTGGCAAGACCAGCAGCCACTGAGGCTCAACTCTTCGCAGAGATATGAGAGCCGGAATCAAGGAAGTCGCTGCGGCGTACCACGGTCCGGCAAACTTTGCTAGAGGATGGAAATAGACGTTATATACGATTCTTCTAAGCAAGAGAGATACCCCTATCACAGCAAGTGCAACAGAAATGCTTGTGATAGAGACTTGTGGTATCGATGAGAGAATCATGATCGATACTCGTCGTTCCTTGCAGTCACCAAAAACACAATTTCACCTCACAGCAATGAAGGGGGTTTGCGATCTCAAGTATCGAGTCGGAAATATACCGCAGGTCGACAACGGCTATTACTCTGGCATTGGTAAAGCCATGTGGTTCGTTGGTATAATACATGGTTACATCGGATCCCGTGATTGTAAAAATGGCGAATCATTCGTGCCCGGTCGTGAGCTGATTGATCTGCCGAGCTTATATTCTTTAGAACGATGACGATCAGGCGCATCAGCAGCCCAATACGCAGACTGCCCGCATCTGTGGATGATGCAGAACCTGGAATATGGAAGCTTGTGCTACCTGATTCCACGCTATGAGTAAGCACCATTACTCGATTGGATAAACTCTGGTGTCCATATCTTGTGAGACGGCAGTTGTTCAGATTCTCGAGTAACGATGCCTTCACGGGTACTTTGGTAGACCCAGTTGCTATTGGCTAGGTAGAGGTCACCCCTTTACGGTTACTTAACACTCATAGTACAAGACCTGGAGTCCGAGAGTTGGGTTGCCATGGGACGGCATCGTACCTCTATCTCGGCGCCGTTAGCAGCTCATATTTCTGACCAGTTATGAACATCTGGTGTAAGAGCTGCTATCGTATACAACAGACGTTCTGCGGTGCTTATAAGCTACTGCTGCTGTAAAAGGACTATCTATTCATTCTCTGGCCGAAGCAGTATTAATGGGCTGAATTAGGTGCTTGAAGAGACGTTAGCCCGGAGTGAAGCGGCGCAGACCCATGTCCAGAGGGCATCCGGACTTGTATCCTGTACGTCTTAATCATCGACCCCGTATGAGCATGTCACTGTGAGAGAAATTGGAACTTGTTATTCGATCACCGAGTACTACGTGTCAAAGTTCTCACGCTGAATCCCGGAATAGTGAATCATGAGCACCTAGGTAACATTTGCAGTAGGCTACGCTCTAAATAAAGCAGTCAAATCTTGACAAACATCTATTCTGATCATCGGAGTATCTCTCCATTCTGACAGACACTAGCTTCGTCAATGCTCGCCACGACCTTCTTTTCTTGCCTTCTCGAATTGTAAGATCAGCCATCCAGTAGGAAGCTCAAGCGCGATACCGACTGGACCAAAGCAAGGGGGCCACGTAGCCAAAACATAGCCAGGAATAAGTAGTGTTGGATGGACATGGAACCGCGTCTACCTATCTTTTGCCCATGTGAATACCTAACCATGCGGATATAAGCGCATTGCATCCATAAGCGCATCGTGCATTGCCGGTAGTGGCACACGTGCACCGCATCGCCTGGCAGTGGCGACCTCGCCGGTAGCAAAATTGAGATAGCTCTAAACATGCAACAAAACCAATAATGTGACGGTAGTGCAGTCAATAGAACCGTACATCTCTTTCGTGCCACCTTCCGAGAGTAGGAGGCGCGGCGCGGACGAAAGAAGCAATGCATTCCGTCGTCGCATATCTAAGCGCCAGCGCGCCGCCGTGATTGGTGAGACTTGCGCCACGACGACGCCTAGATGCTTTCAACTTCCAAGGCTACGCGGCCAGCTATGCCGAGTTCGTACTGTCGCATACGGGCGGCGGTCCGAGAGAAAGTTCCAGGAAGACAGCACTCTATCTGTTGTCTAGAGAGGGTGAGAGCACGTGAGTAGCTTCGGCTGTGAACCCCTGAAAGTAGATGGAATGGAGTTGCATGCTACTCTACCAGAAAGGAACATCTGTAAGCGAGAGTCGGCACCGCTGCCCCGACTTTGCCGTAGGATGCGATGCAGGATCGAGGCCAAGTCGGTACTCCACCCGAAGCCTCTTTTCGAGCAACACACAGGCCACAATCCTTCCTGAAGATGTTTTTGGCTTTTAGGAATAGTCTGGTCTCAGATGCGTTCTGAAACCCTGAGAGGTGCAGTAGTGGCTACCAAGAGTGAGTAATCAGTTGTTTACGAGAGTCCAGAGTCCAGACCCGACTATCCGCATTCGCACAAGGTCGACGATGTGGAGTGTTTAGATAATGAGTGTAGGTGGACTCAGTGGCAGGAGGATCGCGTTTCACTCTGCCTGTGTCATCCGAACCGATGGGTGCTCGTCACGACTGGGGTTGTATGAAGACAAATCTAGAAGTCTAGTATAGCATTGTTGCTGCCCTGACGGACATCAAACAAAGCCATGTCAATCGTAAAAGGTCGTGGATATCTGGGCGGACAAGGTGTTTCCCGGGGATTGGTCTGATCCAGCGTGTTGGGTCATATCGCACCGTCGCGCAGTGGTCAGTTCCACCCAAAGAAGTCGAGATCGAGTCTGCAGACCCCTGGTACGAAGTACAGGGCAGTCAGGTTTCAGCGATACTAGCGGCTTCGAAGCCTAGGAAGTCGCACATCGTGACAGTCGATGGACCCGGCATACAGCCATGAACGAGATCTCGAGTGGTGTTCTTGTGGTGTTGGTGTGAAAATCAGGTGGCTGGCGAAGGATTATGAGCAGGGATCTGCGCACGACCTTCGCTAAGAGGAGATCAAACACGACGAACGGACTTGAAACGAAACATCAGAACTTTTCATACCTACCATTTAATTATTGTTATTGGGACAGCGTTCGACGGAATACTCTACTGCAATGTGTGCACACTTGTGACACTCCAGTCCTGTACAGGAAGCGGTTTCTCTACACACTGATTACTGACGTGGGGGGATACCAGTGTCTGGTTCATGCCTGGGGTAGGAGCGGATCCAAGCTGCTCACGTCTGGTATTGATGATTGTCGTTTCAAGTATCAGAATTATCACAATAACGTCGCCAGTGGCTCGTCTCATGTCTGTAAGGCCAGCAACTCTCGCACTGAGCCTCATGCTAGTTACTGTCACAGCATACCATCAGCTAGGGAATCCCCCGGACCCCCTTTGCTTCCATGGCACAGGATATTACGGAGCATCAGCTTGTCGGTGCATCAGTTCATCAGTAGTACAGTATTTCCTGTCTAAGCGATACTCGAAACTATAAGCATGATGACTGACAATGAGGCACTTCATGGGAAGACAACCTGAGCAGCGCAACGAGGAGTGCACAGTGCAATGGTATTCCTTTGTCAGAGAATTCAATATCAAGATCGCTCCGCCCGCTCGGGATCGCCCCGGGGAATTGGGTAAGAGTTCGGACCACGCCGCAAGCCCACCACGTGTATGAACGATTCCCGAACTTCCGAAGCTCATCGTAAAAACAAGGCGTCCCACATGCCTGGGCAGAGCCCAGGCACCAGAGGGCAGCAGTAATCCTTACCCAGGTAGATCATAGCTCGGACTTTGCTGGAAGCCCCAGATTATTGAGCCTTGAGTGCGCACCTTCTCACCTGGTATCAACGAGCCCACAAACGAGGGTTGGCGGCTTCCACAGATTGGGTGACGCACAAGCCCCTTGATCAATGTAACCCAGACCTCAACGGTCCACGGAGCCCACCCGAGCGAGCAGTCACATCGCTTTGTCACCAGGGCCACGGTTTGATAGGAGCTAACCTTTGATCCTTGAAGTTGTCCTGGTATCCAAACACGTCAACAGGTATATCATGGTCTGATAAGCCTAGCGGAGGCAACAATCTGTGGTATAGCTCGTTCTTCAAGGTTTATTATTAGACATGGTGATTCTTACTTTCTCTACCACCCACAGTGGATGGAGCCACCAGTGGTAGTCAGGTGAAGGCTAATCTTATCTGATGGGAAACCAGAAAGCCCAGGTTTGGTATAGTCTGTGGTCGCAAATATGAGTAGACACCAAGGTTAGTAGTGGTCGACAGGCCCCTGACTTCGCCAGTGCCAGGCTTACATCCGAAACACCAACAGTCCAGTTAGGGATGTACGCAGGAGCACCACGACATAGATCGAGGTACGTTCCAAAGGCAGTTGCTGCATCTAGAGTACTATGTCGGAGTATGTTGCAAAGCCTCGGACTCTGGAAGTACTACATATGGAGGTCCTCCATCGCAATACTCATAGTATCTGAAGTAGAGCTCACAACTGCAGATGCAAGGCAGTGGACAGATTGTTGAGACCGTTCTCTTGCTTCCGCATGTACCTTGGGTAGTATTATACGCCGCGCACAGGGCAGCAGGTAGATAAGGCGAGAGTTTGCATACCAGCATACTGGCTGCTGCCTTGTAGCACCCCTGTCTATTGGGAAGTTGAAACTCCATTCGCCTTTGCTGACTTACTCTAGCGTTCTAGAGCCTCTGTGAGCTTGGACGTTCTGATGAGGTATGGCGAAGGATGGAAATCCAGAATGAAGCTCTGCCCGATCTCCTCAGAGCCCCCCAGTGGAGATGGCTGAGCCTTTTCTAGACCCTAGCTGGGTTACATCGAAAGCGGATGATGGGCGCCGCCATCAAATGCAGCAGTTCGGCTATACAGCCAGTCAGCGCGCTGCTTCAAATGAGGTGGCACCCCCCCCTGCTTCACTGCTGGTCAACATGATACGTCGGGATGCTGCTGTCGCCATGGGCGGGTGCGGGAGGAGGATCGAGGACAGTCGTTGAGCGAATCACGGCAGCAGAGAGTACAGAAGCACAACCTCCAACAGCCCCCAATAGCCGCGTCTCCTGCCGGGAACGCGTCGGATTCGACAACCCTCCTCGGGAGGCGGCAGGGCCAGGACACGTTTCTTCGTCTTGGCTTCGGTGCTCCAGCCATCATCTTGGTCTTGCCCGCCCACGAACACTCGTAGTAGATCGGAGGGGAAGATGGATAGATCGAAAGAGAAGGATTCGACCGCCCATGCTGGCAGTTCCTACGGACGGGGCTTGAGCGTGGTTTTTCGCTCTCTTTCTTTTCTCTGCCCCCCGCGTGCATATCGTCGACTCGCGAGAGGCAAGTGGACAGGCTTCGGGCTGTAGACCAGATGGAGTGAGCCTCTTCGACCAAATCCTGGCAAAGGGGCGCAAGCGACTACGCAGTAGAGAGGAGCATCGATCAGTACGATAAGGTATTGCCACTTTTACGTACCAAGAAGGGGAACATGGTTACATGGCCAGGTGCAAAAGACGTGCGTCGCCTCGTTCAGCACTCGCTTACTCTGCAAGGAGGCTCCATCCATGATACCCTTGCTGACAACAGCCCAGCAATCCCCGTGGCCAGCAAGGTGCAACGCACACCTTTATCAGCCCTCCGGCTCACTCTTCCGTCCGCTACGCTACGCCACGGCCGTTGCTGGCGTGGGCTACTACACCCATGTATATCTCGTCCCCTCGCGAGAGAGGTACCTGCAAGCCTCAGTATATACTCCGTGATATGCAGGATGCTCTCTCCCTGCTAGCCTCTAGGTCACCCATGACCTAGGCGTCGCGAGGCCATGTCCCCAGGTTTGTTCGAAGGGACTGATGAGACTCCGTTCACGAGATGAGGCAGAGTCTTTGGGCTTGGCGAAGATATAAACTCGATGTGGCCCCCTCGAGTTGGAGATAGATTCGTGATATGACACCGTTCCAGCCATCATCAGTCTCTTCAGCTTCTCTTCCACACAGTCCCCGTCTTTGGGTTTATTATTTCGCTTCTCCAATCTTCAGCAGCGCCTACTCTGCACTCATTTCATCAACCTTGTCAATATCTCGGCTCGGGAAGCTTGAATCTTGCATACATACCATTTATAGTGCTATTCCTATTCTAAGCGCCCGCCGGCCACCCACGCGGCCTCCCACACGGCCTCGGTCATCTTGAAAGACATTGCAGTGTACACACACTCCTACAGCTACCGCCGAGCTCATCCTTGCTCGCTCCGCCACCCACACGCACACCAGCCGGTCTGAGTCGCTATATTACCATTGCAGCTCTCCCGCTCCTCCTGTTCTAGTCTGATCTGCATCCCGCCTCCCTCCGAATCCCATATCGATATTCAGAATGCAGTCCCGAAGCCTTCTCATCTTGCTCTCGGCCCTGGCCGTCACGTCTGCCTCTCCGCTGAGACGACGACTATGCGCTGACAACGGCACGGCCACTGAGCCCGCGGCGCCATCTTCTACAGTCAGCGTCGCCTACACTCTGCCCAGCACCGGTGGTGAGTAACCAAGAACGGCAAGCCCAAGTCGGACCAGACCAGACTGACTAACACATGTGATATAGGCGCCACTACACTACCGTCACCTGGCGACGCGACGCTGAAGCACATCGCCGTCGGCCACGGCATCCAGAAGTATGTACATTTTCGAGTCTCTTATTGCCCCTTCTGGCCGTGTCTCAGGGGCGAATGTCCTCTTCCAGCCTGTGTCAAGAGCCCTTGCTCCCGAGACACGCATTTCGACTTTTTGTTTCTCGTCAAAAGGGAGTAATCGCTGACGCTAATTTGCTACCAGCTACACCTGCACAGCACCCGGCGCCAACGCAACCTCGCTTGGGGCCCTGGCGGTCCTGTGGGACGTCACAAGCCTGTACCCTGGCTCAGGCACGGCCGCCCTCTCCGACGCCGACTGGACGGCGCTGCCCCCCAAGGTCCTGCGCACGACGGACCTGCCGCTCAACCTAGCCGACGCCGCCAGCTCAGACGCGGCCGACGTGGCGAACCCGTTCCCGGCGCCCGCGAGCCTGACGGTCGACGGGCTGGCGGCGCCGCTCGCCTTCCTGGGCCACCACTTCTTCAGCGACACGAACGTGCCGACCTTCGACCTGTCGGGCGACACGGCGCAGGTGCAGCTGTTCTCGGGCAAGAAGGACCTGGGCATCACGGCGCCCGCCGACTCGGACCGCGGCCTGACCGACACGGGCGCCGTCGACTGGCTCGCGCTCAGCGACAAGGGCGGCAGCGAGAACCTGAGCCTCGTCTACCGCGTCGTCACGGCCGGCGGCCAACCCTCCGCCTGCACCGAGACGGGCCAGACCGAGAGCGTGGCGTACGCCGCCCAATACTGGTTCTACTAGGGGCGTGGCCGCTCCTCCTTCCCCTCGTTCGTCTCTGTACGATGACTCGAGCCGCGATGGTTGTTATATGAAGGTGTGGACTTAATCGGACAAACGATATCCGGCCGGCGTTTGGGCATAGACTTCTGCTGCCCGGGGTACCATGGGATCGCCTTTTGTTAACGCATTGCTAGGCTGACAAAACGGCTGCGCTTCTGTTTCTTTCTTCCTACAGTACTTCTTTATTTTCGTTCTTCACTTGGTTTTCCCGTAGATAGCTTCGGCTGTGTATAAGCAGGGTTGGATATACCCCCCTTTGTGCTGCAGCGATATTGCGTCTATTCTGCACGAGGAGCGCTGTATATAGGAATGATAAGACATTCAACTTGAAGCGGGATCTTGCTTATTTACGCATCGCCTTCTTGTGCCCAGCGAGCTTGCTACTCCCATTACAGTCTCCAACCAACGCGGGCAATCAATCAGGGAGTCTCTTCTTGAAATGGGAAGCAACCGAGTACATGGCAAATATGTCGAGGCTGGTGAGACACCCCTAAAACGAACAGCGAAGAGCTCGGCGGTTAACACGACCACTCAGAGCCCCCGTCCACTTATCAGACGAGCCGTCCTCGAGGTTATTGACCAACTTTGGGACTCCAGCTTCGCTACCTGTTCAATCGACTCATCTCTTGAGAACACGAAATTGCAATACGTTTAGGCCTGCTCTGGGCGGCAACGGAACAGTAGCCATGGTCAGGGTTGTGTCTGTTGAAGGTAGGGGGGGCCAAGCCCTGCCATGTGCAATTTCAAGGAGCCAAACTTGATTTGATATCGGCTTGCCATACCTCATCACAGGCGTCGCCGATGGCATGTGCTCGCTTGATCCTGCTGATGGCGCCTCCGATGAATGGGGACTGGAACTCTTGCCGGTCAGCAAGGGCCATAGATGCCGACCTCCCAGTAAACAACGGAACAGTGAGCATAGAACTTTCCCGATAACGCAGAGTGAGAACTAGGAGCATCGGTTCCTTGCATCCACGCCAAGGACAGGCTGCAGCACCAATATAGATAGCTACGGGAAAGCGAGTTGCTGGCGCAGCAAGGGCACCGTCGCCGAACTGTCGAGTCACGAAAGGAGGGACAGACAGAGCCGAATGCGAGAGCCACGTTCAAGGACGTCCGTCAGTCTGTGGTCATGAAATCAAGGATCTGGTATTATTGCTCGTCTGTTTTTCTTCAATCCTCGCCGTCAAGGGGAGTGACTTTGTTCCCAAGATTCGTCATTATCCAGTCCGGTCGTCTCTTTTCTCCCTCCTAGGCAAGGAAAACCCACTTCGAATGGAAAACCACCGTGAAGACCCAATCTCACCGGCCCACCATCTCGCCGTTCGCTGTTCCCAAAATAGACCAACCGCCCGGCGTACACTGTACTGCATACGCATGCCAACCCTCCCCAGTGGTCCAACACCGGCAGGTCTTCCCCCTGTAGTACACTCAGAGCTCTACTGCACTCCTCCTGGAGTACGCCTCGACTTTTGTTCGTTCCGTTGGCAAACTGACCCTCTTCCAGCGCCACCCTGCCTTGAGTTGATTCTATCTCCTGCTGGCATCTAGGCCGCCTTGTAGTTCACCCTCCAGGCCTCCCATTTGGTTTAAGTACTCCTGAGGCCGAGGGTCTTCGGCTCTCCACTGTGTGTTTCCGCCGGCCGGCATTGGTACCTGACCTGCACCCGGTTGCTGTCCGGCACCACCCTGGCCGCCTGCGCCGGGCGCGGTCCGGACTTGTTGCCGGAACTGGTATACCTCCTCCAAGATCATCTTGCGCATATCACCAACCTCGTCGATCACCTCGAAGTCGAAGTTGAAGGTGGTGGGACAGTCAGGTTCGTCCGACGCATCGTGCCAGATTTGCAGGTACGGGTGCTCCAGCGCCCGCTCAACACTGATACGGGACGAAGGATCGAAAGCCAGCATGTGGTCAAGCAGGTCGAGAGCGTCGGGGTTCGCGTTAGGAAACAGCGTCGGGAACGGCTTCTTGGCCATATAGGGCAGGTTTCGCACGTATTCTTGCGCACGGGATGATCCGATGCGCGAGAGAGTCTCTTCGTTCGGGGTTCCGAGAATGTGAAGGATCTGGTTAAGCTGGTCCACATAGTCGCGCCCCTTGAAGAAAGGACGGCCGCCCAGAAGCTCGGCGAGGATGCAGCCCACAGACCAGACGTCAACTGCAATTCGTTAGAGGGCCATCACGGCGTTGACTCGCAGATCCTGGACTTGTAGGGCACCACATACTAGCTTTGGTGTAACTCTGGAAGCTCAACATAATCTCGGGGGCGCGGTACCATCGCGTAGCGACATACTCAGTCATGTACCCAGCGTTCTCTTCGGGGTCGACCGAGAAGCCACGAGCAAGACCGAAGTCGCAGATCTTGAGCTCACAGTCGGCGTTGACGAGCAGGTTACCAGGCTTCAGGTCACGGTGCAACACGTTCGCCGAATGGATGTACTTCAGCCCACACAGTATCTGATAGATGAACGACTGGAAATGGGCATCGGTAAGGGGCTGGCCAGAGCGGATGATGGCGGCCAAGTCGCATTCCATCAACTCTGCGCATTGTTCGCGTTAGCCACCACGGCGCGAACGGTCGGGCAGAGGAGACGTATCGCCTACCTTCATACAGATATGTCTCGTTGAAGTTGTCTGGCCGTGGAATGTCCATGTCATAGAGGCAGGTAATCTGTAGTTCCGCGACGGCACCGTGTCAGCCCGCACCCTGACACTTCCTGCACGCAGTGGAAGCGTTGGATCGTCCTTACGTTGCGATGGCCTCGGAAGTGCTGTAGCAGCTTGATCTCGCGCAGAGCGCGCTTGGCGAGGATCTTCTTGCTGAAAACATTGGTGACCTTCTTGATGGCAACGCCCTCGCTTGTCTGGTTGTTCACGGCGGCACTATTGGGAGAAGAGGAACAGTCAGCCCGGCGTCTAAGCTCTAGCATCAACGTACAAAAGCGGATACAAGTATGCGCACGCACCAAACGATACCGTAAGCTCCCTGTCCCAGCTCCTTGGTGACGGTGTAACGCTCGTCCACAGCAAAGTCCTGGTTGAAGACCTTGAAGACCTTGCGTCCCTGTAGGTCGGCCATTGTGTATAGGGTGGATATGGATATGGAGGTCGAGTTGTACGTGGTGTATCGCGCTTCGAGTACGTTTTCGGGTTGCGATGCGATGCGATGCGATACGATGCGATGCAATGCGATGCGATTCGACTCGAGGTTCCGGTCGATGCGGCTGGCTTCGAGTGCGATTGCGAAGTGCCAAACGGGGACACAGACACTCGAGGTTGACAAGACACAAATACAAACAATGAAAGCACCAAACAAGCAAGACTGATTTGATGCTATTGCAAACAGACGCCCTAGCTCTATGTCAAAGGATGTTCGGGCTCACGCAGGAATAAAGATGAAAGATAACAGCAGAACTCAGAAGCTGGACAGAGGCAGTGGATGGGCAGACTCGGGTGGATGATATTTGTAGGATGATAGATAGATAATACTGTAAGGTAAGCCCAGAGCCCAGAGCCCAGAAAAGCAGGCTGTGTTCGTATCGTATGGATGCACTGTAGTAACCTAGGTGTCTTGATGACGCTGCAAGAATAGCTTCCAGGGGCCCAGGGGGGAAGGGGGGGAAGGGAGGGGGGCCTCTATAATAATAGTGTCACGTAGGATGTTGGCAGGAGCAGGCAGCCTCTTTTGGGAACGGGAAATGTCCCGATGTCTCTGCCACCCGTCAAGACTCATCAATCAAGCCTGATCATGTTACCTTATGCGCTGCGTGACACAGACAGGCAACCCGGCCCAAGACAGCGGTCATCCCAGGTCAAGACCGACAGCTGTTCTCTGCCTAACCTCCACTCGATTCCCAGGCAAATACCTAGGGGCAGAGGGGCGGCCGAAGAGGAGAGGAGAGGAGAGGGGCTCTGCGAGACTGCCCACTGCCCAGGGTCCTCGGCGTTTTGTCAGGCATTGTTCCCCGCAACGTCACCCTTCCACCACTGACCACTGGCGGTTGGCCCGATCGCGAGGCTTGAGATCCACATGTATAAACTGTTTCGGGTTCTCATTGCTCAATTCATCAGTCGTAGCCGCTCTGCCGCTGTGACGGGAATGCCATCAGAAAGTTGGGCCGGCTAGGGATATACTCTCTCCGCTGATTGGGCTGGCGCATCCAGATAACCGCGCGAGTCTTCTTACCTGTACTACTCGCACTTGGACATTACCGACGAGCAACGGCGTTTGTGTTGCGATGCTTGGGATTGATGGGAGAGTTCTCGCTTGCTTACTAGAACTTGGCGGAGAGGAGGCGAAGCGACGGGAGCTTACACATGCCACCCATGTGCCCCCAATGCAAGGATGGAAGCTTGAAGTCCCGACGGAGCGGAAGGGGGACTCAGGCTGTCAGGCTGTCAGGCTGGCAGGAATGGCTCCGACATCATCGTGGCTGAGTTGAGGCTGCGAATACCACCTCAATTAATGCTACACGCGCAGGACATCGTGGCCCTTAAAATATCTCTCCCAATGCCACCTCGGCTGAGCACTTTGTTCACTTGCGGCCATGCAGCCCATGATACCACGCAACTGTGTCTAAATCTGTCTTGAGTACCGCTGGGACGATTTTCGTCGGCAGCTAGCATTGGATGGCCGGCCATCCCTCCAATATCTATACACCACGGCTTGGAATGGCCTCGGTTGCTTGCAAGGGTCAGACGAGCAGGCAGACAATAGAGGCGCTAGCAAATCGATCACTCGATCGTTGTCACCAACACCGGCCTCCGTGGACCTTGGGGCACGATGGAGGGTCGCAGCCATCACGGCAACACCCACAAACCTCAGCAGACACTCGTCTGGGAGGACATCTACTTTGAAGGCAGCCCATCGTCTTGAAATCTATCAGTCTATCATATGTCTTGCAGAAGGTGGCGGGTATCAATCGCGACGTGACGGTTCATGATGCCGGCTTGGGGACGTCCGGGAATGTCGCCGCCAGGAAGTTCTCCGAGAACCTCTTGCACTGCTGGAATGTCTTCTCGAAGGCGTCGCGACCGGCGTAGTATGGGTCCTGGACAACCTCTTTGCGCCCAGAGCCGGAGAACTCGCCGAACAGCATGACCTTTGCGTCTCCGTTCGCATTCTTCCTGCTCTGCCACCGTCCCAGATCGCTCAGGTTGCTCTCGTCCATCGCAAATATGTAGTCGAATTCCTTGAAATCGCTGTCTCGAAGCTTTGCGGCGGTCAGTTGTCACCGTTATCCAGGCCGGGCTATGTGTGGAAGACGGGAACCGACCCGTCGTGCAGCGTGCTTGTAATTCGTGATGCCCTTGTCGGCAAGTGTCGACAAGGTTCGCGAGTCCGGCTCGTCGCCAGTGTGGTACCCTCCTGCAGAGACTGCGATTAGCACTGCCCGTCGCGCGCGCACACATTGGGTGAGGGTAGACAATCTCCCGACGCTGCTGCTCGTACCTGTTCCGCAAGAATCAACCTTGCCGATGAGATCGTAATAGGGCGAGGTCTTGTCTTTCACGATCGAGCGGAAGACACCTTCTGCCATGGTCGACCGGCATATGTTGCCTAGGCAGACGAAAAGAACCGAGACCTTGTCGCCCGACATGATGGGATGCGCGTCTGACGATTGTTTGTAAGGATCTTGTGGAGGGATCGAACAGAGATGGGCTAGAATGCAGGTCGAGGGGCCAGCTTGCACGTTAGATGCAAACCCCGCTTAACTACCTACGCACACAACGAATGCTTCAATAGGGTCGTATATTCCGAATATGGGCCCCCTTTCTATGTAGGTTGGTCATTCCAACAGTAGATCATACGAGACAGATCCACCAATTAGCAAGGGGTTTGATTGCCTGATGAAGTTGAAGAAGTAAGCTCCTCACTTGGCAATGGGCATTGTAGTATCATGGGAACCCAGGAAAAGGCATGTTGATTAAGGAAAGGAAAGACCAAAAGATAACTAATAAAGGAGCGACCTTCCATGAGTACGTACGTTACCCATGCATGATGAAAAAGTTAAAAACCCCAAAAAATCAAAACGCCATAGAACCCGATTAAAAGGAAAAGTGTTGGCCCGCGTGATACCCACCATTGGCAGCCACGATATTGCCTGCTTCTGCGTACTTCCTCCAACCCCTTCTAGCCACTGCCCTCACCAGCCTTTCACCACTTGCGCCACCGACCCGGTCGCATGCCTTCGTAGGTTCTTGCCAGTCTTCGAGAGTCGAATCTATGGTGCTGTGCTTAATATGCAGGGCCACCTTGTTGAAATGTTGTGTCGGGGTAGTAAGAGTTGGGGTGACTGTCATCCGTCGAGCTATAGGGATCGAGTGGGTTGTTGTTTTGCGAGGAAGTGTGTGTAGTGCAATAGATAAACCCTGGGTTTGTGCGCCTGGTGCATGTGGGTTCCTGGCACTTTGGTCGCAAGGGGGAATTGTGTGTATAGCAATAGTTAAACCCTTTGTCTGCCTGGCTGTTGCATCCTTTACCGGCACATTTGTGTGTCGTGCAATAGTTAAACCCTCGGAGTGGCTGGTGGCTGCATCCTCGACCGGCGCATTGGTGTGGCTTGCAATAGATAGACCCTTGGGCTGGCTTTTCGGGGCATCTTGGATCGGCGCATTTGTGTGTGTTGCAATAGAAAGACCCTCGGGCTGCCTCCCAGTGGCATCCTATACGGACGCATTCTTTGTGCATAGTTGACAGTACTGCAAAGTGAGCTTGGAGTGGAACGACAGAGCAGACGAGATGTAAAGTGTGAGTGGAGGTTTGGCGCCAGTAGGTGTTGATGAATGGGCTATTTTGAGGTCGAGGTGCGTCCTGTTCTTATAGACGTGGTGCGAGTAGGTGGACAAAAGGGGAGACTACACAAGCAACACACATGTTGGACTCTAGTAGTTTCGGTTGAGACTCTGATGTTGACTGTTGTGCCCCATGCGGTTCAACCAGATCGTCGTTCAACAACAACATAACATCGTTGGCAGCAGATATGTGACTACTGACTACTTCCTTCCGTCACGAGCCCCCTTTGCTTCCAACATGAAAGGTAAAGCTCTTTGAACCGACATGTATCACATGTAATGTTGGGACTCAGGCTAGCTATGCGAGGTGTGTGGCCCTCATATTGGGACAGCCCAGAGACGCCCGTGATGCATTTGGCATCATGAATCGTGGTGTTGGGCCAGCGCGCTGACTGCACTAAGCCCAACAGGATATGTCGCCTTTATTTCGAGATTATTTCAAAACGTAACAGCATAACAAAAAACGACATGAGGAATTTTTTTTTACATTACCAACCCGTCGGTCTTATTGCGATAAACTGGTTGGCTCAGGCTGAGTTGTTAGTCTTTAAGGAAATTTTTATAAAATTAAATTATAAATATCGAAATTATATCGAAATTATATCGGAATTATATCGAAATTATAACCACCCCTTTATAATAAGACTATAAAATATAAATAGTCGGGCCTTCTTTTATATTAATTAAGTTTAAAGCAAGTTAAAGTTTACTAATAGTATTAGTTAATTAGCGATTTACGAGGTATGTAGCCTTTATATTAAAACAGCTTAAAAACGCTCGTAATATATTTAGCATTATAAATCGTGGTATTAAGTTAACGCGTTAACTGCTTTAAGCCTAATATAATATATCGCATTTATTTCGAGATTATTCTAAAACATAATAATATAGCTAAAAAGGGCAAAAAAGTAAAAGAAAAAAGATATTACCAACCTATCGGTCTTATTACGATATATTAATTAGCTCAAGCTAAATTATTAGTTGCCAAAAACATTCCCATAGAATAAGAATGCAGGCATCTCCTTGCATTAAAACTATAACCACCCCCCTATAAGAAGACTGCAAAACATGGATAGTCGGGCCCTCCCTCGTAGTGAGCTTGTTTGTTTGTTTGTTTGTTTGTTTTGTATTTAACGTGGGGGGTAGCTCCTCAGTAGTGCAAACCACGCCTCCCAGAGCCTCTGTATCGCAGGGTTATAGAGGTCTCAAGATAATAAGTACAGTCAGTCCCGCTCACGGGCCCATCCCCGTTGTTGCGGCGGTATGACCTTGGGGTCATCCATCTGGTCCTTCAAGAAAAGCTATCTATCAGGGGCAGATTGTTGAAAAGAACTTGCTCTTTTCTACGAATTTTGCCCATTCTGTGCTCCTCTCTCCTAAGTATTGTAAACAAGCTGTCCTAAGCGAGTACCTAGACAGCAGCCAGTTTTTCCCCAGCCTCTTACAAAAGAAAATGTGTTGTGATGTTTTCTTTTCACCACAATTGCAGTGATCATTCGAGTCTGTATGCCCAAAGCGTTCATGGTATCTGGCAATGTCGCCATGTCCAGATCTGGCCGCTAGAAGTCTGTGTAAAGTACTCCTTTTAAAAGATATAAGGTCTCTTTTAGTTGCTGTATGTGAGTATATTTCTTGATATCTAGGTTCTGATTGGTCTTTTTACCATTGGTTGAACTCTTTTTTGCCCTTTTTTTTGAGATCTCTCTTGACCTAAGAGATTATAGGAAGGTTTGTTATGTCTGTTTCCAGCATGGCACCCTCTTTTGCTAGTGTGTCGGCAGCTTCGTTGCTATTAATATCTCTGTGTCCAGGAATCCACTTGATGGTCACTCCAGGAGTGTGTGCTGTGGTAAGTTCTTAAAATCATAGAAAAATATTCTGTGATGTCTCGGGTGGAGTCCCATTGAGCCCATCTACCATTGACGTGTTGTCCAGGCAGACATATAGCTGTTTTCTGTGTCCAATTGCCCTGACTACTACAAGACCTTGGAGAGCACTATGGACTTCAGTATCTATTACTTCTGCTTAGAGAAGTCTGCCCTTTCCCTGGTATACTTCTTGTGTAGTGCCGCCTTTCCTGATGGTATAACCTCATCTAGTGCGGGTTGTGCCTTGGTCGTCCAACTATGATCTATCTAAATAGATGACAAGGTCAGTATTTACGTTTCTCTCTTATAGCCATTGCTTGAAGAGCTTTATTTCTTTGTCTTTATCTTTACGGATTGGGGGCTTCTTCCATAATGGCTTGGTAAGTATTGGTCTCTGAAAGTCAGAGACTAACTGGAAGCTCCTTTGTAGCCTTGTTGGATTCTTGCAAGCTTATATTTAGAGCCTGCCAACAAGAGGGTGTCTCTGGTCTATTCGTCCTAGTCGGAGGCCGTGACGTCGTCTTATTGACTCTGCAAGAACTCTTGCTGGGGGAATCTGTGATTCAAAGTGTAGGATATGTCCAGGGTATGTTTTCCAGACTGGCAAGATAGCCTTGATCGCTGTTCGTAGTACAGCATCTATTGTTTCAAGAAGCCCCTTAATGCGACATGCTGATGTCCCACCTAAGCTCCCGACCTTCTCGATTCCTGGGTACCAGGCCTCCAGGCTGTGTGTAAGAATAAGAATAACACAAGCTTTCACAGCCCTCTTGGTTGACTTTACTAGAAGTCCTTTGACTATGTTGCATAGTCTTCGAAGGTGATTTGTTACCTTATTAGCTTTCTTGGCCCAGTAGGAAACGTGATTTTTAAGTTTAGTTTTCTATCCAGGAAGACACCCAGCCATCGCATGGAGTGCTTTGTTATTTTGTTCATTGTCCTGTGGCGGACTGGAAGGTTGTCTGAGTTCTTTTTCCTTAAGAAATGCATGATCTCAGTTTTGTCAGGATCAAATTTAATAGCGTTATTATGTCCTCATTGACTGAGTAAGTAAAGATTTTCAGAAGCCTCTGTAGCTGTTTCCTTAAGGTTCTTTCTAATGCAGAGAGTCGCTAGGTCATCTGTATATCCAAAGCGTCTCTTTTTCATACCAAGTCGGGCACAGATTGGCTCTGTATACAGCATGTAAAGGATTGGAGAGGCTGGTAAGCCTTGTGGTAGCCCACAAGTGAGAGCTTTAATATCGGTCATAATACCTTCAAACCGAACCCTTGCGGACCGCTCGGACATGAATGACTAGACCCATCTTATGAGAAAGCCTGGCCAGCCCTGTTCTCTTATGCGAACCACCAGCCGTCCCATTAGGGCAGCATCAAAGGCCCCTTTCACATCTGACGTGACTACCGTTGCAACGAGGCCTTGGTCAAGGGCCTGCTCAATATCGTGTATGAGTGCAGCTACCAGGTCAGTGGCAGAGCGCTTTGGTAGAGCTCCAAAATGTTGTGGAGCTAGAATTCCAAGTTTGACAATAAACCAGGTAATTCTTTTCGCGATGAGTCGTTCTAGGCCTTTGCCAAGACACGACAATAGCGATATTGGTCTGTAGGCCTTGGGATTGGAATAGTCTTTCTTTCCTGGTTTTGGGATCATCACCACCTCAGCTACTTTGAATGGTTTAGGGTGGTGTCCAATCTGTAGACAGGTCTGGAAAAGGGCTTTGATATGTTCCCTAATGAATGGCCAGCAAGCTTTCAGAATCCGTACTGTGAGGGTGTCTATTCCCGGGGAGTTGCTCTTGGTCCCTAAAGTGCACCCTTCAGCCTCTTCCAGTCCGACATGGTATTCAAGGGGGATGTATGGCTTGGGTTGTGTGATCTGAGCGGACCAGGGGTCGATGATATCGTTGTCTGAGGTACTTCGTTCAAGCATGGCTGAGTGTAATGTATTTGCCTTGCTTTCTTGTGACTCGAATATTTTGTCTCCTATAATGATTAGAGGGGAACGCAATCCTTCTGATAGCTTGTGCCAAGAGACGATTCTGTATAGGTCCTTTGGCTCAGTTGCTGAATCAATTAGAGTCTGCCAGTACTCTCTCCCAGCTTTCCGAACTATGCGGCGAAATTCCCGTCGGGCTGAATTCCGCCCTTCTTGGCTTGTAGTCTGTTTAGAAAGGGCCCTATATGTCTGAATAGCTGCTTTGCAGTCATCATTCCACCAAGCAGTGGGCCTAGATTGACGGGGCTTCTTGCCCACTGTCCTGATACAGCCTTGGATCATGTTGATCAAGCTTTGTGTAAAGGCATCTACCCGGCCAGGGGATACACCCAGCCGGGGGAGTTCATGGATCCTAGTTTAGACATTGTCTGCCAGCTCTTGTAGTTTATCGTCCGGTACTATCCAATGATTGGCCTTGGGGACTTGGTCTAGATCTCCCTGAATTGGGACAACTATTCGTAATGTCTCATGATCTGAGGTGCACTGAAGTGTATCATTGACTGAGGCTTCAGCCATGGGGACATCTAAGAACACCAGATCTAGTACATTTCTGTCATCATGTGTTGGGACATCTGGTTCAGAAATCAGATCCAGTCCGTGGTCTGCCATAATCTGTGCAAGTATGACACCACCATAATATCCTGGATTGCTCGAGTCCCAGGATGTGTCGCCAGCATTGAAATCTTGTCAGATGCAAGCGAGTTCAGAATGTGCAGGTTGTCAAGTGTGTTCTCTTTTTCTTCTTCTCCTTCACCCCTTGAGCGTGCAGGAATTGATGATCTATCTTCTGGGTGGGTCAGATGCCCTGTGCGTTTCTGCCCCACAGGAGATCTTCCGGGTGTCTATTTCCGGCTCCCATTCAACAAATCTCTAGCTATAACGCAGCCAAAAGGTGGAGTCCATACTTCCAGAATATCATCCACTTCCTGTGGGTTGTCACATGGCCGGTGGACACTGGCAAATGTAATGCCTTATACCTTGACCCAGGTGATGTCTTGTGTAGCATAGGGCCGAAGTTGATCTGCTTAAAGGTGTTTTCTTACATAGATGAGAGATCTGGGCCGTGTATTGTCGCTGTCCCAGGAATTCACTGGGGAGTATATATCGTAATTGGGGTGTGTCTTTACTCCTATTCTCTTGTCTGGTGGTATGCCAACCTAGGGCTCTTGTATCAGAATGATGTCTGCTTGTTCTCCTTTGTAGTCAGCCAGGTTGAGGGCTAACTTTGTAGGGCCTGCACTCTTTGTCTTCCTGCTGTATTCACAAAATAGATGACTAGATGCCCGTGTCGATATGTTTCATTTGATGTACCTAACATTGACTGACAACAATGGTATCGGTATCTCTGGGATGCGTTGTATCTGTTGTGTCAATTTGTATTGTGATGTCTTCACTATTGTTGCTGGGTGTTGACCCAGCTTGGTTTCTGCCTGCTTCATTGAAGGTCTTGGATCTGGCTCTTTCTCTAGCCAGCCTTATTTCCTGGATTTGCTCCCATGTGTGCTTATGGATGATACCTTTCACGACCTTGGGGCGTGCATGGCATTTGTTGAAGTCGGCAGCATGAGGTCCTTTGCAGTTGACACACTTTAGGATTGGTTTTTCGCAATCCCCCTGGTGTACTGCGCTGGCGCGACGTGTACATACTTGCTTTTCACATCAATAGTTCCTACTATGGTATCTGAAGCAGCTCGCACACTGGTGAACCTTGGGGGAGTATTGAATGTGCCTCGATGTCACTGAGTGAGCAAAAAGCATGAATGGTTTCTTTGCTGCACGGGGCAGAGAGATCACCCATGTGATCTCCGGATCAGAATCAACTATGTTCCTTAAGAATATGCACCACAAAGGTCTGTCACCTGTTTAGGCTTTAATTTCATTAGCAACAGCAATATCGGTAATGTCGATTATCAACCCTTCCGCACTGATGACCTTTCTTGGACATCCATTGACCTTATAGTGATGCCAGACCGTATAGGTCTCGATCTTTTCTGCCTTAAGAATATCAGTGATTTCTTCTTGGAAGGCCAGGAGCTTAGCCTGAGTTGGCTTGTCCCTTGGGTGTAAGGTAAATCTGGAGGGGCACCGGGTCACTTCTCTAAGCTTTTGAGAATGGAGCTTAAGTCTTCTGTTCAGTGTAGACTTTATTCTGTAAGGCTCTAGGTGGTTATTATCCATACGGACAAAGACCCGGAGATCATCCTGCTTCTTCTTCAGTTGGTTGGCAGTGATGAGGGCGCCAGGCTGTGTTTTCTTTATGGTAGTGTTGACTGTCTGTGGATGCTGTCGTTGGCTAGAGGAGACAGCTTGGGCGAAGGTCATGGTGGGCTTTACCATCCCTATCCCCCCAGGGATGGTCTTCCTTTTGGGCGGATCTCGGGTTTCCTTTCAGATATTTAGAGAAGAAAGCGCTGAACTCCTTGGCATAAGAGTATAGTTCGGTTCCAGCTTTCTCAAGTGTCTTATCAACCGTTGCAGTACACTCTTGAAACATTGTCATCCTGGCTTCATAGAGGTGCTTGTCTTTAGCCAGTATTCTGGCAACTTAGTCCTGGCACTCTGAGGAGGAGGCTTTATTCCCTATATCGCGTATAATGGCTTGATCTGTCGAGATTTTGTTCAATTGAGGTCGTTTCATTCCAGTGGTGCTGCTGTCATTAATATTTCAGGATTTTCCTTTCAGAGGGGAAATAACAGTGAAGTCAGCCTCAGAGACCTGTGACGGGCTGCTGCTGATGTCGCCAAACAGTGCCTGGCGGAGCCTGCTCAGAGTTGCCGGGCCGTATGTCTTTCTAGGGGCCGGGGATTTGAGCATGCCGCCGGTGGTCGTCTTTGGGACGGCCACGGGCATGTTTGGGGGCCCGTTATGAAAGGGTGCTATCCGGCTTGTGAGAAAATTTCTTTTGTGCCTTGGCAGAGATAGTCAGTTACTGAGAGAAGTCTCTGCTTTAGTGCAAATATCAAGGTTACGCCCTAACAGCGGGGCGCCAAGAAAAATAGTTGTTTTTGTAGTATGCACAACCCCCCTTCGTAGTGAGCGATTTCTAAGGAGAGCCAAGGTTTGATGATGGCATTGGCCAGTTAGCGATTTGACGGTCATGCGGCTCTGTGTAGTCACTTGGGCCGAGACGTCCAAGGACCAATACTGCGAAGACGACCGCGTAGGAAGCCGTTAAGACTTACACTCCAGCGAGGCTTCATTCATCCCCTTAGTGACTGGTTTAAACGTGCTGGACCATCCGGCTTAGTACGCCACACATTTGCTATCCCGCCCTTCATGCCCATGCTCTGGAGGTCAAATCGGAATTATACGACAGATGTCTCTTAGGGGGCAGTCCAGCGATGCAAGGGAAACAAAGTTTGCGGATATACTCCTCGATGTTTGTTTGTTTTGTATTTAACGTGGGGGGTAGCTCCTCAGTAGTGCAAACCACGCCTCCCAGAGCCATTGCATCGCAAGGTTGTAGAGGTGTCAAATTAGATACATTCAGATCCGCGCACGAGCCTATCCTCGCTGTAGCGGTACCAATCTGGAGTGTTCAGATGGTTTTAGTCAATACCCAAGCACGATTCCTTCAGAAAAACCTCCTATCTAGTGACAAAGCGACCCAGTGAACCTCAGTTCTCTGGTGTACATATCGTTCTAGTAGCCGTTCGATATATGTCGCATTGGTGGATGGAGTAGGTGTTTGTTATCTGCTGGCGAGGGAAACCACAAGGGGGAAAACCTCGCAGGAGTGGGTATTGTGGAGACAAGCTGCTTGGCTATCGGGCTCTGCGATAAAATGGGGCCTCTCCACTGTCGTGTGCTGGTTATCGACTCGCACAAGCCGGGTCAGAAAGGGGGCCATAGCAGGATTCGAACCCACTTGTTCTCGTCGCCCACCGCACAAACGAGAACACAACCAGGCGCATTTGACCATTGCGCCATACGGCCGATATACTCCTCGATATCACGTGTACCGAACTGCAATTCTAATAAGCAGGGGGGAAACGCCGGAGTCAGCAATATGTAGGTATATCATCCCTTTGCCCCCCATTTTGGCACCTGGATAATCCGGACCCTTTAATAACCTGGGCAGAACATCGATCGGGTGCATAGACCCTGTACTCCCATTGGTGCCGAAAGGGGCGGCAAAGGGATGGACACATCAATACAGCTTCTCTCCGCGACGACCGTAGCACACTCAATACATCTTTACAGCTTGTGCACAAACGAATCCTTCGTTATGCCCCTGAAATACTTACCAAAGAACCAGAAGATTATGTCACAGCAGCAGAAGACGGTGGTCAACGCCATGTTTACCAGCATCGGGGCTACAAATCCGCTTTCTCTTCAGCCCAGGGGGTCAGGAACTTGCTGACTCCATAACCCCAGACATTCTTGTTTCTGTGCAACAAGTCAGTTCTTATTTCACTCAGCACAATTCGGGATAGGGAGACTTACACTGTGATGGCGACGAATAAGGAGCCAGTGATCGGCTTATAACTATCCACTGCATACGTGGACGCAATCGACGGCAGTGCCGATACTTGCATGCCGAGACACCCATAGCCGATAATCACGATTGCCTGCCAGGGCCAGTGGTAGTCATATCCAACAGCTGTCACAACACTGCCGAGTATCATGATCAGCACGTAGGGGATCATTGCTGGAAGACGCATCTCGGGCTCGCGGACCCCGTTGTTCTTCTTTGTCAGGTAAGCGGCAACCCAATCAGACCACGGGCCGTTGGTGAACAATCCAATTATCGCCCCAATCAACACGGCCAAGTTGAAGAGACCGATCGTCTGGAAAGAGTATTTGTACGGCGGCGCGGCGAAAGCCTGTGTCTGTGGCAGGTTAACGACTAGGAAACCGCTGGCGGAAAACGAAACGACGAAGGCGGCGAGCTCCACGATTGGGAAGATGTAGAGGTACCATGGAACCCAGAGCTCGCGGAGGAATTTGCCCTCGTAATGCTGAAAAAGGCTGAACTGCGACTTGCTGGGCTTTCCGCGACCCAGCCATGGGTCCTGGTGTGTCTGCACTTGAGCAAGGGCTTCACCGTCCCTGATTGATTGATTGATTGATTTTATTTAACGTGGGGGATCGCTCCTCAGTAGTGCAAACCACGCCTCCCAGAGCCTCTGCATCGCAGGGTTGTGGAGGTATCAAGATAATAAGTACAGTCAGTCCCGCTCACGAGCCCATCCCCGTTGTTGCGGCTGTATGACTTTGGGGTCATCCATCTGGTCCTTTAAGAACAGCTATCTATCGGGGGCAGATTGATGAAAAGAACTTGCTCTTCTCAACAAATCTTGCCCTTCACCGTCCCTGTTCCCAGTTTCCGCATCGTCATCCTTTTGGTGAGTAGCCGAATTTGACTCCATCATCTTCTCGGCGGATCCGCTTAGATCCCTGCTACGTGCAGTGACCTTCTTGTCGGGCTCGCAAGGCCGGCGGTAGCGAGTTTCCGGGAACACGAACAGGCTGACGAGAAAACAAGCCAGTAGCAACGCAGTGTTGAACCACCAGAAACTTCGCCAACCAGTATGGAAAGCCATAGCTCCAGAGATGATCGGCCCGACCGTCAGCGCGGCGAAATATAAAGCGGTACAACGTGTTGTACTTGCCACGATCGTGAAGTAACATGATATCGGTGATGATTTGTGGCATGAGTGTTTCACAAGGACCGGCAACGAGTCCGTTGAGGCTACATCCTCAACAGTCAGCTCTTGTAAGACATATCCGGCAAACATGGACTAGGGTTAAGCCGTGACATACACTGAAGCACCCATGAAGGACTCGTAACTGGTAGCTCGGGCCCGCCATATAGACGAGATGGCGTAGATAAAAGAGCTGATAATCATGGTCCGAAGCAAACACTGAGCCGCACCCAGATGAAGTTGCTGAAACATAGAACGAGAATCGCAACGCCTGTTGAATGTCAGAGTTTTGCTGCCCATACCCAGGCTTAGGACACGAACTTGCCTGTAAATTGTACGACGTCCGCTAGGCTCCTATTTCACTCGTGGATATATTCCTCTGTTCCATTGTCAATTTTATGACCATGTCAAGGTCCTCGCCTGAACGCACCAAACATGGGAGCCAGCGCAAGCGGGCCCAGGTTCAGGCTGAATGACAGCATGGTCGCGCACGTCAATGTGATTGCTTTCCACATCGGACTCCAGTTGAGGGGGTCATGAGGATCGTCGCTCGGTTGAGGGACCAAGACGTTGGAGTTGCCACGGCCGGACTTGACGAAATGGTGTGTCCCAACATCCTTCATGATCTCGGTTCCGGGGTAGAGCTTGGTGTGCAGGACGTCTTCCAGCTCCCGGAGGGCGCTTTCGTCGAGGTTTTCCTCCATCACTTCGTACGATCGTCGAAGATATGGCCAAGAATGAATAACGTTCATATAGTGCCCGAAAGCGAGTTCCGGGTTCGCATGAAATTGGTAAAAGCAACTGATTACGAGACCGGATCAGAGAGGGAATCTTGCGATTAAATACCAAGCTGCGGAAGAGATGTAAGCTTATAATGATGGTGATCATTACCCCAGGAAGCTCCCCAGATCTCCCACACAGTGGATGTCCAATCCTATGGTTGACGCTACTGGGATGCTGGAACCCTGGTGGTGGTCATTGTTAGAACGGCACTTGGTTAAGGGGTGCAACATGGCCCTGGTGACACAGAACCTTATCTAGACTACAGCACATCTGAAATCAGGATTTTCAAGCTCTTTCTAACATAGTTATTGTCCTACTTTCAACCGCTAGAAATAATGGCAGCATTCACCTTGAGCAGGCGGAAGCTTCATTTGCCTGTGACAGGTGATGGATGAGCGGCAAAGGGCTTACCCCAACATAATAGGGGCAAGCAACCATCACATCACCCATCACGACTCTTTTGGCATTCGATTCGTTGGAGACCTCCCCTGAAAGGAGCTGGAGGCGCCTTTACACCCCGCATTCAGGAATGTCTCCCGGAACCCTGGCTCATAAATGGTCTCATTCGACTCAGTGGTCGTCGTTGTACGTTCCAGTTCGAACGAAACTCATTGCACCCTACGCTTCATTGGTCAATCGATCATCTGGAAGCGGACGCCATTGCAACGAATAGTAGATTGACTAATCTGCAAATATCTGAGGCAGCTGTAACTCGCCATGACTGATCGATCAAGCGAGATGTAGAAAGACTAGCATGTCTCGCCAGACGCACCAGGCTCGCCTCACGACAGTGGATGCTATGTACCGGGCTGTCATCCAACCAGGAGTCAGCGTAGTTGACATACGAAACTGGTTAAGAAACGCCATGGACAGGTCCCGGATCGGGGAATAGACATCGCGCACGCGTCTGACAGCCCCTTCATCGAAGATAGCCCCCTCCCTGTCCCCGTCTGGGCCCCACCCGCCTCCGTAGACTTCCTCGAGCATCCGGAAATGCTCACCGTTCATCGCAGAGACATCTCTGACAATTCTCAGGTACGCCGTTCCGACAACGAAGCGAGCAAGGCCCAGATCCTGCATGTGAGAAGACTCAGTCACCATGTCCCGAAGCAAAGCGGCGTTGAGCCGGTCTTTGTTGGATTCTGGACTATGTTAGCCCATCCATAGTCATCCTTCAGGATCACCATCCCCATTCGTGACTCTGTCAGATACGTGGCCAATATAAGGCCACGTATCCTTTCCTTTAGTATCTTGGATATATATAGGGCCACTCTGGCCGCTCCAGAGTAGCTGGCATTCCTCTCCTTAATAGAACACTTTGAAATCTCACAGTCTTCCCATTCCTCGAAGAGGCGTTTCCAGGGCAGTAATGCCTCGACGGTGGCATCCATCAGAGGCGGCTCCACGTACGCATACGCGAATTGGAGGAATACATTCAGGTGTATGGGGAACCGGGAATCGAACTCGGCCGCGGCGGCGCGGGCGAGCTGGTTGTGCCGCTCGGTCTTGAGCACGTCTGGCGCGCTTCTGTCCGCGAGAGAGAAAGCGTGACCAGCCTTGCGGACAAACCCGCGGCACGAGAGCTCTTCGGAGACGAATAGCAGGCTTGGGCAGTCTTCATCAGTCGACTATGTCAGGTGAGTGGAAAGGGGCTCGGCTGGCTTCGGCAGGGGTGGGGAAGACGGCAAGGAATCGCGTCACGTTCCCAGGCGGCATTTTGATACCTGGAGTCGGGGGGTATAAGATATGGTGAAGTTTGATTGGACTAGGAAGAGCAGATTACAGCTTGTCGATAAGCGTGATGAGGAGAGCACTCTACACCGATGGCATCAGGCAGTTTATGAAGCTGAGATATGAAAGAAACTGGGTTGCGCGTCACGATGTGTTGGCTTCCCAGCGAGATGTGATATGTTACTTCTCAGGCGAGTCTTCTGAAAACCAGCACAAAGACTCAAAGAGGGGCTTCTGATACTTTTCTGCAATCCAACGATAACTTCAGGACCCCTTGGAGCATCCCATGAACCCTTGCAACGACAGGTCGATTTCTTGGAATGAGTGATCGACTCTGTGACATCCCACACCGCAATGATATAGCCCTGCGTACTTCTTGCAGAGATGATCTTAAGCTAGACCGCCGGGTGCAAAGATCTTCTTGAGCTTGGCTGTGTCGGTCCCAGCGTCATACGTGTCAATCGAGAGACGACCGCAAAGGGGTAAGATCCTATAGTCGACGTTGCAAGCGAGGTTCGGGCCATCCGGGCCATTCGCAAGTGTCACCGTGGAGATCGCGCTACGCAGGACATCCAATAAGGCTTATCGGCTCTACTGTGCTTTTTGTGAAGTCACCTTTTTCTTTAAGTGACCTGTGGAAAGTGACAGAAAGAAGCAATCGTGAGGTGCTGAGATTCTGACATATAGACCTTCGTACATAAGTACGACCATGACATGTAAGCCTTCATGCGCGGGATGATATCGAAAGTTTGACACATAATACGTAGCATTCCGGTTGTCAATGTAGGCGAAAGCCGACTTGACTTCCTCGCACGCGTGACCATAAATGCTCGATCTCTTCTGTGTCTCCTTGATGAGCCAGTAGTTGACGGAAATGCCGACACATGATCACCCTGTTCTTGACGAGACTATATGCACCCTGGTAAGGCTGATCTTCGAGAGGAGCTTTTCTTCTTAGCATGCGTGTACGAGGTGCCGATATGGGCGCTGGCACTTTCTGGCACCTCTTGATCTGGTCCGAGGACTGTCGCATTTCGGCCCGGCCCGTCGGTGGCGATGTGCTCTACCGAATGTCTCGCCTCGCGGAAGGGGACGTGCAGGCACACAGTGTTCCTGTAGAAACATTTGATTTGTATATCTGTTTGTCCCATGCTCCGTCCCGCCGACAAGCAATTCACAAGACGGGGCAGGGGGAACGTTGGCAGGGTCTGACTTCGCCCCGTGATGCGCCCGCACGAGATTGTACTTGGTCGTACTGATGAGGCTGCGGACGATCGGCAGATGTGCCACGGGCCAATCGCGTGTTGGGGTCGCACCTGAGATGGCACGAGGGCAGCATCTGCCGGGCAACTCGAAAGGGATCACGTTCAGGTAGATAATATGAGCCACTGCTTTCCGATTGCGATGGTTGATGTACGATGTCTGCCTCCGGTACCCATAGTGCTCATTGGGTGCCGTAATCAGGCGCCATGCCCCCTTTCCTAGACCATGGACAGCATCCTGTCGAGTGGCTGTCTGCCATGGCGGCATCCATGGCTCTAGAAAGCCGCTACCAACCAAAAAGTCGCAAACGTGAAGGAAAGCTCCGATAGGAGAAACCCGACGTTGCACTGGACAGTAGACAGTGGAGGCCCGACGGGATCGCAGGCGTATGAGGGAGGCTGCATGAATCTGGCACAATTATTAGTCGAACAGGTGGTAAACTAACGACAGCAAGATGGCACCGCCGGTTTCAACTTGTTTTGGTCCGACGAGTCAAGACGACGCACGAGTACCGTTCGTTCTGCAATTTGCAAATTGGGAGGCTCACCGATGACCGGTGGTGATGCATCCCATTCAATCATGCAACGGGTACCTTAATAAGGCTGGGTTGTGTGGTCTCACGTAGAAGAGGATGAACACCTCACGGGCGGTCCCTTGCCTTCTGGAAGCTTGAAACAATGAAACTGAAACACACTGCCCTGACTGCCAAACCTGCCAAGATCAAGACTGCCGATTCGCCTATCGTCAAACCCTGGACCCCGCATGCGAGACGTGCAGGTGGTCATTGGTCAAGCCTTCCACGGTTACCATCAGCCCAGCCAACCGCCAACCGCCAACCGCCAACCGTTGGCAGTCGACGGCACCTGCAGGTACACCCGTGGTGACTGGGTCACTGGTCAAGGCACCGCGCTTTCCCGCTGGCCCGCTGCTCCACCGGGCTGACCGGTTGAGGGACGCCGATCGCAATTGGCAATGACCAACGCCGCCGTCCACTGTCCAGTCACCAGCCAGCACCGTAATTTCCACCCATTCCATTCCACCACCTCATGCTTGGCTGCTTGGCTGCTTGGCTGCTTTGGCCCTGCTCTCGGTGACACGTCCGGTCGAACCTGGAAACTGCCATCAGTTGCTTTTGTTACCGTGGATGATGGCGTGCATGGCCGGACCTGCAGGACGACATGGCACTTGCTGTCTACCTACTTACCTTAGGTAAGGTATATAATATCACCCACCCACCCACACATCGTGAGCTGCCCACTCGTGTCGTCGAAGCCAGGCCTGCATCACCAACAAGCTTCACGTCTCGCTCTCTGCCATTGATACCACATTCATTTCTCAGTCTCTCTCTTTGGTTGTAACTTGACACTCACTGGACCCTGGTGATATCTTCCATTCCTTTTCCCATAGCAGGCTTCTTGGGGTATCCTTTACAGTACCTTCATCTTCCATCTTTTCTTCTCCCCGTTGTCACCACCACCACCATGGTTGCTTCTACCACCGCTGTTGCCCTCGCTGCCGTTGTTGCGGGCCTCACATCGGCATCACCCAACGCGCCCCGGACCAAGGTTGGCACGTTCTCCCTTCCCCAGGTTCGGAACCCCGGCTTCAAGAAACACGGTCCCGCGCAGTTGGCCAAGACGTATGTCAAGTATGGCGCCTCGCTGCCCGACGGCCTGGCCCGGACCATGGCCACTTTCAATGGTCGCTTCGACAAGCGCGACTCGGGAAGCGCAAGAGCCAGCCCCGAGCAGTACGACATCCAGTACTTGACTCCCGTCGAAATCGGCACTCCGCCTCAGACACTCAACCTGGATGTTGACAGCGGCTCTTCCGACCTGTGGGTCTTCAGCACCGAGATGCCCGCGAGCTCGGTCAAGGGACAGGCCCAGTACGACCCCAGCAAGAGCAGCACCGCCAAGAGGGTGCAAGACGCCACCTGGAACATCACGTACGGTGACAACAGTTATTCCGAGGGCATCGTATACAAGGACGTCGTCAACGTCGGGGGCGTCTCATTCGACGCCCAAGCCGTTGAAGCCGCTACCGCCGTATCCCAGACGTTCACGACAGATGCGAACGACGACGGATTGTTGGGTCTGGCCTTCAGCACCATCAACACGGTGCAGCCGTCCCAGGAGAAGACCTTCTTTGACAACGTTGCCAGCGAGCTTGACGCTGCTCTTTGGACCGCTGACCTCAAGTATCATAAATGTATCCTTATTTCCTTTTTTTTCGCTCCCTTGTGGCCTTCGCTTTACCGCACATCACTAACATCTCTGCCAGCCGGTTGTTATGATTTTGGTGTCATCGACGACTCGAAATACACTGGTCAAATCACCTATACCGACGTCGACTCGAGCGACGGATTCTGGATGTTCGATGTCTCCGGCTACGGCATTGGCAACAATACGTTCCAGTCCACATCCTTCCAGGGCATCGCCGACACGGGCACCACCCTGGCGATGCTACCTGCTCAAGTCGTCAAGGCCTACTACAAACAAGTTCGTGGCGCCAAGCTCGACAACAGTCAGGGAGGCTACGTTTTCCCCTGCCAGGCCAACCTCCCCTCCTTTGTGTATGGAGTCGGGAATGCGAGATACGAAATCCCAGGCCAGTACATCAACTACGCTCCCGTCGACAATGATGGAACCACCTGCTTCGGTGGCATCCAATCTGATGCCGGCATCGGCTTCGCCATCCTGGGAGACATTTTGCTGAAGTCCGCTTTCGTGGTCTTCGACGCGTCTGAGAACGTTCCGCGATTGGGATTTGCCAAGAAGGAGCTGTAGGACCGCACACCTCTCGACTCTGGTGGCAACGCGAAATGCCGCCCCTTTCTGACTAGCTGGTTCTGGTGATTTCGATGTGTAGGGAGGGCAACGACGACACGAGCTGTACGATACAGCATTTTTGTAAATCAGCTTTTATTCAACATGCCCAATTGAAATGGTCTAGGCCTGTTCAACTATTACTGTGGCTTTCCTGTTCTGACAACCCGGCTTTTTGACACATATCATGACATGCCACTGAGTGTTGCCGCAATCAAGTATCGGTCCCCTCGCCAGGAATCATCTTGAGTAACTAATAATATGCTCTCGCCGACATCGCCAACCATATATCCTACCCATCGCGCTATCACCTACACCTCTCCTATGGTTGCAGGTGGCTGAGGAGTATTAAATAACAAGGGCGTACAAGGTACTTGAGCAGCAGATACAACAAATTCAGCATGACAGTTGAGGAGATTTGTGCCTCTTCGAGAGACGTCGTCTCTTCTAGTAGGAACTCTAAGCCAGTAGATAGACGAGTTCAGGTTGGTTGATTCCTATTACTGGTACCACTGCCGCAAGCAGTACTCACAATTCTCTTCAGCACACATTGGGCAATGAAAGGACTCGTCAGACATGTACCTAAATCAATGCCTGCGCATTGGTACACGTTTCGTCAACAACTACCTAGTGACGCCTTAGCCGAACAGCAACCATACGCCCCCTAAACCCCAAAATACAGCCCGTCCAACCCCCGATCCGCCATCACTCCTACGAATCATCTGGCGGAGCCGGGTTATCACCGCCATAGATCTCGAAGCCGAACCAGACGGGCCCACAGGGGCCCTCGCCCACGACATGCACGTTGCCGTCGGGCCTGCCGTACTGTTTCCAGGCCGACGTCAGCACGTCGACGACGTCCGTGTCGCCAATGCCGAAGGAGTCCTCGCGGCCGTCCTCGCGCCACACGCCCAGCTTGCACGCGCCCCCCTCGGCCACCACGCCGAGCCCCGATGCCAGCGAGTAGCCCGCGCCGCTGATGTTGAACCAGCCCCCCAGTAGCGAACTTTGCACCTGCAGCGCCGCCGCCACGGCCTTGCAGTCGTCGATGCGCGCCGGCGTGTGCGGCGCGCTGACGCCCGCGTCGAAGGGCGAGAGGTCCTCGAAGACTACCGCGCCGCAGAGGTCGTGCTGCTGGCCGTCGGCCGTCCAGCCCTTGTTGAAGGCGCGGGACGCGAGCTTTTTGGTGTTGGGGTCGGGGTTGCTACGCGTGTATGCGGTTGATACCCGCACGGGCACGAGGCTGCCGTTGGGGTGTCGGCCCTGTAGCTCGACGACGTCGGCGTTGGCGGTGCTGGGCTGGGCGGCGGCTCCGGCGATGCTCGTTGCTAGAGATATGGCTAGAGCCAGGGTCGTGGGGGTCGTGGGGGTCGTGGGCAACTGCATGTTGACGGTTCTTCGCGCGAATCCGCCGGTTGATGGGTGGGGGTTGTGTCTGGCTACGCGGTCGCAGTGGATAGAGATGCGTGGGTTGGTATGTATGTATCTCTGATATCCTGCAGCGGGAAGATGGTCGGCGCGGGAAATCCACTGCTCGGAGTGTAGAAGCTGGATTTTGTAGAGAGAGGGGCGTTCAGATTCAGAAGCGCAGTGCTCGTTGATATATATATAGGAAGCTGCCACATTGTATGATGTGGCAACTATTCAGAGCTCCGTGAGTGGGTTTACGGGTTTTCCATATTCACCGAGCAGGTTTTTCGTCGCTTCCTCATGAATGTCAACGCCCTGGTAATATCGTACGTATGAACGGACAACTGCCTTTTGTAAAGGACGAAACCGGCGCCGCCATCAGGTGAGACACCACCCCCAGCATTAGCATCGTAAAGAGGGGGGCTTCACGACGACAGATGTTGGAACATGCCGCGTCCACTCCACATCAAGAGGCAGGAGGCAAGCCCAGTACGGGCTGACAGTTTTGCTTTGCTCCTCGTCTGAACAGCGTGATGGGGCAATGTGAGCGAGAAACACTATACTCTGATGGGTATCGAACTTGGTCACTGCAGTCTTGTGAATCACGGATCAAGGTGTTCGTTTCCGGTCTTGCGTCGGGAACTTCATCTTCCTCCTCCTGGGTGCGCCGCCCCGTAGCTTGCGCAGCCTCGATGTGAAGTATTGGCTAACAAATATTTTGCCTTGTACAAGCAGTGATTGGCTTCAACCCTTGACCACACCAAAACAAACGAATCTAGTGCTTAAGGGGGTAAATAGTAAGAGTCTACTTTGTTCACACACACCCTGACTGTACAGCATCGGCCAGCAAAAATCTCCCCAACTCCAGCAATAAAACATTCCATCATGAAGACAATCGGGCCTCATTGGAGGTATGAGCTGGGAGTCGACCGTGACACACTACCAGGAGATCAACCGGCACGTCCGCATGGTCAAAGGTGGTCTGCACTCGGCGCCCTGCATCCTCTTCTCCTTCGACTTCGCGCGCATCGAAGCGCTGCAGCACGCCGGCAGATGGGACGAATCAGGGCAGCTGCTAGACGAAGCCGCGACGTCACTCCAGCGCGTCGGCGCTCAGGCAATCTTGCTGTGCACCAATACCATGCACTTCGTCTCGCAGGGCATCAAGACCGCGTCCCACCTGCCTCTGCTGCACATCGCAGACCCGACTGCTGAGCGCATCATCAAGGCCGGCTTTCAGACCGTCGGACCCCTCGGCACGCGCTTCACCATGGAGAAGGACTTTTACAAGACCCGCCTAAGCGACAAGTTTGGGTTGGACGTTGTGGTTCCGGATGAGAAGGGTCGCGCCGTTGTACATGGGATCATCTATAGGGAACTCTGCAATGGCATCACCAGGGACGAGTCGCGCGAGGGGTATTACAGAGTCATTGCAGACATGAAGAAGGCGGGCGCCGAGTGTTTGATTCTGGGTTGCACCGAGATTGGTCTGTTGGTTACCGAGGCTGATGGGCCGTGTGGGTTGCCGGTCTTTGATACGACCAAACTTCACGCGATTGCGGCGGCAGAGTGGGCGATGGGGGATGCTCATTGACCAGACCCTGGTATGCGGGTGATAATAATGCTTTTCGGCGAACTTGAAGACCGCTTCAATGTAGAAGCGGTTGTGTGGGTTGCAAATGATGATACCGTGAACCCCTGAGCTACGACCTGGTCACCACTTATGGGAAGCACGTGCTCGAAGAGCATTGGGATCATGGTGAAGAACGCGATTAATTCTGATATGTGATTGACTGAAAACAAATCTAGAAGAAAGAGGCGGGGGATGATTGTCTGAGTCAAGCCAGGACGTGTTCATTGTCAGCACATCTTATATATCATACAACTTGTTATCCTTGACTATTCTATTCCTCGCTTGTGGTCCCAAGGCTCTCGATGCACGGCCGTGGCTAGATGGCCGTCACACGCACAACTATTGGGCATCTACTTGCCAACAGAAGAGTACGGTGCGCCCTGCCCGAGCATCGTCGTCACGAGGCCGTCAAAGCGCTCCCTGCGCTCATCCTCAAAGGCAGCGAACCGATCCTTGACAGGGCCGATTGGAATCTCATCGTCGCCTCGCGTCAGTCCGGCCCATGTCTCCTGCAGAAACTCGTCGATCGAGAGCCCGAAGTTGGTGTCCCCCGCGGCCCGTAGGTCGTCCTGCAACCCGTGCAGCTCCGTCCGCACGGCCGGCGGGATGATCTCGACCACCCTGATGTGCCGGCTCGCGTCGTCGTGCGCGAGCTGCGCCCGCATCGACCATATCAGCGAGTGCAGCGCCGACTTGGTCGCGCAGTAGTTGGCGCATCGCGGGATGGGCACCAGCGCCAGACCGGATGAGACGGCTATGAGCGCTGTGGGCTTGGGCGCCTGCGCCTGGAGGTGCGGCAGTAGGTACTTCATGAGTGCGATGTACGAAGTGTAGTTTGTCGACAGCTCCTTTTGGACCAGGCCCAGGTCGATCTCTGCGGGCTTCGCGAAGTTCAGCGCGCGCTGGATGCCCGAGTTGAGGACGACGCAGTCGAGCGACGGATAAGTCTCGATGATGCTACGCATGTACATACTTGGTCAACGCTGAGGCCAATAGGGTTTCAAGATGGGAGGACTTGCCCCTTGACCCAGGCCTCGATGCCGTCCAGATCGGTAATGTCGAACTGTGAAGCTGCCGCTTTGCCCGGCCCGTGTTTGGCGACATATGCGTCGAGTCTGTCCTTGCGGCGGCCGACACCGATGACGAAACTGCCGTTCTCGATCATGCGCTCGGCCATGGCCAGCCCCAGGCCAGCTGTGCAGCCTATCATGAGGACCGTCTTGTATGTGAAGGCCATGGCTATCCTCTAGTAGGTAGTCGAATGAATCGCGACAAGTGTGAGTGCCTCTCGTACTATTATTATTATTATTATGGCTTCCGGCAAGGCAATGGAGGTGAATGACGGAAACAATGGACATCCCTTTTAGCATCTGAGTGGAAGAACTATTTATCCTACTCGAGCAGCCCCTCAGGCCCTGAACTACCGCGTCTCCAGTCCCGAGATGCATCTATGATCTCGACAAGGCCAGCAAAGGTATTGATTGGCTGCGAAACATTTTGCCCACTTCCCGGGTCAACCGAGGCGCTTCTGCGGCGGGCCGGGGGCAGCCCTCTCCGCATTGCCTTATCGAATCGGCGTCGTTCGGAAGTGTGCATGTACGGCTGCTTGTCAGACGAGTCGTCGAGCTCCTCGTGGACCTGAATCTCGGCCAAGGCCTGACGATACGTGTCGGGACAGGTTCATGGACACTGGACAGCGACATGAACTCAGCCCTCCTAGTACGTTCGTGATTTTTCCCGTGAGGACTACGGCAGGAATAGGGTCTTATACACTGAATCCGAGGGTAGGTCTCTCCAGCAACACGAGAAGATGCATGTTCCTGTCGAGCGCAAGGGAAGCTGATACGTGCCCCAGAGAACCTTCGGGTTTCCAGATGGAGAATGTGGAATAAGACTGGGCTGCCCGGTCAGAGGTAGAGACAGCACTGCAAGCACTATCGGTTGAACGAGCATGGCATATATTGTTGTGCCATTCATCACTACCTAAGGTATTTGCTATCTGCTTCGGGAGGAGGCAGACGTCAAAACCATTGAGCAGAGGAACGGCTCATTCAGTACGAGGGGTGGGCCATCCACAAGAGTCGTCAGTGCGATGCTCCGTTCTGGCGAGTCCCCTCCGAAATCAGCGTACTCAGTAACTAACAAATGTGCGGGAATGCGTGAGCGAGTGTCATGAAGTAAAACCGCAGGTGAGCAACCTCTACCTCTTGCAGTGGCTTTTTCATCTGCAAGTGCTCTTGTCGACCAATGAAGAAGTGCGCCATCGAGACAAACACGAAGGCCTCGCTCCCTTTGCAGACGACTTCCATGTTTCCGAAGGCCATCCTCGCCCGTAGTCCGGTCTTCGGTTCATTATGAAGTCATATCGAGAAGCGAAAGTTAGCATTCTGTTCTCCCGTCCCATCTGGTCCAGTCCATTCGTGCCCGCGCTCAAGAAACGTGGAAAGGGGCTCTGCCACACCGCGGCGAAGGTCGTGAAAAGACAAGAGACGTTGAGAGCATGCGATCATTACTGCGTAAAAAGTCGGCTTGGAACCGCTTTAAGCTACCGGCATGCTACCCTTGCGCTTCTCAGCGCTGGTGGTGAGCACAAGCATCGGTGCCTTTCGTTGTCCGTCAGAACTCTGCGTCTTGCTCGGTCGTTGAGAGCCATGCTTGAAGACACTGGCAAAGCTACCATCTTCGCACGTACTTGACTGGCTGTCAACACTCCTGCGGGACTTCTGACGCGAGCTGGGTCGATCTGAGCCAATAGCTCCCCAGCTACCACTAGTCGAAGTCCGAGAACTAGCCAGGCTCGGCTCCGCATCGCCCGAGAGACTGCCCGAGCCACTACGCCCAGAGTCAGACTCGTTGTCGGTCAGTGGAGTACAGACCTCCTCAGCGGTCTCCGAGACTGGGCTCATGCTGCCGCAGCTGCTGGTTGTACCTTTGCGTCGTACCATGCCTGCTTTCACCAAGTTGTGGACGGCAGACCGGCGTGTCCGTGCAGAGAAGTTCTTGCTGCCCTCGTATCTGGAGGTAGGCTTGGATCGCAACTCGTCGAGCGCGGGCGGGCCACGCGGCTGGCGAATCGGATGCTCACCAGCGCGTGCTTGACCCGGTCCATAGCCACCATTAGACATGGGCGTTAGCGGGAACGAGGCAGTCTTGAGCCCAGCGGACCTCAGGTTCTCATCAGTGGAGAGAGCGAGCCCCTTGTTATTTGCCAACGAGGAAGACTTCTTATGACCCCGACGGAAGGCGTTGGCAGACGGAGGTGGGAGAGGTGTCGGCTCATCCATAATCTCCACCTTCTTCGGGGGCGAAGTAGTACGATAGACAGGCGGGGTGTTATTCTCCGTGGGAGGAGGGGACACCTGAACACGTGGAGTGCTGCTGTTGTTTTGCTGCTGGTAGAATCCTTGCGGGGTACTGGGTGTCTGGTCCATGGAGATATTGCTGTTCATCTGCTGCGCGGTGTTCTGGTCAACGAAGTAGGTTTGTTGCGTTGCTGGATCGTACACGGCATACATGTTCTGCTGCGCTGGCATGGACGAGTTCATCGACTGCTGCAGGTTCTTCAACTGATGCTGCTGCTGTTGATACAGATTCTGGAGAGCCATCTGCTGATGAGCCATCTGTTGCTGCAAAGCCTGCTGTTGGAGTGACTGCTGTCCGTTCATGTTCATGCCCTGGAACTGTTGAGCTGCTGCTTGTATGCTGAGTAACTGTTGTTGAAGCCGCTGCTGTTGCTGGGCTAGATAAAGATTGGTCGTCACCAGCTGGGCGTACAGCGACGGATCCAGCTGTTCTTGAACCTGTTCATCCAGATGAAGCTCGGGAGGCGCCAGAATCTGCTCAGGGGTGTAGTGCTGGTGACCCATTCCCATCATGGAATGATTCATCTGGCTGTAACCTTGATGCTGCTGTTGCTGCTGCTGCTGAGTCGGCATGCGAGGCAGTGAGGTTTTGGGACCACTGTGATAGGCGTGTTCTGGGGCACCGTACGCGTTGCCGGCAATGCTGCCGGTCCTACTGCCAGACATGTGAGGCTGCACAATCGAAGTGGCTGAAGTAGCGAAAGAGGTGGCTGTAGCGGATTTTGGAGCGGTTCGAAGGCCTGCGAGTAGATGACCACGGCTCGTTCGCGGGGTGGGGACTCCGTTCTCAGTGGTATCGGTCGGAGACTTGAGGGCATCGAAAGATAGCGGTTTGATGTTCTGGCCACCACCGCGGCGGGAGGCCAGGCCGCCCGAAGGCATGCTCAGCCCGTTGGGCGAAATAAATCCGTTGTGCGACATTTGAGCGAGACCGCCGGTGTCCAAGCTCGACAAGTTGGGAATAAAGCTGCGATGTGTCGTGATGACTGCTCGGCGATGAGTCGAAGCAGACGATGAAAGAGGCGTCCGCAGCGTCTGATTAGAAGCGAATTCTATGTAATGAATGGACAACTGCCTCGGAATTGGGCGATCGGAATGATATTAGAACCAAGTATATGGTGGGGAATAGTGGGAATCCGCCTGTGGATTTGTGATTATTATGGTAGTATTGCTGATGCGGTCGAAGAGCCGGGCAACTGGTGCTCTCTGCTCGGGTGTAAAGACGAGGATTCGGAAGGATGTTCGTATCAAACGTGGTTTGCCGGAAAGGAACCCTTCACGAATCCAAGAAAGCAAGCTGGCAGAGATGGAAAGCTGTAGACAAGAAACAGAAGATGGATGCGACGGTAGTTGTGTATGAGGCAGATCTGCTTCTGGCGGTAATTAAAGATGCCTTGCGGGTGAAAAAATAGTCGTGTCTGAATGAGCGACGGATATAGAGTTGCGGAAGATGGGGAAGCGACGGAGCAAAGCTGGACAGGACCGGACAAGTTGGCTGGGAAGCGTCGAGGGTAGTTTTGGCTGTGCTACCCAGGTCGAGGCTGTCAAAGAAAGGACGGTGTTGGGCGAATCAAGGCGACTGCTGGGCGCGATGGATACGGTCTCGAAGTGCAGTGCAGTGCAGCGCAGCGCAGCACGAGGCAGGTGAGGAAAGGATGTGGAGGCGAAGTGGAAAGAGAGTCGAGTCTCCTTGTTGTCTCGAGTCGTTCGAGAGCGCGCAACCGGAAGGATGGTATTGTCACTTTGCTTTGTCGTGGTGAGCGGTGTCGTCCAGACAGGTCGCACGAAACGAGATCAAAGAGACAATTGACGTAGCTAGCCGCTCAGGGGCAATGCGATGCAATGCGATGCGATGCGATCTAGGCCTCTCTTTGTCCTGATCTGCTACCTCTCCTTAACAGATCGAACCGAATCGTATTGACGTGAACAGTGACGCGAGATTACGGCAAGTGTATCGGTATATGATGGTATGCGTTGCGATGCGAAGCGCCGTTAATCGAAATCGAAGTGGGCGAAAGCGTTGCTGCAGGAAGGGAAAATAAATAAAATGTACAATGATTAAGTTTAGAGTGATGCAGTTGGGTCTTCCAGAACTTGGGCGGTGGTGCGTGCTCCTTTTCCCGTATCGTCCTCTTCTTCCTTTCCCGAGTCTGACGGTGATTGGGGGTTGATGGTATCTTGCTTTCCTTTGCTCGATCAACGACGACGGCCAGGCCAACGACGTGTGATGGGTGCTGTGAGCTGTGATACGAGCGCACAGAGAAAAAAAGGGAAAGAGCCTCGAGGAGGATGCGAGGATGGGACCCGGAGGGCTCAGGGGAGGGAGAGGAAAAGGAAGGGCGTCTGGTGTGGTGGAAGGAGGGGATGGAAGAAAGAGAAGATGGAACGGCAGGCTGCGGTCGAAGTGCGAGTGCAGGTGAAGGAGGAGGGAGACTCGGAGAACGGAGAGCGGAGAGGGAGGACACTGGCTGGCCAGTGATTGCCCGACAGTGAAATTACTTCCACCTAGTAGCGATGGACCCCCGGAACGACAGCCCTGGAGGCGAGTCCAGCTGTCCAGTTGGCACCTGCAGTGAATGAATCCAATGGGACGAAGGCTCTTCAGTGGATGGACCGGCGCACGGCGCACAAACAGCTGTAAGCAGGAACTGTACGAGTATCAGGTACCTAGGTAAGGTAAGTACCTGATAGACTGTGCGGAGATGGGTTGTCGGTGCTGGAGAGGAGTTGTGGTTGGCTGCAGCCTGGGGACTAATCGCGACTGGGGAAGCTACACAGTGCGAACTGCTACTCACTCCACTCATTGGTGAGCTGATTCCATTGCCACACCCAGTGGCAGCTGTCACAATCACAGGCTGGGGCGGTCAGTCTGCGGCCCCTCATTGGCTCGCCTAGTAGGTACCTAAAGTACATACATTAGGTACTGTGCCTGCATTGGGCTGGAAGGTTGATGGGCCGAAGACCAACTGCATTCACCTGCGAAAGTGACTGCACACTCACACCGTAAGTTAAAAATTAAAGCTCTTGGTGGCCAAATCTGAAGTGGTAGGGCTCACTCGGCCGAGTCAGGGGGGCAGGGGGGAAACTTCGTGGATGAAGTTATGGTCCATGGATGAACTTGGGGCACTGGCAAGTTGCAACTGGGCCTGGCCAGTGGCCACTCACAGCTGCAGGCCGTCAGGGGCGCACAGGGGCTGCTGCTGCTAGGGGTTGGTCGTCCAGGGTACCTCGGGCTACGTCTCTTGCACCACCACCATACCTAACCTAAGGTAGGTAGGTACACAGTAGGAGGACGATCACCGCTCGGCGCTCACACAGCGACAACTCACAACCTAAGTCTCGAGGTTGCAAGTGCATGCAACTTACCAGCGTTGGAAGCAGAATGCCAGACGTGTACTGTACAGAGTATTACTATATAAAAGTGCATCTAGCCTTAGGGAATTGTGCTGAGACGAGTGCTCACTGCTGGCCACAACTGTGTGCTCACAATGGGTGATGGCCAGATGGCTCATCGCCTGTTAAGAAGGTATCACGGACTTGAAGGCATGCTGGCATGGTCATTGGTGGCGGCCCAGACGTGATCTATCTAGGCCTGCAGGCTGCAGCTCTCTTCAACGTTTGGCCTCTTGTAGCCAGCCAATCGACCTCTCTTGCCTCTCTCCGCACGTCTGCATCCAATGTCCGTCCACCTTCTGCCCCTCACCCTCTTTCGCCTCTTGAGTCTTCTGCCAGCGGCAACGAGACCACAAGTCGCCGTCGAGCATCTACTTGGCCTTTTCGATCAACCAACCGACTCTTCTCTGTCACACAGCTGGCTCATGTTTATTTAATCAAGGTGTTGCACAATACACCGCCCTCGCTGTCTTCAACCTGGGCTTGTCCACTCAGCACTGTCCACAAAGGGGACCCCAGCGAGCCCAGGCCCCAGGAACCCCCCCCCCCCCCCCTGGTGATCTACCTATTATTACTGACAACTGTACTGTACCAGTCAGCCAGTCAGCCAGTACCTACCTATCCATGCTCAAGGGACGTTTCATAGTACTGAAACCCAGCAGCCCCAGCACCTATCCTGGACTCCTGGCCTTCCTGAAATGAGCATTGACGCGTCTTGGACTCTTGGTATTCGGCTCACATTGCCGTTGACCATTGGGCCTTGGGGCGTTCAAGGCCGGAGACAAGCGAGACAAGTGGCCACGGCCCACGACACGCCAGCATAATAGTACTTAACCCACATGGCGAGTTCCAACACCACACATCGAACTGCACACGTCCAACTTCCGAGGCCGGTGTCAAGAGTCAAGACTCGACTTTCCTGGTCCCATCTACATACCAACCAACGTCGTACCTAGAACCTGGTACATAGGCGCGATATATACTTAAGTAGTGATAGGGCCTTGTGATCAAAGGTTCGGATGCCCCAGCCCCAGACTCCAGTTACTAAAAACATCTGAGACGTCCTGTAGAGACAGACCATGTTGCCGGGGTTGCAGGGTTGTGACAGGTCGGCTAATAATAATACAACGCCATCTCGAAGGATTCATCGTTCGAATTCTTCCGCGCTTGTCCTCAGCTAGTTAAGTTCTTGCTGGTCAGTGATCACCATACCTTATGCGGCGTTGCGTTCTACCTCTCCTGCAAGCCGACGGCGCCTATTCTGTAGCTGACGGCTTGCCGAACCACAGAAGCTCATCAGCGAACGCAGGCGCGCTCCTGGACCCTACCTCATGTTCATACGTGGCTGGTCTCCCATCCACTCGTTTGCTGCCCGCTTGCCGGTTCCATTGTCAGCGCCTGGCCTGTTCCCTACTACACGCTCGTCGTCGCTGTCGCCGTCGCCAATTGGCTGACCGAGTTTGGCTGGCCATGAATCATGATGTCGATCGTGAGGATGAACCACCACCATCACCACCACCACCATCACCACTCTTGGGTCCATGGTACGGAGGAAGAGGATCATACCATGGGATGATGCATGTGTGGATGCAAGCCCGGGGCGCTGCAGGAAGCATTGCCCACGTGTTCGGCTGGCGGCTGACGGCTGACGGCCGTTCCAAGGCTCGACGCTCAGCCTGCCGCCGTCGTCGCACAGGCTGGGGAGTCGTCATGGTCTCCTCGCAGCGCGTGGTCGACACGTGATCTCGCTCAGGGGATCAATCGCGGCCTTCAATGTCGTCACACATGGGTAAACCGGCGGCCGGTTTAGTTATCATGAGACTTCTTTCGAGATCTTCCTATTGGAATGCGTGCATTTAGCACACTCGGGCTCGCTGAAGAAGCTCGGGGCCACCCTCGTGAGGCGAGTCTTGCAATTGGAAGTACACGGTTGATGCTTGCGTGACTGTCTTGCTATGCTTCAAAAGACAGGCGCCTTTCGTACGCTGTGACACGGAGTCCGGCAGTCTGGCAATCCTGCAGTCACTCATCGTGGAAGCACTCGGGCTACCCGATGGAGGGCATCAGTCACATATTCAGTCGAGAGTGCACACTGCTCTTCTTGAGGTGGATATCGCCGCTCTCATGACAGCATCGTGCTGCCCTTATCCGGCGTCTAGCACAAAAAGAGCTGCAACTTGTACTCGACGGCGCCGGTGAGAGGGTTCGAACAACTCGGCCTGTAGTCACGTCAGCTGAGGAGCAATCCCTGGCCTAGCGAGTTCTTTCCATGCCAGCCAGTCGCCTCGATGATACCAAGAAGAAGTCGATATTTTAGGTAGGTGCCCGGTCTCGCGGGCTTGCATCCGTCCGACTTGGGTGAATTCTTGTCATGGGGATTATGGTACAGGGCTTTGCTGGGCCTACACCAAGGATTCATATTCCTCGTATCGAGATACATAGGGATATGTAACTTCCGCATGGTTCTGCAGTGTATTGGGTGTAACAAATTCATTTGCTCTGGTGCAACGCGACGCCTACCTATGCCATGTGAATCTCTTGCAGCTGAAACTGGGAGCAGCACTTGCATCGCGAGCACATCACGATCTACTTGGTGCATACGACTCGCGCTCGGGGGTTTTTTAACCAACCAAGACATACTGTCACTGCCCTGGGTCCGTTGGTACACACGCATGGTTCGCTTCTATTCATGGACCTCCCTCGTCATACAATCACTAGGGGAAACTGGAACTCCCCCCAGAGGCTTGGAGGGCTTCTGTCTGCGTTCTCAGGGGTAAGGTATCTTGTACTGATCTACAAGGTCCATTCTCAAAGTCGCCGTAGGCAATTCTCGAAAGACACAACGCCTTGGATGGACCTGCTGGGTGATGTCTCTCTATGGAGAATTGGGAGTTCACACCGAGACTTGGACCAGCGACCCCGTCCTCGCACCCCTATCGAACTCCAGGGACAGGGTAAAATCAAGCTATATATATTAGGTATAGGAGAGTCTGCGCGCGTGCTTTTGTCGCAACGTGTACCCGTGACTATGCACAGCGAATTGTCCTGCGCAGCTCCCCATCACGGTATAAAGGAGAGCTCCTCAGCTCCATTTCAGAGGGATCCTAAAAGGGAAAACTCTTTCTTCTATGCTTCCGATTAGCTGTATGTGATAGCTTTTGAAATATGGCATGTTCTCTTGCCCAATCTCTTTGCCTCTCAGGATGGCATTGCTCGGTTCCAACATCACCCTACGCAGTCGCTGAAATACGGGCACCAACCAGACTCCCCAGGGCTTTCCGGGCTGCCGAGATGAGCATGGAGTCGTGCTTCAGAATACCCCTTAAAGCCCAGGCTGGGAAGTCGTCCACCCGTGACGGGGTCCGCCCATCGGCGGTGATGGTCACAACAGTGGCCCATGAGCGAGGTCTCAACAGATGCCAGAATAAGCAAAGCGAGCACGTGTGTGCTTGTCGTCGCGCACTTCCTGGTCGTCGTACTTGAAGGCTTACAGACTCGGAGTCCATAGTCAATAACGAGCCCTATCAGGCAGTTCCGCTCGTGAAGGTGCTTACGGTCTCCTCTGACCATGTCGATTGCATCAGTGTTCTATAGGTCAAGGGGTTCCAACGGACTCCGGTGTTGTCGGAGACAGGTGCAAGCTTCTCCCCGTCGATCGTGGCTTCTGGAGAATGTCCCATGGTAATACATCAACGTTCTGAGCTCGGTGGAACGGTTGACGACATCTTGAAAGCTACCCTCTCAAGATAGCAACTTGGGAGCCTAAGTTTCTTAGTTTTCAAATGGGACCAAGGTCGGATCGGTTTGCCATAAGTCCAACGCAGGAGTTTGCGATTGGTAATGGCAACACCAGCAGCAACGATCACGGCATCAGCATGATACGGATGGAGAAGAAATCGGATCGAACCAGCCGCCAAAGCATTGTGACTGTGTCGTACCGTTGTTTCTCAGGTAGCTTCAGTTCTCATTGCTTATGGATCGTTGATATTCCTGAGCCTAGCAGCCTTTCCCTACTACCCGACCAAGGCCCAGCTCATCCTGTCTGACACCGGAGCCGTCATTTGATGTACTGCCCAGATCCGGCTTGTCAGCACGCTGACCGACTTTCCAATGCTTAGCCGAGGCGTGTGGTCCAGGGTCGATCCGGGGTAGACTTTCTATCACCGTCCACAGGACACTTCAGGGGCCATGGCCTGCCATCGTTGCGTGTCCTTTTGCTCGATGCGCTCCCCAAGGCAGATACGCTCTGCAGACGACATTGGCCTATCATCGTCCAAAGGGTGAATCTGTGACGGCTCTTCAGAGGAACAACCTGCCACCCTGGGACAGTAGGTAGGTACAGCCCACAGGTACTCCCGCGAGGTAAGGCCCGTTTTTGTAAGGCCACGCCTGGTCAATGTAGGAAGAGCTTGAGCGGGATAAGATGAGAACCTTCGGTTGGATATAGTCGTTGCGCCAGGAAGATGAAGTCAAGAGTGGCGTTGCCACGGCAAGATGGATGTCCCCAAGAGGATGTTCATGACATACTGCCTGGGGCCAAGGTCATTCGCGGCGTTGCCGAGATCGACACACGAGACCCTGAAGCTGGAAAAGCATCAAACAATGTCACGATACGTACTTAACCAGATACAGTTCCACGGAAAGTCCCGTATGCCAATGCCTGCCTGGCTCGTGAAGTCCGAATGCGATACCGGCCCAAACACGATTAACGTCAAGCTGGGATGTAAACTGTTAAGTTCGAGCTGATGTGGCTTTACCATGCGTGACAATCTCTTCAAGAGAGTCCCGTACCTGTGCAGCTAGCTCAGCGGCAGTAGGCGTCGAAAGAACCCAGATGTACTATCGGCTGCTTCTTTGACATGCCGGATGTGGCATGCTGCCAGGTCCTCGTAATGGCCCGAATACATCATATGATCTCGGGAATTCTTACATGTCCTTGATATAGGTAATTTACGGAAGGTGCTGGTGTTCGCATGAAATCGACCCTGACGCTCGAGCCCCGGGTCAAGGCTGACGTGAGATTGCTCGGTAGATTATTCTGAAGGATTGCGCAGACGCGGCCCGTAGCCAGCACACGACGCCAGAAGCCTCGGTCGAGGGCAGGCTGACAGGAGGCTCGGGTAGGGCGCCCTATTCGAAGGATCAAACCAAAGTACCCAACTACTCGGCGGGATCGAAGCTGCGGGCTGCATGCAAGGGATGTTGGGTCTGACCAAATTCCCGCCAGGGTTCGGGTATAAAGATAGGGATGAAACGATATGTAGAGACAGCGCTATTCCTGGCGCTCGGTGAGCCTTGCTGTCCAGCCGTGCAGAGATCGTCCACCGCGACGCGACGGCAGCCGCTCCCCCGACTGGATGTTACCGTACTTCTGGCTGGGCTGCATGCGGCAGAGATCGACAAATCGGCTCGCATGCGGCGGCAGCCTTATAGGTGGATCGCCGCGTGTAGATACGCCTCTTATCTCCTTGTTTGGGAAACAGGCGTTTGGCAGATCGATCCAGTGGAGTGGGCAGTCAGGTTCACCGCGGCGAAGAAGCCTCAGAAGACCAGTATCTGACCAGGGCAGTCCGCGACGGCCGCCCACCCGTTGCCGAGGAGAAGCGTTTCGGGCCTAGGGGTGTTCTCGGATTTGCCGACTGATTACTTGATGAGTCGCAATCCAAGGACAAAGACGATTTGGGCTTCGGTAACATTCCGAGCGTAGAGCGCATGCTAGCTGGAAAACCTGTTGGAAGTTGGTTCTATCGTGGCTGAGCAGTCAGGATGGTACGTATTCCCTGCTACCCCCCAGGATGCGGCGAAAGACTCGACGACCTGATCGGCAGAGCCGAAGCCGCCGTTCGGTAAGCAGGTGGGACCGAAAGAAGAACGCATTATTGAACGCCTCGGTGGACAAAGTGGCAAAACTGCCAGGTCCAAGTTTCATGTACTTGAAGTGATTTATGTACACGAAAAGTTTGGACAAGGAAAATGGTCGTTGCAGCCGTTAGGGAGACATGGGATATCCCAAAACTCCACTTCCCCTATCTCTTATGCCATAACCAATTGCCATACCAAGCTTCACCACTCCAAAAGTCCAACACGTTGGCGGTACCTATCAGAATGCAGTAAAGAACGACGTGACCAGTGATGCTCAACGAGTTGCGGCACACCGTCCTTGCAGAAAGATCCGACACTGCGACTCCCAGAGAAATGCGCCGTAACGCCTGTGAGACTACTCTTAATCTGATGTTTGTGTGGCAGTGCCGGTTTATCGCCGCTGATCCATGGGTACATTGTCACCATAGAAGCCCCCCTGGCTATCGTGACCGTCTTGTCCCGTTGATGCCATACAAGCCAGACAAACACCTCCGTCATAGACGCGAGTATGTCGCCTCCACCCCGCCCCCGAGTCGTCAGTAACCGAGATAATCTCCCTTGGCTCGAAAGACTCGTGCGGCGCCAGTGGCAGCATTGGACTCGAGGACGGGGACGCACTTGGCGAGTAAGACGACGCTTTGCTGCCTAACTCCGCAGGAGACGTAGACTGAGGTGAACGGAGTGGCAGTACCTTGGTGTAGGATCTACGTCTCGGTTTTTGATATGAGATCTGAGTGCCCGACACTGCCGTCGAACTTGATTCTGAAGAAGTGACGGGATCGTATTCTGGGCCCGCATGATGAGAAAGGCTTCGCTCGTCGTCGCCACTGATCGAGGCCGCAGAACTCGGACGATGATCCTGAAAGGTCAAGCTGCCCGTGGAGATGGTGAGTGGTACTGGTGGCAGCGGTGGCGGAGGGCGAGGCTTGAGGGTTCGCGGGAGGGTTGCATCACCCTTCCATGATTCTGACATGTCTTCCTGCGACTCTTCTTTGCTGTTTCGTTCACGGGACCTGCTGTGGCTTTCCCGAGCTCGAACCTGGTCCAGGTATCCGTCTTGTCTGATGGAAGACACATCAGAGACCGTGTTGGCTGACATGATACTACTCCTGGTGCTGACTCCACGTGATTGGTCTGGAAACCCGAGTTTGTGCTGGCTGGTCGTAGCAATGGCCAGCTCCCTGGGGGAGTGGCCAGCGCGTGGTTTATATCTTCCCCCGAACCATACGAAAAATGCAGCGAGAAATACAGATCCCAGAAGAGGAACAGTGAGATGGAGTAAGAGCCGCACCTGGACCGAGGACAGTGAACTCAAGGTGGCGTTACCATGGGGCAGCTGCTGCGGTAGGTTGACAGCGGGCATACCTGCTGTTTGAGGAAACTGATAGATGTATTCTCATGGCTGTCTGGGGCTGGCGGGCTTGTGCTACTCCGGGGAGGGTGGACCAGATTGTCGATTAGGACAACCTTGATACCGAGCAAGGAGGACCCCGCTGAGGCGAGTAGATTTAACAGTGATGCTTGGGAAGATACGTAATACTCGGGTGCCAGGCCGCCAGGGAGCTGGCAGGGTTGCAGAGGGGTGAGCGGATCTGATATGTAAGAGGGCGGCGGGAGGGCCAATACGGGCACGCCGTTGGCCAGAGGCTCAACAAACAAGGCTCTGCCGGCGACGTACACGGCCGCGGGAAGGGAGTGACAAAAGATCTGCGCCGAGTACCAGCGAGAAAAGTAAACAAGGTAGAGTGGTGGCCACGAGAGACCAACGTGAGATTCCCCCACGCTCATCCAGAAGCCAGTCGAGCCTTTGATGTCAGACTACACAATGGGCAGCTTGCCATCCGGTTGGTTGCCAGAAAAGAAAGGCGGGACCTTTGTCATGAACAGGCGACCTACCGGTGACAGAAAGAGACATATATATGAACAACAGCTGGGCGAGCACGACACCAAGAGCGGCCCATCGCGGGATCTGACTTGGCTGGATGGAGAAATATAGCCAGCCAGTCTCGGTTGAGGCCCACATGAGACAGACAGTAGCCAGCGGCAGCCCGTATCGTAATAAAATAAGGGTCGTTGGAAAGGCCAGGCTGGGGCGGGTGTGCCAATACTCCAAGCGCGGGCCGGGTCCGGAAAGCAGTGGTGGATGGGGGATGAGCTTCGCGTTGATGACAGTGGTGGACAGACTCCCATGTCAGATGTCAGATGTCAGATAGAGGTCAGCGCGGTGACATTAGAGTGACATTAGAGTGACATTAGAGAGGGAGGTCGAGTGCTGATTCCTGAAGTGTCTCTGAATGCAAGGAAGACGGGAGGTCCCTGTCTGCCTCTGGGAACATTGAAAGCTGAACGACGGCCAGCCAGTAGTCTCGCGGGTCCATGTCTCGGTAACACTGTTGCTGCGAGGGCTTGGCAGATGCGCTCACCCTATCGCACCCTATCATGGCCGAATGGTGTTCTGTCAGCACGGCTGAACTGGGCCACGGCCTTTAGGCTTCAGACTTCCTGGTTCGTGTCAGCCCCCCCTGCCAACTCCAGTAACGACGAGGCCGTCACTTTGAGTAGGTAACACGGCCAGGTCTCGAGGTCAGGTCTCCTCAGCTTGGGGGCGACGTGGTATTGTATACGGTCTGCAGTCTGCGGTCTGCGGTCTGCAGTCTGCATGTCGCCTTCAGCTGAGCAGATGGTGCCCACACACGTGCCCGTGCATTCGCCCTGTAGGCTGTGGACTGTTGGTTTCTCGTATCCGAGCACATCCACCCTCGTAAGCCAGTGGCAACAACAACATCAATAATATCAACAACAATAACAACAACCGACGTCTGCAAAACAACATGCAGTCCCATCGTTCATCACCGACCAGGCGGTAACGAATCATGCCCGGCCGTGGACGTCCGGTGACCGGGTCACACACACAGCCCTATCGTTGATCGCCGTCGCGTCGAGATCGAAAGGGAAGGACTGCGGATCAACTGGTGAGGCAAGCTACCTCCTTACTAAGGTACTACTAACTAGCACACACCGCCTCTTCCGCCAGTCATGGGAAAGCACTGTGCACTAGGCACTGTGCATTGTTAGAGTGTTCTTGTGCTCGATAAATGAATAATACATAAATGCATGACATACTCCTCTCAGCCCTGTGGATCCAGAGCATGGACCATATGGAGTATCCCGATAACCCCACCAGATGTGATGGAGGTCAACGGATAAAGGATGCCTGGCAACCCACCTGTTGCCCCAGGTACCTCACCACTGTAATTTAGGTGTTTAGATACATCTCGGATGGAATCCTTTCCATCCGACCTTTTAATCAAGCACCACCCAGACCACTGATAGATTACAACAAGACTTGTGATTTGTCAGCATCTGGGAAAGCTACCAAAAGGCACAGCCCTACGAGATCTGCACCTCTGCCGAGACGCCAGGGACGCCCGCATGCAGATCGCGCTTCCATCTTCCACTTATTATCCATTTATCCATTGGTCCCGTCCGACTTCCCCCCTTTCCTGCCAGACAGAGTCTAGGTACTGCCCCGTACCTTAACCAGCAAAAGCTGCTGTCTTCTTCATATCACATCAATTGATGCAAGGGTCATGTTTGGTCACATGGAGTAGGTAGGGCCCCAATCTCTCGAGTCTCTGCGATGTGGCCCCGTGGGCCATGGACCATCGCACCGCCTCTATGGAAACCTGCATCGCTCTGGCCGTTGGCTACCCTTCGCTGCGGTTCCAACAGGCTATGAGTCGAGCGTGGGTAGTTCATCCGGCCGAGTGATTGTGCCGTCGGCATGTGACAGGCAGGTGTATGTACGATGCGACTGTCCCGGGCTCTGACCGCCACTGGCTTCTACGCTTTTGCCCAGGTACAACATAGGGCCCGACCGACACGATGGAAATGAGAAGATGCGGATATCGCCTCGCGCAGACTACAGGCACTCCTACTGGCCCGTTTACGGCACACGTCCCCGATCACGTAACGGGACCGCGCCGGTGTTCACTTGGCTCGTCCCCTTTCTCCAGGAGACAATCTCTATCAACTCCAGAGAATCAGTTGATGCCGCCAGATACACCTTGCTGACGCTATGGGTACGCCCTAGCCCTGGTCAGCTTGCTTATGGACACCGGTGTTTGATATCTTACAGAAAGGCTCCGTGTTGAATCCCGAACTGCTGATGAACGAACGCACCTGATCAGATGACGGGTGACCATCTGATGTAAGTCTGAGCTGATATCATGCAGGAACTCTGCTCGATGCTGGACCAGCAGCAGTACATGGTTACACGCATTCGCCCATGTTGTGTGCATTATTCGCAACATAGCGAGATACCCGTCGGTAAGCCCATGCCGTGGGAAGTCTCAGGACGCACGAATTTTACATATCGAATCCGAGCAGAGCCGACGTCTTCCGTTCTAACCGTGACTTCCATTGTCGTGCTGACAGCTTTGGCTGGTTTACATGACGAAGCAGACATACCATCTCGAGTGTGGACGGCACATCGAGCATGCAATAGCAGGCGCCGTGTCGTTGTTGCACGCCCGGATAACAAACTACTCGGCTTGCTTATCTGACAGCCGAGTGTACATTCGTCCCAGGACTCCTCCCCCCTAATCACTGGACAACAACCCGACTCGACGCGGCTTCGATGACAGGTCTCCTTCGTTCGTAGGGAGGGGACACTGGGTATTTCTGCTCATGAAAGCCTTAAACGGCAATGACAGGAGGACTGTCGCGATAATACCGAGATGTCATGGTCTTTCGTTATATCCCAGCCCTCACTCAACAACGTCTTGGCTTGGAGCTTGAGTAAAGGGGACCTTGGGGCTAGCTGATGTGGTAGGCCTCTCCGAGGTTCGACGACGTAGTTACGTCTCGGTGAGAACAGTAGGCAATTGGAGCTAGAAACAGTCTGTGGAAAGGATTTAACCTGGAGTGGTCAGCCCCGCGGCTTCGTACAGTCTGGAAGCCTAGTTTGAATCCGTCCAACACCGGCTGATATAACCATACTGGTAGGTAAAATGCCAATCTCATGTTCTGGAAAACAGGACAGCCTTGTTCGCTCCCTGTGATGCGAGAAGAAAGTAAGAAATCATTGACAATAGTTGCAGAAGAGCTGACCTTCTACCCGTCCAAAATAGTACCCAGCATACACACGTATGCGCCCTCTGCGCCCGCAATCGTCGGGCCAGTCTTCGCCCGGTGAAGTCAGATGGTGAAGTCAGATGGTGAAGCGAGGGCAAATGTCTGCCAGTCGAAGATAACCCCGGCAGGTTGCTGAGTGGGAGGCTGGCCGAGCTGCAAGAGCCGCCCGACCCCAAGGAGGGATAGGTTCAGTAACAGCAACACAGCCCAACTGCTTCGTCATTTCAACCACTTTGGGCGGTACGGTATCAACATCTATTGGAGCGGATCACGCGACGTCAAGACTGCAGGCTTTCGAGGACAAAGGAAAAACCCGAGGTTGGCTGGACGTTGCTCAACCGCCCCAGACAAAGAGCTCGCCGAGAACAAAGAAGCCCCTGAGCCTCGACCAGATGACCGCGTGTTACTTCGCACCGTCGCTTGAAACCAACATTGCACTGCTCTTTGCCAGATATATGGCCTCGCTTCCCAATATGAAACCGTTGATTCGGTTTGCAGCGTATGTTGGGCTGTCTGTTCAAGGAAATCAACTTCGAAATGGAGCGGATGACTCTCGACGACAAAGAAGCATGTTATCGTTGGGCTCTTGTGATCAACTGTGGAGTAACCGTTGGCTTCTAGGTGTTACATTCAGCCAGAGAAACAGCAGCTCACTGCTGTCCGTGGGCAGGAATTTTGATACTTAAAGGTGTAGTGCTCGCTAACTCCTACTGCTCCTTTTGATTCTCTCAGACCCTATGCACCAGCAAACCACGGACCACAAAATCAGACCATCAACGCGGGCAGCATGCCTGTGGCAACCTATTAGACTCACTCATGTTTGATGAAGAGAGCAACGATATTCCCAGCCCACCATCACCTATATCAGAAGGAACCCATTCGGAAACTTTGAACCGGCCTTTTACACCAAGTTCGTGTTCAACACCTCGTTCACTGTCCATACGGAGCGATCTCCAGTCTCCTTGTAACCCATTCACCAGCAGTAGTGAACGTCAATATTCCTCATCAGCAGGAGACACTCAGCAAGATATAAGACAACACTCCGCAGCGCCTAACAGGTCGCGGCATTCGGCCTCGTACGAAGGTCCCTCCAGAATATCATCTGATAACCTGGAACCAGAAATATCCTCTAAAGATACCAGACACATGGCGGACAGTAATAATGATCTGGGTCGACAAATGATGGACGTAATCAAAGGTGCGCAAGGGATCAACAACACCTTCGCCTTTTTCCTAGAAATCATCCTCAAGACTGGGCTGCTGCTCGCTCTTACCGGCGCGCTCTGGTATGGCCCCCTGTTCATAAGCATCTGGATCACCGATCCCCATCAGCTGTCCCACCCCTATCTGGCCGAGCTAGTGCTGGTTCTCGCTGCTGTACCGCTCTCAGTGGCCGTTTTGGTGCTCTCTTTCAAATCAAAGAGGAGGGTGAAAGGGAGCAGATGGCGGATGTTTTTGCCTTTGAATGTGGTCACGTCCGTGCCGTGGGTCGTATCCTGTGGCTTGGTGTGCAAAGGATTGATCAAAGACTGGAATATGCCGAACGAACCGGACATGTATCTCCCAGGAGGTCACGTTACTGCGGACCTGAAGGCGGCGTTGAGGGCCTTCTCTGTCGTCACAATTGGCGGCACCTTCTGCCACCTCTTTCTGATTGGCTTTTATTGTCTTCAGGGCGTTCTTTCTTGCCATTGAATGCACTGCGATTATAACACGGCGAGATAATGATAACGTCAACGGAACAAAATGAATTAGTGGAGGAAGCGGTGAAAGAAGTCGAGCGCATCCGACGCCTCAAACGCCTACGAAGCCTCCCGGCCGACGCCGCGGCGGCCAACGAGCCAGCCGGATGATTAGCGGGCTTCACGTTGAAGTTGGAGGGGCGAGAGAAGAGGAAAGAGTTTGATAGTCTTTGGAGATACCTCACCCCTTGCAATGGGGCCACAGCATAAAATCGCAATTTGCAGAAACTACACTCGGGTGTGATATTATCAAGATGTCTGTTCAATGCTACAGCTCAGGGCGAACACATGTATATTTGCCCCGCCCCTTGGACTCAGGTCGATATCTTTGTTACTTGTTCGCCATGACCAGGACACTCACTGTTTGCCGCGAATTAGACACCATGAGGGCCGTCCGTGGCAAGTCGAGCAAATACCAGCATTGGTCCTCTTCCGCAACCAGTGCCACCTAACTCTACGTGGCATCCAGATAGGGTTGATTGACCAAGCCACAGACGGTATGCTTCCGCGTTAAACCCAAGGCGATCAGGTTGATGCAACGAAGGAAGATACATGCTGACCCGAATACCAACCAACACGAAGCCACAGTTCGAGTAATCAGCCTTAAGACCAGGCCCAGTCGTCCGAGCTCTCTGGCTTAAGCCCAGGGCTTGGTAGTTCGTCGCTCGGACGACAAACCGAACCGCAGAGGCTACGCTACACTGGCCGCAGGCACCGCCATCACTCGATATCATCTCAGACTCACCAGAGCTAAGTAAGCATGACCCACAGCAGTCCGTCAGTAAGGGGAGCCATCATCGACTTGTCCCGGTTCTCACACACACATCCCGCAGAACAGAACAGGAAGCAGAGAAGCAGATCAGACAAGAACGGTTGTTCTCAAGGAAGTAAGATTCTTCATATTCCTCGGCCAAAGTTAAATAAGCCCACTGCGAGGCTTCCAAGATGCGGTATACAGTAGCCAGTCAGTCGCCTTAAGACGCCGAGGCTAACAATAGAACAACCAACCCCGCCTGCTTGATATCCACACAATAAAACCCCCGAGACACATTCGGTTGAATTCGCTCGAGCAAACGATTACGCAAGATTCGACTGGCAGGACTAGCAGATCATCATGGGTTCCCCTGGCCCGGGCACAGCAGCCACAGGCCCTTCACTTCGCTCTTCTTCCATCATGTCGATCAGGTCGTCCAAGTTGGCGTCCAGGTTCTCGGCATCCTGGCGATCCAGACATTGCTTTAGCAGCTTCCGGTACCTGTCGATCTTCTCACCCGTACCCGAGAGGCCTAGTGCGTCGACGTACTCCTGCTCTGCACGCCTCTGGTCTGTGATGAGGTCTCGAAGCTCTTGCGCGAGCTTGAGCCTGTCCTCGTAAGATGCTTCGCCCTGGTCGCCATTCATCATGGCCAGTGTCTGATCGACCGAGGCCTGCACGTGATAGCGGCTCTGGTTTGCCAATAGTGACAGTACTTGGTTTTGAGCCATGGTGGCATCATGGACCGCTTTAGCGGCTGCGTCCGGGGTCTCCAATTGTGTTTCCACGTCGGCGATCTGCCGGCGGAATGCAGCCAGCTCATTTTGTGTATTGCCCAAAATACGGCGGGCCTCGTTTTCCGCATCTATCTTGTCCTTCCACTCGTCGTCGTAATTACGTGCGAGGTCCTGGAACTTGTCCAGAACCATCGGTGTAATCCTGTTCTGGACTGTGTTGGCCGCTTCGGAGTTGTACGACACGGCAAGCTTGATGACAGACTCGTTGAGAGCATCACGAAAGGCAGCATGGCGCTGGGAGTCGGGAGCAAATGGGGATGATGATCGCTGTGGAATACGCTCTTTTGGATTCCTCGAGGCATTAAGCTCCCTGATTAGTTCGTCTGCACGTACGCCGTCGGCATTGGGAATATCTGAGGTAGCTCCTCGACCAATCAGTGCCCTTACGCACTTTCGAGCCTTTGCCATAGCCGCTAGATGCAGCGCTGTATTGCCGGTGTGGTCTTGCATATCCATAAGGTGTTGCACGAAGTTGGTGTCATGTGTCTCCTGAAGCCTGTTTAGGATGCTGTCGAGATAATAACGCGAACACGACTGGCTCTGACATCGACCACTCTTCATGCCTGCAGCATGGTGAATGACAGTACAACCAGTATTGTCGCGGGCGTCGATCGTGTCGAACAGCTCCTTCATCACGGCAGGAAATGTCTGTTTGTCATAGCAGTTGGTGAAGTTGACAGACCGCATGAAGGGCGTTTCGCCTCGGCAGTTTTGGGACCCCAAGGTCGCTCCGAATCGTTTCAGCTGCTTGATGACATCAACATCGCCCATGGCGCTTGCCCAATGAAGGGCACTGTGTCTCTCCGAGTCGATACGCCAGTCCGGTTGGAAGTTGGTTGGAGGTTCGGGGCGCAAGGTCGGTGCCTCTTGGCGGGAAAGAAGGAAGTAGTCGAGCAACTCATCACCATAGACAGAGTGCTGCTGTTCGGTGAGGTCCTGAATGGCCTCCTCACGTTTCCTTTTGCGGTGGCCAGTAGAGAAATGCGACAGATCGTTGGTCTCATTCTCGTCCATGTATGGCATGGACGCGATGGTGACATTGTCGGGAATATCATCTCCATTCATTTGCTGACTTGCAGGCTCGGGCTCTTCTCGCGGTGGAGGGTCTACAGTCTGTTAGGACATGGTTCGGTTCGCGCCTGTATGGAGAAATAGAACCTACTATTCCACTTGGGCACGGCGGGCTTTCTCGGCGCTTTCGGCTTGCTCGTATGGCGTGGTGCTGGAGGGGGGCTTTGGCTTCCCGGGGTGAACTCGAAGATAGGTCGAAGACGTTCGTATATCTCGTTCCGAACTGCCAGCTGCTCGCCCGACTCCAGGGGTATCCAGGTGCCCTGGTATTTGCCATAGCCGCCCTGGATCTTCTCATGGACATCTTTCTGCACTTCGCGTTCGAGGATTCGCGTTCGTGCGGGCTTGTCGAATCCGGCCGACTTGAGGATGTGCGTAGCGTTGATCCAATTGTCATGCCTCCGACGCATAACATGTTCTTTCATGTCAACACCGAATTGGAATTCGTATACGGGAATCTGCAATGCGGGCGAGATTCAATCAGCAGCGGTAGACGGTATACATACGAAAGACAACATCACAATATGGAGCGGAAGACTCACACCGCTGTACGTGGCGCTGTACACACCAGGGCCCGGTGCGCCTTTCACCATGGTGGCTTCTGGGGCTCAGCAAGGGCGGCAATGACGATGTTGAGGGCGTCGAGGGCGAGTATTTTGGTACAGTAGAGTCGAAAACTTGTTAACACACAGCGCAAGCCGTAGAACAGAACAGTTTCGGCAGAATCGGTATTGGCGTGAAGATCAAAGACAAGGCGGCCGCAGAGAAGCAAGCACAGCACAGCTGACTATCGCGACGGGTGCATCAGATGGTAGACATGGCAAATAGCTGGGCTGCGGCTGGTGTGGGAAGTGGGGTTCCGCTGGGCTTGCTAGATGAATGATGAATGATGAACGCTGAATGCGAATGCTAAATGCAAAGGAGCGACGACGTGGGAGAGGAGCGCGCGCAATGACTGACTGGAGGTTGACCCGACCACGACGCCACGACGCGAGCCACGAGCCTGGACCGCCCCCCCGGGTACGCGTTAATTGCCCTTGGTCACCTCCAGGGCTCTTCTCAGTTCTGCCGCTAACCTGCGAACCCGGGCCGGCGCCAGCTGTCTGGCTTGGATTAGCCCCTGAACCCCTGCCGGTCCCCCCTCTTTTTCACATTGCAGTGTGCACATACAGGTGGGTCCATGGATCAATGCATGCGGCCAATACCTACACGTACCTATGCAGGTATCTTCTAGGGGTTAGGCTCGGCCGCTCGGGTGAAGCTACCCCGCGGCCTACCATACATGTACCTATGTATTACCTGGCAGTGCCTGGACGTGATGGGCGGGGTTTTTTCGCGGACAGCGGCATGGGCATTGGTGATGCAGTATGGACGTTTACTAAAGTAAATGTAGGTAGGTACTGCCTTGAGAATCGTCTCCTCTGCTTCCGTAATAAGCCTACTCTGCCTCGTACCCTACATCACACAACGCCGGGGAGTTCTATGACCCCTCGCCTGATCGCTTACCTGACCTGAATATACCACGATCACGACTCTCAGCGAAGCCAACATGCCTCTCATAGCATCCAACCCCAGAGACCGCATCATCCTGGGTCTCATGACCTTCGGACCCGATGCGTCGACCGGAGCGCGAATCACCGACATAGCCGAGTTCAACAAGTGCCTCGACGGCTTCCAGGCACGGGGTTACAACGAGGTCGACACGGCGAGAGTCTACACCGGCCGGCAGCAGGAGGCCTTCACGCGGGAGGCCAAGTGGAAGGAGAGGGGACTTACACTCGCCACCAAGATCCAATATCCCTCCGAGGATGGTGCCCACCAGGCAGCCAAGGTCGTCGAGAGTCTGGAGACGAGTCTGAAAGAACTGGGTACGGACTGTGTTGATGTGAGTCCACGCCACGCACCCGCCACGAACGGTCCACCCGTCGTCGTGTCAAGTACGTGTGTTGCACCGTGGTCCAGGACCAGGAGGTTGACAAGCCCAACTCCCAGATCTGCTATATCCACGCAGCCGACCGCGCGACCCCCTTCGCCGAGACGTTCGAGGCCATGGACAAGATGCACAAGGCCGGCAAGTTTGTGCAGCTCGGTGTCTCCAACTACACCGCTGCTGAAGTGGCCGAGGTCGTCATGATGTGCAAATACAATGGCTGGGTGCGACCTACCATATATCGTATGCAACACTCAAAGTCTCCTTACTGGCCCCTTTGTACATGTGCCGAGTGCAAGTCGAGTTGCACTTCCAGGGATGTTCATGACAACTCACCATGGCAACCCCCACTGGGACTTTCTCTGGTGACGTGCACTGACTCCTGACATGACAGAGGGAATGTACAACGCCATCACTCGTGGCATCGATGCCGAATTGATCCCTGCCTGTCGACGGTACGGCTTGGATGTGGTGGTATACAACCCCATTGCTGGCGGCCTGTTCAGTGGCAAGATCAAAAGCGCAGACTTCGATCCCGAAGAGGGTCGGTTTAGCTCCAAGAGTGCGACGGGTGCGAACTACCGCAATCGTTACCTCAAGGAAAGCACATTCAAGGCGCTGCAGACAATGGAGAAGGCGTTGGAGAAGCACCCCGGGCTGACAATGATCGAGACGGCGCTGCGGTGGACGGTGCACCACAGCAAGCTGAAGATCAAGGACGGAAACGACGGCATTCTGGTCGGCATCAGCTCGTATGACCAGCTGGAGAACAACCTCGACAACCTTGAGAAGGGTCCTCTGCCGGCAGACGTGGTGCAGGCGCTCGATCAGGCTTGGATGATCTGCAAGGCCGAGGCGCCGGATTACTGGCACAAAGAGCTCGCGTATACTTATGACACGCGCGAGGCGCTGTTCGGAGCTGGCACCAAGTGATGATCGCGCCCGTGTACCGAGCAGCGGAGCGTGTGGATTATGCACGAGTTACATAGACAGAGTTTCCCCGGAAGATGTCAGCAACGGGCCACATCAGTCTACCTGAGGTAAGGGTACCGATAAATCAGTATACGATAGGTCTCATAAGAAAGGAGTGGGGGGAAAAGTGGTTGCTACCCTGTTGAATTCAGATACGATCCCACAGGTTGATGTGTGAGAGCCTGGAGATATAACTAGCGTTTTGGGTTCGTTCAGGTGACCATACCTTACCTTCATCGTTACCTAGGTACCTAGGTACCTACCATTAAGTAAGGTCCACTAGGTCAGATGAAGCTGAGGCAAGTCACGTGGCGTCAATAAGGTATAGCGACTGACAGCGCCCCCGTAGTCATGTCCACCTCCTGCACAGTGCACGCGGCACTAGACGCGTGTCCTCCGGGGCCCGGGCAAACTGGAACCTGGAAGCCCGAGGACGCCAACGGCCGGGCGGCTTCGGCGTCATCCGGCTCGTGAGTCGTGGGCTCCTGACGGATCCATTCATCAGGAGTGCAACCAGAATTCGCAGAATTCACCATTCAACAACCTCCAAGACACTATTTTATATGCGCATGTACATATACGCCATCGCCCCGTTCACCGACAACACCTGCTGTACATAGCATCCTACAGCGTCCCATTCCACAGCCAGAGCGAACCACCCCTTCCCCGTCTAAGTAAGGTCTTGTCTTACTATTTGTCAGATGTTGGATCCCAGATATGGTGCCCTTAGGTGCAGTACCCGCTAGGGGGCTGCCAGAGGACCAGTGGATCCACCCTGGCATGGTGCAGTATGGTATTTAGCTGTAGATTAGCCCTGCCGAGCATACTTGAGAATGACAACAACATTTGCAGCAACCACTCGCACCCCCAAGGCTTGTGACCCTTCTAGAATCTCACACTATTGTACTATATTGGCCCTTCACTCCCCCCTTTCGTCCCTATTTCATGTCTTCAGATCACGCCATACGACCGTCTGATATCCCTGCGCGGCCGAACCCGACATCCCACTACTCCAGAACAGAGCCTTCGTCGGCGGGCGATTCCTCCCTTCTAGCAACACCCGAGGTCGAGGACCATCCAGGTCACGGCGCCGATATCCCCTCCAGCTCATCGTCCTTCGGCCAAGGCCACGACGGCACAGGCGTCAATGGACACTCCCGGCACAAGACTGTGAACTTTGATATAAACGAGTACGACGAGTACGACCAAGACGACCAAGACGACCAAGACGACGACGACATGTTCGATAGCAACAAGCCCTCCTTCCTCAGGCCCGCCGACGGCCGCTCCGTCACGCCGCTGCTCAGAAAATCCGACGACGACGACGACCGCGGCCGGACACGACACAACCACTTACGTCCAAACCCCACCCGCCCTCCTCCGGAAGTCAGCACGTCATGCTCGCGGCCGCCCGTGTTCAACCGCCGCTCCACGATGCGGTCACGATCGCCCGACACCCAGGCCCGCATGGCTGCGCGCAAGAAGTACACCTATGCTGCCATCTTCCTCGTCGTATCCCTCGTCTCCTTCTGCCTGCAGACCGAGCTGGGGCGCTACGTCCAGCACGAGCTGGGCTGGAACAAGGCATACTGCATGCTGTACCTGACCCACGGGTCGTGGGCTCTCCTATGGCCCGCCCAGCTGCTCATCTTGCGCCTACAGAAGTGGAACATGCCCTGGGCGACCTTCTGGCGCCGGCATGTGTATCTGTTGCGCAGCACCGCGCACATGGTGGCCGAGCAGCAGCTCGACGTCCCGCGCCACACCTTACAGCGAAGTCCGCTGCCCTACCTCGTCCAGACCACCGCCTTCGTGACGAGCGCTCTCACCGTCGCTGGCCTCAGCTGGTATGTTGCTGTGAACATGACCAGTCCGAGTGATCTCACCGCCATCTACAACTGCTCTGCCTTCTTCGCCTACGCGTTTAGTGTGCCGCTGCTGAAGGAAAAGCTGCGCCTGGACAAGTCGCTGGCCGTCCTGATCGCCATTGTAGGCGTACTGGTGGTGGCCTACGGAGACTCCAAGCAATCGGGGGCAGAAGGCGACGACGCCGCCGACTCCAATGCCGACGCAGGCACCAGGTTCCTTGGGAACTTGATCATCGGTGCTGGGAGCGTGCTCTACGGGCTGTATGAAGTTCTCTACAAGCGATGGGCATGTCCACCCGAGGGCACGTCGCCCACGCGGGGCATGATCTTTGCCAACGCGTTCGGCAGCTGCATCGGCCTTTTTACATTGTTGGTGCTCTGGATCCCGCTGCCCGTCCTGCACATGCTGGGGTGGGAGGTCTTCGAGCTGCCGACGGGCAAGGCGGCGCTGTACCTCTTCATCAGCGTCGTCATGAACGCGACGTTTGCCGGCAGCTTCCTGGTGCTCATCTCGCTGACGAGCCCCGTGCTCAGTTCCGTGGCGGCGCTGCTGACCATCTTCATCGTCGCCGTGGCCGACTGGCTCATCACGGGCGAGTCTATGACCTTTGCCGCCATCGCCGGCGGCTGCATGATCATCGTCGCCTTCCTCATGCTCAGCTGGAGCACCTGGCGCGAGATGACCAAGGACGCCGACCACCACAAGGTCGCTTACGAGGCGCCCGTCGACTGGAGTAGCGACGACGATGCTGATAAGGATGACTCCCGCGTAGATTAGCAACCTCGTCGTAGCCTGGCTGCTGCTGCTACTAGTCTTTGCCCTAGATATGTGTACATATACTTCAAGCTGCGATTTCGAGATAGATGGTGGTTCTGTTGCATATCACTATAGAGAGACATACCACCATCTAGAAAGGGTGTCGGCCCTGACTATGTCGGATTGGGTTACTATAGATCATCAAGCGGCGTTCGGTTTGTGCCGAGAGACTTGCTCCTCTCCTATGTTTGTGGGTTCTGGGTCTCCGTGTGCAGCATAGCACGTGAGCTGTATTCGCTTGTGCGCTGTGTCTTCTGGGTTTGGGTGCATGTGAAGGTTGGTTCTGGGGTCGACTTCGTCGTGGGTAACATCATCGTCGTGGTCACCAACGTCCTCTACACCAAGCCCGCCATTACATTGGGTGTGTGCATCCGTGCTCATGGGATGGGTAGCATCTGAGGCAGCATCGTTTAGCGTCCCCGTTGAATTCCGGTGCATAGAGCCGTGGTGGGAGCCAGGCATTACGAGCAATACACAGTATGGTCACCGCATTTACCTATAGCGAAGTACTTGATTCCATGCCTGTTGCTCTTTTTTAAGTAGCTACGCACGAGTGGCCCCTTGCATCGCCTCACTGTCCATACACTTGTATCTCTATACACATTTACTTCTCGCTTCTGCTCCATGAGAGCAGCACCTCACTGCTCTGAAACCTTTGCTCTGAACACAGCCGTTCCCGAGGCACTCTTTCATGGGTTTGGAGCGCCGATGACTGGGTCGTCGATGTCTTCTTCCATGTACATCCACATGCTCGAGAAGGGCAGGTCGGCGACGCCGTTGAAGGCGATGCGCCTCAGTGATCCCTGGCTTGTAACTCAATTATCAGCCTGCGCGCTCGAGTCCGGGGGTAGAATGCATTCGCTAAGGTGATCAGACGGGATGTTCAGGGTCCGAGCCTTGCGAGTCGTCGACGTGATAGAAGTCGTCAGATTCGCCCATCTGCTCTATGATGTTCCCGTAGTACTCGGCCTGCGTCTCCGCCTTGAGCGTGAGGCGGCGCGCACGGTCGATGGCCCTCCGGCATCTTGTCGTGATCGCCTCGACCCAGACCAGGGGATCGATCCGACCGAGTCGGTGGTTCACTTCGCTGAGCCGGGTATGGAAGTCCCGGACCACCACCTGGTCGGTTTCGGAGCGATACTCGTATGGTAAGAAAAGAGGGGTACTGACAAAAATCTTCCTTCGAAGCCGTTTACTGCATCGCCGTAGTGGCTGTTGATCACTCCGCCCCAGTCGAAGTCTTCTTCGTCTTCGACATGCTTGACGAACACACCTTCTCGCTCGACCTTCCAGCTCTTCACACCACTGCCCTCGAGGAACTGGACAGCCATCTCCCAGGCCTCCTTGTCTGCTGCATCGCCACTTTCGAAGACACACAGGGTGCTCCAATTACCCTGGGGATCGGGTACAAAAGCTGTATAATTGAACGGTATCAGTGAGGCTACTTCCGACAGATTTGTGAGGGAAAAGTTGAGAAACAGTCTATGGAGATGCGTAGTCCTGAGCGAACCATGTACAACATGTCTAGGGTGGGTGGCAGATCGCAGTACGTACTCAATTCGCGCATGAGGAAACTGTAGGATGTGTTCCGCTCCATCCACAGGTCTGCTGCGTCAACCTGCTTCATTTGGTCTTTGTCTTCAAGAATATTGTTCCCGGCCTTAGGAGTAAGTTGCACGAACAGACGGTCAAGCTTAGGCAGGTTCTGAAGCAGGATTTCAAAATGAGAGGACAAAGGAAAGATTGCAACGTAGTTGAAGTCGACAACAGAGGGCGGGATGAGAGGGAGATTATTGGGATACTCCTCACAGCCGAGAAGAGCGCCTAGCATGGACGGTGGTCTGCGTAGGTAGAACTCGTATGACCGGTAGACCTTCGTGGACGAGCCTTCGTTGAGAAGCAGGGAGATCCAGGGACGGATAGTGAACAGTGGACAGGGAGGGGGCTTCTTGGATCGAATGGCGAACGAAGTCGCGGTAGAGCGGCGATGCGGCGACGAGGGACCTGCCACGGGCAACTGAGCAGCAGTGGAGGCGTCATTCTCAGCGTCCGAGATCTGCAAGCGGGAATGCAGAGATTTGGCGAGCTGATCTGGCGGGCTCTTGCCGATGGTTCCCCGGGCAGTACGAGCGAGCGAGAGGATATGGTAGGGGATATCGAAGGACCAGGCGTCCTCGAGAAAGAGCATGCGCGACAACAGGGCGGCTAGAGTGGTAGGACGTGCAATGATGGTGAACCTCAATGGATCCACGACTGAGAACAGCTGGTCCCATAGCCATTCCAAGTCAGCAGGGCGTATCTGCGGAGTGGTCTGGTGGTGGTCGGCGACGGGGTCGAGGAAGTCGACCAACAGGGTGAAGGTAACGACTGCGCGATCCAGGCGGTTGTCGACCAGGAAGCGCAGCAAAGGTATCGGATTGAGGGTAAAGGCACTCAGCGAAGAGACATTGGGTCTCCAAAGGACGTTGCGGAACAGCGACGGGAGGGCCAAGACACGCCATGCCTTGCTGACGAGCGAGGCCATCTGGAGCGGGCATGCCGAGGCGGGCCTGACACGGAGCATGTCATGCTCGGGCTGATCGTGGAGTTTCGTCTCGGACGGGGCCGGGCCGTCGAGGAAGTCGAATATGTGCAGCAAGACCTCGGGAGGTACGGTGTCCATTGTTGCTGACCAGACACTGCCCTGGTGAGCTACCTAGCACATGCGCTTCAAGATAGGCGAGTGGGACCTCAGCTGGGAATCGTCGTCGACAACACAGAATGGGATCAGGCTGTGTTCGACCTTGCTCCGGTGGCGGTGGTAAGGATCGGCCGGCGACGGGAGTCGAAGGTGTGGGTGTGTTACATTCGATATAATACCTAGGTACGGGGCCATTTGATGTGAGTAAGGTACGGTACATGGACTGAATGTAAGCATGTGGGCATTGACGGGATGATGATGTTATTGTGTCATGTATCAACGGAACCTTGGAATCAACAGCACGTGCATGGAGTAAGTACTTTAAGGTTCACTCATAAAATCCCTAACCTTAGGTACTGTCCATGAAGGAAGTGGGGGAAAGGTACTTGTAGGTATGTGGGCCTATGTACATCCAGTCTGTGCATGTACCCTGTATGTACCTAGTGCCATTTCGGCCATGTCCACACGCATGATCCCGTCGTTCCAACTTCACCCCGGTCCCCGGGAACTTGGAAGGTCGGGGGTTCTCCCAGTGACAAGACTTGGAAGCGTGACAAGTCTAGCTGCTATTCTCGGCATTCCATCCATCTCGTACAAACTGAATACACCCAAAGACACCAGACAAGACAACGACCTGCCCTCTATATATAAACGCCGGGCATGCCTAGATTGGAAGGAACGACCGGTTATATTTCCCAGTAGCTTAGCCACCTCTTCTTGTAGCTTAGCCACATATTACATACTTAATTAGCTTTTAATGTATATTTACTAACATTTTTTAATTGTATAAAATACGTAATATTATAAGTTACAAGCAACATATTAATAAGTATATATATCGAGTATTTAATTTATGAAACTTTTTTAATAATGTTGGAACAGGCTTGAACAATCAATCATAATACTCGAGTATAGTGTCAAGGTCATGATGTTGCTGATGGTTGTGTGTCAGGTGGTTCTGTCAACAATCTGGCATGTATCGGATGGGCGTGTGTCGGACGGGCGCGTCAGATGGATGTGTGGGGGAGGGTTCTGTCAACAGTCTGTGCTGCCGCGCGGGATATGAGTATTGTCACGGCGAGCGTACTGAGGAGCTGGGACATGGCCGGCAGCAAGCAGCTATTACTCTATTGACGAGAATATCAAGACTAGAGAGGAAAGGAAGAGAGAGAGAGAGATAGGTACAGTGGGAGGTTGCCCTTTTAAGGGGATCCTCTGGTCAGATCCTTCCCCTATTGGGAGGTATCCACTTGTCATGTGGGAAGGTCTGTGCAGGCCGCTACAGCCGTCACAAGTATTGCTGTAATTGCAGCGTAATCTATTGCCTCGAATCGCCTCTTGAGGAATGTTTGCAGTAGAAAACCTCGGATCTCGTGCTGTGCCTCGAATCGCCTCTTGAGGAACGTTTGCGACAGAAGATCCAGATCTTTGGCTGTATCCCGAGTCTCGTGTCAGGAATGTTGATACAGTAAGACCTCTTTTTTTCCTTGCTTATCTGTGTTGCCTTGGGAGATAACACTGATCAGTGTTGGAACAGGCTTGAACAATCAATCATAATACGATAACGTTGTTATATATACATATCGGATATGGTGGCTCGGGGTATACGATAAAGGTGGTCTTACGCAGGGATTTAGGGTGGTCCAAGCACCTTTAGGAACGGTTGACTAGCAACCGTTTGCCCCACTGCTAAGCTGTTACGTTAGTGGGACGCGTGGGTACCAAATTTGGATACAAAGTTGTCTATACTAGGTAGATACAGAATCTTTAAATAATACACAGCTAAATAAGAACGATAATACGCACTGAACTTTCACAATATATATATATATATATATATAGCTGTGAGGGTTGCTACGTTGCTACTATCGGTGATGGTCCTGGGATTACGTGATAGCACGTGACCTCCTGGACGACTGGTTGTTCCAGACCCACTAAACGGCGTGACCCTCATATTTCTATATTTCAGCTTGCAAAACTCTTTAATATCCCTTGTTCTATTCTGAGTAATAGAACAAGAGGAATGCTATTACAACGCGATATCATGCACAATACTTTGAAACTTACGGTTTCCAAAAAGAATGCATTCTTTCCTTTATTCTTGACCTGGATGTGCGAGCATTTCTATTCCGGCACAGTTATATTGAAGATATGGCAAACTAATTGTTGGCAGCGCGTGGGGCTGGACGCATTAGAAAGAACTGGACGCAGAACTTCATTAAACGCACACCAGGCCTTTGGACGCGTTTACATTAGAGGATGGACTATAAGAGGGTCTTAAAGAAAAATCCAGACACATATCGCACGTGGTTTTGTCAAATTAAGGCAGCAGTCGCAAAACATAGTATCCAAGATGCGGATATTTATAATTTTGACAAGCCTGGGTATATGATAGGCATTATTAGGTCCGGCAGGGTCATTACAAGCATCAAAAAACGTGACAGGCCTAAACAAGCTCAGTAAGACAACAAGAATAATCTATAGCAACCTCTGCTATTAATGCTGATGATGAAGTGGTCCCGTCATTTATCATTTTACAGGGCAAAACCCACTTTGTGTCATGGTATTACGACACGACATTACCACGCGATTGGAAGGTGGCTGTGTCTGACCACGAATAGACTACGAATAAGCTTGGTTTGAAATGGATTCAGCATTTCGACAAGTATATCTCACCGCAGATGACCGCCGGTAAACGCCTCCTCATCCTAGATGGCCACAAAAGCCACCATTTCCAGGTCTTTGAGAATTATTGTCAGAACAATGGCATTATTACTCTTTGTACGCCTGCCCACTCATCATACAGGCTCAAGCCTCTAGATGTCAGCTGTTTTAGCCCGCTCAAACAAGCTTACGGTCGCATGATTATAAATCTCATCTGGCGTCATATAACCCATGTTTCAAAGGAGGACTTTCTTACAGCGTTTTGTGAAGCACAAAACGATACTATGACACTAGGAAATACTCGAGCAGGTTTCAGTGTTACTAGGCTTGTTCTTTTTGACCCAAAAAGTGTCATTTCAGAGCTGGATGCTGTCGCTGTCGTACAAACATCGTCGCCAGACCCCAGTCTGCTACCCACTACTTAGACTTCCAAGACGCCTACCACCATTAATAAAGTGGTAAACCAATTGGTTTATATCTAAAATCGAGTCAAAAACTACTAGGGAAGCTCACATAGATCAATAATTGATGCGTTGAGCTCGTTTTCAAAGGCTATATACGGTCTTATGCACAAGGTCGCTCTGGTTGATTCCTGGGTCTGCGAGCTAGAGGAGGCCAATCACTTATGAAGTAAATTACAGAAAATAAAAAACAGACGTCTGATAAAAGGAGGAATACTTTCTATTGAAGATACAATAGGTCGTCAGGCTGCAAAGGATAGTACTGAGCTGGCAAGACAGGAAATGAGTGAAGGTAGCCGTTATCCAAGGAGGGCTGCAACGCGTGAGCAACAGTGTGGTATTTGCGGCAATACTAGCCATAATGCGCGAACTTGTATAATAAAGATAGAAACCTCTAAAGAAGAGGAATTCGATTAAGTAGATTGAATTCAATATGTTGTGATTAAGTTATTTAACATGTTGGTTGAAAGGTTGGTAAAAGTGTCCCGCTCGCTTGTGTGTCCAGCTCGCTTGTGAGCTATGTTAAGCTTAAACTTCGGTCGTTTTAAGTTGTTATAAAACGTTGAGCGTTTTAAAAAACTTAAGATAATATTTAGTCATTAAAAAAACGTTAAAACCACGGTTTAACCGTTCAAATTTATATCATCAAAAAGATAATATATTTAAATTACGCATAAAGAAAAATATTATATTTAATAGTTAAAATCGGAGTTATTATTAAGGTAGTGCCTTTTAAACGCTATAAACGTTTAACAAGATAAAGATTTTATTTAATTAAATATTATAAAGTGTTAAGAATACTGTATCAATGCGGAATAAGAGTAGATTCCCTAGTTGCTTGCTTACTTCTTACTCTGGGTTAAGAGGGCCTGATTTGTTATTAAATATATACTCAAACCACAAAGCAGGGCCCATTCTTAGAGCATCTAACTAAGCTCCTTCAGCCACCTGCTTTTATTCACCCTTTGGACCACTAAAGCCACCACAATCCTCACATAAAGTATATAAATGATATACTTAATATATAACGTGGTATAACGTCTTGACTCACTTAAAATTTATTACTATAAATTCGAAGCTTTAATCGCTTGAATAGGTAATTACTTTTGCCGTAGTGATACTAAGTGCTATATATATGTACATATGTATGTACAAGGTGACAGTGACAGTGATGGTGATGGTGATGCTCGAGTAGGTCTACGTCGACCAACAGCCACAAGTCAATGCCGCCCACCAACGATATGTTGCATCGCATCGCATCCCATTGCATCTTCGCCTTGCTACTACCCACGTACTCATGCGAGGAAACGCAAGCGTCAGCCTAGTCCGAGAGCTCTATATAGGAGTCAGCATTGACAATGGCGGGGAACGCAGGGGTCCCCGACTGCCGGAGCCCATAGGTATGTATGTACTGTGCATGCCCGTCATCGACGGCGGGAGGACTAAGGTACCTACCTACCTAGCAACTGCCCATTATGGCAATACCTAAGGTACTGTTGGTCCACGAGACGGGCCCGGTGGCTAAAGTCGCCTGCGTTCGTCGTCATGCCCGTGCCCAGTGCCGCCCAGCTGCGTCGAGTCGGGTCCCATCCAGGCCGTCCGTCGCGCTCATGGATGCTCATTGCTCCCATCTCGTCAACCCTCTCCACTGACGTCTATCGTATTACATGTGGTCTCCCCGCATTCAACCTACCTACTAGGTAGCCTTGCAACGAAATCAACAAGAGGGTGACCCTATCTCCTCTCTCCTCTCTCCTCTCTCCTCTCTCCACCGCCCCATCCAAGACTACAATCATTTTCGATCTTCGGCCCCTAGGTTTTGCATTTCTCCTCGTCGCTTCCACAGGTCCCCTCTCTGTGTCGTCTCCTTTCATCAGCTCAGCTGTCTTTTCTTCCCACCTTCTCGTCCGCCAGCGCCACGAGCTTACAGGCATCTCACCAACACTCGTGCGGCATGATGGTTAGCAACAAGCAACGACCCCCTTTCCGTGCCGAGCACCTTGGCTCGCTGCTGCGCCCAGCCGAACTGACCGAGAAGCGCCTGAAGCTTGACAAGGCCAAGGCCCTCGACATCGTCAAGGACGAGGAGCTCCATGCCATCGAGGACAGGTCGATCAATGACATCGTCCAACTGCAACTCGACCTCGGCTTCCATGCAATCAACGATGGCGAGTACCGTCGCCACCAGTTCTGGGGCACCTTCTTCCCGAACCTCGACGGCTTCGAAGAGATTATGAACCCTGAGTGGGACATGTTCCGAATGTATGTCCCGGATACTGCTGCCTTCAGTGAGTTCTTCCCATCGTATCACCATGAGTGCCGCCCACCAAAAACCTAACCCCGGGCTAACCCGTGCTGCGTAGCCGAGTCGGGCCACAAACCTGGCGAGACAATTGTTTGCACCGGCAAGATCAAGCATGCTGGCAGCAGCTACCTTTCCGACTGGAATTACCTGAAGAAGCTTGTACCCGCAGACCGAGTAAAGGAGCTGAAGGTGACTCTGGCTGCCCCTGAGTGGTAAGTCGGCTACCTACCTAGGCAGGCGTCTAGCTTGACCACCCATGCGGGTGAATCGTAGTCCGTCGCTCAGGCACCCAAATACTTAACCACCATCTTGCCTCAACTGAGGCAACCGTCTGGGACCTGAGATTTGGATATTTTCGGGACTAACCTCGGATATAGGTACCACCTTCGATATAAGAAAGGCAAAGCATACCCAAAGGAGGTATATGCCACCGATGCTGAGTACTTTGCCGATATCGCAGAAGCGTACCGGACGGAGCTCCAGGTTCTGTATGAGAACGGCTGCCGAAACGTCACCATCGACGACCCCAACCTGGCATGTCAGTGCATAACCCATCATGGAAACTCACATGCTCAGATAAGGAGCGCTGACTGAAATCACCGTTAAGACTTCTGCGCGGAGAAGATGATTGCGGGTTTCAAGCAGGACGGCGAGGATCCCGACGCGCTTTTGGACACATACGTCCAACTATACAACGACTGCATCAGCTCGCGCCCGTCAGACATGCATGTCGGCATCCATCTCTGCCGCGGAAACTTTGCGTACAGCAAACACTTCTCGGAGGGCGGGGTGCGTATTGTTCTTTACCCCCTTTGAGTTGACTCGGGATTTTGTCTCTTCCAGAGAAAGTCTATACTCCTCGGACACGGTTCCGAACTCCCGCATATTAGCCGGCGCATCTTGGGAAAGGTAATTGCTGACACAAGTTGCTGCAGTACGACCGCATCGCCACCAAGCTCTTCAAGGATATCAGCGCCGACACGTACTTCCTGGAGTACGACACGGAGCGAGCCGGCACCTTCGAGCCCCTGAAGGAGCTTCCTCCAAACAAGAACGTGGTGCTCGGTGTGATCACCAGCAAATTCCCCGAACTCGAGGATGTGGCCAAGACGCGCGAGCGAATCTTCGAGGCTGCCGATGTTGTCGCCGGCGGTGCGGGCCAGACGCGGGAGGAGGCGTTGAAGCGGATCGGTGTCAGTCCGCAGTGTGGTTTCGCGAGTCACCACCTCGGAAATTCAGTGACGAGGGAGGACATGCTCGCGAAGCTGAAGCTCGTCCGCGAGCTCGCCGACTCGATCTGGCCTGGAGCGCCGTAGGTTGGGAGTGGATGAGTGGAGGTTTGAAGGACAGGTTCACTCGCTTAGGGGCTGGGCCGTGGACAGACAAGTCCAATCGGGTCAACTCGAGCAGTAACGGTGGTCGACTGGCAACGGCAGGAATCTTGGCAGTAGCTCTCAAAACATCGAAACGACGGGAATGAAGTCACTTGAAATATCAGACTGATGATCAGTAGTCACCTTGACATCGCTATCCGTAGCGCGCTGCCCCCTTCGCCCCCGATACGACGCTGAGTGCCTTCTTATGGCGCGAACCAAGCATGCGGAAGACATGTGTGATTCTGTCCTACCACTCTGACCTAATTTACTGGGTAGAGACTCTGCTGCGTGTATCGGCGTCACAGTCACACAGAGATGCTGGTTGCCGCCCATCTGCTTCGTAGTACATATGCCGTGCCTGATCTTGCTTCAACAGGATCATAATGGGCTTAACTGCACCGAGGTAAACGGGGTGGTTGTCTTACATGTACTCGCACTTGGTGGTACAGGACCGCAGTCCCAACACCTCGAGGGGCGCAGAAAGGGGGAACCCGCACCCACACACGCTGACGTGCAGATGGCACGACGTGTATACTACTGGTATACTACTGGTATACAACTACCAAATTGCCAACCCAGGCTCGCCCGTATTTTGGTTGATTTAGGTAGGTAGGTATCTTGTGTTCCATTTTGACGGCTTGCTGCCTCATGCACATCGTCTTGATGCAGATAGGTTCTTTTCGTGCTGTACAACCAGGGGACCTAGGTTAGGTACAAATGCATGTAAACAGCAAAGTACACACATGCACATACCCGACACAGGGCCACCGCCAGCATGCAGTCGGCAGTCGGGCAGTGTGGACCCTTGAGATTAAATGGGACCATCCATACCCCTGGTTCCGAGTTCGCTACCTAGGCTAGCTAGGTAGGTCAGCGGGGGTGAAGCCGGACTGCACGTCGCTTGGTTGCCGGCGTGTCTTGGCACGGATGCTAACACTGAAACCCCCAAACACGTCACAACACATACCCTCGTTTCATATGTACATGAAAGGTAATGTAGGTAACCTACCGAGGTACACGATACCTTATTACCTACCTTCTACCTAGGTAACTAACTACCTACCTCCTGGTCCTATCCTATTCTCGTCGTCAGCACTCGTGCGCGCACTAACTCATACTCCTCGCCTCTCCTACATACCTACATCATCCTTACCTAAGTAAGACTGGGTACTTCGGTCGCAATGCCTGGAAAGACTAAGCCGCCGCCTGACGAGTCTATCACCTTCAGTTCAGGACCCCACGAGGGCCCCCCCGACCTGAGAATCCTCCATTACAACGATGTCTACCATGTCGACTCGTCCTCCAGCGAGCCTGTGGGCGGTGCTGCGAGGTTCATGTCGCTCGTCAACGACTACCGAGAGGGCGACACCTACAAGGAACAGCCGGGCCTGGTCACCCTCTTTTCTGGCGATGCCTTCAACCCGAGTCTGGAGAGCTCCGTAACAAAAGGTAAGTAGGCGGTAGACGGCAGTGAGGCTCCTGATCTTCAACTCCCACGGCACGATACCCTATCAGGCCTCCATGTCGCTAAGTACCCGTCTGAGTAGGCGACCACATGGTCCCCTTGCTGAACAACATCGGGACGGATGCGGCAGCGCTAGGGGTGAGTCCCATACCCACTTGTCTTCTTGTGACTGCATTTACTGTTTTGGCGGGTGCTCACATTCCCCCAGAACCACGATCTCGACTTTGGGGTTCGGAAGTTCAGACATCTGTCATCAAAGTGCAAGTTCCCCTGGCTCATCGCAAACGTCCTGGACCCTGCCCTGGGAGAATCGGTCCCTATCGGCAACTGCAAGAAGACACACATGATCACCGCGTCCAATGGAATCAAGATCGGCTTGATAGGCCTAGGGGAACGAGAGTGGCTGGCCACGATTAACAGTCTCCCGCCGGACCTGGTCTACAAGTCTGCTAGCGAGACGGCAAAGGAGCTGGTGCCCCAGCTCCGCTCAGACGGCGCTGACATCGTCATTGCTGTCACGCATATGCGAGAGCCAAACGACAACAAGCTGGCCGAGAAGACCGACGGCATCATCGACATCATCCTCGGCGGACACGACCACTATTACAACCACAGCTTCATCAAAGGGACTCATGTCTTGCGCTCGGGCACTGACTTCAAGCAGCTGAGCTACGTCGAGGCAAGGAGACGGCCTGATGACTCGGGACGGTGGGATATCAACATCACTCGGAGAGATGTGACAAGTGCAATCCCCCAGCACGAATCTACCGTGAGGCTAGTCGAGAAGTTGACAGCTAGTCTCAATGCGACCCTGCAGAAGCCCATCGGTTACACTGCTACCCCTCTTGATGCTAGATTTCGAACTGTCCGGCTGAAAGAGAGCAACATCGCCAACTGGGTTTGCGACATCATGCGCCACTACTACTCGGGCGATTGCAGCTTGATGGCCTCTGGGACCATCCGTGGGGACCAGATATATCCACCCGGACCCATCCTTTTGAAAGACATTATGAACTGCTTTCCATTTGAAGATCCTGTCGTGGTCATCAAGGCCACCGGCCAAGCCATCTGGGACGCTTTGGAGAACGGCCTTTCGCAGTACCCTGCTCTCGAAGGGCGCTTCCCGCAGGTCTCGAATATCACTTTTAAATTCGACGGCCGGAAACCTACCGGCTCCCGCATAGTCTCCGCCACCATCGATGGCGCGCCCATGAATATGTCGAGGAAATATGTTGTGGTGACACGCGCGTACATGGCCCGGGGAAAAGACGGCTATGATAGCCTCCTGATAGAGTCGGAAGGCGGCAAGGCAGAGGAGATCGTGTCGGAAGAGAACGGCATTCTGATCTCTATGATGCTACGTCAATACTTCATGTCGCTCAAAGTCATGGGCAAGTGGAAATTCTGGGGTAAAAGCATGGGACGGCATTGGAACAAAGTCACCGACAAGGTCGATGCTAATCATATTCATAACGACCCAACGCCAGGTCCGACACCGGTCTCGCCCACGACCTCAAATAACTTCCCAGGTCCAGGCTGGGACAACTGGACGCCACAGAAAATCCGTGAACGGAAGGCTAGTGCTGTGCCGATCGACGACTCCGATACTGAAGACGAAGAGGCCGGCGACGGAGGGTCCCAAGAGCAGCAGGAGATAGAGATGATCGATCGGGAGTTGCAGGTCATGCGTCGGGTGTTCACCAAGTGGGCTCGCCTTGCTGGAGTGGAATGCAAAGTCGGCGATGAATTGCAGGAGGGTGACTTTGAGGTCGACTGGACCAAGGCCATTGCGCCTCGTGTCGAGGGTCGCATTATTTGTGTTGGGGGCGAGCAAATGTGAGGAACAGTGATGCTGGCATCGTGAATCATGACTGACGACAGGAGGGCAAGAGTTAGACAAGCATTGAAATGAGAAGACGTGACCGATTGTCAGTGATGGTTTCAAACTGGGACAAGGTTTAAAGTCGAACCACAGACAGCTCGTGACTTTGAATCCGGTCCCAAGTGCATACTTAGGTATCGTTTCTCCGTCGGGTCTGGAAGACGTCCCAAAACCCAAGGGACATGTGTTCAAAACGCGATGGATATGTACGGAGGCTCGACGAAGTGAAAATAGGGCACATATGCCACTTCGTTAGACCAATAAGATCTGACTCGGGGAAAGCCAAGGTGCTTATGGTTGCTTCTTGAGGACTCATCACAAATCTGGGGTTCGTTTAGTTAGAGTCCCATACGGAATGCCAGCCTCCTTGAGGCCGGGCTCTCCCGTCCTTCCCCTGGATTAGTCTTATTAATTTTCCGACCGCGTTATATCAAAAAACCAAGAACGCGAGCTTGAGTATGCCTGCTATGGTCGATCCCGTGCCAATGCCAGCAGCAATAGCAGGCCGCAGCCCCTTGTCGTCGACCGTCTCCCTAAGAACTTATGGCCTTGCCAGTGTCACTGCCCTTGCCGCTGAAATCCCAATTCGCATCTTGCTGGTGGCGCACACCACGATTAACACAGACAACATCGAGTGAAGGAGCCGTCGGAAAGACCAACCACTGGGAACTCGCCTCCTGTTAACAGCAACGGGGCTTCGCTCTCGTCTCCGCCATTGCGAAGCCCAAGCGTGTATCTGTCCAGGGGAAGATCGTCCGGCAGTGACAGACGAATGGGGCGTCCGTGCCGTCTAAAAAACCTAACCAGCATGGATCAGACTCTCTTTCCACCGGAACCCAATTAAGTTCCCATGCAGCAGAATTCACCCTTGAGGATTTCCCCGACTCTTTTGCGGTGAGGAGCCCGCTCTAAAGGTCGATACGGACGTTGCTTTTCTTTTTACCTTCCCAGTACATGGCAAAGGCAAATCAGTGGCATGCTTTCCACCGTCAGGATCATGACTTGGACTGCGTTCTGTTCCCACGCGTACGAGGAACTTGGTCTGAGAAGTGTGAAGAGCAGTAGGTAGGAAGCGGCCTAGCGATTTAGTTTGCACTGGGGGAATCGCTTGGCCCCTTCTGGTTCGTCTCGCCCTTTGGTGTACACATCTAGCTGATGTCATCGTGGGAAAGGGGTTGCGGCTGCACAGGGGTCGCTATTTCGCCGCAGGCAGCCTTGCCGAAGAGCGCATTAAAAGGAGCGCGCCATGAGCGGGGCGAGGAAACCACTCACCGATTTCGACACTTGGCTTCAATGCGCGAGCCTGCTTTTGGAGACCAGCCGGCAGAACACGAATGGTGCATGGAGATGAAGCTTTATAATTTACATTTTGCTAAACAGTATCAACCAAAGACAATTAGATGTCTACGTTGTTCTCCCCGCCGTGTCTTGTTCCATGCCGCTTCGAATGCCCGCTGAAAATTCGGTGATAGGTGCCAGTTAATATTGCCGAGTCTAAAACCGCCAAGCCCTTTTGATAGTTGATAGCAGGGACGTTCTGTAGTCCAATGCAAGCCAACTGTACGAGATTGACTTGGGAACGCATCTCCAAGATGATAAGCGATATTGGGAACACATGAGAGGCAGGCAACATGAGAATCGACAGCCAGCTGAAGTGGTCGCAGCCCAACGAGCCGCCTGAAGTCCGTTGACCGGGCTCTAGGAGAAATGATTGCATGGAGTCGAGATCGACTTGATAGGATATGTCGTCGGCATAATACCTGACACTATCACCTGAACTCGGCCATAATCTCAGGACGTAATGAGCATGTATTATAGCTTAGGTGATGACTGCTCGCAGTAACTAGCAAATAATTTATCTCCAGGTTGCAAGGTAGGTACTGCATTCATCCTTGTCTCCTGGTCTTACGCACTCGCGCTCACTCAGAGTGTCCCTCGGATTAGGCCTAGCAGCAGTGCTTTACGCCGGTGAGAGATTTCACCCAGACCATTCCAAATCTTTGTCTATCTTGGCCTTCAAATCATCCGGAAGCCTGTCACGATTTTCTCGGGGTATTGTTCTAGCGTCTTTGAAACATCGCGAAATATGACATACTGCCCATAAGTAAGAGCAGTATCGGTTTTACCTAGGTAATAACCACAACATAAGATTCTAGATCCGGCAAGATCAAGGCAGCAGGATACATATCATGATTTGTGTATTGTGCAGATTCGAATTGGTACATCGTCACTGTAGAAGGGGCCGCTCTGCTCTTTTTTGGCAGGGAGTCGGAAGTCCACTTCGTCGACGCGGAACTGTCTCTGATAACAGACTCCAAGAAAACTCTCGAACGTCTCCCTATTCCTCTCAGTGGCAGCTAGGAGCACCTTGACCTCGGGAAACATGCCCACTAGCTCCTCCATGGTCCCAATCAGAGCCGGGATGACGGTCTTATCATAGGTGACATCTGCACCCAGGACGACGTCGATGGGCTTGGCTCCGTTCCAGTACTGTTCCTCAGTACCTACTAGTGCGTGGCCCCATTTGATGTCCATGGCCGATATGCAAGTTGCCCCTTCAAGGCCATTCAAGTAGAAATTCTCGGGCAGGTTCGCGACGACATCATCTGAGCCATCCGAGGCAATGACCTGAGACGCACCCAGGTACTTGGCGCAGAGAATGGACAGGTATCCGGTTCCCGCTCCAAGCTCAATAACACGTTGCCCCTGGATTAGGGATCGGTGTGAACAGAGGTACTGGCCCAGATGTAGCGCCGCCTCCCACGTGCGCAAGCCCGTCGTGCCAAAGGCGGATATGAGATTCCGGTGCTCCAACAAGGTGATGCGAGCCGCAGGTTGAACAGCGCTGCTGCTGACCTGGTCTAGCAGAGAAAGCGTATAAGTGACGTAAGACTTTTGCTGGGCAGCAGTGATTTCGGATGGCATGGGAAGAGAGAGAAGGGAAGAGAGTGAGCCCATCAAGTCATCTGAGACTCCCTGGGGACTGAAGTCAGACTGGACATATTTACATGGAGGGCACATATCGTGCTTGGTACGCAGTGGGAAAGGAGTATGGGAGTTGGCCTTACATGTTGATCCCAGTCGTCGATACTCGCCTCGGTGGCTGCCATGAGCTCTTTCAGCACGCCCAGCTGGTACCTATGCGAAGGTGGGAAAGCAACGGCCCCATCGGCAAATAGCTGCTCATAAAGGGTAGCTTGGACCTGGTCGTCTCTCAGTGAAGTGGCTGGTGGGTAGTCTAGGTGACGCTCCAGCTGAAGATACTGGCGGCAGAAACGGGCGATATCGTCCCTGATCGCCATAGCGGTTCGGCCCACGATATGAATATTCTATTGCTTGGAAAGTAGGATGGGATACCTCCTATACATGTACTCAGTCACTACATGTAGCTTGGACGGTCGCGAGAATAAGGGATAAACGAGGGTCAAGCGGAGTATCTTCGGCAACGGCCTCCATCGCGGCAGAGGCGGGAGAGATCACGTGTATTGTGGTGGGGCTGGGCCTGTGGCTGATGTTAGGGTTCTTGACCTCGCCTAGGGCCCCAGCCGCAACTGTGGGCGCCTGCTAGCACCTGCCCGTAGGTGCGCGCCAGAGCAGGCACGGACCCCTGGCAGTTCTCACGCAGCTGCGGCCCCAACACCCCAATCACAACGGCTAGAAATCGTCCACGCCCCATCCACTTTTTGTGCCCGTGTGCGAATTTTACCAGCATCTGGTTCGGTTCTCTCATCTCAGGCTCGCACCCAGCAATATTTGCATCTGTGTCAACGCCAACGCCAACGTCCCTCGTCCCACGACATATCAGTCACCACGATCTCCATCTCCATCTCTGTCGTCACGATCCGCGAAGATGGCTGACTCGGACGCCCCCGTCACGCTGCGAACGCGCAAGTTCATCCGCAACCCCCTCCTCGGTCGCAAGCAGATGGTCGTGTACGTGTGGTCCCCTCCTCCACCCCGCTTCCTTCGGCGGCATCTTCGACAACGATAGTCCTCATGCGTGCGCTCTGGCCTTTTCAACCCGGTGCTTAGGCCTCCGGCAATGGAAATGCCGGGCAACGTTGAGGAAGAATGGCCACAATCATAGTGCGAATCGCGGATGTGGGACATGTTGACTAACATCTGCTCTCTCTTTCTGTAGCGACATCCTGCACCCCAGCCGACCGAACATCTCCAAGGACCAGCTTCGCGAAAAGCTGTCATCGATGTACAAGGCCGGCAAGGACCAAGTTTCCGTCTTCGGTCTCCGCACGCAGTATGGTGGTGGCAAGACGACTGGCTTCGCCTTGGTCTACGACTCCCCCGAGGCTTTGAAGAAGTTCGAGCCCCAGTACAGACTCTGCCGCTTCGGGTACGCCACCAGACCCGAGAAGGCCTCGAGACAGCAACGTATGTGCTACCCTTGCCAATATCTAGCTTGCAATACCGCGTGAGCCAGAACATTGCCATGCACGGTGCTGACATATCCCCCCCACCCCACAGGCAAGCAGCGCAAGAACCGACAGAAGACCCTGCGAGGTACTGCGAAGGTCAAGGGTGCCAAGGCGAAGAAGGAGAAATGAACGTTCGGCTTCTGGGTTTCGTGTCTTTGCGGGAGTGGGTTTGGCTCGGCTTTGGCTCAGGCTCTGTGTTATACGCAAAGGCATCTGTGCATCCATCATGTCGGTCGCCATGCGTGCCGGCTCGAATGCTTGCCGGTTACTTCCCTTGGGGCGTGATGGATTCAATTCGACAAGGGTCCACACGATAGCATAAATCAAGGAGTTGTCAAGGCAATGAGGTTCTGTTCTCTATGTGCACCGTAAGGTATTCAAGTGCGGCGTGTCTGGTGTGTCCGGCGTGCTATCTGTCCCGATCTGATTTGCGAGTCACCCGCAGACCGACCGGCTTTGATGTTCCCGGCTAGGTACTTGCAGGTTTCTCTGGCGGCATATGCCAATATCGTGAGTTTGCCTCCTGGAGGAGTTCTTTGTGTTCGAGTTGACTCGCAATGTTATCTAGAACCTCGACCAAACTCCGTACGCCATGCCATGCCCATTTATATCTCAAAGCACCCAAGTTCTCATATCTCGCAGCCTCAGTTGAACGCCGTTTCCGCCATGTACCCCTCGCTGTTCAGAGCCCAAGCAACAGACCACCTACGACACCGGCAACGACGCCAGCCCGTACGACCCTCCGGCCAACATGGCATCCCATCCTTTCCGCACCGGCATCCAGAATGGGCTGATGCCAACCGCAATGCGTCTCCCTCGGAAATGTGACGCAGCTCCAATATGTTGTCTGCACGAACTTTTGGCCGCCTGTGTCGCGCAAGTTGGTTCCCAAGTCCAACTCCTCATCCGGAAATGCTGTGATTTGCGGCCTTTGTACGTCTGGTGCGCCGTCCGGGAGGCCGTCTCTCGTCTCAGTTGGATGCGGCAACATGACGGTGGATATGCCTGTTGGTGATGCCGGCAGGAGAACACTCGTCGTCGGGACTAGAGATGTCGGATTTGAGCTTGGGCCGAGGGTTCTGGGCGTTCTCACGCTGGCTTCGGCATGGCCTAGCAGGATGACAACGGCGGCGATGGCCAGCATCGCGGCGAATTATATATCTTCCTCGAGATGTCGGTTCCTGGGCTTTGGGGGAGACAAGGCCGATGTCCAACCAGTCAAAAACAAGGCAATAAAAGACAAAAGAGCCTCAGTAATGGCTTCGAGCCAGCTCAAGGAACCAGAATGCTGTGTAATCTCTTTCCAAAGATTGAAATGTCGAGACGGCAGGCGGGAAACCGCATGGGTCGATATACAAGGAGTGGTGCAGGTTGGCCCGGAATAGGTATTCGGGCAGCACGAAGGGGCAACGAAGACGCGGTAGCAAAGAGAAAAATGTATCGACGAAACCAAGGCTATATCACTCGTATGTCTACCCTGTCTTCCGGCACTCTAGACGCAAGCCCAAACCTGCCTGCAACTCATTATCGCTTGGTTGCTCGCTCATAAGGGGCATGAAGCAAGTCATAACTAAGGTAGTAGTGAGGCAGGGAGGGTTTGCTTCCTCCACCGCCCGCGCGCTCGTCCACCACGAATGAGTCGGAATGACTCCTCGTCCCGCCGCGGAGTTTCGTGCGGCAGGCCCATGTGCAAGCACGCATTGAAGTCCCGACCGCCCACCGCCCACCGCCCACCTGCACGCAACGTCAGAGCCCAACGACGAGGCTTCGCAGCGGCTGGCTGGCGGGCCACGTAGGCTGTGGGCCGGAGCTGGACGGCTGGACGACGGAGGCAGGGCTGGCAGGTGAGTCGTGAGGGACTGGAGGTTACGGCTGAGGGGCGAGTCGCCGCCGACGACGCGTCGGATTGGACGGCGCCGTCTGCAGGGTCATGGATACATGCAGGTGGTCTGTACTATGCGTGCTTGGCATCGCTGGTGGAGCAGATCGATTGGTATCCATTCTGTTGAACCATCAGGCCCCCGAGGGTTGATCCGTAATTGTTTTCCAGATGCCTATGAAACCCCTTTCTGCAAGTAGATACTCTAGGCGTTTTGATCGACTGGCTCGCGCCCTGGCAAGGACTGGCGCGTTCTGAGGACTTCCGTACCGGGTGTGCCTTGCGCTCTACCACTAGAGGGCTTCATCTTGTTGACTGGCGTGGAGTTCCCGCGCATGCAGCGAGCGGGGGAGCATGGAGAGGCAGAAGCACACGAGAGCGGCTTGGGCGAGGGTCGGGGGCAGCGCCGAAGAGAATGGAAGTACTGGACTGAAGGCACCTTTCTGTCTGGTGCATAATCATATTAGAAGCGCCAATTGTAGTTCTCCCAACTAACAACTGGAGGCGGGCATGAACACATACGGCACGGAACCCAAACATGTATTGCTAAGTTTCGGAGATCTCTACGCATGCTTAGTAAACGCGAGCTCGTAACACATTACCTCTTCCACTGTCCTACTTTGGTTGCCTGTCCCTTCAAGAGGGTACTAGGAATGCCACATAGTGGCATCATCATCATCATCATCATCATCATATCATCATCATAGCTGGGCACCATTGCTGTGGTCCTCAACTTCGCAGAACGCCTTGAATGTGGTGAACTCGTCATCCGGGCCGCCCTTGGATTCCATGACAAGCTCTGCGGTGGCACCGACGAAGAAGACGTAGCCCTCCTTGATCTCCACCGACTTGGGCCCGACATGAAGCCTGCCCTCCCCGCCTGCGCAGATGACGATGCTCGGCCCGTCAATAGGGTCAAACGTGGCCTTCGACTCGCTGCCCTTCAGCACCGTCCTGATGACGCTGAACTCGTCGATGGGAGGGTCGTACAACATGGCTTCCGACCCCGAGCTGTACGCGGTCCGGTTGAGAACCACGTAGGGGTACTCGCTGGCTGACATCTTTTGCTCCTCTATGGGCGCGTAGTTGTACGTCAGCAAGTCGACGAGAGTCTGGACGTCCTTGAACTTGGGAGTGAATCCTGCCCGCACAACATTGTCGCTGGCGGCCATACACTCGATGATATCCCCCGACAAGTAGGCGTGAATGTCGTCTGCCTTTAAGAACAGCGCCTCGCCCGGCGACAGTTGGACGTAGTTGAGGAAGAACAGGACGAATAGGCCAATGTCTCCAGGGAACTGCTTGTCTAACCGGCCGACAAGCTCGGCCATGACCTGCCCACCTGTCGACCCTACGCCGCCATCGGCGAACTCGGCCCCCTTGCTCTCGACTTCGGCCATCAGGGACTTGGCGGCGGACGCGACGTCTTCGGGGGAGGACTTCATCAGGGCGGCAAAGGCAGACTGGAGTGCCCTCTTGTTCTGTACGGTGGATTCAGATGAATCGTCATGCTCTTGGCCACGGGCGGTGGCAACGAAGGCTTTGGCATCATCTTCCCCCACGAGCTGGCGCAGGGCGGAGACGGATGAGAGGAAGTGGGCAATCTCGCCCAGCGGACGGAAGCCACACAGCCCCTCGAAATCGGTGATGGCAATGGCCATCTCGGGCTTGTGGTTGTCGTCGGGGTAGTTCTTGGGATCTCTGGCATGGAGTTGCTCGGCCAGCTGCTTGTTGGGGTGGGCTTGGATGGAGAGAGCCTTGTTGATGGAGAGAACCTTGAAGAGGAAGGGCAGCTTGGTTCCGTATCGGGCCTTGACCGAGGGTGAGAGGAGCATCTGGTTGGACTCGACGAGATCAAGGAGTGTGCGGCCGGACTCGAGGTCCTTGGAGGGGTTCGAGGGATGTGTGCCCATCCATAGCTACCGCGGTCGCCCGTGTTAGCGGCCATCGGCCATGCAAGCAGCACCATGGTACACGCGGGCGATGAACTCACCTCGGCATAGGGCTTGTCGGACTGGATGCCCAGAGTATCCGTAGGGGTTGCGGCGGCATACCTGGCGGCGGCCGAGTCAGACCCGAGCTTGCCCCAGTCGTACGAATTCACTCCGCACTGAAGTCGCATCAGGGGTACCGGCAGCACCATTTTCAAAGGTCGCGTGTGTTCGGCACCTAAGGCAGGCGGGTAGTAGCCGAGGTGATCGAGGTGGTCGTGGTGGTCGTGGTGGTCGAGGTGGTCGGGGTGGTCGGGGGTCTATGTGACTGTCTGTCGTCAAGACCTGACTCTATCTATTAACTCGAAAGAGCGGTACTATATGAGGCAAGCCTGGGGTTATGCAGGCAATGTGTGGTTGTTCACGGGTATTTTGGTGTATGCCCGCAGCATGTGGCAGTTTTGGATGGTGAAAGGTTGCGCAGGTGCTCGAGGACGACAATGGATGGAATAGCCCAATATGGCAATGTGCAGGTGGTAAAGTTATTGACTGCAGTGATGACGAGACCTTGATCAATTTCTATCCATGTGCTGGACAACCCCCGCCTTGCGGCTTGCCGCTGTACCTACTGTGCACTGTACAGGCTACAGCTCTTACCCCTGCAGCCCCGCATCAAGCACATTTCCTGATCGGGATGACCGCCCAATTTCTGCCCCGTCTTTTGGGTCTTCACTGCCCCGCACTTATACATCTGCCGCCTGCTTATCAGCTGCAGGGGTCCGATCGTGTACCTTAGGTACTACCTTGAGGTCACAGGTGGTTGTTCACATGTACACAGTAGGAAGGTGCAATGCACACGTGCAGTGGGAATCCACAACGCTTCACTTCTTCTTCTTGCAGTCCCAACGCCGTCCCAGTCTGAGGCTAGAACACCACTGCCAACCTTCTTGACCAAAACACCCCAAAATGTCTTCGAGGGGAAATCAGCGTCGGGGCCTCAACCGGAACAGTGAGGCCGGTGAGCACGGCGAGGAGCTGGCCATGTGGAAGGACAGCAAGGAAAAGATAATGGGTGTCCTGGACGCCTTCAACGAGAGCAGTGCGAATGTCCTTGACATCCGCGACCAGGACAAGCGCATGGCCGAGAACGAGAACAAAGGCAGTAAGTCTTGGCTGGCCGTGCACCTGCATGCTCACGCTACCAATACTGAACCTGTGAAACCTAGACCTCTCCTCGGAGGATTACAACAAGGTTGATAGCCTGCTCCGCAAGGGTGTTAAGATCAACGATGCTGCAGCCCAAAACCTCACCAAGCTGATCGAGGATCTCAAGGTCTTGAAGGCCGTGCAGAAGGCCAACGAGGAACAGAAGGAGGCCAGCGCCTCGCGTGTGGCACCTCAGAGGCCCCGTGATCTGTACGACTTCGAAGCCGCCGATTCTCCCATCCCATCTCCCAACCAGAGTAACGTCTCTCGGCGTATGGGCAACAGCGGTAAGGCTGAACGGGGAGACTCGATGCCGCCCAAGCCCCAGGATCGCTCCACGCCCGTCCCCAAGATGGGCAGTACCGAGCCTCAGCCCAACGCGGCCGCCAGCGCCATGCGTTCTAAGCAAAACTTCGCCAAGGACGACGAGGTCGCCTTCAAACCAAAGCCGGCTAGCAACGAACAGACGGACTGGATTCTTGGTATTGTCCAAGAAGTGCGCGGCGAGGGCAAGTCGAGGCGGTATAGGGTTCTCGATGCCGACGTGGATGAGAATGGCCACCAGAAGGACTTTCGGACCAGCGCCAGCAACATGATTTTAATCCCCAGGGATGGGACAGTCTTGCCTCCCCTTGACAAGGGCAAAGTTGTGCTGGCGCTCTACCCAAACACGACAACTTTCTACAAGGCCGAGGTCATAGGGATGGACGGTGACACCAAGGTGAACCTCAAGTTCGAGGGTGAGGAGAGTAGCAATACGATGCAGGCTGTCACCCGTCGACATGTGGTCGAGTATCGAGGATGAGGCGGAGAAGAGGGGGATGCTGGCGAGACTTGCACCCTCCGCATCTGTCCAGGTGCTTCATCTGTGACAGGCGATTCATGTGTCGCGAGTGCTCGGTTGGTGGCGTCGGATGGGATTGGGCGGGTGTTTGTCTACTGTACGGCGATGACCTCGCTTTGCGATAATTATCAGGGTTGCAAGGTGTTTTGGAAGTTGGGCCGAGGATAATACCAGGCCAGGGACTGCTATAGAACTGCTAACACCGGACCTAATTATTGGCTACTTCGAGATTCTTTAGCTATGCCGGTGGCGTCTGATCCATATTTTGCATCAGACCTTGAGCATTGTGCATCCTTTCCCTCCTTCAGTCCACATCAGCGTCCACAGCAGCTCCGTGACATGTGGCATGTTGTTCTGCCATACCTTAGGTACCTATCTCATTGCACCTGTGCTGGCCCCGCCGTCATTTTTGCATTGCCGGCTTCGCAAGGAACCTACGGAGTCGAATTATGAAGCCTATTTCAGCCGTGGATGCCCATGCCGAGGCAGCGCATCGTCGCCACTCTTGGCCGACGGGAAGCAGCAAACGAAGACCCACGGCGTAAGCCGTGACTGTATCCGCCGGGCCACTGCTCCACATGCCCCCAGCAGCTTCGGGCTCGCCGGTCCTATGGAGGCTCAGTTCGCGACGAGCCCATCCGATACCCATCACTGCGGCGGCCCAGCCCAGTCAACGATCGGATCATTGGCGTAATCCCAGAGGTACACCGCAGCGTCTCGGTTTGCACGGTAGTGCCGTAGGCTGCGGCTCCGGTTGCCCAGCTACACATCTGTCAGCGTGGCACCGGTCCGAAGAGTATGGCACCCGCACAAGCCGTGAGCGCGTCAGTCTCGATGCGCAATCTTGGGTACCAGCCCCTCTTGCTGACATTGGCTGACAGCATATTCCGAGTGCCGTCAAGCAGATCCGATGGCAGTATCTTGCCACAGACGTAACCCATGGCCCCGGGATACTTGAGTCTTGTGCCAACCAATGAGTGCCCAGCCGGCCGAGGTCGACAGTGCATATGACTTAATCATATGCTTCGATCATCGTGCACATATGGTACGCTGGCGTCTTCAGCATGTTTGCATCATTCGTCGTTAGTGGCGTCCAAGTGGGCGAGAGCAGCCCGAGAGGATATGTCGCTTGGCTTCCTGCGAACTTACCATCAACCACCACGTCTAAGGGGAGTCTGACCCCCTGTATGCGCGATTGTCTGCGTGCAAGTCGAAGACAGTCTAGGGACAGCTACCCTCGTGTTCCTAAGCCATATCAACTGATCTCGCTTTGCACCGTGTATCAGCCGAGCCCATCCGAGGCCAAGCCGGGTTCTGTTCATCCACCGGCGTGTTACATCCAGCGTCAAGCAACAGCCGTCGGTCTGTCTGTATTTTGTGTAGTCAACAGGCACCATAAGTTGTCTTGTACAGCCAGGTCTCGATCGTGGCGGTCGGGGATAGCCATGGTAAGCCTCGAGTGCGAAGCTGTCTCTAGGGCCTACGTCGGTGATTGCAGCAGAGTTCAATGTTGGTATGCAACTTGAGCTCCTTGGTACAAAAATCTGTGCCGTATTTATGCATTTATGCATTTATGCAGATAATGAGGTAATCGATGTTATCTTGGTTACCGGACCTTATCGCGGCACCAGCTGCTCTCAGCTGCGGTAGTCCATCCACCCACCTGCGATGCAGCTGGTGAACCCCCTAATAATACTAGATAGCCTAACCTGGGTAATAGATGGCACCTGCGAATGCGCCTCTATAGGAGGTAATTTGGTGAAACTTCCAAGGTTGGGTCGAGGAGCCTGGACTTTCCACCACCTCACCTCCGTTCAAAGCGTCTGCGTACCTTCCCTCAGTCAATTGATACCTCTCAATTGATACTCGGGTACTGCATCCTGCGACAACGACGACGACGACGACCTGCTGCTGTTGCTGCTTTGTCCAAGACTCCGTCCGATCTTCCAATTTGTCTCGCTCTGGACCCGCGGCCCCTTCGCGATAGTATCCACGAGTCCACGACGCGAACCTCGGAAATCACTTCACTTTCCCACCCGCCGCCTCCCGCTACACGCAACGCATCTCGGGTCCAAGGCGCATTCACTCCACCAAAAAAATACTCTACCCGCTCGCCTTCCACCTCCGCAACGACTACAATTACTCACCCAACCCGGGGTCGCAGCGCATTGGTCGAGACCGCACACGCGAGCCATACCCGAAACAGACGGCAAGATGGGGGCTCAACTCTCCAAGATGATGGGCAAGATCTTCGGGTCCAAGGAGATGCGACTGCTCATGCTGGGGCTTGACGCTGCCGGAAAGACGACAATCCTCTATAAGCTCAAGCTCGGCCAGGACGTCACTACCATACCCACGGTTGGTTTCAACGTCGAGACCGTCACCTACAAGAACGTCAAGTTCAACGTCTGGGACGTCGGTGGCCAAGACAAGATCCGGCCCCTGTGGCGACACTATTTCAGTGGTGAGTGACTGAGGGGCCATGTGCTCTTCGATACGTGGCCCGATACCGATACCTTGAAAAAGACAGGCCTCCCGTATTTGATGCCATTGCTGACCGCAGAGGCGAACAGGCACGCAAGGTCTTATCTTCGTCATCGACTCCTCCGACCGAGCACGGATCGACGAGGCGAGGCAAGAACTGCACCGCATCATCAATGACCGGGAGATGAAAGACAGCTTGCTGCTGGTATTCGCAAACAAGCAAGATATCAAGGAAGGTGCGCACAAGAAACCCCGTCACCGCTCACTCTACCAGCGGAATACTAACTGTGACCCCCCCTGCAGCTATGAAGCCTACAGAAGTGACCGAGGCACTGCAACTCTCCAAGCTGAAGGACAAGGTCTGGTACGTTGTGCCCAGTTGCGCCACCACCGGTGAAGGTCTTCTAGAGGGTCTGGCGTGGCTGTCGAACAACGTCAAGGCCCCGCCCGCACCCGCCAAGAAGTAGGACTTCTTGACGTAGAACGACACTATCCGGTATTCGGCCAACCCTCGAACCCCGGCATGGGCCGAGCTGGGCATCTGTTGTTGTTGTTGTTGTTGTTGTCTACGGTGTACATGAGAGCGTCTGCCTGAACAAGGCCCCGTGGGCGCTCTGCTGCGGTTCCAATGCACACTTCCCAGAAGCTCGAACCCGCCATGATTCATGATTCACCCCTACGGTTTCTCTTTGAAGGAAGGAAACGACATGGGAAAGGGGCGGGGTGGTTCTTGGCTCTATCACTCTGATTCCCCCTTTGTTGCTTTTGCTTTGAGTCTATTCCCCAAATTCGTGTGTTGTACGTGTACGAGTACGCGTGAGATGCAGATGCGAAAGCACTTTTGCGAAGTCGTCTCGACGGAGAGAAATTAGCGGAGGAAGGAGGCTTGTACGTTTGCGACTTGTTGGCCTGGACAAGCTCACACGTCGCCCGTGAATGAGGTCAGCCTAGGAGTTTAGAGACAAGCGGCAAACAGGAGCAGCAGAGAGCGGGCGCATACACCACCTAGTCGGCAAGCAAGGAGCAGCCTTTGACATAATTGCGATGATAATCTACCCCACCTTTTTGGCGATACGAAGGTCTGGAATACCGATCGGCGGCAGGCAGAGAGAAGTCCCTCACGATCAAGTAATGAAGCATTTGGAGGTTATTTGTACACTAGAACAACGCCTTCTCTAATACCGGCCCGATCCATGGGCCAACAACTTTTATAATACCACGGCTAATGACACTCACCGGCACCATCCTCCCCTTTGGTCAGCAATCCTGCTTGGCTGGATAGTCCGTCTTGGTATGTTCACTCGATCGCTAAAATGGGGAAGTGCCATCATGCATGACGAGTCATCATTGTAGTCATCACCGGCCGCGGTTCCCATCAAGCTTCCTTGACCCTCTTGACCGGCCTCACAACGCTGTCATCCGGCAGCCCGGACCGTTTCGTCCCGGGCAGGCTGCTGGTGCGTATGTCATTATCGTCCTGGCTGACGCGGCGCTGCGGATACGCAGTCTTCAGCCCCTCGAAGCAGTTGTTGCTGACCTTGTCGCCAACTCCGGTATTGCTGCTGAAAAATGGGTGCTGCAGCGCCTGCGCGGCCGTTAGACGCTTCTCCGGGTCGTACTCGAGCAGTCCTGACAGGAGTTTGTAGCCCTCAGCGCCAAGGGCGCTGAGGCTGTTGTTTGACGAGGGTGACGATGTCGACGAGTGCGCGCCGATTGTGCTGTAGTACCACTTCGCGAGAAGACTTGTCGAAGCCGCCGCCGACTTGCCGTGACCTCCGTGGTGGTGATGCCCCTGGTGTAACGAAGGCGCCTGCAGCGTGGCCAGATTGTTGTACTCGGGCATGCTGGTGAGATAGGGCCAACGGTCCTTGTTTGGTAGGCCCATGATGTCGACAATCCTTTGCATCTGATTCCGCTGAAAGGGTACCGTCTTCTTGTCCATCTTGGCCTCCTCCCCTTTGAAGATTGGCCGCAGGGACAGAAGCTCGGCGAAGATGCACCCCACAGCCCACATGTCAATCGCGGGCGTGTAATGCCGACTCCCCAGGAGCAGCTCTGGCGCACGATACCATATGGTGACGACGACCTTATCGCCGCTGAAGAGGGAATGGAGCGGCTTCTGGAAGAGACGAGCCAGGCCCAGATCTCCGACCTTGACCTGCCCGCCGGACGTGACCATGATGTTGGCCGGCTTCAGATCCCGGTGCAGGACCCAGTTACTGTGAAGGTACTGGCAGCCGTTCAGCAGCTGGAACATTATGCTCTTGACGGTCGGCGGTGGGACGCTATGCCGCGGCTGCTGCGTGTGGTGGTGGATGATCTGCAGCAGGTCGTGCTCCGCATACTCGAACACCATGAATATGCACTTGTCTTCCAGGATGATCTCGATGAGCCGAATAACATTGTCGTGTTTCAGCTCAGAACAGAGAGCCATCTCTCGGACGGCCGACTGGGAGATACCAGTGTATTGTATTTGCTCGCCCTCCTTGTCCGGCTTGAACTTCTTGATGGCAAATTCGCCGGTCTGGCCCTGCCGTCCCACAGCCTTATATACTCGCCCGTAGGTTCCACTACTGATGAAGCCGATTACCTTGTATCTATCAATGACCCTAACTTTGGACTGGTAGCCCATATTTCCACCACGGTCATGGGGATCTGAGAGGTGTCAGCTGATGCCCAAACAGCCTGTCAACAAGCAAGGGAGTTGGCTTGCTGACTATGGAAAGGAGAAGGACAGGCTGGGACCCTCGGCGAGCGGGAAACATAGGTAGGTAGCCTGGGTGGGTTGAGTAGATGTGCGCCAACTGTGCCATAGCTCGTCACTCAACAGAGTCCAATCTATGTCCCAAAGGCGGCTAGCCGGCCCAGGCGCTTTCGGCAAAGGCCCACGGCGGGATGTGTGTGGGTGGTCCAGAGAGACGCAGGGGCATCCGTCTACAATCAGTCGCGAAACCAGGCTACCCTACCCAGGGCAGGTAGTCAAGACACAGTAATCGTACCTTCAAAAGCGGCATGTACGCTCCTTTTCAAAGTCTGGTTCCGGGCGGAAACGGATGCGGAGCCCGACGCCGCCGACGAGGGATTGGTGAGACTCATGTGGGCGAGTAGGTAGGACTACTTGAGGTCACGGCTGTGAGTTCCGACAAACGGGCTGGCCTCCGCTGTCAAGCTGTGGGATCGGCTCTGACACAGGGCCGGCATCGCATAGCCGGCCGTGAGAATGATATGAGACTGGATGCGGTGAGTGAGAGTGCTCTATGTCGAATGGGAGGTGTGGCTGAGGGAGGTGTGGCTACGTAAGCATCTGAATATGCAATAAAACAAGGTGGCCCAGACAAGTCCAAGTCTCATTAGACCGGACTGACAATCTTGCGAAGGAAAAACAGTCAGGAATATCATCCTACCGTAACGAAAGCATGTCACTCGAGATCGCGACTCATTGATGTCGTGAGCTAGCCATATTTACCGCAAGGCTCGTTTTGACGAATGTCCCGATTGTCACCGTGGGCGAGCTGGCTACCTGAGGTCCGTCCCATACGGCCGGGAAACCCCCTTTCAACCCCCTTTCTATCGCGGTCCCAACTTCTCCAGGATCCTCGGTCCTTGCTCCTCCCACTCTTGCTGCGTGATCCACATGCTTTCCTTGTCCGCCATGATGTTCGCCAGCACCGCACCGCCCAGGAATACCATGTGCCGCCGTCGTGGGGGATCCTCTATCCTAACCTTGAACTTGTTCAGCCGTTCCGGGTTGCCGCTGAGGACGCGTGTGAGCCATAGCTGCTTGAGCTCCTTCTCCAACCTCGAAGGGAGGCCGGGATACATGCTGCTACCACCCGAGAGGACGATCGCCTTGAACAGAGACGAGCGCACGTCGACGTCTGCGGCTTGGATGGTGTTGAAGAGGAACTCGGCCATGCCTGGTTGTTCGCAGTCGACCAAATGGGGCTGGAACAGACACTCGGGTGCCTCAAAACGCTCACTGCCTACACGAATCACCCGGCCGTCAGGAAGGGTGTAGCTCTCCACCAGGACTGTCGTGTCTTCACTAAGGCGCTTATCCAGTTCCAGGTCGTAGGACACGTAACAAAGCTTCTCCTTGATCTGTCGAACTGTCTCGAAGTCAGCTGTTCGGTTGAGCGCGTAACCCCTTCTTAGGAGAAGCGCGATGAGGTTCCGGGTCACGTCCCGCCCTGCCACATCGAGTCTTCGGGTGAGGTGATTCAGGACGACAGACTCGTACACCGGAACGATATGGGTGACCCCGTCACCGGAGTCGACGACCACACCGGAGCTCAGCCCTGGTCATAGTTAACGCCACCCTGTGGACACGGATGACGGTAGGATGGGAATGGCTCAAATCATAGGCGCCGGGCGCACATACCTTGAGCGTACAATGCCAAAACGGCCTGAATAGCCACGTAGACACCTCCGAACCCGTAGCGCTCGAACATGACTTCGCACATCTGCTCTCTGTTCTTGAGAGGGTTCATGGGCGGCTCGGTGAGAAGGATCTTGCGCCCTTTCGGGTCAACCTTCATCTTCTCGTAGAAGGTGTAGTCCCAGAGATGCTGCATGTCATCCCACTTCTTGACGATGCCGTTTTCCATTGGGTATGAGATCTGGAGCATGGTCCGGGCGGCGGCGGCCTCGTCTCCGCACATGATGTCCTTGATTGTAATGTCATTGTCGCTACTCCTCTCCTCGGTTCGCAAGATGGGTCGGCCGACGATGGACGGGTACTGATGCTCGGGGAAGTTCTGCGCGGCATACCCAACCTTCAAGAAGCCGGTGCCGCCGTCGAGAACTAGCTAGGACGTCAGACAAGAAGGGGCTCACATGCAGGAGAGCTTCTAGGTGTTGATTGTGGTTATGACTGACCGATCGGAGGAGGAGCCGCCATGGTTTCTGCAGACGGTAGGGGGGTGACTGCGAACTCCTTGGGTTGTTTATGGATTGGCGCCGGGCGGTCGTGCTGCATGGGTCGAGGACGCTATATAGGCAAGTAGGTTGGGGAGTGGCCCGTAACTTGCAGCCAATGTACGCCAGATACGGAGAGGGTGAGGGCAGGGCGTGTGAGGGTGAAGGTGATTGTGATGGCGATGGCGATGGCGATGGTGATGGCGATGGCGGGGCTGGCGCAGCCTGGCAGCCTGGCAGCCGGGCATGTCTAAATCCATACCCACACAAGCACCTCCAGCCTGCATATATGCAAGTATGCAGTAGCATCCTCGTGGCTCTGGGGCTGTGGCTGCTGCTTTTTGCGGCTGGGGTCATTACCTTAGTCATCAACATCAATGCACGACATAAATGAAGTCAGATATTATTAACCCCTCACTGCTCAGTTACATGCATGTAGCAAGCAATTGGCACCCCGCAATCGACACCGAACTGTCAAGTACTGTCCAGTGTCAACCAGGGCAATACAACATGAGCATTGAACAGCCACCTGGTTAATCTGAGGTAGGTGTGTATCTACATGTAGAAGGCTACCTGCCTCCTATCCAGCATATACCTAGGATGCTGGGATGTAGGTACTTGGGTACGTACGTTCAATGCTGTTAGTGTTTAGGTACCTAAGGTACATGTAGTCTAATACATTGTAGGTATCGGCAATCAGGTCAGTCACCTTGTATACCGGTAACCTTCTATTCCTGAGCACGACACAACCCTGAAGCTTCATCTCAGGCTTCAGGCTTCAGGACTCAGGAGACCGTGTCAAAGGCTGCCGCAGAGTAAAGAAGTCCCGAGCACGGCCACCTTCATCTTCCTCTCACTGCTCACTGCTCAGCATCGATGGCTACCAAGCTCGTGCGAGGGAGGGCGACCAGAATCCTCGTGCTGAACCCCAACTCTTCCCAGTCCATGACTGACGGAATGGAAGCCGTTGTTCACAGCATAGATCTGCCCTACGTACGTGAACATACACATTCCACGTCTTGGGACTCCTCGTCGTCGCGACATGTAATCCCCTCAGGTTCGCAGCTTACGTGGCGTCCAGTCGACCGAGATCTACACCTATACGGGGCCGCCAGACGCTCCCGCAAGCATCAACGATGGGCACGACATCCAAAAGAGCACCGAAGCTGTTCTAGGCGACCTGGGCGACACGCTCCACGACTGCTATCAGGGCATCGTAGTCGCCTGTTTCAGTGTCCACCCGCTCGTGCCGAAGATACAGTCGTCCCATGGCCAGTCCACAGCCGTCACTGGCATCTTCGAGGCCAGCATACTTGCAGCCATGTCTCTGCTCGGCCCGGGACAGCAGTGGGGCATCCTCACAACAGGCAAGTTTTGGGAAGAGCATCTCGCCGATGGCGTCAACGCGTTTCTGGGCGTCGATGGCAAGGGGCCGACTGCCAAGTTCGCTGGCGTCGAGTCCACGGGCCTCAATGCTTCCGACTTCCACCACGGGGTTGATCCAGTAGTGGTTAGGGAGAAGCTGATCACGGCCACAAAGCGGCTGCTGCAAGGGGGCAACACAACGTGCATCGTCAGTGAGTAGGAACCAGAGCCGTCCGTCCTTTGCCTCTTTCGTGTCTCGAGAGGTGGAAGTTGTCACTCTCCGCGAGTGGTGGAGAGCTACATGTACTCCCTGTCAGAGATTACTGACGACAAATGATGCAGTGGGTTGCGCAGGCATGGCAGGACTAAAGGACACCATACGCACGGCGGCAAAAGAGCAGCGCGGGGAGCACTTCGCATACGTCGTGCTTCACGTCATCGATGGTGTCAGGGCTGGGATCATGGAGGTCGAAAGAATGATCAGGCACCAAAGACAGCGACGAGGATGAGATATCATTCTTGCCCAGATAGCGGGCATTGCCTTGATGAAACCAACTAAAAGTAGTATGTAGGAGTATAATGTTAGTCCCGGCGTCGTGGGCGGCCCCAAACGTCATCAGCATCTTTCTTGCCTTTCGTCTCTGGAACGCGCCAAATCACAAACAAGCCCGAGAGTACGGCCAGTGCTGTGAAGATGAAGTAGACCCAGCCGGCACCCCCAAAGCGCTTGTTTAGCTTGGCGTTGATGATGGGAAAGAATTGGGCCACCAGGAACGTAGCAATGTAACTTGCGGCTAAGCAACAAGACTGCGTTGCACCTACAGCCTCTTGGCCGACCAGTTCGGACGCGAGAATGAACGGAACAGGTCCGAGCCCAACTGCGAAAAAGGCCACGAAAAAGAGGACTGCCACCGCTGAGAGTATCTTTGCCTCGAACAGTATCGATAGTGCCAGCGCGAGCGCACTTGCTCCCTGACCAAAGATGGAGAGCAGCAGGCAGGCTTTCCTCCCAAGCTTGTCAGGGAGTGGCGAGCACGCGAGGGTGGTGATCAAGTTGATAGCAGATATCATGATGGTCAACAGTGCCGAGCTCATTGGCAGAAGATCCCGTAACAGCGACACCGAATACATGATGATGGAGTTGATGCCGCACAATTGCTGTGCACACATGACGCCCACAACGGCCACGATGGCAGGCCGGTACTGGGGATCCCTGACGACTTGGATGAATCCAAGAGGGGCTGCGTTCTTACTGCTGGCCCGGCTCGTAGTCGAACTTCTTCTAGAACTCGAGTCTACCACCGTGGTCGAGTTGTCATCGAGCAGCGCTTCCTCTTCAGGGGCCACGGCATCCGGATCCCAGGTCGCAGTCTCCTCCGCGATATCGTGGTGTCTACCACGGATGCGTTGGAGTATTCGCTTGGCTTGAGCGGCATTCTTGTTGGTGGCCAGCCAGGCAGGGCTCTCGGGCACCGCCAGGAGCCCCAGCCCCTGAATGGCGGAGACGATAATGCCAGCGCCCAAGGCCCACCTCCACGCCGACCCATGGCTGAGGAAGTACCCCAGAGTCTGTGTTATCAAAATGCCAACGTTGATACTGACCTGCGTCATGGCCCCGAAGGTTCCGCGCTCGCGAGGCGGCGCTACCTCGCTGATGTAGATTGGCACGATGACCGTCGCGGCACCTGCGCCGACGCCCGAGAATACCCTGCCGAAGGACATCATGGTGATTGAGGCACCCAGCGTCTCAACAATGGACCCGATGACGAAGAACACACTGGTCAACCGCATCGCGAGTAAGCGCCCTTTTTTCGAGGCGACGGGCCCGCTACCGAGGGCGCCGACCAAGCCGCCAAGGGTGAACATGCTCGATACTACGGCGAACTGCGCCTCGTCCATGGGTATGCAGTCGGGCAAGGTGGAGGAGGTCATCGGCGCGTCGGCTGGCGGAGTAGAAGCCCGGGAGGAGAAGACGGCCGAGACTCTCGACGATATAGAGTGCGTGACACGGCAGGATATGACATCCTGGGGGGCATTGAGCTCGGCCTAGCCACGTTGCACGATGACACGTCAGCCAGGTACGATTCTCTAGCATCGCATGAGACGCGACGCGGGGACGTAGGTGCAGTGCAACTGGACTCACTAGATGCAACCCGAATTGCAGTGGTCCCAGAGTGCTGACAGCCATCAGGAGGACCAGGTATGGGGAGACATCGCGGAGGCACTGCCGCAAGCCTGCCGGCGCCATTGTTGCAGGTCCAAGTTCAAGTTAAAGGTAAGATAAGGGTCAGAGGAGGAAGCGGTAATAGGTACCTGATTGAGGTACTTTATAGGTAGGGTAGGTATAGATGCCCTCACTCACCAGCCATGCAGGTGGTAATAAGAGGCAGAGGTAGGAAAACACAATTGAACACCTCCTTGGACAACTGGAGGTGGTCGGTGGGGTTGAAGCCTGAAGGCCCAAGGGAAGAACAGCCAGGACTCCAGCTGGGCATGTTCAACGTCAGCGAGACAGCTGGGCGTCGGCTGACACCAGCCGTCCTTCATGTAGCGGTGCGAGTACCTCCTACAATGCCTACCTACATGTAGTATCTATCGATCCCCGGTACCTGAGGTACGCATTCGGACATTCCGCGTACTCCATGTGCACATCACATTATACTAGAGTCCATGAATGCGAGCACATTTGCGTATGTCCTGTCCCTTCTTGCCCAAGCTCGAATCAAGAAGATTCTAATCTGTGAAACAATTATATCTCACCTGTTAAGCGACACCACCGTGGAGGATCGGTACTTGTAGAGAAACGTAAGCTGTTCGTGAAACAACACAAGAAGAAAATGCCTCAACGAGGGTACGCATACATCACCTCGGGGACTATTTGCATCTTTGGCAGTACACGAGCCTGGCAGGATTCAGCGTGGTTTCGTGCATGATAGATATCGTACAGTGATGGCTTCGTGATAGCTACTCCATCGTCCCAGCCGCCAGATCCTTTCACGAGTATTCTCGTGAAAATAGGGCGCAAGTCCCGTGACCCAATCAACTGGCCTGAGCTTGCCTATTCGGTTTCACTGTCCGGGTGAGTTGGCTCCAACACCTCGCCAGGCGACTCGTCCTCTTGCTCCCGGGACTCGTTCTCTTGCTCTCGGGACTCGTCCTCCTTCTCCCGGGACTTGTCCTCCTGCTCTTCTTCCTTCGCGAACTTCGTGATGCTGAATTCGGGGGGATACTTGTGCTCTTTCCGCAGGATACCTCCATTTCTCAACCTGAGTCTTCTAGTCGCCTCCATTTCCTCACGAACCTTCTCCCTCTCGTCTCCTTCTTCCAGCAGCGTGCCTTCGATGCTGAGGTAGCTATAGTCGCCGTTGTCGCCGACCCCGTAGTTTTTGATGCGGAAAGATAGTTGCGTCCCACTTCGTATCCTCGCACCATCCTCGTCGGCCCAGTATCCGTTAGTAAGCACCCGAGATTCGTTACCATCTGGTCCATCCGAGGGCGTAGAGGACGACACGTCCACCGCCGCAGCTGGCTTATCCTTCTCCTGATGGCTGGACAGGGTGTCAACCCAATGCCAGCCGCGAGGTAAACGTTGCGCTTCGATCGACGCATTGAACATTCCCCAACAAACCAGACCGATGTGTCCTCCGCCTTGCAGATTGACAGAGCCTTCTAACCAAGCACCTCGAGCTGGGCGAAACAGATCCACCTCGGCAGTTAGCCACGCAAAGTTGACAGCATACTCGCTGACCGACTCGAGCAAGACCAGATCGCTCATCCCGCTCTCTTGGGTAAGCGAGTTACTGCCAGGCGCCTCCCCCACTCGCGGATTGCGGTACGCCAACAGCACACCACCGAAGCTCGGGACGTAGCGATTGAGCAGAGGTTCGAGGTGCTGATCTACGTAGCCTCGTACAGGATCGATGACGCCGAGGGGGAGAAGCGGCAGGTACTGAGACACCGTTTGAGTAAAGAAGGGATACTGCAAGTCAGAGGCTTTGCCTGCAGAGGGCCTGTAGCGGCCTGGTGACATGTCCACGTCCATGGCCTCGTGGTCTTCGTGCCTGCTTGTCTGTGCCTGCCCCCCAATGTTTTGGTATTGTGGAGGGTCGTTTGAGGCTGTCGTTTCATCGGTCTCGGATTTGACTGGCTTTTCCCGAGGAAACTTATTCGACTTTGGCTTCGCAGCACGTTCGCGGGGTTTTCTGGCTTTGTCCAGAGTCGCATCGTCGTGGCCTGCGGAGCGACCCTCTTCCTTGTGCCCCTCCTTTAAAGTATCATCTTGGTAATTGCCAACAGGAGCCGCGGTGCTCTTTAATCTCTTAACCCTCCCCTCTGAGCCATTGCTCTCGACCTGGGTAGCGCGGGCACCTCGGCGCTTGCGCCGTTCTTGCTTCGTGTCGTGGTGCTTGGATAACTCGACCGTGTTGTCGTGGGGCGACAGATCGAGGCTGGCCGTGGCCATGGCCCTTGTGGCAAGGGTTGCGCTGCGCTGCGCTGGAGGGTCGGTCAAATGTGAAGTAACTGCCTGCGGTCAATTTTGCGGGATGGGCAATTCGGTTTGCACAGAAGAGAAAATAGTTGATCTGATGTATTAAGAAGTGCAGTAGCTACATAGAGAAACTTCGAAATTTTTAGGCGCATCGGCACCTGCACTCGCTAGAAGAATATCTTAATTCATGCAGCTAACCGATAGTGCGTGTACCGAATGCTCTAGGATCCCCCGAATATTGGCAGAACTGGACTTAAAGTTTGGGCTAATAACCTTATTTTTGACGTCCACGACCGATACCAGCTGTAGATTCGGCACTTTAGCTGTTAATCGCTTAGCGCATTTGTAACCGTAAAAAATTGTCTGCCAAGGAAGCTTCGGCTGATATTCGGCTGCGCAGAGCTTCACTGACACTTAGCTGGATTAGGGATGGCGGTTGATCTCCCTAGAGATAAGTGGTTCTGCCAATATTCGGGGGTCCCAGAGCATTCGGTAAGCAGCATGCAATGCAACCCCACGTTATCAGTCTGGCAGTCAGTCGTCTGGGGATTCTGGGCGGGTACCTCGACATCCATCACTCACCACATGCATCTTCATCATCACCTTCACACCACCGGCTACTCAAACCCCTGGCTCCTATGCCACGATCCATAGAACACTCCCACGCTTGTCAGGCAGTCAAGCGGTCCACACCGCTACACAAACATCCGACTCGACCATGTCGGTCCTGCTCGAGACGAGCGCCGGCGATATCGTAATCGATCTGTTGACGGACTATGCGCCAAAGGAATGTGAAAAGTAAGTGTGCGTCGATGCTGCTATGTTGAAGGCCTGTACTGATGCATAACTCTCCCTACTCAGCTTCCTGAAACTTTGCAAGTCCAAGTACTACAATTTCTGCCCCGTGCATTCCGTCCAACGAAACTTCTCGTTCCAGACAGGCGATCCGCTCGGTCCGACTTCCGCCTCCTCTGATGGCGGCTCATCCATATGGGGCCTCGTCTCTGGACCCTCAAAGAAGACCTTTGATACCACCTTACACTCGAAGCTGAAGCATCTCGAGAGGGGCACTGTGTCCATGGCCACCGCGCCACATCCCTCCGATCCTGATGTACGAGTTGCCGGCAGCCAATTCATTGTCACGCTCGGCGACAACACGGATTACTTGGATGGCAAAGCTGCTGTATTCGCTAAGGTTGTCGAAGGGTTCGATGCTCTTGACAAGATCAACAACGCCATTACCGACAAAGATGGGCACCCGCTGGTCGACATACGCCTCAAGCACACAGTGGTCCTGGATGACCCCTACCCAGATCCGCCGGGGCTGAGGGCTCCCAGTCAGTCTCCACCCCCATCCAAAGCCCAGCTCGCCACAATCCGGATCGCCGACGATGATGTGCTGGGTGAGGAGGTGGACGAGAACGTGGCAGAAAAGGCCCGCCGTGAGAGGGAGGCGCGCGCTCAGGCACTGACTCTGGAGATGATGGGCGACCTCCCCTTTGCTGAGGTTAAGCCGCCCGAGAACGTGTTGTTCGTGTGCAAGCTGAACCCGGTCACCACCGACGCCGACCTCGAACTGATCTTCAGCCGCTTTGGCACTGTACTGTCTTGCGAGGTCATTCGTGACAAGAAGACAGGTGACAGCCTGCAATATGCATTCATCGAATTTCAGGATAAGGGCGCCTGCGAAGCGGCCTATTTCAAGATGCAGGGCGTCCTCATCGACGACAGGAGGATACACGTCGATTTCAGTCAGAGCGTAAGCAAGCTGGCCGAAGTCTGGAGGGGCGGTGAAAATGCCAAGAGGAAAGGAAGGACCGGCGGCGGTGGCTGGGGCGGCGTGAAGGGCCTAGAAAAATGGAGGAAGTACAGAGAAGAAGACGGCCGCGAGGTGGATGATCATTACAGCATGGTTTACGGAGAAGAAGAGATGCGAGGTCGACACCAGCGGCATCGGGACGGAAAGGGCCAGGCAGAGAACACGACCACATTTCCGGACTCTAGCGTGAACCACGAACTCAGTCGCAAGCGAAGTCGCAGTAGGGATCGATACCAAGAACGTAATAGACGTCACCAACACAGAGAACCGAGGCAGCGGAGCAAGAGTCCAAGCCGGCACAGGTCGTACGGCAAAGAGCGGTATTCCGAACGCCGAAGCGATAATCTTCAGCACGACGAGCAGTACCGACGAAACCAACCCCGCGATCGCGAAAGGGACCGAGACCGGGATCGGGGCTACAACCGGTAGACGGGGATGTACGGCAAATCTTGATAAATATCAGAACCTAGCTGCTGTGGGAATCGACTGGTTTGTTACCATGTGAGTTCTCTGCAACGATGAACGAACTTTAGGGCACAGCGCTTTGTCCTGTCACTGTCACCTATACGAGGCCCATCAAACTCGATCTTCCGAGGGCACATAGCTCAGGTTGTCTGTATAGCAGCGGCCGCCGGCTCAGCAATGCTGGATTTCTTGCCTACCTTCATCCAGCATGACCCTGATATATCATATTTGGCTTTTCCGCGTCATGTAAGCATTGTCTCGTTCACACGCCAGCCTTGTGTTCATTCCTTATATTCGCCTGGTATAAGCCGTAGGTCGCGAGTCACACTAAACGCGCTTCCCGATTCAAGACAGATCTGAAGACAACCATATGCCCTTTCGCTGATCTCATCCCATCATGTCGCAACATATTCTCCCACATCCCCACCATAGTGATGGTCGACTATACTCTTCATGTTCCACGCATGTTGTCCCGCGCTGGAAGAGCACACATGGTGCGGTGTCACGTACTCGCGTTTAGCGCCTTGCTAGCCCTTCAACAACAAGCTGCTGATGAGATGGCTGTCTCTATCCGGGTACGTGGTATAGTGAGCTTGGCGAGACGGTTTCTCGTGTTTTAAGCTAACAAGTTGTACCTTATAGGTTTTGCAAGCGACGTCAGCCATGGTTGTCAACTACAGGCTCAGCTGGCCACGATGATTCGCAACAGGAATGTTTTATCTCCTAGTGGCAGATTAGGCTCGAGGAGCAGCCCAAAATGATATACGACACACGCATTTGAGGCCTTCACTAATACCCAGGCCCACACGGGACTCGCCACTCATCGGCTTCGAAGGACACGAGGCCCTGTCTCCTCACAGAACAACTCACCGTTACCACCTCATATGCGAGGGTCACGCGAACTATATGCGATGCCAACACATTTGCTACAGCTCTGTCTAAACGATGAACTTGTCGTGCTTGGAGTCTGGTGTGATTGATTGCCCATTCTCCAGGACTCTTAGCATACAGGATGGAGCAGGCAAGGTGACGGTGGCAATCGCACAAAAAGTAACATCGTTAACGATTTAGCGCAACTCAGTGAAGCTTCTTGATGTGTTTTTGTACGGGCTTTGACGGCATGTGTGAGCAGTGACGGAAAAGGATTTATTTATTTAGTGCAACTCACCGCAATTCGGTTGGCGCCTACGACAGCCCTGTGGGCCACAGGGCAGACTACGTGTAGCATAACATGGTATAATTGTGAAAAAGCCCGGTGCGCATGACCAAGGCGAGAAGTCACCTTCTCATCAAAATGGAAAGGGGCGGGGGGGGGGGGGGCGGGGACAAGGGAGACCTGCCCTCATACAGAGCAGTCTCGAAGGGTTCCGTGTCTGCAGCAAGCACCATGTATGCTCCTAAGCTTGTACTTGGTCATAGCTCTCGTACGCAAGCCTGGATACTCGTCACCCCGTCCAGCCTGCTGCGCATAGCAGAGGATGAAAGGTCAAAACCAAAAAGAAAAAACTTAGTGCATTTGCAGGCATAGAGCACACTCGTCACGTGGTCGAGGGCAGCGGACAATTGACGGTAAGAAAGCAAAGCTGGTCTGCCTTGTAGGCACGGGGTTACTGTCTATGGCTACTGTTGTGAATTTCAAGTATGGCTGGATGGTATGTGCTCCATATAGTATGAACTGCTTTGTGTATGGCGGTTGTGTCACAACCGGAGTCGCATGTCTCGTACCTGGTCGAATATCGTACTCAGCTTGGGTATTTCCAAGCCCATGCTTTCTGCAAGGTAGGGAGAACCCCCTCTGGCATATGAAGTCGGCCGTCGAGGGTAGTTACTATGTTAAGAAGCCTCTTTGTCAGGTCATCACCTACCTCCAACCCTATAGGTTGCTACTGATGTTACACATGCCGGGTGGCGTACCGGGGCAGCGAGCCTGGGCACGACTTCATGCTGATGGCCTTTCTCAGCCACAGCAAACTGCGTTGACGGGAGGGAAACACATGCACCATCCACACCCTTCTTTTTCCTTCCTCGGTTGACGTGTTTCGGAATATGCGTCTTGCATGTCGGGGCCAACTATTTATGGGAGCCCAATGGGAGAACTCAGAGCAGACGCGCCCTGCTGGTATGCAAGGGACTCACGGCTTCAGCCGCCAGCCGGCTTGCAGATCTCAACGACACCCGGGTTGGCTCCCCGACCGCATCTGATGATCCCAAACGTCTGATTACTCTCTATGCACCTACGCTACCTCCAATTGTCCTTCCGTGCGGCCTAGGAATGCGTCAGACCGAGCTGCTTGATAGAGGATCATGCAAACAACCCCCAAAGGCCAGGCACCAACCCGACTTAACCCCATCGCCCATCACGTGTTTCTGGCCGACAGGCCGTGGGCCGTGGGCCTTGGGATGGCGGCACGGCTAGAGTTGGCATGACCTGGGCTTTGCGTAGAGAGGCAGCATCGAAACCTGCATAAGCCAGCATGAAACCTCGACCAACGAACCGCTGTGCTGCTGGCGTGAATCGCAACAGTACCTACACGTCTCTTCCGATGCGGGGGCCGGTGCATCCCATGATGTCTTGGATCTCCACTGGTATTATCATGAATCAGCCGACACATCTGGGTACTTTCATCAACCTGGTCCTGGCTATCTGATTCACAGCCCGGAAGCTCGACTTTCCTTCATGTTCACTGCCGCTCACTTATGTGGACATCAGCTGCAAGGACCCCGCGTGTGCAACCTGACAACAGATGCTCATATGCTCATATGCATACCAATGCCGGGCCAACATCCTCTTGTCCTTACTTGAACCACCCACCGCGTCTCGCATCGTTTCCTTGTCTTGGCCAGGTCCAGTTGACTGCAGGGACTGTAGGACGCGGCGGCAGCTGCTTCGGCTTCACACTCGGCACAAACCCAACCAGAACTCGTTGAGCCTTTCCGCCTGACGTGCGCTCCCGCCTCATCAATATGATACTGCCAGGCTGGGGAGAACTCGCACTGCCGCTCGCTGACTATAACGAACCACTCAACTTGGAGAGGAACCATGGCAGTGGCACAGAAGTCGACGCCCCAGCTCTTCCTTGAATGGTCAGGAAACACTTTGGTCTCTTCGATTGCGGCGTAACTCGGTGAAACACTAGCACATCATTCATACAGCTCTGAGATCTTCTACAAGTGTACTACAGTGATGAGCTTTTGCTTTCACTGGTTTGCGTGGCACATCTGGCGGACGAGCAGCATCACACCTAGCCGAAAGAGGTTGAACCCCACGAACGGCTTCGAGAGAAGCCTAACGAGCCCCAGGAACACCAACTATTCTATCGCCAGCTTCGGCGTGTTTCCCTATTGTTTATAGGTCCCACAGCCCAGGATCTCAGGGGGACCCCAGACCAACCCTCTATTCTGGAAGACGGAGGTCTCTTGTCAGGCTCAGGCCAGTCTTACCCCCGGGGTCGATAGGACTGGCAAGCAAGCTTCAACCAATGACGAACGCAGCTGTGGTACAGCTTCCGGCTTCCTGCAGCCCTCTTTCAAAGAGTGACAGCGGGGCATGCAACAACCCGCTACACTATGGGAGAAACTTTCCGCTGCTAGACTTGTTCTCGCATGTACCAAGGGGCCATGTGGGCTGAGATGTCAGTGGCGCAGGGGTGCGCTTCGCCCACGCTTCCGCAGCCTCTGGAACCTCGAGGAGATATACTTGCTTGGTTTGACACGGCATAGCCCGGAGAGTTTTGGCGTGGCAGGGAAAGTGGCTACCATGGGAGCACGTCGAACACCTTGCCCACTCGACGCGGCTTGCCCTGACTATCACTCGCTACAAGGCCACTGAAGTCCTAGGAAAGGACACCCCTGGAATGAGCTGACCCATTGTCGTCTCCCGGTTGCTTGCCGTGGTTGGGCACCAAGGAGTTTGTCGAGGGCACTGTCTGGCTTCTCTAGTCCTCGCAACCGGTCACTATAGTGCTCATACACGACCACCTCGTGTTCTTCCCGCGCGGTTCTCTGGCATGGCACGCCTCGCATGCGGCATCTTGAGGTCAGTTAGTCCCGATCGACAAAGCGCATATGCAAGTGTGAGAGCGACATCCTGACATCCTCCGGCTGGCAAGCATGGCTTTCTGACCTTGCAGCCGTGCCCATATCACTACACATGCAAGACATCGCACCCTGCACGTGGTCGTTTGTATACGGGACAGGGAATAGTCACCGCCCCGCCAGGGCTGTCGAATCGGATCTCTGAGCATCCGTCACGTCGACAGGCCAGCCCACAATCCCAGTCCCTCAGAATGATTGAACAAACGACAGGTCATCTACGACGCTGTCAGAGATTGACGAAACCACGTTGCACCGACCACTCCCATTACCTGGGGATTCTGCAGCACTGCCGCGTTGTCCTCGGAGAATGCATTCTGCTACAGCCTACCGGTACCCGACTGTTTGATTCCACCGTGCTCTGCCAAGATGTGATCATCCTGATGTGACTTGACGGTCCTTGACGACCATCACGAGAACGGCGTCGTCAGGGGTCGTTGTTATTTCAGGCATCGCACCCGGGTGGACCCATAGCATCGCAATACATGACGGACTTCCGACGGTTGGGACGTGTAAACAGTCAGATCTACAACGTGTCCAGGCTCAACTCCGATTCGCGCAGTGCCTGAGCGAAGATGAGGAGACCTGGGGTCAGGTATACACTTACCGCGGCTGCTTTGCTGTCTTGCTCCTAGTCACATACCCTTGGGTCTGGTGGCCGTGGCCATCGCCTCCTGAGAGTTCGCTACAACGACGCCTGCGCCCCCAAGCACGAGACCGGATGGCCCTGATCTGTGCTGGGTCGGCATTCAAGCTCTTCCTATCCCTCTCGGTTCGAGACGCTGTTATATGTTTCCCCTCCCGACAAGATACCTTAGGTAACAAGTAAAGCTGTCTGCAGAACTGACAACTGACAGCCAGCCCTTCAGGTGTGGCTGCAGGCCCAACCGTCTCGCTGCAAACTACAGAGGAGTAGACTAGATACGTCACCTGAGGCCCGCCTTCGTGTCAAGTTACCTCACCTGGGACGTCGGGCGTCGCTGAAGCTCGACATGCAGCGTACTTGTGACATGGTCTCACCTGGCGTTTGTCTCTTCGGTGGGACAGTGGCCGTTGGCCAAAGTAACCTGATCATGTTTGCTCTCGGTGAGACTTGCCCTGCCAGAGTCTCTGCTGGCTTAGAACTTTTTAGGCTGGCCTCTCGTTGCTCGACGACAGACTCATCCCAGGAGCCTTACTATTGTACGACGGTACACTCTTACGCAGTCACCCTCTCTGCATCGTAGACGAAGTGGTCTCCCAGGATATGGCAGTGCTGTATTAAACCAAATGTTGAGAACACGATACCAATTTCTTCTCTAATGCATCACAGGTCTTTGCGGCCTCAGCTGCCCGAGCAGTAACCCAGGATCCAACACGTCTTGGAAATACGTTTTAGAAATTGACGGGTTGCCGGGCTGTTTGCCTTCAGCTAGAGACTGTGCCGGGATTGGTTCCTCGCTCGCCATCAAGGTTTTATTTTAGAGCCTCTCTAGGGGTTGTGGTCTGCATGGTTTGCGTGGAAGTCCATCGCACTCGGCATGGTAGGGACATATTACTCTGCTCAGATGGCCCCGTACACGCATGCCGGGGTATTGATGCGTGCAAGAGATGCGGCCGCCCGTTTGCCCCCTATTACTGTGTACCATGGCCAGTCTCTTTGGGCACTCTGGCCATGGGCTTCTGATCGACGTGACATCTGCTGTACTCTCATTCCTGTAGGGAGAACGTCGCGCATTTCACCTCAAAGCCCTGCCTTGAATACCAGGGACACTACCAACCGTGGCTGCAAACAACGGCCTTGGGCGTTAGAGATGTGTCTTGGGGCTGTCGTACGAGGTATAACATCAATGGCAGTTGCAGCCTGCCCCGTCTCTTCTGAGTCCTTCGTCTTTCCTGGTCCACGGGGATATTCCTTCGATTCTGCAAACTGCCAAGTTTGATTACTCCTCTGAAACATTAGAGTCTGACAACAAGAGAGACCTGGTGAAGCTCGACCTGATCAAGCTGAGATCTCCAAGTCTGAGCAGCCAAGGAAGCGGCCAATTGCTGGACAGGTTCGAGGCGCCCGGCTCGCCTGTGCAGCACGATTCATTGCCATCCTCATCAATCTCTCGCCAGCGGTCGCAGAACGAAACCAGAACCTCCCTGTTGATGCCGCCCCTCTAGGCCCGGGGGCGAACTGTGACCACCGTCGTTGTCTTTCACGCACCTGACTGGAGCAGGAAGAAGGATCATGGTAACTCCGACTTGCTGTGCACCCAGCGAGGCAGGGAGACGATATAGCCGTGCCTGTCCGCCGTATCCCTTCACCTACCCTGATCGCCGCTTCCATCTCCCCCCTCACGACACCCGAACCGCTATAATGACAGATCGAGAGGATTCTGACACGTCGCAACCGCGTAAGCGGATTGCGGTTGCGGTAAGAGGCCCCCTTCCCCCTCCCTCTTTTCATCTTTTCATGTCCCCGAATGTTGGAGACGAGATCAGGGGCTGACTTTGACGACGCAAAGTGCGGACGCTGCCGCAAGCGCAAGATCCGATGTAGCGGCGACCCGGGAAATGGGGGCCCGTGTTCCAACTGCAAGAGCGCGGGCTACGAGCCTTGCCTCTTCTTACGGGTACGGGTGCCGCCCTGCTTCCGCTGTGCGAGAACCACTTTCTTTCCAGTGCACTCTGACCCTCTCTTGCCCCTCAGGTTTCCTCGACCGAGACCCATCTGAGAAACGAGGGAAGCGACTACGGGTATAACCTGGATGCGGCGCGAACATACGCCAACCAGACGCGTGGCGCCGTGTCGCCTCTAAACCCACTGTCGCACTATGCTGCCGATTTACCGCCAGGCGATGTTCTGTCCTCGTACCGCCAAAGCCCGTACCCGTACAGCAGCAAGAACTACTATTCTACCATGGCTGGTTGGCAAGGCGCCTATCCTGACGATGGCGTCGACTACGGCTTGAACTACCCCTCATATCAGATGCTGAACCAAGACAGTGCCCCCCTGGTGCAAGGCTACGGACGGTACGGCTCGAGCAAGCCGGTCTATGTTGATTCGGAGTCGCCCTCGTACTCGTACGGTAGCCTGGTCCACCGCCCAGCAGTGAATAGCGACTCTCAAGGCTTCTCTCTGTCGAGCATGGCAGCATCCTTACCCTCTGCATCAGATCGGGTGATTTCGTCCGACCGCCTACACTCGGAGGTCAACCGGACCTTGACAGGCTCCTCCATGTACCGCGCGGACGGCCTCCTAACTCATTACGGGGGCACGAAGCCTTCGCCAACCAGCACGATACCAGAAGTCGGCTACAACAATCCGGGCACCACTTTCGAGTCACCCTACTCGGCAAGCAGCACACTCCCCTCAGGCATTACGCAGCGGACTGCCAGCCAGGCCGACACTGCTGCCTACCAGGCCAGCGCGGGGGCCGCGGCGGACACCGTATACCCCTCGGGGGACCAGACGCTCCGGCCAGCGGAAGATGCGAATGCCGGCCTCAGCTATGTCTACAGCGACAGCAAGCTTGACAATACCAGACGCGGTTCCCGTTCCAGAAGCGGAGCTGGTGCCGGGTCCGTGCTCTCCAACGGCCACGTTTATGTCCCTGAGTCTCATCATACCCACGCCCCTCCCCAGAGCTACGTCGTCCCCAGTAGTTCGGCCTCGCAAGCCAGCGGACGTGGTGGCCCTCCGACGCCGGCAGCTGCAGGCAGCCGCGTTCGCGGAACCTCGCATACTACGCCGTCGGACGTCCACCGCCGATCTGCGGGGAGCCTCCGTGGGGGTTAAATGGCGTCGCACATTCTCGCGGCACGGGTTGGTTGTGTGTCTGGGCCATGGCGGCCTGCTGTGCGACGTATATTGGGGGTGGGATTATTTCAGTGTGTGTGCTTTGGGCGGCAAAGCTATGTCTTGGCCACTCCTCTTATTGTGGTATTGATGCTGGCCGTTGTAATTCGACCGACCTCTCATCGGCCTATTCTCCTGATTTCCTTCCCGATCACCTTGTTCTAGACTACTGACTGCGCATGGCATCCTGCGTGGTACGCATTGGGTGCTCACCATGGAGCTAACGCCTCGGTGGCGAGGCTGTCATCATTTCGAGTGGTCAACTCGCTCTATTCCTACCACGCTCCTCGAGGATATGCTCCCAGCTTGAACGCACATCTCGACAACTCCGTCAAAACCTCATACTACGGCCTCCTCCGAGGTCTGCCCAAGGAGCAATGCTGAAAGGAGCAGGCAGTCCTGCATCAAACAGCTATACCTCCTTCTACGTGCATTTTCGGCGGCAAGACGGCAAAGACAAAAGGATGGCGGCTATTAATACCCACATGCACTAGGGTGCCAGCCACCGCGAAGTTGGGTGCACCACGGTTGCTTTATTTTGTTTGGCATGTTCGAGTCAGTAACCCTTGCGATTGCTATTGTCGTTATAGGTGTCTTTTCCAAGCCCTTTGGAACTTTACATAATGGTATCTAGTTGGCGGACTCTTGACACTGGCAGCCATGCATGGGAGCGACGGCCTTGCATGCAGCATCGAAGGGTGGGTGGGAAAGGAATCATGTCAACATCACCACTTCCACTTATAAGACGTTATCATAGGTCACCCTAGCTCCTGAAGCCCTTTTAGAAAGGTGTACCAGCCATCGAGTTTCCCTGAGTGGTGAAAAACACCGTGGCCAGAGCTGAGATTAATCAACTAGGTACAAGAATAGGCTCGGTTGAAATTCCGTAGTGAAAGTGGGTTTATCCCCGTGCCAGAGGCGCGTCCTGTCGTCGTGCCCGGTCAAGGTATTACCTCTTAAGGGACTCGGCTTATCAAAATATGGCTCATTAGGTATTCTATTACACCTAGCTCTATCCACAAAGCAAGGTATGATAGCAAGCTTCCGGTAGTGCATATGCCATTCTCCGGCGAACCAGGCCCGCTCATAGCCGATTCGATTTCGGCATCAAAACTTTTACAGCACCAGGGAGCTCGAGAAACTCGGATCGAAACACTATTCCATCCTACTACCTTCTGGTTGACATTGCAAAATACAAAGCCCTCGCTAATCATCCCGACGCGAACAAGTGTTGGATTCTGGGCTACGTTAGCCCATCCATAGTCATCCTTCAGGATCACCATCCCCATTCGTGACTCTGTCACATACGTGGCCAGTATAAGGCCACGTATCCTTTCCTTTAGTATCTTGGATATATATAGGGCCACTCTGGCCGCTCCAGAGTAGCTGGAATTCCTCTCCTTAACAGAACACTTTGAAATCTCACAACAAGCCGTTTTCTTGTCCTTCCAAGTAGCGGGAGAATGGTACCCGTGGCTTCCATTTTATTATGGTTGGTTGACAGGCTGATGAAATATCAAATACCAAAATCGACTGGATACCTTGATCTGCCGTTTTTTATGTGAATCTTTCACCTCCGTATATGATTCTTAGAGGCTTGAGAAGTTACTGCAACGGCATAAGGAATAGAAGTCTACCTGATGAGGCTCTTTTAGCGTATACAGCCCTCTCGCCGGTCCTTTCTTTTCTCTCTAAATGTTACGAGATCGCCCCTATTGGGCTTGTGACTCGACCTAATGAGTACCCCCTAAGGCAACCGAGAAAGGTGATGCCTCTGGAAAACCCTTTCGGATTTATATAAACCAACCCTTCACTTCAACACACTTGCAGGGTCTTGCGGATCGAATGAAACAGGGTATCCCCCCGTGATTTGTGTATCATCAAGAGAAACGCCCCTCCGAAGTGTCTGCCTCGTCTGACTTTGAGCGGGTCAGGTCGTTGGCCACACCAGGCTTCCATGACCTCAGGCTGCAACTCTTGATGAGGCCGGTCCTCCGGCAAGACGATAGTCAGGGTCCAAAAAGGTCCAAGTCTAGGTCTTGGCTAGGACCCCCGTCTGCTCTTTCCTATCGGGAAGACTGATCATGTGTAGTGTTCTTCAAAGGCAGGCGTGGTTGCCAGCCACAACCCACAGCCACAAACCACCAGCCACAAACCACTAGCTACAAACCACCAGCCACAAACCACCGGCCGGCTACCGGATGGCTACCAGCCACACCTGTAGCTCCGTAACATTTTGAGTTCGCAACTTCACGACCTCTAATAAACTCCCTTCAGTTTTCATTGACAAGCAGCGCCATCACCACCATCACCCTGCGGATACGGGCGCTGATTCGACGTCACTCTGCCTCTTGCCTCTCGCCTCTCGCCTCTCGCCTCTCGCCTCTCGCCTCCTAATCCGTCCGAACGAGTCTTTCATCATTCATCATGGGCCTCTTCAGCAGCTCCTCTGACGCTCCCGCAAGTAGGTGCGCCTGCCTCCCTGTCGTCCTACGCGCCAGCGAGCTGACAGCTTTCCCTCTCTGGCAGAAGCCACGCGTGAAGAGATGCGCGATGCCAAACTCCCGTTGGCCTACCGAGACAGCTGTGCGAATCTCCTCATACCCCTCAACCGATGTCGCGTCGACTCGTACTATCTTCCGTGGAAGTGCCAAGTTCGTCTTGCTCCCGCCCATGATCCGCCCATGATCCGCCCATGATCCGCCCATGGTCCGCCGACCAAGCTGACTCCGCCTTGTGCGCAACAGGATGAACGACACAGCTACGAAAAGTGCCAGTATGAGGAATTCAAGAAGCGAGTGGCCAAGATGGATGAGCTCAGGGAATCCAAGGAGGGGGCGCGCAGCAACTGAGCGAGCACGAGCATCACCACAGGCCACGTGTATCAAGTCACCGGCACCGTACATCTAGAACCATCAACCACGCCGTCTCGTGGGTGTCTGCCTCTCTACGCTGGGTGTTGGGGAGTCCCGGTGCCGGAAATGCAGGGCAACAACCTGGAGCGGTCTTCGCCCCTACGCAGCCTCCGTTTTGGGATCTTGGGACCTGGTCGGTTGTCGTAGTGCTCCCACTCTATGATAACCATACACCTGATAACCCCGTTGTAGTACTGTCCGCATTGATTGCAAGGACTCCCTCAGCCCAGGTAACCCTAGACAGATATAGCATCATACCATGATACCTATACAAGCTGCGCTGCTATTGTACATCTCGGGCTGACCGCACTTCCCCGTCTTTTCGAGGCTGATCCCTGGCCAGCTCCGACTCTGCTGCTCTAGGGTAATTGACGGATCCTTTACTACGTTGGCGCATTTTGTACCATATCAGAATGCTGATATTCATCAAACGTAAGCCTACCAGCTCAGGTCTCGCACTTGTAACCGTGCTTTGCGACCTATCAAGTGCTCCTGTGACGCGGGCATAAAACCGTACTGCGAGTCGTGCAAAAGTTCGGAGCGCACACTTGACTCCAGTCCATACACAATCGTAATTTCCAATGAACAGGACCGTCTGTCGTGACGAACAATAGTAACGCAGGTCTCATACACAGTTGCCTGACGCCCAAACACCGAGACACGCCACGCCAGACGCAGTAAAACCTGCCTCTTGTCATCAATTACTGACCATAGAGATAGAAGACCAGCCTCTGCTCGTAATCCAGACCATTTGAGTGCCTTGACTTCTACTGTCGATACATCACAGAGGAAAATCAAACGACAATGGCTGACAGCTAGGTCATCAGGTTTTACACTGCTTGAACTACCTAAGCACTCGCAGCACTTGTAGCACGCGCAAAACCATAGCAATAGTGGCCCTCTAAGACAATCCTCTCGAGCAAGCTAACATGTGACTCTTTAAGTCTTCACAGCGAGCCAGGTCGGCGCCGAAGCTGATCGGCTCTATCAAATGCACGAGACTAGCAACAGTGCGACTTTATTTGTTCCGCGCTTGCGCCAACCTCAACAAATCTACCTGGGATTCATTGCCTATCTAGAGACACATAGAGCATCTAGAATCTCGCACTTGTCTTCCTGCGAGATTTTTCTTGTCTGACGTTCGCGTCCGAGGTTGAAGGTGACGCTGATTTCCGCCCTCGCAGCGTAGAAAGATACCGATTCGCTCTTGGCTGCGATCCCAGTGACGCTGTTGAACTTCGTGTTTGGTGACGCACTTCGGCTTTCTTCTCGATCCACCCATTACCTCCGGGAAGACCCCCTGATCTGGGGGAGTAGGTCTCATCGACCTCCTCGTCTGCATAGTTCTCGGTAAAACTCGGCTCCGAGTCGGAGGACAGGTCAGGAACTTTGGTCCCCGGGGGGATGGTAGATTGGGAATCTTGCTTGGACGACCGCCGCCTTCCCTGTGGTGGGGATATCATGCTGACAATTCGTGGCTGTGGCGGAAGTGAACATTCTTTGACGATGGGGACATCAAGGTCTCTCGACTGGCCCTTGACATTTCCTACGACTTCTGAACTTGAGTCGTCCAAATCGTTTGATGATTTGTCAAGCTTGCGCATCGCATCGTTGTAATCCAAGTATCTCAGAGCTTGAGGAGTCTGTGGCGTTTCTACCGCAGACAAAGCTTGTGACTTCGACTGGCTTTGCGTATTTCTTGATGTAAGTGCCGTACACCAGATTGTATTGATTGATGACAATGACCCCGGACTTGAGGGATCTGCCGGGGACGTCCGTATATCCAGCGATCCATTCGTCTTGTTCCTTTCTCGGCCCGCAGATGCGGTGGTCTGATCATGACGAGGAGTGCTAAGCGAGGACATAATCATACGGCTCTGGAAGGCGTTGATAGGTTCGCCTTCGTCACCAAGAACTGGGGAAACGCCATGATCATTTTCACTCGTCATTCCAAAGGGAAATGGATCTGTATTATCCGTCTCCATGCCGTAGTCTGGCTGTCGGCCACCGACAACACTGCTCACAAACGATGGAACTGTCACCCTAGGCCGCATCACATTCGGGGTGCCAAGAATGATGTCCGCTTCATCGCTATCTCCTACAGATGGGTAACTATAGATCCTGGAGTAAGTGACCACTGCTAGGTAGTTTCGGAAGCGCCACCGCTTCGAGCTCCCGACAGCCCAAGGGCTTGATTTTGACACGGGACAGAGGCGTCAGAAAGGAATGTTTGGGCGCTACTCACGACAATTCCCTCTCAGGCGTGGCACGACAATCTACCACCGAACTGTTCGCTTCCAGACCTGTCTCACCGCTGATGCCAGTAATGCCGGAAGGCTTGTCGGGGGATCCAACACCGAATGATTGACTTATCGTGTCTTGAAGCTGCTGAGTAGGGCTACTGATCTGGGAAAGGTTGGACATCGATGCGTCAGCGGTCTGGAGGCCGTGTCCACGTCCACCACCTAGCGAGCGCGCCGCGGCATCGGAGGTGGGCTCATAGGTAAGGTGCTCCGATTTCTCAGCATATGCTTTGTCAGATTGGCGACCTGCTCTGACGTGTTCAACGTCATCTGTTAACTCGGCGTTTGTGTGTGGCTTCCGAACGGACCCCATAGAGATAGCCAACCCCGTTCCGTCTTCATCATGACGACCAATCGATGGGACAATTTCACCAGACTCGACGGCATCATTGCCGGGCACCGTACTCAACGGCTCTTGGAGGACCCTAGGCTCTTGCATCTCGGCAAAGCTGAGGGTGCGAAAGCCCTCGTCTTCCTGCTCGGCATCATCGTCTTCCTCGTCCAAATCCGGTGCCTCAAATCGGTCGTATATACGTTGACCAGTATGATGATCATAGTGCTTCTCAGTTGCGTCTAGGTGGCGATCCCTCTTCGCCAGACATACTTCCAATCCCGTAGCATCGTCATCGATCCTGACAACTACAGCAGTGACATTAGAAAGCTGGGGCTGCCAATTTGTCGACGACGAACACGACCACTTTCGCCAAGTGATAACCATACCAGCTCGCGCTTGCCCCGGCCGAAGAATGGGAAGGGCCGAAAGATCGCGCGGTAGAGACGGCAAATCATCGATATCGGTAAACTGACTCACGTCGTTGGCAGGACGATTGCGACTCTCCTCGTCATCATAGTTGAGTTGGATGCCTGCGTCGGGGGAATGCGCATCGTCAATGCCGTTGAACGTGTCCTCGAAACCATTTCCGTCCCAATCAGCAGATTCCTCATAGCTTCTTTTCTTGCCTAGGCGGCTACTGGCGTGGTAATACTGGGCCTGGTTCCGTTGCGCGCGCTTGCTTTGGCTCCCACGCTTGTGCTGCTTGCGAGGCCACGAGCCCTGCTGTTGAGGATCCCACCTTTGGACAAATGGAAATGGTGGCTCAGTCAGATGCACATTGCCGGAGCAGCATTCTACGGCTCGGTAGGTGATTCTGTCCTTCCAGGCACTGGGGTCTTGGTCGCCCAACGTTGAGATGCCACCGTCCGGCCGTTCCGTGACTGACTCCTCTCCAAGTACCGGATTCGGAATCGGGCGGACATCTTTCATAAGCTTGGTACGGAGCTTCTCTTCGTCTTCCTTCGACTTGGGAGTACGAAGACCAAGAGCCCCAAAGAGAAGCCGACGTCCAGCTCCAAGGTCGACTCGACGTCTTTTTTGAGCGGAGATTGACGACTGGGAGTCGTCCGCTAGAGACGCTTCTTCCGGTGTATCGGTGATCACTTCAAGATGAGCTTGCGAACTGGGCTCTCCTTGCTCTTCACGTTTGCGTTTCGAGCCAGCCCCCACGGTTGTAGGCGCGCCCTCGGGGTCAGCGTGGCCTTGAACGCCAATCTCAACACCTCCGTTAGAAATGGCGTCTAGCAGAGCCTTTCGTTTCGCCTGGAAAAGAGCGTCCTCCGCATCAGCTGCCCTCTCGGCGGCTGCTTCTCTGCCTTGGAGGTTGCTGGTCGTCGAGTATGCTCCCGAAACCTCCTCACCTAGCCTTCGAGCTTTCTTAGCAGCTCTTCGACGAGCATTGCGGCTCTTAGTGCTATCTTTGCCAGCGCCTGGCGGAACCGTCCGAGACTGTACAGGATGCCCGGAGGACTCCCCATCTGAGTGACCCTGTATGATTGACGCGTGAGGTGCATGGAGTTTCGTAGATGGAACAACGGAAACCGAAGCGACCTGACTGGGCACTTCCAGTGGTACCTCCCGATGGTCTGACTCTGAGTGCGACTCACTTGAAGAGATTTCATCTGAAACACCACCAGAGAAGGAGGGATCACGTTCAACGTCATCTACGCTATCATCGCCGCGGCTGCGGAAAATCTTCTCCTGTTCAGGTCCACTGTCTGCACCACTGCTCTCGTCAGATTCACACTCATGGTTTGACGGAGGACGACCCTGGGCTTCAGCTGTGTCATCGTCGATCGAGTCGCCTTCGTCATCGCTATCCGAATCAGAATCATTCGAATCATCTGAATCATCTGAATCAGAGGACTCGCTAGAGTCAGATTGATCTCGAGACGAGGAGGCATCGTCACTGTCTTGTTCAGATTTCTCGCTTTCGGAACTGGAGGTTGTGCCACTGCTCGAAGAGGTATCGTCGTCTTCCTTATTAGCCGTCTTCTCGGGACTCTTTTTGCTGTCATCAAGGGTTGCAGATGTAGCGGCACTATCGCCGCCAAGTTTACTGCTAGTAAACGAAGCGGATATGGCGGCCATCTGGGTCAGCCCCCTCCCAGACGTAATTGATCCAGGAGGGAGCCCACGATGATCATACTGTCGCACTAGAGCATCGCGTGCCTCATCATCCTCATCCTCCTCACCATCCCCATCCGCGAGGTGATCTTGCCCCTCAGCCTCCCTACCGCGAGTTTCGAGGCCGCCCCACACGGTAGCAGGATCTCTCGACAGATTGGAATTCTTAGTCGACCTGCGTTTGTGTTGTGTGATGTTCTTTGAGTGAGGCCACGACAGCGCAGCAGCCTCGGATATCTGTGGCGCAAATGCATGAGCCAGCACGGCGTATGCTGCTTTGGTGTCACCGTCGGAGGTGATCAGAACTTTCTCGCAAATGTCCACAGACGCTGAAGGGAATGCAGTTCGTAATGCAGAAAGCTTATCGAGGGTGACAAGGTCTAAGGCACGGTGTACAGCAGGGCTCTGTACCAGTGCGTCCTTCTCGCCCAATGTATCGTTCTCCTCAGCCAAGTCCCGAGCCTCTTGCCCTAAATCTTCGTCGCTCGGCGAATCTGAGACAGAGTCTGAACCCGAGTCTTGAAGGTCCTCTATGTCTTGCACATGGTCATCATTCGAGCCGGAGTCGGAGCCATTTGACTCCAGCCCGTCGCTCGAGTAGTCAAATTGGCCATCGCTGTTGGAATCGGCGTCGTCGACTCCGGCGTCGACGCCAGCCTCAGAAGAGTTCTCCCCATTGGTCAGAAACAGCATCGGTGTATCTTGGCGCTGAGCCACTTGCGCGTGTGCCGGTGCGTCGTCCTCATGGTAGGTGAGTCGAGGTCGCTTGAGGGGTGGGATATGGATCGGAGGTCGACCGCGAGGGGCCTTCAGACGAGGTCGACCAAACGGGACGCCGTCAATGAGATGTTTCCCATCCGAGGAGATCTGGTGTCGACCACTGATGCGCCGGCGCCGATGATCATCTGTATCGAGCGGTCGAACACTGTGGGCAATGGAGACCAGCAATTAGTTCTGCACATCTGGACTTGCGGCAGCCGGTTAGGGTAAGTGTGCAACTCACAATACCCGGTCGTCTGGCTTCAACAGACTGCGCACCGACTGGAAGTGCAGACACTCGTAGTTTGTACCGTCGTCATCATGGAGCTCTACGACGTAGTCCTCCATGCCCCATTGGCCGCCTTCCAGCGGCACGTCCTCGTTCAGCTGCTCGAGCAGGCGGGCTATGGTGGGATCGTTCTCGAGCCGCACATTCCACATAAATCGAGCTTCTGGTATCCCGTGGCGCCGCACGACCAGGCGCAAGCGCATCTCGTTGTCGGTCATGGTGCTTTGGTGCCTTGGTGCCTGGGTGCCTGGGTGCCTGGTTGCCTGGGTGCCTGTGTACTCGGGGTTTCGCGATGCTTGCCGAGACTCGGTGGGCTCGACAGGAAAAGGGTATGCGGTCAACAACTGCCCATGGACGAGGATGGCTATTCAGGTAGCTTGGCGGGGCTATGAAAGAAGAACAGTCCCGTACCTACTTGATGCGACGGTGTACGGCCAATTCAATGTGGAAACTGAAAGACTTCCTCATTTCGGCGTTTGCAAGAGCCAAGATGAGTGCACGAGACGACTGATGAAGGGTTTCCGTGGGTCGTGGGTTGTGGCGCGTGGCGCGCGTCAAGTCTGGTAGTCAGTCTGTAAAGTAGTCAGTCTGGTACCAACCTTGTGCCTTTAATTTCAGGTGCCTACAGGTGGCTTCCGCCTAGGTAAATGATATTACAGTGGCTACCTTACCAAAGCTTAGGTTACTTTAGGTACATAAGGCGTGTGCGGGGCAGCCCTGGCCGATGATCGATCTGCTTCAGATCCCTCCACTCCCTCCTCGATCCCTCCTGCCCTCCTCCCAGCTGGCTACCTCCTTATTACGATGCGGCGGTTGGGACCAACAACCTTAACCTTCTAACCCTGGCGAATAGGCAGAAGGACTTGGTGGTATGGACGGTACGGACGTCAGGATGGGCTAACAACAAAGGAGGTATATATTACAATGCCCTCTACTATACCGGCAGAACTGTGCCATCTAGAGAGATAGGTGCATATATAGGCACCGCCTGACGAGTAGTAGGCAAAGAGACATCAATACCATCATATCACATACCCTAAGCCCTTCCAAGAGAAAGTGTCATGCATCTGTCCCCGACCTGTTCGCGCCTTGCCATGTACATGATGTACATGATAGGAGAGGCAGCCTAGGGTGGCAGACTGCCCATGTCCAGCATATGTCCCATCTTCTCAATCTAAACAGTTGCCGCGACGACTCGTCAGTGGGAGAAGGGTGATGATTTGCGTAGGGTTGAGGGTGCTCATGCTCACCTTGGTCTTGAGATATCCCTCCACCTCCCGGCTGCTGAACCCTCCCCTGCCTTTCCAGCTCAACGGCACCATCGCTACACGCTCCGTCACCCGGACTTCGCGATTAGGTCCTTCGACTGCTCTGATCTTGTCGGGATTGTTCGTCAACAGCCTGACATGGTCTTGTCCGAGGTCCAGCAACATGGCCGTGGCAAGTCCGTAACTCCGGGCATCGGCCGGATGTCGTAGCAGTAGATTGGCCTCGACCGTGTCCGATCCTAGATCTTGTAGGTTATACGCCTTCAGCTTCTCGCCCAGCCCAATGCCTCGGCCCTCCTGCCGCAGGTAGATGATGATGCCGCCATCTGTAGCGCTGGGGAGTGACATCAGCCTTGCTGCCTCGTCCAACTGCTCGCCACAATCGCACCGCGCAGACCACGCTGTCTCGCCTGTGTAGCACTCTGAATGTATCCGCACGAGCGGCGAGCCGGTGGAGTTATGAGCAGAACCCCCGGCGCCCGTGTTATCCATCATACCACTCTTGGCTCTACCAGGGTACAACCGCCCCGTGTATGCGCCTCGAACCATCCGGTCCATCTCGGTCTCCCCTTCCCTCGGCGCATCTAGTGAGGTGCTCCTGATGTGCGTCCCAAACACGATAGCCAGGTGCTCTTTACTATCCACGTTGTTGGTGTAGAGATGTAGAAACATCTCCGTCCCAGCGACGGTTGGTATCCGCGCCCGCACGATGCAATGTACTTCGGGCAGGGTCTCGAGAAGGCGTGGCTTTTTGGTGCCGCAGCCGCCCGACGGCACGGAAGAGTCAACCGGTACTATCCCGGGCATCTCGCTGGCGCCCGGGGTGGATGGGGGAGTGAACGCTGGTGAGACGAGCGACGGCGGCGGGAGCGCTTGGGCCGGATCCGAGCAGGCCGACACGGGGGCCGGGACGGGAATCGAGTTCGAGCGTGGGTGATTTGAGTGGTTCGAGGGAGGCGGTAGGGATAAGTCGTCGCAACCCGGACCCATTCGGGGGCTTGAGGTGAGGGCATCACCATGGTCGTCCCGCGCTTCTTCGACTGGCCGTGAATGTGGAGAGTAGAAAGATGGTAGATATGCTGTCTCTTCGCGCCATGACTCCGCATCGCCCCTCGTGTCGCCCTCTATAAGCGGTACCTGCGACCGTGACATGGCTCTTGATTAATGCCTCCCTGGTCTTTCTCTCGATGATTACGTCGGGTGCAGACTGCAGTTGGTATGCGACGATGGAGAAAAGCTGCCGAGGCCGCGAACACCCATGCGAGAAGGGCTGGCCCGTGCACATCCACCTACAGTACTGCACTGTAGTAGCTGCTCCTCTTGCGCCTTGCCTTCATGTTGTTCTGCTCCTTCGTACTGTATATTACCAAAAGCTACATACCTTAGCGAAAAGGGTTCACCCCTCCTCATCCTCTAGTTCCTACCTTATTACCTAGTCTATGCCTATCGTGAAGCGGCTTCCACGGTTGGCTCGAACCTTCGTCCAGCCTAACTTAGAGGCTTGCCTTCGTCCAGCCCGCCAGCCTACCAGAGCCTTACCTCCGTCCAGCCTAGGCTTTCGCGTCTCCATCGTCACACCCGACCGAACCGACTATGACACGATTCAACCTGCGAGATCAGTTCTTGCCGTGGCTCGACGCCTTGCCGCCCACCATGGTCAATAGCCTGGGAACCACTGGAAGAGAATTAAAGATGCCGATGAACTCATCTGACGGGCGGTCCCTTATATGGAACAAATGGGTACAGGAGCTGTGTAAGAAAGTAACCAACAATCCGCAGTCGGTTAAGGACTGTTGGTTCATTAAAGGTTACGGTGGCGATACGTCCGGCTATCCTACCAAGAAGGTTTCCGGTCGAGGCAACGTAAACCAATGGCGTATACACCGCATGACATATTTCGTCATGCACCCCGATCAACTTGGCGAAGCACATAATACTGCTTTACATTGCGCCCACCGATGTGGCAAAGTGAAGTTAAACGAAGCTGAAGGTATATACCTTGTTCTTGTAGTTTTATTAACTAAGCTACCTTGCTAATGATAGATAGGAATCATAGAAGCTTGCATTAATCTACACCACTTGGTTCTTTGTTCCTCAGCCGTGAACCAAGACTATAAAGGTTGTTTTAGAAGTCAAGCGGCCTGGTGTCCGCATGAACCAAAATGTATATATACAAATAAAAAGGTAAGTTTAAAAACTTTTAATGTATACTTAATAAGCTTTAAAAAATAGGGCACTTTTTACCTTGTTGAAATACGTTAGTACGTATGTCACTTTGTACTTGTAAAATTAATGGTTTTAAAGATTAAACTAATATAATTAATATAAGCTGTATGAAGCGAGCAGGTATGTGGGTCAAATATGTTGTTGTGCGTAGTTTAGTTATCTAGTTAGCTAGGTGAGGGCTGCCACTATATATGGTGGCAGTCCCTCCTTATCTTGTCTATCTAGCCACCACCTGATTGTCCAGGACACCCACTTACAGTGGGTCATCATTGTGGCGTGTGTTGTCACGGCGAGCATACTGGGGAGCTGGGACATGGCCTGCAGCAAGCAGCTATTACTCTATTGACGAGATTATCAAGACTAGAGAGGAAAGGAAGAGAGAGAGAGATAGGTACAGTGGGAGGTTGCCCCTTTAAGGGGATCCTCTGGTCGGATCCTTCCCTTATTAGGAAGTATCCACTTGTCATGTGGGAAGGTCTGTGCAGGCCGTCACACTATTCCCCCCTTTATCAAAGTCAGTTTACGACAATGATTTCTTCCGAGTTCTTCTTACTCCTTATACAGAGCCTCTTACAGGCAGGTTATCTTTCTTAAGATCAGTTAGGTCCTGATCATTAGCAGCAGCCTTTATCCATTGCTATAACCTTTAAGGGGGACTTGGCGCCTTGGGATTTGTGTCATGGAACTCTTTAACGCGTACAGCCGAGTTTCTAAAGTTAGCTGCTGGGTACCACATTGGGTCAGGATCATGACCTGTCCATTCAACCTGGTACTCCAGCTTGCCCCGGGTTAGGCGGGAGGACAAAATCTTGTTAACTTCCCACTCAGGAACCCCATCCACATCGATGGGCGGCGGTGGAGAGATCACCTGAGCTGGGACAGGGTCATTTGGTGACCGTACTAAGCGGCTTACATTGATGACCTGATGAGCGTTTATCCCAGGGGGTAAGTCAATCTTAAAGGCGTTCTCATTGATCTGTTTGACAACCCGATATGGTCCCATATAGGGGTTGTCCAACCCATCATGTGGGCGGTCAGTACGTCATGCTCCTTTACGGACATATACCATATCGTCTGGCTTCCAGTCAATTGGTCGTTGGGACTTGTCAGCCTGCTTCTTATACTTTGTTTGTGCCTTAAAGAGGTTGGTTTTGGCCCATACCACGGCCTGTGCCCGGCGTTCAGCAAACTCTTGAGTATCTGAACGGCTTAGCCGCTCTGTAACAGGCGTCTTTCTTAAGAAGGGACTGTGTTTATCCCAGTCAAATGTCATGATTGGAAGAAACCCTAGTTCAACCTCAGCTGAAGATAAGCCGGTACTTATATGAGATTGTGTGGCATAAGCAAAATCAAGACAGGGCAACAATTGAGACCAGTCATCCTGAAAGTGGCTTATAAAGGGTTGGAGCTTGGTCTGAAGAAACTGGTTAATGATCTCCATCTGACCATCCGTCTGAGGGTGCTCTGCAATAGAGCGGCGTAGGTCTATCCCTCTGAGCTTGGCTAGTTCATCTAAAAAGGCAGCAATGAACTGGGGACCACGGTTTGAAGTCACAGTCTCAGGGGTGCCATAGACCTTCTAAGGTCTATTGAAGTATAAGGTGGCAAGGTCCTTGGCTGTACATGTCTTATATGTCGGAATAGACCACGGGCGTTTGCCTAGTCGGTCTACCACCACATAGATCGTGTTATAGCCTAGCTTGTTTTTTGGCATGGTCTTAAAGTCCATAGAGACATGTTACCAAGGACGATCTGGCATAGGCAGAGGTTGTAGCAAGCCGGCTGGCTTGAGACAGGAATTGCGGCCTCTGCCACATTCTGGGCAATGAGCGCAATAACGGTCTATGAAAGCACCCATACCTGGCCAGGAATAACGCTCTGTTACTAAGGCACGCATCTTGTTCCGGCCAGGGTGTGTACGGGAAGGTAGTCTGTGAATCTCATCACAAAATCGTGTGTGTAGGTGCCCCTCATCAGGCACCACAAGGCGTCCCTCTTTTAATAACAAGCCATTAACAAGATTGTAACCCTGCTGACTGTGTTTGGCTTTTTCCCGCTCAAGGAGTAGGGTCTCTAAAGAGCGGTTGGCTGTCAAGATGGCATCAATAAGCTAAACACCCTCTAGAGAACCGTCAGGGTCCTGGTTATTGGCTTCCAAGGTGGCCATAATGGCACATACCAGGTTGTCCTCTGGACTAGGTGACGGGTCGGTCACAGACAGGTCAACGGGTCCATTGAACCTTTCAACAGGTAAGAGGATCTGGCGGCGACTTTCATCCTTGATGGCCTTCTATGTAGCCAGATCTATAGCTTTTCGTGATAGAGTATCAGCTATTAGGTTCTCCCTACCTGGACAGTAAGAGATGGTGAAGTCCAGGCCCGAGATATCCTTACTCCAGGCTGCTTGTCGGGCATTGAGCTGTCGCTTAGTGACGAAGTACTGGAGTGCCTGATGATCTGTGAAAACAGGAAGGGGATGCTGAAGGGCAGTGAGCATGTGGTTCTATTCTCGCATGGCATAGACAATTGCCAGTAGTTCTTTGTCATGGATGGGATAGTTGCACTCTGCTGTATTCATAGTTCGCAATAGATAGGCCACTGGATACCAGTTGTCTTGCTCATCCTGTTGGGAGAGGGTTGCTGAGACTACACTATCTGAAGTGTCTGTTTCCAGCTTGGTAGGAGCTGCTTCCTTGAAATGTGAGAGCAAGGGAGCTGAGCATAAGGCATCCTTTAGGTTGTCAAAGGCTCTCTGCTATTCCTTGGTCTATAGATACTTGGTTGCCACAGTAAGATGGTGAAGAGGTTTAGCTATCCTGCTAAAACCATCTATGAATTGCCAGTAGAAGTTACAGAATCCTAAGAAAGACTGTAATTCTTTAACAGTCCTAGGCTCTTCCCAGTCCCTCACGGCGGCAATTTTGGCTTTATCAACTGATATGCCACTGGTTGATATTATATATCCCAGGAATTTTGTTGATATGGCAGCAAACTCGCTCTTCTTGATGTCAGCCTGGAGGCCAGCTTCACAGAACTTCTGGAGGACTTTGCGGACATGGTCCCAGTGTTCCAATGGGTCTGCAGAAAAGATCAAGATATCGTCCACATAGGCTGTACAGAACTCATCCAGATAAGAACAAGGCCTTGTTAATATACCGCTGAAAGGTACTTGGGCCATTACAAAGTCCAAAAGGGAGCACCTTGTACTTATACTGGCCAAAGCGCGTGCGGAAGGTCGTGAGATCCTCAGAGGCTAGATCCATGCAAATTCGGTGGAAAGCCGCCCTGATATCCAGCTTGGTGAACAGCTTAGCGCAAGATAGACGTTCCAAAATTTCGCTGATTAATGGCAGCGGGTAGCGGTCTTTTTTTTACTGAGCATTGAGCTCGCGGTAGTCGACACAGAAACGCAAGCCTCCATTCGGCTTTTTGGCAAAAAGAACAGGGGACCCATACTCTGCTCCACTAGGAACAATCCATTCCTTGCGTAAGTGTTCCGTCAAATATTGCTTGAGGGCAATAAGGTGGTCAGCCTTCATGCTATATAAGGGGTGCAGGCGAAGAGTCTTAGCCCCTGGCTTGAGCTCGATCTTGTGGTCAATATCCTTGCGGAAAGGGGGTAGCTCGTTGCTTTCTGTCTTAGAAAACACATCCATAAAATCTTGTGCCTCTGAGGGAAGCCTACTTCGTAGCAGGTGCTGAGTCTCTAAGTTCTCTTTATTAATAGAGTAATCAATAGCTTGATCAAGCTCATATACCAAAAAGAAGAACACATTTCTGTAACTGTGTCGTTGATGTTGCCCCTTCTGACGGTGACTAGCCTGTCTAAAGAAGGTACTTCCTGAGACTAGGTGGATATCCGCGCCCAGAACGTTCATTATTGCGTCTTTGCTAACCTTGGGATGAACAGCCTGGCGTAGCGAAGT